CCAAATCCGACATGCTATGGCAAAGCGTTGCAAGACGGCATGGGGACGTGTGAAACGAGGCCCCTCTCGTACTTACATTCTCACACATGACGGCGATGTACGGCGATGTACGGCGGTGGCGACGGCTCGTCGCGCCGATACATGTTGTCCTGTTGGAAGTCCTCGCCCAGGCTCGCTCAGACCGGCGGGGGGATCGGGCGGGAGGTGGGCGGGGAAATACACACACACACGCTGTTAACCAGCTAGCAGGGGACGCAACGAGCACAGACTTTGCACGGCAAAACAACATGAGCAGCTGCGCACAAAATGCAGAAACATACTAATAAGCACACAGGCGGATCGCGGGCTGTTTCGAATTCTCCATCACAATTAAAACAGTAGCATCCCCACACATACACATACGTATACGCGCGCGCAAAGCGCCGACGGCAAGACGCCGACGGCAAGGCGCCGACGGCAAGACGCCGACGGCAAGGCGCCGACGGCAAGACGCCGACGGCAAGGCGCCGACGGCAAGACGCCGACGGCAAGACGCCGACGGCGAGACGCCGACGGCAGGACGCCGACGGCAAGATGCCGACGGCAAGGCGCCGACGGCGAGATGCCGACGGCAAGGCGCCGACGGCGAGATGCCGACGGCAAGGCGCCGACGGTGAGGCGGCCGACGGCGAGACGTCCATGGCGAGACGCCGATGGCGAGACGCCGACGGCAAGACGCCGACAGCAAGGCGGCCGACGGCAGGGCGCCGACGGCAAGGCGCCGACGGCAAGACGCCGACGGCAAGGCGCCGACGGCAAGGCGCCGACGGCAAGGCGCCGACGGCGATAAGGCGACGGCGAGAGGGCGCTGGCGACCTCGCCGTCGGCGAGAAAGCGACAGCGATTGCCACAGCAAGGCCATGCTCCGGGGTGCATGTGGGCAGGCAAGTTGTGTAGCAGCAAGGAGCACAACGGGAATTAGATGGTTTCAGAGAGGTGAGTGCATCGAAAGGTTACGCCCTGATGTGCTACGATTCTCATGTTGCCCGGCACAGCCCCAACAAAGCGCCCTACAATGATCCCGCTGGGGACGACACGCCGACGTCGGGAGCATCACGTAACGACAACACGTTAAACACAAATTTAGTTTAATATATATTACGTAAAAACAATCAATAATAAACAATACATTTACTTGACAAAACATTTATATCTAATGCTTCAAGGAAATATTCATGAGAATATATTATTAATTGATTCAGGATGCAAATATAAATTATGCAGCACGTAATTTTACAAATTGACACTTACAAAATAGTTACATTGCCATGCAGCACAATACACCACACCACGGCACACGTGCTGCTAAAAGCCGGTAAGCTGGTCTAGTTTGCTGTCTTTCCTAGATGTTTGCTGATCTGCTGTTTTGCCTATCAGCTGCTGATCTGCTGTCCGGCCATGATCTGCTTCATGATGCAAACAAAATAAGACTGCACAAGCACGTCGCATGCGGCACAACCTTAAAAAACCACAACAGACAACAGCGCTTTACAACCAACTAACAAACAAGACGTGACGCCCTGCAAAATTGTACAATGACGTACATAAGGCAACGTCAACAAGGAAATGCATCGCACAGACAAGGGATGCGTTTAACTAGCGCGTGACTCACCGGAGGCACGACAAACCGTGACGTGGAAACGCCGAAAGCTGACGGCGAGGCGGTCGACGACGAGGCGGCCGACAGCGAGGCGGCCGACGGCGAGGCGGCCGACGGCGAGGCGGCCGACGGCGAGGCGGCCGACGGCGAGGCGGCCGACGGCGAGGCGGCCGACAGCGAGGCGGCCGACGGCGAGGCGGCCGACAGCGAGGCGGCCGACGGCGAGGCGGCCGACGGCGAGGCGGCCGACGGCTGTGGTGCTCGTCGCGCCGATACGTGTTGTCCTGTTGGAAGTCCTCGCCCAGGCTCACTCAGACCGGCGGCGGGAACGGGCGGGAGGTGGGCGGGGAAATACACACACACACGCTGTTAATCAGCTAGCAGGGAGACACAACGAGCACTGAATATGCAGACTTTGCACGGCAAAACGACATGGGCAGTTGCGCACAATATGCAGAAACGTACTAATACACACAGGCGGATAGCGGGCAGTTGGGAATTCTCCATCACAAGTAAAAACAGTAGCACCCCCACACATACCCACACATACGTATACATGCGTGCGCGTGCACACACACACACACACATACTCTTACACACAACTACATACATACATACATACATACATACATACATACATACATACATACATACATACATACATACATACATACATACATACATACATACATACATACATACATACATACATACATACATACATACATACATACATACATACATACATACATACATACATACATACATACATACAATTGCGCACAAATACAAGACACTGAACACCGCAACAATAACCATCGGCCGGCTTTGCAGCTTCTATCTGTGTTTGCTGAACTTATCTTTGCAGTTTGCTGCCTTTGTGCTTTTGCTGTCGTTGTCGCTGTTGCTGCTTGCCGGCACGACAGGAGAAAAACACCGCGCCACGAAACACCCACAGCACCCACACAGACGCACACACACACGCGCAAACACACACGCACACGCACACACACCCACACACACGCACACACACTCACACGCACACACCCACGCACACACCCACGCACACGCACACACACACACACGCGCAAACACACACGCACACGCACACACACACACACACGCACACACACTCACACGCACACGTACACGCACACACCCACGCACGCACACACACGCACACACACACACACGCACACACACACACGCGCAAACACACACGCACACGCACACACACACGCACACACACACGCGCACACACACGCACACGCACACGCGCGCACACACACGCACACGCACACACATGCGCACGCGCACGCGCAAGTGCACACACACACGCACACCTACAAAATAGTTACATTGTCATGCAGCACAATGCACCACACCACGGCACACGTGCTGCTAAAAGCCGGTAAGCTGGTCTAGTTTGCTGTCTTTCCTACATGTTTGCTGATCCTGCTGTCCGGCCATGACTAGCCTTGTGATATGCAAACAAAACAAAAGAAGACTGCACAAGCACGTCGCACGCGGCACAACAGCAAAACACCATAACTGACAACAGCGCTTTACAACCAAATAACGAACAAGACGTAACGCCCTGCAACATTGTACAATGACGTACTTACGGCAACGTCAACCAGGAACTGCACCGCACAGTCAAGGCATGCATTTTAGTATAACTTAGACTCACCGGAAGTACGACAACCCGTGACGTCAAAACGCCGACGGCAAGACGCCGACGGCGATCAAAATGGCATGTCTTCCACGTCGACGGTGATGCTGATGGTGAAAATGACGGTGGCGGCCCAGACCCGGCAGGTGTTGTTGCAGCGAGTGATCAGGGGATTCGGGCGGGGATGACGGGGTTGCATACACACTACGAAACGGTTTCGGATATTAACAAAACTCAAGACATGGAATCAAACGACCCTCGACCATGCCATGCCATCATGCATACCACAACAAAGATTGATGATGCAGATTGATTGGTGGTCGGCAATCCAAATCCGGCATCCCAAATCCGACATGCTATGGCAAAGCGTTGCAAGACGGCATGGGGACGTGTGAAACGAGGCCCCTCTCGTACTTACATTCTCACACATGACGGCGATGTACGGCGATGTACGGCGGTGGCGACGGCTCGTCGCGCCGATACATGTTGTCCTGTTATAAGTCCTCGCCCAGGCTCGCTCAGACCGGCGGCGGGAACGGGCGAAAGGTGGGCGGGGAAATACACACACACACACACACACACACGCTGTTAACCAGCTAGCAGGGGACGCAACGAGCACAGACTTTGCACGGCAAAACAACATAAGCAGCTGCGCACAAAATGCAGAAACATACTAATAAGCACACAGGCGGATAGCGGGCAGTTTCGAATTCTCCATCACAATTAAAACAGTAGCACCCTCACACATACACATACGTATACGCGTGCACGCATGCACACACACATACACCCTCTTGCACACACCTACATACACTTACACACGCACACGCGCGCGCGCGAGCACATCCTCGCCCACATTTGAACAAATACCTACATACCTAGATACATACATACATACAAACATACATACATACAATTGCGCACAAATACAAGCCACTGAACACCGCAACAATAACCATCGGCCGGCTTTGCAGCTTCTATCTGAGTTTGCTGACCTTATCTTTGCAGTTTGCTGCCTTTGTGCTTTTGCTGTCGTTGTCGCTGTTGCTGCTTGCCGGCACGACAGGAGAAAAACACCGCGCCACGAAACACCCACAGCAAGAAACTTTGCTCCGAACGTATGTACGACATCACTACATCACGAACGGACACAAAGTGGCACCCACGCAGTGAACATACGGGGAATGACCTTCCTGCCGTATTCCCTAAACGCCGTACCTTACCAAGGTACACAACCCAAATCCCCCTCCGTCACCAACTCGTCTATCCATTTGCAACGCGCCTTCACCCATAGAATCCAAGAACGATGGCCGACCTTGATACGACGTGTAACGGCCTCACGGCCGGAAATCTAGGCGCGTTCTAACTAGCGTACGACATGTACGGGCGACCGTGCATCCGGCGTCACTCACCAGCAGCGGAAGACGATGTGAGCTTGACTGCGTTGATTAGAAGCGTTGACAATGGGGGCCCTTGCTTCACGCCGACGCAACATCGCACTGGGGTCTTGGAGAGTTGAAATGTGGTGTACGCAGAGATTCTCGTTGCCAGGTGGAATGCGGTCGATCTGGAAGGTCTTGGGCAACTCCAATGAGCAGTCGTCTCTGTCGCGAGGAAGGTCACGGACATCGGACGAAGTGGTCATGTCTCGCCTAACGACGTGTACTTTCCTGCCAGACCGCCTAGCTTTCAGCCTTCGTAGGCTCCTTACACAGCTAAAGCACAACTGTCGGGATTACGCTCAAACGCCGCATACGCCCATATTCTTGCAGCAGAGCGCTGCACAAACACATGCCCGTCGAAAGCCCGTCGACAAAGCCCCTTATGTTTCAAAGATCCATACACAAGCTCCAGAAGCAAGCATCTCACCTCAAAAAAATGAGTTGCCGCAAGTCGCACCTTGCCCTCACAGATGAGTCAGGCAAGTCCATGTCCATGAAGCGGCGACGCTGTGCCTGAAGCAACGTCAGCAGGGGTTCAATAAATAAATGCTTGATATAACCGCGTAATAAATTAGAGCAATGGAACTGAAGTGCGGCGGCTACAGCATGAAGGTTTTGCAACGAACAGTACCTTGCAAACGTTTGCAGGGTCCACAGCAGCTTCTCAGGGCGCCGCGCAGCTGTTCAGGCTTCCTCATTTGCTGGTCATATGTAGGAAGCTAGCAGCTTTTACGGACGCACCAGAGCTGGAACAGGCCGAAAAGAAGGGCTCAAACGTTGGGTGAAAGCCTGTGATCAAATATCGGACGTTGTGCACATTTGCTAAAGGAGCTGGAAGTGCTATGCGAGGTGCCTTTTGTCAGAGGCCAGCTAGGTTGTACGGCGCAACAGCTGCAAATCCAAGTGTGTTGGTAAGGTGCAGTTCGGCGAACTCACTTTGTCGACAGTTAGCCTATTAAACTTTTATATTATAGCTGTATGTCACTGCATTATCACGTTCACCTCCGTTCCTCTGCACCTGGTTACGTCCCCCCCGGAAGCAAGATCCCTCAGTGCAAGCCTTTGCAAACAACATATCAAGCTATCATGAAGGCCGCTGCTCGATTTTTGCTTATGCGCAAAGCTGGCGATTGACGTAATCTGCTCATGGCGGAAGTGCCAAGAGCTATTGATACAGAGTTATGGATTTTGAAGTTCTTCTTTGAGTGTCTAAGATGCTTTGAGTCATGTTTCCTCACAGGAGGAACTGCGGCCCGAACAAGGGCGCCATCGAACTATCATGGAGGGCTTCCTTTGACAGGGCTAAGCCCTATACACACCTTACGGGTTCAAATCTTCCGTAAAACGGAGGCCTTAGGTGCTCCGAGGAGCAGTGCACGTATATGCGGTCAGTGGTAGGAGTGAGGAGCCCGACTATAGTTTCGCTTTATCATGAGCTGTCACAAAGGCCGCTCCAGTTCCATTGGGCCAACCTTGTGCTAAGATTCTGGAACTCAGTTGTCATGAGGCCAGGGACACTGCGCCACCGGGCCTTCATTGCCGACCTTGAGCTGGCTCTGGGGGGTGTCGCTAAGTGCTGGACGAGCAAGGTCCTAGCTTTCCTCAAGAGTTTGGGAGCCCCCAGCCGGTCTGCGTGGTGACGACCTCATAGCGCATTACGCCACCGTTAGGTTGCCAGTGGGAAGCATACTTAAAAGAGTTCGCTAGGCGGCTCGACGCCCGGTGGGAGTGCCCGGATACCCTAGGTAATCCATGCACCTTCCAAAGTGGAAGTACCGGTGTCAAGGCATGTCGCTATCTGAACTGGATAGGGGCGGCTCCGCTTAGGGGCACGCGGCATAAGTGGACGGCCCATGCTGAAGCCGCCATGCCCCAACGTTTGCATCCAGTGCTTATGCGATTGTGGTTAGGCCGTTGGGAGTTAGAGGTTAACTGGCCTGACTGCCGTGGGTGCACAGCGTGCACCTGCAGGCTTTGTGACTGCGGGGTGGTTGAAGACGAAATGTCTTTGTGGAATGCCCGGCGTACAACAGCACACAGGCTAAGTACGCACGTGACCTCGCGTTTCAAGGGCGTGATTGCACATGATCATGACCGAGGCCCCACGCCTGGCGCTAGCCAGGTTCCTCTCGAAAGTCTGGGAGACCCGGCACGTTGCTCTATGGCGCTTCATGCTCAAGTGGACGAGGGAGGACAATCATGGTCCACCACATAACCGCACAAAAAACCACCACTGTCGATACCCTGACACAGTCATCCACACAGCTCCCACTCTCAACTCAAAAAACAATAAGTGCTAATGCCGCTTGGGGCTTTGCTCTAAAACATTTGCCACCATTCCGCTTCAGTGATGTACGTGTTACAAGACGCGAAGTGAAACACTGATGATTGATGTCGATGAGTTTCAAGCAACACCGCACACGGCATGCTTTTATTTGCATTCATGTTTAAGTTACTGTCACAAAACCACGATTACTGAAAGGGCTCCATCAACGCAGCCGTACACCTGTCGTGTATGTATCGTGTACGGCCTTCATGAAGGTCCCCCGGAAGGGGTGTACGGTATGCACCAGGATCCCTTCACCCGGGGGATGATAACCCACACGACCATAAGAAAACCGTAGCTTACTGCGTTGCTGCTACTCAAGACTTGCCTTCCGCCACAAAGCCGTATAGCCAAATGCTGCGCCGTACGTTCCCCCCACCACACGTCTCGGTACAAAACAAAGATCCAATTGACAGACAAGACGGATGCACATACAGATATACAAGCCCCCGGAGGTTCCGGGATCGAGACCTGTCAGGGTTGAAAACACTTCTGATGGCGGAAGGTAAGTGTGCCCCTAGTCGGTGGACGGTGGTGACCTGGGATAAAGGGCTCTTGCGAGCTGAATAGTAATGGAGTACAGCCGCCGTCGATCTCGCAAATTCCGTTGGATGCCGGTGGTGGGTGCGGAACCTGAGCGATCCACTGAGAAGTTGGCTAGAGTGGCTGGATGAGGGTGCCCCGAAATACCGTGGAAGGCAGGGTTTCGCCAGGTAGCGGCCACGGGTGAAGGAATGACCCCCTGTCCCACACATCATATAGGCCGGCGGGAAGACAAGCGAAGCGCACTTTCACACCGCCCAGTTCTCTCGTGTCCACGCCCCGACTGTCCGGTGTCCTCGCTCGTACAACCTGCCCTGGAAACCCTTCCTGGGCCCACACATGAGGTAACTGAGTATTATAACGAACAACCGACAACTAAATTTCGTGGCATATCATCCTAAGAGAGAGAGAGAGACTTATGCCAATTTCAATCTCCTTCCCTTCCCCCCAACACACACATACACACACCTTCCCCCATGCACTCAGCAGACTGAGTGCTTGTTTAAAGCTGAGCCACTGGGGCGGACAAACTAACTGACAAACTGACTAACTACTCAGCTCATCACAGCCCTCAGCCATTTTGCGGTGCAAGTATGCATTGGGGAGCCCCCGGGAACTTCTGAAGCGGCTGTAGCTGCTGTGGCGGCAGCGATGAAGAAGACGACAGCTGCTGCTGCTCCTCGCCGCCAGATGTCACATCACCACCCGAAGTGGTGGATCCTTCCGAGCCGGTAGCTAACACACACAAAATAAGGTGAGAGATATACGCAAGGGTAACCAGGTCAGGAGTCAAAAGATCGAAATGGATTTTGTAGTAACGTGTAGATCTTTTCAGTCTGGACGCGTACAATTTTGTTTCATCCGGTTTGGAGTCATGCGCTGGAGCGATGCACCTAAAACCCAAGGGAAACCAGGTCAGACCTCAAAAGCCCGAAATGAATTTTACATCAACATGTACAATTCTCATAGACGCGAAGGTAAATGCCGACGGGACTATATCGTCAAATGGGAAGGCTTCTCTGCAACCGACAACAGTTGGAGACCGGAGAAAAATCTCCTTGGGTGGAAAAAGAGGTAAAAGGCATACGAGGTTCAGAACGGAAAAAGTTGGCACGGTAACTCCAACAGGAGAAGGCCCAACTGGAAAGCCCAAATCCGCGCAAAGCGGGAGCAATTCCCAGCCCCTTCATAGAAGTCTCGTGGCAGGGCTTTACTTGTATCTACCATTATGCAGCTGGGAAGTCCTGCCTGATCGAATTTCTTACATCAGCTTAGTAGCGCAGCCTGGCCCGTAGACATGGCCTGCAAAAACTGAGTGCCCATCCCGTCGGAGGCGCCAACCCGCCGCAAGACGCGGCTACCAGCGGGGGAAAGGGTTGTGCAGCCTAACGATCGAGTAAAGAGTACCTAAGCGAGCTGGTACATCTCTCATTTATGTATGGCGAGGAGCCAGGGGCGAGCGCGCGTTCATGTGGATGTCTTGTCCAACCTTGCTTCTATGCCCTTCCGTACGACGTTGTCGTGCAACTTTGTTTATAGTTCATTCCGACATCATGAAAAGTAATTACTTATAATTGCTACAGTAGAGACTTTCACGAACACTCATGTTAAGTTAATCGACACCCGGATACTCCGTCGAAGCTTTAAATCTGTAACACAAGTTGTTTCATTTTTAGCTCTGCATAGTGAACGACTCCTATTCAGTAATCAATCAGCGAAAATGGCGGTAAGCTCAGTCGGGTGAGACGAATTCGGCCAAACTCTTACGGCGGCCGGCCTCTGCTTGCGACGCTGCAGATGTCCCAGCAGTCAGGAATATTGCAGCAGGGAGCTACCGAGGAACGAGGAGAAAATGCTCGCATGGTGCGATACGATGCGCGGGAAATTTCAGCCATGCAACACTTTGATAGATCGCAACCTTTTCCGCAGGCGTCCTTCGTTGGTGCAGTCGCTGTTGCAGACTTAGTCAAATCGACGCTGGGGCCGAAAGGCATGGTGGGTTAGGCCCAGATCCGCGCGCAGTGCGGGGTTTCTGGAGCTTGACGCTTTTCTTCTGCACGGGTAGTAGAATATTCGTATCGACACCTTGCAATTTACTTCAGGATAAAATTCTTCAGAGCATGGGTCGGGGACAGGAGGTTACCATTACTAACGATGGCGCCACTATCCTGAAGTCAATATACGTGGACAACCCAGCTGCTAAGGTTCTTGTGGGTAAGCGTGGACAGTGTCGCTATGCGGTGTGGAGGATGTGGATTCCCTGTAGGCAAGACCTGGGCTTGAGTGGCCTTGGTTGGATACATAGGCAACCTGGGAACCTAGCTCACAGGGTGAGGTATGAACCTACGCTGAACAGGGCGCTCTCTACATTGAGGCGTCCTAATACCTACACGGCCGGCTTGCATGGGATCAGTTCCCGTAGGGAGATTCGAAACCACCGGCGGTCAGCTTGCCTGTCTTTGAGCTTACCAGACTTCAATCATCGGGTGAGGACCTTTTTCACGTTGTTTTGCCACCTGTTCACGATAAGTAGCTTTCCGTATACGCGAATCGTTGTTGATTGAACGACGAAAGCAAGGTGGTTGATTGGAGCAGCATAACGGCTTACAAGGCCACAATGTGCCCGGGGTAGCTACTGGACAGAATGGGACTGTTTCACTGCCCACTGATTCATGTCGTGCAGACATTAGCAAGGTGCAGGACGATGAGGTGGGCGATGGCACGACGAGCGTGGTCGTCTTCGCGGGCGAGCTCCTGCGGGAGGCTGAGCAGCTTGTAAACCAGAAGGTGCATCCGATGACTATCATTGCTGGTGGGTCATTCTGAAGGGGGGCCGTTCTGGGGAGAGGTTGTGATGTGGACCTGAGTGTAGAAGAAGACCTGCAGGCCTAGAAATACGGACAAGCGTTGGACAATGATGGTCACATACCATCTATTGTCTCGCATCAACAATTTTTGGTTTTAGTTTGGGTTGGGGCCCTATGAACGGCAGAGGCTTTGGTCAATGGTGTATATCGTTCTCAACATGGCCGGTGACCCATAACTGCTGTTAGGTCAACGCTTCTACCTGCATCCGCCATCTATGGGGCTCAGGGATCTGTTGCTTAACTGGCTGAATGCAGGGTATCGGGAGGCCTGCGATTGCGCTCGTTCGGTGCTTGAGTCAATCTCCTTTAACCACCAAGCGGACCCGGTTCTCTTCCGTGCGGACTTGCTCAACATTGCAAAGACCACACTCAGTTCGAAAATCCTCACAGTGGTGCGTTTGGTGTTGGGAAGTTGGATGAACGAGCTTCACGGGTTGCATGAACATCAGGACAAGGGCACATGTTTTGGTCTTTTCCCGTGACAGCAAGGGGGGGCAGCTGCTGTAAGCACGGGCTCGCAGTCCCATCGGGTTCCACCCGGTAGCAGACAGAATGCGAACGTCGACATTCTGTTCACACATGGACACGTCTTCAGCCAGGGTCTTACCTCACGTCCGGAACATTCCGGGATGTCGCCTTGGTGTTCCAGGATAAGGAGCACTTCGCGAACTTGGCCGTCGACGCAATCCTTCGTTTAAAGGTACGTAAAGGTATCTGCCGCGTGGGGCATAGTGTGATTTCCTGTTATTCAGCATCGTGATGCTGGAGGGTTGGGCGATTATGAATGAACGTATTTTGCAATGCATAATAAGGGCGTATCAATCCAACTTACGTCTGTGCAACACGGAGGCGCCTTTTTTTTAGCCTGTAGTTGGATTGGCTATAGCTTCCGTCCGTTTTTGTTTCGACTTCAGGGCAGCGGTAACCTCGAGGCTATCCATGTCATTAAGAAAACGGGCGGCACTTTGCAAGAGTCTTTCCTGGACGAGGGCTTCATCTTGGACAAGAAGATTGGCGTTGGGCAGCCCAAGCGCATCGAGGATGCGCGCATCCTGGTGGCCAACACGCCAATGGACACGGACAAGATTAAAATCTATGGCGCTCGGGTGCGCGTAGACAGCATGGCCAAGGTAAGGCGCATCGCCGTATGAATATATGCAAGTTTCTGGCCGATGCCTACGTTTCAGGTTACGTTTTCGTCGGTGCGGCTCGGTCACAGAAATACCTGAGGTTATGCTGGGTCGCTATGCAATGCTTTAGCAGGGCTGTCTGGGGTCTTATTACAGGGATCGCACCACGTGTGTGCCATTCGGAGCCGTTTTGGTGTGCTGAGCGTGGCAACTTTTCATGCGCAGGTGGCGGACATCGAAGCCGCAGAGAAGGAGAAGATGCGTGCGAAAGTCCGGAAGATCATTGATCACGGCATCAACTGCTTCATCAATCGCCAGCTCATCTACAACCTTCCCGAGGAGATGTTCGCTGACGCAGGTAAGGGTTTGGACCACGCTATCAAGGAAGCCACCTATGTGTCCTATCAAAAGAGCTGCACCAATCCTACTCGGTAGATAGCCATTCCCGTGGGACTTGCGGGTGGTACGGGAGGTCAAAGTGGCCAAGGGCAGGCGGTGGCATGCAGCGAAGTTACAACGGATATGGACACGGATCAATAAGTGCAAGTGGCCTAGGGGAGAGGCAGTCGATCACAGGAAAAGTTTAGGTCGCACGCATTTCCTGTCATTAACAACTTTTTTCGCTGCTTTACATGGCAGGGGTGATGGCCATCGAGCACGCGGATTTCGACGGCATTGAGCGGCTGGCGCTGGTGTTGGGCGGGGAGATTGTGTCCACCTTCGATGACCCTGAAACTGTAAAGTTGGGCCGCTGCAAGATGATCGAGGAGATAATGATCGGCGAGGACCGGCTGATCCACTTCTCGGGTGAGGAACCGAAGGATGGAACATGTTATCCATCCGAAGTCAAGGAAACGGAAGGGCGTAATAACAATAATGTTGCCGCAACTCTCGTGCCACGTCCGCCTGTTTGTTTGCTTGTCCTTCTCATTTTATGTCCAGTTATCACCATCTGGGTGCGGCGCTATCTGATCATAACACTGGCTTGAGCAATGGCCGTATGCCCGCCAGGGGTGCAGCTACTAGCCAGCCCCGCTTGCATCGGGAGGGACATGTATAACTCTTTATTTGAATAGGCTCTGCGATGGGACTGCTGCTACCGGGCCTTGCCTGCTAGTTTCTTACGTCCGCGGCTTCGGCTGTGCAGGGGTGGCGTTGGGAGAGGCTTGCACGATTGTCCTCCGCGGCGCTTCCACCCACATCCTGGATGAAGCCGAGCGGTCCTTGCATGATGCACTCTGCGTCCTCAAGGTACGCTTTGATGGCTGCTAAGCAGGCTAAGCAATGAATATTACCTGGGCTGAGGAAGCAGGTCCAAAAACCATGTCAAAGATGTTAGCGCTTGATGCTTGTGGATAAATGTGGTAGCTGGGTTCAGGGCCATGTAGACGATTGCACAATGCTTGGGTGGGTACGTCAATTCAGCTTAACTTGCGTTGAGTTACCTTTGGAAAGTAACGACAACTCAAGGTGTAGCACGCGCACACAAAAAAAACGTCGTACTGGTTGGGATGTGGCAGGAGACTGTTGCCGATGCGCGCGTGGTGTTTGGAGGCGGCTGGCCTGAGATCCGGATGGCGAAGGCGGTGGAGGAGCTTGCAAGCCGGACGCCAGGTGGGAGGGGTTTAAGGTCGGGGATAGCTTCTGTGCCAATGAACGACATCACTAGTGGCCACCACCTAGGCACATAACATCTAGGCTTGCGGCAGACTCGAGCGGCTTTGCTAGACGCTAACCTACTATTTCTCCTGGCGAGCGCTTGAGGCATCAACAGCGGCAATAACGTGAGAACTGGCAGACGGATGCAGGGGATATCCAGCAAACGAGTGGGTATCCCATTTGCGAGCATATCAGTCCGTTCATTTGCTAGGATATGCAGCATTAGTGCGGATGTAGCGGTAGATCAATGTATACGGCTATGACCTGCAAGTCGGCACTTGGGGGCGCATGTAGGTCGTCCCGTTGATTTTGCATATTAAGCGTACACTGGCTTCGTCTGCGGATGTTTTCTTGCCTTGCTCGCACATGTCTTGCTGGAGTGTAGGAAAGGGCTTTGGGAGAGGCGATTTCGATGCTTAGGGTTGCAAGGCCAGCCAGAGCACTATGGACAAATCGTCCGAGGCGTTTGCGTGGCATGCTAAGTTCAACTATGATGGCATTTGCTTCAATGGGGTGCACAGTGGTAGATTTCCTGTATCCTTTCCATTCGGTGACGCCTCGTCCTTTTCTGGTTTCCAGTGCAACTGGGTCGCGTTTACTCCGCCTGAAATATGTTGGCCCGGCTGACAGGCAAGAAGGCGATGGCTATGGAGGCGTTCGCCCGTGCTCTGCGCGCACTACCAACCACAATTTGCGACAACGCTGGCTTGGACAGTGCGGAAATTGTGGCAAACCTCAAGGTAAATGATGAGGAATCAGAAACGATACGCATCGTATTCTTTTCGCCTGTATAACTCGTAGTCACGACGTGATTGAGGAATTTTGCTTGCCTTCCAACTCGTATACGGGCAGGATGATGGATTGTCCCCAATGACTCCTTGCTACGGCTGCTTTGCAATGCATTCCTGCAGGCTGCCCACGGCGCTGACGCAGACAGCCGCATGGGTGTTGACGTCGTCCGTGGGGAGGCCGGAGACATGGCGGAATTGGGCATCTACGAGTCTTTCCGCGTGCGCCAGCAGGTGCGCCGTGGGAACGGACTTAGCCGCCTCGTACACCTGCTCGGGATGCGTGATAAGCTGTTCGGGAGGTCTTTGCAGCAGCATAGGTATATGGGCATTGTTGGGTGTGTTCTTGCTCGGGTCGATAGCCGGTGTTTCACATAACCGTTCCATCCACGCCAACATCCTTGCATTGAGAACCTTCACCGGTCGCGGTGTAGCTCAGGTTCCGCATCCTTCCACTGGCCATCCATCCAGGTGCTGCTATCGGGGACGGAGGCTTCCGAGATTATCCTACGCGTGGACGACATTATCAAATGTGCTCCCCGAAGGCGCGGTTAAAGGGAGCCATAGTTGGTTGCTGCATTCATGGTCGCCTGGAGGCCACCAGGAGCATGCGTGCATATGCTGCTTAGGCACCATGAGCTGACTCTTGGCACCCGAGGTCAATGAACGTGCGAAGGTATTAACGAATGAGGAAGCTGTTGGTAATCTTGAGCCGCGTGCTCGATGTCCTTAACGGGCAGGTTCGTGGGCAGCATACACGCCAATAATCTTCGGGGAGGTTCCCCACAAACGTGGGCTCTCCCAACCGCGGTGGGGTTGGCGGAAGATGCCGCCACATGCCGAATTGTTCACAGAGACTCATTGTTCAAGTGGCAGCCGCAGCGTCGATCGTCGGGACAGTAATCGAAGTGATGTGCCTCGGAGATGTGGTTCTGTGTGTGTCTGGACGAAGAGCGTGATGGCCCGGATGAAATTTCACATACACACGTGCGTGGCAGGCAGGGGATGTGCAATTGTTTTTATAACCGCGACATGTGTTCCTGTGTAGCAAAGATGACAGCGCGTGCAGTAGTTTTCATTTTTAGTGCACGTCGCCACGTGCGGCCAAAGTCCGGCTTTCTGCAGGGTGCATGTTTTGGACATAATCGTCTCTTTAGATATGCAGCTTCTTGTAAAGTGCACGTGCTTGCTGCTGCAGCACACAATTGCCAATCCCCTCCGCGCAAGGCAAGCACGGGCATGTGATATACGCTACCAGAGCCATGAGTATGCGGCGTGTCGTCGTACCTGGCACAGCATAAATGTTGGCTCGGGGATATAATCGGGCAAGGGAAAGCATAGAAAGGGTAGTTGATCATTGTTGCAATGTTCCAGAAAACTGGCCAGAGATTTCGTTTTCATACGCTTGCCGTGCACTCACACGCTACCCATCAACGTACATCATTAACAGGAACCGCGTTGAGGTAACCGGTTTCTTCCCACGATTGTAATTTGAGGGAAAAGATGAAATTGGCCTCGCCTGGATGGTATGCGGCCCCTCTTGTAGAATTGAACCTATGGCGCTGGGGCTGACATGAGCAGGTAGGCTGCAGCTGTGCCATACGGGTCAGACCGTACAGTTTACAGCAGTCATTACAGCGGTTGTTTGTTTCATAGCGGTTGTTGCAAATGTGTTGCAAGGACCTGGAAATATTTGGCACATGTGTGTGTTACATCTTGAATGGCACATACCATATTGTACTGACCTGTGCTGTACGATACCGGCAGCTACTGGGGACAGGGCAGTTGCCTAGAAAATATGGATGCTCCTCTGAGTCCCCTTGAGTATTGTCTGAGGATACTCCCGTCAAGGGCTGAGGCGGCCGCCAGCGCACTACATCCAAGCCGAGCACGAAAGCAAGCACAGTTGCATGGTTTCGCCGACTGCGCTCTGTCTGAACCATGCCCTCATGCTTGCACGTGTGCATACAAGTCTACAAAATGAACATGCCTTTTGGAAGCTTCAGGTGTTGACATCTACAAGCAGGACGCCATGGCCAGATCGAGACGCCAAGCGACATGGGAAGAAAGTACGGCGATGAACACGCTCTCATCCTTACCTGCCGAAAGCCTTGGAAGATTACCAAGCGAACCTCTACGTTTTGCTTTTACAGGTGTTAGTGCAGTAGAAACAAGGTTGCGCTGATTTGCGTCACCTTTACACCCGCAAGAGTTGTGTTGTTAGGACACGGTGATTAATTGTCATCTTGTGATTCCTAAACCTTCATATTTAATATTCCAACATGACCGACGCTAATAAGGACGAGGCCAGGAAGTGTCTTGCAATTGCGCGACAGTGCATTGCACAAGACCAACTTGACAGAGCGGAAAAGTTTGCAAGTAAAGCTCAAAGGCTTTACGCAAGCGTTGAGGTCGGTCGTTAAAGGTCTTGTGACGTTGTCGAGCGATCACTAGTTAGGAAATCTGCTAAAGCTTTGTAACCTGCTGCAGGCCCAGTCTGTCCTTGAAGCTCTAGAATCAGCGAGGGCTGCCAAGCAGTCATCGTCGCACGAAGAGCCCAGTACTAGCCACACACATCACGACGAGTCCTCCGCACATGCGAACGGCTACAGCAGGCCCGGAGCAAGCGATGCTGCCAGCAGGGGGAGTGACGGGGGACCCAAATTGCCGCCAAGGGCTCACAAAGCTGCCAAGCCTAATGCACCTGTCGAAGACCCGGTACGTGTTGTGGGAGCTGTGGTCCGGGGCATTCGCCGTTCATCTACGTGACGTGGCGTATTATGAGCACTGGAGACCACTGGTGTCCTGGAATAACTTATCTTATATGCTGCTTCTATCTCCCTATCTTTTTTCCCTATCTCTAGTGGCGGTTGGTGCTTATGTGTTTCTGTTGTGTCCCGAAGCCGGGGACCCCAGCTTTTTCCAGTGGAGGCGAAATGTTCTAGTGGGGGAGTTATTGAATGGGGGCGAAGGCGGGCTCCTCGTCTGGCCGAGGCTAAAAATAATCATGAAGTATCGAAGGATGGTCGGAAAGACCGGTGGAAGACACGTGCACACCTCCTGCACTTCTAACGGTTGCACTGCACGTTGAGCCACACGTGCTGCGCATCTCACCTGCACCACAGCGCAAACTGACAATCACATTATTCACGATACCAACAGGGAACGCCAGAGCAGCGGGCGCTGGTTGCCCAGGTGCTAAAGGCCAAGGACTTGTACGAGGTTTTAGGGCTGTCGCGGGATGCCAGCGATGAAGACATTAAGAAGGCCTACCGGAAGGTGCGCTCGGGTTACATAGACGCAACCATGCAAGTGCTAGCTTACAGGGGATGTCTCGCAATTCCTGACGATGTTCGCTTCAACCCGAAGCCGTCCAGGTAGTAGCGATGTGGCCACGCGACGTGTTTCTTGGCACGTGACTGTGACGCCAGAAGGTATAGCTTCACCCGCCTTCGCTGCGAATCTCTGTTTTCCCCTTCGGTTTGGCCATTCATCCTATAGCCGGCTTCTCTATCTAAATGTCATAGCGGGGTTCAGCGTCTACTACTAGCATCCAGTAGAATCTCTTACTCATGGCCGGCACACAGACCGCTAATCTTTCTCCGTCCATCGGTCAGTTTTCACGCTCGTGGTGATTGATCCAGGGGGATTCCAGGGACCAACTTGTCGCGCTTTAGATTGGGGACGTCAGTATCCATATTCAAGTCCTGAGTTGCACGGATGGCTGCGTTTGCCGATTGCTGGCAAGGGGCAGGGTGGCGAACTGCTTGCCCCAACTGCAAAGTTTGATGCCACTTTTCATTCCGACCCCCTGTACACAGCTGGCGCTCAAGCTGCACCCCGACAAAAACAAAGCGCTTCACAGTGACGAGGCGTTCAAGCGTGTTTCGAAGGCCTTTAACTGCTTGTCAGACCCGGACAAACGAGCTTACTACGATCGGACAGGCTATGAGAGCAGCGCAGCGGTGAGTGGCTGACAGGAAGGAATGACGATGTATGGGGGACTGAATTGTACATCATCATCATCATGAGCCAATATGCTGCCAAACCTGAGGGGTGGGGATGCGGCGTCGCGCGCTCCTGCTTGGCCACATGGTTCCTTTCAACACTCCACAGATCCCTGTGGCAGGTGTTCTGAAAGCGTTTGCGTCCACCTGTTGGCGCTTGCCTTTGCGCAGGCAGCAGCGGCTGCAGCAGCACAGCGGGGCAGCGGCGCTGGTCCGGGTCCCGGCGGTGCCACCTATTACTACACTTCTGCGGAAGAGCTGGACCCCGAAGAGATTTTCAACATGTTCTTTGGGCAAGTTGACAAACCCTTTAGTCGAGGACGTAGCGCAGGATGGCTGACAGCTCCTCGTTTAGAAACATCAGTCAAACCTTCGCGAGGTTTCTGTTGCACAGGTTGATCTCGGTGGCGAGCGGCAAAGGCTTGTTAGAGGTTCATTTGAGGCTGGGATCATGTCAGAATATGATGTGCTGAACGGGGCAATCCTGAAATGATTCTGTGATAAACACTGAGTACCATTTGGGGTTGCATGACTTACTCCGCGAAACCAGCAGCAACCAAGCAGCCCGCCCAGCCATTTATGTACTTTGTCCATAATGATAGATGGACGAACTGGCAGTATTGTAGGACCTGCCAGCCGCCACTCACAGCAGTCTGACGGGCGGCCTTTCACAGGCCACGGGGCGACACCGCACCCCTTCGCACCAACACGCGCCCTCGAGTCGCACTAGGGGCCTGACTGCAAACTGTTAGTACTGACGAGCTCGCTCGGCCGCCAAGTCCGCGGTCCGGGCCGGCTGCTCAACACTCAGCAGACACAATCGCAGCTTGCCAGCCTTCAGCCTGTTGGCTTGGCGGTCTGGTGCTGCTGCACAAATACACACACACACACACACACACACGGAAACACAGCACCGTACGCACTGCCTTCGGCGCCCATTCGGGCGCCTGCTCACGCGCCCTTGGGCCCCCCCTAAAGCCTAGCTCGATACAATTCCTCAAAGCCCTCAGCACTTTTCCTCTGGCGATTGAAGTGACGCCCAGCGCTGAGCGGCAGCGCACGAACTTGACCTCGCCCAGTGCCTTGGTTAGGTTGTCAGCCACCATGTCGTCGGTGGTGCAATAGCTGAGCTTCACCTCACCGCGCGCGGCCCGTTCGCGCACGATGTGGTGGTTCAGCGTGTCGGTGGGCAGGCCATCAGGCATTATCAGGCACATTAATATAAGCCTCTGGTCCAGAAAGGGGCTGTGCTCTTCTTCGTTGACCGCACGTTGCTGCTAAGATGCATATGCTCGTTATGATTGGCTTGTTGCAATAGAATGCTGAAAACATATTTGCCATGGATGCCGTACCCGTTACTGTGCAGGGGCGCTTTCGGGTCTCCACACACTTTCCGGGCGCAGTTTGGTGGTGGACCGCGACAGGTAAGAGGCTGTTGGAAGGCGAGGTCACCAGAGCCGCAGGAGAACGCAGTGGGATTATTTTGCACTTCAGGACTGGGTAGCGTTTTGCAAAGTGCTGGCTTGCCTCATTGCACTGAACAATCCGTGCATAGGGCAATGGCGGTAGTCCTGTAGGGCGTCCGTGGCGCTTGTGCTTGTTACAGTACGCAATGGTGGCCGCGCCGGCTTTGATTGCGGCGGCCCCTTTCGATGATGCGGCAAAGGCGGGGTTCTTAAGAAGAGTGCCTAGGTCCGACGTTCAGTAATCCGAAGTGTATGTTATAATATCATCGTCTTTGTTACAATTACGCAGAGGCGGCACCATGGGCACCACCAGGGGGGTGGCGGGCAAGGGCAGGGGGCCGGGCAGGGGCCTACAGCTGGCGCACAGGAGCAGCAGCAGCGGGCGGCGATGTTTGGCCTGGTGCAGCTCTTGCCGATTGTGCTCATCTTATTCTTCACATATTTCCAAAGTGAGTTCTGGTGGCTGGTGCAGTCGCTGTTTGTTGCTGCTGTCGGAACGCAGTGTAGGTTGCAAGGACACTGAAGATGTTCCGATGGAACCTCTACTTGCGTGCGAGTGGAGGCGCCCATGTAAACTTGAGTCTCCGATGTGATTCCGAGTATGCATATAGCTTCCGACGTCGTTGAGTCTCCGTTTCTTTACCGCCACGGTGGTGTTAGGGGTTATGGATAAGTATTCTCCATAGCCAAGGCGCCGGCCTGGCGCTTTAGGCCCATGTATCGTTTCCATTTCTTGAAGCGGCAATCCTGACCTTGAACTGTCATGTTCGCCCCTATCGTACAGGCAGTCAATCCCCACCGTTTAGCCTGGCTCAGGACGCGACGTACCGAGTCCAAGTCCTGACTAAGAGGCTGTCAATTCCTTTCTACGTGAAGACAATCGCAGACCTGGAGAAGTCCTATCCATTATCAAGCGAAGCACGCTTGCGCTTGGAACGCCAGGTGCGCACGTTCCTGACTTGTGAAATTCGTGCCTTTGCATGGTGTGCATTCCGTTCTTCACTACCGGGGAAAATGATGATTCCTGCAGGTGGAGAATGCGTACTATGAGCGGCTGGAGGCACGCTGCCAACAAGAACGACTAATGCGGCACCGTGCCTGGACGTGGGGAAATCGGGAGCAGGTGCGGCAATAATTTGAACCTGGATTCGGTGCTGCTACTGTTGCTTTATCTGGCATGCTCTCACCTGTTGGACATTGAAGGATTGAGCATGTTCGTGCTTGAGCATGTTCGTGCTTGTTTTCCCTGAATGTGGCGTTATATGCAGGCGCGCTTGATGAAGCTGGAGGCGTGCGAAGAGATCGAAAAAGTCAACGAGAAGTTAGACAGTATTCGCAGGCAGCAACATGCATACTAGCCCTTCGCACGCGACAGCTTGATTTTTTCAGCCCAGCCGTTATCCCCACTCAGGTCTTCCAAAGCCCAGGCGTTACCCCCGGTGACTCGGATTGGACAAGCTACATGTGTGATAAGTGCGGAGGGCGGTTGTGACAGTTTGGTAGTCTCCACGAGCAGAAGACTTGGTGTACTGCATTATAATTGGTGCAGGGGGCTGCCGACGCGATGCTGTGAATAATCAAGGGGTGCTATTACCTTCAAAAGGTTGATGCGTGACACGGTCCTGCGGGTTGGTTTCATGTATTATTTACGCCTCTATTTACGGGCTTCTGTCGGCTGATCGGCAGAGTAGACACGATGTGTTCTAAATCTCGGTAAACGCAGCCGTTATGCCATTTAAATGTCTCGCCAGCTGCGCACCGGCTGCTTTGCTCACATAGCCATTTCTGGGCCTTGTGTTGGTGCTACGCATCGTCATCCACCAGAACGGAGCGGCGGGTGCAGTGCCATCCTAACCATTAAAGACGCTACAGCCATCGGAATTTGGGTTTATGCTCATTTACATAGCGCCGATATCCTGGAGTGTACACAAGCCGGAAGCTTTCCATTACCCTCATGCACTCTTAAGGACACAGATTTAAACACAACACAGACCACCCCGTTACAAGAAGCCACAAGCTAAACAATCTTTTGCCATCTAACAATTGCTGCGGTGGCAACGTGCTGAAGGCAAGCGTCACCCTGTCGATCATGCAGACAATGGAGAAGGCAGCAGACGCATTTAAAGCCTTGCATTAGCAGTTACACAGTGGCTACACTTGGCAAGCTGCTTCATTGTTAGGCTGGATTGCCCTCCTCCCATCCAATCCATCGGCATGTACCTGCCCGACCCCTACCATAGACCCCTACCATAGACATCACACATGTCGTCATGCTTTTAGTATACTAGCCGAAGTCCCAGATGCACAGGATGGCACTCCAATGCCTTCCCATTTACCCCTCTGCCCATCAGCGTGCATTATTATTGAAGAGCTTGTTTAGAAGCTTAGAGCTGCCAGAACCCTTGCGCCGGTTTGTTGCAGCGCTAGAGTCCGGTGGAGTGTTTCTAGGTGCCATATCCGGCACTGCTACAGGCCGCTGCTGCATACCAGCCATAGGTGGCCCAGGCACTGCCGCGGCATATCGTGGGGCTGGCATGCTGCTAGGACCCCCAACGGGTGGCCCCGCTATGCGGACGGACTGGCTGGGACGAAGGGAGTCATTGGCACCCATGTGAAGATCCCGACCGGCGTGCGGCGCGTGGCCATGGCTATGGGATGGCCGCCCCTCCATCCGCTCGATTTTGTGGAGCACTTCCTCTGAGAGGCGGACATACGCAGGTTGGGAACGTAGCAATGACATGACTCAGCGAATGCTGTGTAAGCCTTGTAAGTGTTAGCTTTGATCGTTGGACACAAGGTTCAGGCATTCCACACGCTGTCAAGTTCATACGTAATGTAAGCGGATGAGCTATGCATGAACGCACAAAAATGCCAAGTAATAGTATGACTTAAGCCATGGAAGCTCTACATTACCTGTTGTCCGCAATTTCTCCTTAAACTCCCGCTTCCAGACGTCGAACTTCTTTTTGAGCTTATACAGCTCCACGCCGGGGTCCATTTCCGGTGCCAAGACCTGCCCCTCATGCACCTCTCGGATGAACGCCACATCGTCCGGCAGCACTGAGGTTAGGGAACAAAAACAGGATAACATTGGTCCGTGGCTTGAAAACCCAAATCTAAAAGGTCCCAGCGTGAAGGAAAGCACGCATGCTTAGCCTGGTTCGTTAAGGACTTCTCCCTGCATAAAGCATACAGGAGCAACGAAGCAGCCATACAAGCGTCTCCTTGCCTACATCTCACCCTGCATGACCCGCTCCAGCTCTTCGCCTAGCTTCGCCACGTAGCGTTGGCTTGCGTTCACCGGTGCCGCTGACGCCGCAGACGTGCTAGGCATGCCGCCGTTCACGGAAGCACCACCCACAGTCGAAGAGGGGTTAGTACGCGCCTCACTGCCGACACGGGGAGAATGAGCGCCACCTACGGAGCTTGGGTCCCTTTCCAGAGACACCGGCTCGGAGGCCATGGATGGGCTGGGGGAGTTGCAAGCTCCCACCACCTGCTCCGCGATAGAGGGGTTCGCGAAGGCCGACGAACGCGGTCCAGGAGTGTTGGAAAATGGCTGACCATTGTCAGAAGACAGCGCACCTTTGATAGCCGCGTGAGATGGGACCACAACAGCGGCCTCGGCATCTGTTTCAGTGGCCACGGTAGCTGTTTCGGGAAGCCCAGGTGTTTGTGTGCCTATGGCTGTGCCGCCAATTTCCTGCGGCGTTTGTGTGCCTACGGCTACGCTGCCAACGCTTGGAAGCGGCACCGTTGGCAGCTCCATGGCAAGCAGATCGGTCTGTGTCGCGAATGTGGAGCTGGGGACACACTGCTGAACCCCCGTTGTAACCAGCTCGGTGACAGTTTGGGTAGAGAGGTGTGCGACGCTGGGGGTCTCCAGAATCCCCTGCTCCGCCTCCGTCTGTGTCGCTGAGCACACGCTCGTTGTGCTGTGCCGCGCCCCCACCGCACCGACGGCTGATGACTCTGCTGTCACCGCCACGCCGCCCTCAGCGGCACCGGTGATTGGGCTCAGCTTGTGCGAAGCCATAGACGCCATCATCGCTGCATCAACTGCAGAAACAAATTTGCCCACAGAAGGGCCATCTTCGACGGGCTGTGTAAGGGCAGCAACTTGCTTGGGCAGTGGCGGCAGGAGGTTGTCCCCGAGCATGGTGCGGCACTGTGAATGGACAAGCGGACGAGGAGAGAATACGTCACGCTGAGGAAGAGGGAACGGAAAAAGAGGGAAAGGGCGCTCCAAGCTCTTCGTAAGCGAAAAGAGATTGAATAAGGTATCGGTCTTGCTTGACGGAGCTGCGGAGCTGATTCAAGTCAAAGTATTTCCTTGGAGGTTGCCTAATTCACAGGAACCTGTTCCTTCTAAGCATCTGCGGTTTCAGTAGTCTTCTGCTAACCTTCTGGATATATGCCTGCAGTAGCCGAACTTGTTCAAGCCAGTTGACACTCTGCTCCTCGCACTTGTGCTGATAACGCTGCGTCAAGCCCCGTTCCAGCTGCAACTGCTTCTGCAGCTTGACGTTCTCCAGGTTCAGCCGCTCAACCTGCGACGACACAAGAACGACACCAATCAAGTCAACTTGGAGAAGCCAACGTAGCAACATCCCAGCGCACCCGTTGCCCTAAAGTGTAGGGTTTACTATGCAATCACGAAAGCATCCCGGTTAAACAGGGTAACAAGAGCCGCATTCCTCTCATAATGTATCACCTGAATAGCAAGCTCCTGCGCCAGCTCGAAGCGGTTGACAACTGCTGGCGTCACCACCGCTGGAGTCATGATCATCACTGGCGGCCGCTGTAGTGGTTGAGCAGCAGCTCCCCCAGAAGACGTAGTAGTAGCCGCAACTTCATTGGAAGCTTCTGGTATAACTACAGCCGTAGCTGCATGAGCTGGGACGTCGGATGCTGCACCCGGTACCGCCTTTGCCTCCAAAGGTCTCGATTCTTCTGTGGCTGCCTCTCGTGTCTGTGGGGCTTCCCGTGCCGCACGCCAGGAAGCGAGTGCCTCCTGGAGGGTGCTCATGTTCATCGCCCCTGCATTTCATGCAAAGCATCAAACACCTGAGACTTTCACAAGGCACGGCTTGTAAGATCTAACCGTTTACGTGCGTATGACTTCATGTATATGGTAGCCACCGAGTTTCGAAGGTGCGTAAACATGGTGTCAACAGGGAACCTGATGACGGCCGACGACCATACCAAAGAACCATACGGACAGAGCCCCAGAACCTGACACACTACGAGCCCCGCGTGTCCCTATGCTAAATAGCCCGAACAATAGCCACAGCAAAGGCTACCCGGCACAAGAAAACCCACGACATACCTGCATTGCAACACTCACGCCAGGCGGCCAATGCTGTCGGCACGTCCTCCATGCTGACGTGGTATTCGGCACGCAGAGCACTGAACCAGTCTGCCTCAAGCTTGCTCTTGACGCGCACTTCCTCCGCCGCCAATTCCGCCCGATCTCGTGCCTAATACGTGCAACAATTTACACCGTCATCTACTTAGTGGTTTACGCCTCTGCCCATGTTACCAGTAGCACAGAATTTGCATCATACGTAGCGATGGGCTTCATGACCAATGCCAGGCGTGCCCATGCGCAGGCCCAAAGGTCTAGGGGCAAAAGCTCATATAGATGGTCATGTGTATCATAGGTGGGTATGACACGCACAATTTGAGGGAACACCTGCCTGCATAGCGCGGGATAGCCATCGGCCAAACTTCCAGGCTCGGTAGCCCTTTGTCTGGATGGTGATCACAGCACGCTTCACACGCAGGAAGTGGGACCGAGCGGAATGCATCCGCCACGCGCTCTGGAACACCACAGCTGCTGCATGCTGTGCCGCCAGCTCCTTGTAGGCCAGCGCGGCAACCCTGGTGCGCCACAGCGCCTGTGGACATCGGAGGCGGATGTTTTTAAGGCACGGAAAGTAGCGAAACCTAGCGCACTATAAAGGTGAACAATCAGGGCGTGGAGTCAGTTTGACTTCCAAGCCTCGCACCCTTGTGCATCCATGCCCGCCATGCCTACAAGCTCCTTAATAAGCCCCGGCTCCGGGAACATGTTAATCCCACCTGCATAACAGTCGCAGCCTGCAGCGTTTTCAGGTACGACACGCGGCACATGTACATGCGCCACCACGACTGCAGCGTGAGGACGGCGGCCTGCATGCGCGCCCACCTGTTCACCGCAAGAGGTAAAACACGGAAGACCATTACGACAGCGTAAGGGCAATGTCATACACACAATAACGTCAAGTGCAGCGCATGGGGTTGTCCATGCCCGTCTGAGCCATGCAGTTTTCCGCCCGCCACGCGCGTCTCGTGACTGACTCACTGAATGGCACGGAAATGCACTGAATGGCGTGGGCTGTACACGAGTGTCCTCACAGCAACATGGAGCACATGCGTGTCTGGTCAAGCCCCAGTGCAGGATTACTCTCCCTAATACATCTGTCCAGCAGGTAAACCTACCAGCGCTTCATTTAAGGAAAATTTCTCTGCGTCCTCGCCTACGCCCTTGCCCCAGCGGCCTATCCTAATGCAAAATAAAAGGGCGCTTGTGCTCGTGCCCGCAGCCTACCTGTCTTCCACGAGGCCTAGCACGCCGGGTCGGAAGAACACTTTTGTATGGCCCAGCTGGTACTGTCCGACACGGAGGCCGAACCGCTCCAGCAAGGTCAAGCACACCTGTCAAAGGATTAGCCGCGTTTGCCCGTTATAATCGCCTGCCGGGAAAAGGATCTGCTAGTTGTGCGAGCGAAGCAGACGCTGTGATTGCCAAAAGGTACGTGTTGAAGCAAACTAGAAGCACCGCCAAGAAAGAAGCCATTGGGGGGAGAGGAGGACACGCAACCAGGCGATCCTAAGGACGAGAAAGGGGCGTGCTACCAGAAGCAGGCTGATCCCGGACAACCATACCCTGACCCCAGCTTCTAACGCGAGCTATCATATGACTTCATATATTCGTGAGTTTCACCTGCCGACTGCCGGCTGAACCTTGTTGCTGCTGCAGCAGCCGCTGCTCCTCAGGGGGCAGCAGCTGACTATATCGAGATGCGAACTCCTCAAGTCGATAGCGTGTGGGAAAGCCCGCTGCGGATACACGTGCAACCTCCAACACGCCACAGCACCTGGGCGAGCAGGGCAATAACACGGCCCACTGAAAGCATTTCCATGGGGTTACGTGGAACGCTGGCACGTAGAGGACTCCTTGTCTCTTGATGTGCGCAAGCCACTTCGCGTGCAATCTTCAGGGAATTAGTGACGGATGCTTTCCTTCTGTGTGTGTGTGTGTGTTACATGGTCGTGGGTGCGTTCCCCGTACCTGCAAACCAACCAAATACGAGCCGAGGGCTCAAGGGCTGCCAGATCGCCTATAAGCACCATCCTACCTCACACTTCAGACAAAGCAAGTGATCCTTCTGCAATATCATGTGTCTTGCCGTGCATATTTGTTGCCATGCATAGGTAATAAAAATTCCACTGTCACTGCATGCAAAGGTCTGCTGACGGGATTTAGTAGGACCCACAGCACGTACCGTAGCTGGTGCAGAGTTGCGACCGAGTCCATAGTGTTGGGAAGGAGCTTCGCGTTCGGCTTAATGCAGCGGACAAAGTGCAGGCCAGTGGTATCTAGCTCAAACACCAGCTCTCGCAGCTGCTGCCCAAAGCGCGTGATCACCTGCACGGGCCAGAGGTCCACCGCATGAATTTCGACCTATTTTTTCAAGGCTTCCTACGCCGTGGAGGGCTCCCCATCGTAATATATGGCCCTGGCCATGCACGAATAAGAAGAACAAGCAGCGACCGGGCTTGCTTCCACATAACGCGGGCTTTGGTAGGAAACGCAACAGGCGCGCAAAGACTCCGCTCAGCTGATTTACTCCCTACACAGCATGCACTTACTGTCTGCCCCTTCTTGGTGCTGCGTTCCGCCTCCTCCTGGATGCTGGCCCCCAACTCCGCCATGAGAGGTTTAGAGCTGCCTGACATAAGCTGGACCAAGTCTATAGGCACAAGGGCAGCGAGAAAGAAGGACACGTGACATCTTTCCAAAGATGCGCTGCCAAAACGAAAGCCCCAGCATGGACGGTGTCCATAGTGCATTAAAAGCATAATCCTTTCCGCGAGTCATTATAAATGCAATGCACACACTAACACCCAATATCCACCCTGCAGCAATTGTCATACCCGCGCTCAGCGTGTCCTTATTCTTGTCCAGGAGGCCTGTGGTGTCATACTGTACAGCGCCGGCGTAGTGCCGGATAATAAAGCTTCCGGGCACACGAGGATTTGTACCAAAATGCGAGCGGGAGCTCAGCGCCTCGAGCAGCTGCATGTGCAGCGTTGCGTCCGTAGCTCGCGGAAACTTGCACTGCGAGTCAAGCACCGCCAGCATGCCCAGACCCTGCGAAGGAGCCAGCCAGCTGGGCGGAGTGAATGCAACCCAGACCCACTTACCAAAGCCGGCATTCAGCCAATATAGACAGACGCAACGAGGGAACGGCGAGAAAAGCAGGGAAGCTAGAACGCTCAAAAATAACGAACTGGGCAACACGGTCGATACGCATGGTGAAGGGATTGCCCCCATTAGAGCACATTTCCAGGTCACGCCTGCTAAGGTACGAAATGCTCGCTGGCTGCTACAAAAAACCGGCTAGGTACGGCTATGCTGCAATGCTGCGCTTTGGATAACTTTGACCGATGTTGCATCGCGTACCTTGGGCGGCATGAGCTCGAAGATGTCCACGCAATCCTGGTTGTCGATGAACTCCACCTTCGTCCAGTCCACCCCCTCGCTCTCATACTCGGTTTGCTCCAGCTTGAAGAGGTGGTGCGTGAACTTCGTGGAGAAGTTGGGAAAGAATGGGCAACAGGTTGGCAATGAGGGCGACGTCATCCACAAAGCACGTGTCAAACGGCACCTCAGCCCCCCTATCGATTACGTCAGCCGGGGCTGCAAAATACGATACCGCACCGTGTGCATGATAAATCTCTCCGCTTACCTGCTGCTGCAGCCGCTCGTTGGCGTAGTTAATGCACAGCTGCTCGAAGCTGTTGCGGTCAAACTGCTCAAAGCCGTAGATGTCCAGGATGGCGATGTACAGCCCGGACGTGCTCTTCCCTGCGGCGAGGTCAAGAAGCCATTCACCATGGTTCATAGCTTCGACCTGGTACCCCGACGTATGGATACAGGCATTATTACCTACCGGAGCTCAGGCGCGCATTAATCCGCGCGACCACCCAGTTGAAAATGGCTGCGTAAATCGCCTTCGCGAGGGAGTTTCGTGCCTCCAGCGCGTCCCCGACCTGTGTGTTACGGCGTCACATCGACTCGCAAGATATCAGTCTATAGGTTCCGGCTTGCTCCGTCCAACCCAGCAGCTTGTTGTAGCTCAGCTCCGGTCAGGAATCTAGAGTTGCTAAGACATCGAATTTTGAATCTTCCAAGCTCGCGCACATGCAAGCACCCAGTCCAAAGGTAAGAACCTATCGTAAAGCCACCTGAAGCTGAACGCACCTTCAGCAGCTTGATCACCACTTCCCCGGGTGCAACAATGCGCCGGGTCGTTAGCGCCGTGATGAGCGCCTCTTGCGACCAACCAAGCAGTGTTGCGGCGTTCCCCAGGGCGGGCGTCTGCCGAACCTGCACAGAAGTCATAGCCCCACGTTCTATGGAGCTGTTCACTGCAACTCGCGATGCTGGGATGGATTCCGGAGGGGCAGTGAAAGCCCTGATAATATTTAAAAAATCTCAATTGTAATCCAGAGGACTGAGCCCGCAGCCCGCGCGGCCTGTAGCTGTCATCACCGGGTGCGTTCAGAGCTGTTAGGTGCATCCCCAGAAGAGCTGCGAAGCCCCGTGTACCGGCATCCTTTGCTTATTTTCCAATTTCGTCCATCTGATCCAAATCCAATAGGATTCCATAGGGTTTAGGCTGCTGAGCTCTTTCCTCCCGTAACCCTCGTTTGACATGCATTTCCTGCGCACCGCCGCGCCTTGTCCACGCTTGCGGCACGGACCCTCTTCTATGGCACGTTGAAGAGGAAGCACATCCGCCCACCTTGGTGCTATCCCCAGTGCCGCTCTCCTCAAACTCGATATTCCCCAGCCACAACAACCCGCTGAGAAGCTTGAACAGCATCGCCTGCGTCTCCTTGTCCACCCCAATGTCCTCCAGTGCTCGGCGTACCACACGGAACTCCTCGGCATCATCGACTCCCGCGATATCATAGCAGCCACTCTGGTGGCAGGAAGGGGAGAATACATGAAGCCCGTCAGCTCGATAACTGTCACATAACTGTTTTCGCTACCAAAATGCACGGCCTCATCCTTGCCCGGCAGAACTTCCACACAAATGGAAAAGCGCCCGTGGGTTGCCTGGGAGCCCCCGGTTTGCACTGGGCTGTGGTCCAGTGCCAGATTGTCCGAGTCGGTTCGAGCTAAGTCGGGTGCAAGCGTAAACCCAATCAGATAACAACAAATAAACCCTCGCAGCAGAAACGGCCATGCAAGTCACTGGCAAAGTGCTTGTGCTCACCCTGGAGGGTTGCGTACCTGCGCGAGGAAGTGAAAGTCCTGCGGCTTCGGGGGCAACATAAACGCCCGTCGCTCCTCGTCCGTGACTCCTCGTACTAACTGGTAAAATATGTGGAAAGAACGCTCTCCCTTCAACTGCAACATGCAGACAAGGACAATTGGGATGTGTCTCAACCAGTATGCTGGTACACTTGTAAAGCACAGAAATGCCGTCTTTCACTTACGCAAAATTATGAGGTGGCTCAAGCATGCTGGGCTGCATCATCCCCTTCCCCGCAAGCCTTGAGGGGCCCGGAACCGTTCCTCCCAACATCTCACGCCCTTCCCCAAGGACCATCCCGCACCTGCAAAACCACCCTGCTCTTCTCCAGGAGATATGTCTTAATCGTGGCGCCGCAGATGTGATGGCTGCCATTGAAATGGATTTGAATGAGCTTTCCGAACCGTGAGCTGTTGTGATTCCGCAACGTCTTTGCGTTCCCGAACGCCTCAAGTACAGGGTTGGTCTACAGGGCAGCAGAGAGGAAACCGCAGACCGTCAGGCGGTCTAGGATCAAGGCGCCATGTCGAGCATCTTGTTACCTCACCTCAAGGACCTGGTCCTCGACGCCCGTTCCACCCGCTAGCGTTGCGAAGTACTGCATTGCCTTTTTGGTTGTCTCCGTCTTCCCTACATGCAGTCGCCGTCAAAACACGTGCTGTTAGCCCGAGTCGGCCTGATTGGTGCTACGCTGAAGCTGTGTAAGGCTTTGCTAGGCGACGTTCACGCCGAGACTGCGACTTCCTGTCGCACACATGGGACCGGCTGGGGATCTTCAAGGTCCATTTGGGCATGCCGATATCGTGCCCATGCTGGGCTGCAGTTCATGAGGTCACTCCCTCGTAAAAATTAGTGCCATATCTGGAGTGACGAGTCCAAGCCCCGCGCAACAAATACCTGCGCCGCTTTCTCCGCTAACGACGAGGCTTTGGCTGCACTTGTTCCGAAGCATTTGGCGAAATGCCGCCGCGGCCACCATATAAATGTGCGGGGGAAGCGTCGTCACCGATTCTCGCGCCGCCTCTGCGATGGCACACAAAGCAAATCTACAATCGTGAGAACGAGAGAGCTGTTCATGTGCCGTCCCAAATCCATTATGCTATTCCTTGAAACCGTAATACCCTCCACACGGAAAGATTTGCACGCGACAATCCATAGTAAGGGTCCGCCGAGTCCTGCCACAAGGCGTAGTTCATTGGGGTTGTGGCCACAAAGTTGCACCAAGCCTTGACCAAGACTGCGCGCTCACGTTTGTATTCGGCGGCTATTTCCGGAGTGTACAGAGGGAGCGGCTTGCACGGGTTGAGGGCGATTAACACGGGTCCGGCCCACGTGTATATGTGGTCGAGGTTATACCTGTAACATGGCAGCAGGGTGCAATTCCCCAACAGAAGCAGGCAGGCGCTGGGAATAAATGGAAACTAGTTGCTGCAGGTTTGCACAGGAATAAGACTTCCCCCGTGACGCTATCAGAGGATACTCCATCACCTCCGTGGACAACAGTCACGGTTACGGTGGCCGTAACAAAGGTAGGCCAAATACCCTGTTCTCCGAGCCAGCTGTATACATGCCCAGGATCCACATCGTGCTGCTTATGCTCATGATGTCAAGTACAAGTGCGCTCTCAGCCATGCAAGCACTGATCAGCAGTAGCCCACCTGTGCCCCAGGTTGTACAGTATTCCAGGCTCGTTCAAGTAAGACAGCTGCACCACATCCGGTATGCCATCCTGCAACACCGGATTTGCTGGCACAACGAGCTCGGCGCCCACGGTCAGCGTTGCTGCTCCAACTTGAATAGATACGGTTCCATTATCGGGGACCGCCAGCAGCTCGCCTTGCTGCCAGCTTGTTACATCCTTACGATAGAAAACCTTTGCGCCACGGCCTAGGCCCCGAAGCGCTTCCATTTTGGTCCTAACTAATCAAGAGCATAAGCAGCTTCAGGAATCATGAGCATAGAAATCATCTCAGCTTGTGACCATGAAGAGGTTCTGTATAAACATGTCTTAGCCAAAGCACACTTCTCAGGGCAACTAACGACTTTCCAGTTGCAGTCAATCAAAGACAGTTCCATAGAGAAAATAATACACGCTATTATCAAATGATCTTTCGCCGCGAGAGACAGATCAGAAGGCTGGTTGCCGACGATATCGCGGGTCTGTACGGCAGGTTCCACTTCAGGGCTATTGCGCTTACAAGCTCAGCACACGCCATGACCGGCTAGTATTAGGAAGCGATGAGCATTACCACCTGGGGTGCTACATGCCTGTTATGCCTAGATCAGCGATACATCTGACTCTCAGCCGTTGCACGCCCTGCGTGGAGTGGGGAGCAGCCCTTCACCGCTGCAAAGCGTAGCTGAATTTCCAAGGCTGTAATTTCGGTCGCGCGAAGTGTGCACGACAGGGGCATTCTGGCTCCAGCAGTAGCGTGATGGGACCCGGTGGGGCCAGTCGGGTCCTTTCTCATCATAGCTGCCATACGTACGTCGGGGGAGATGCATGCAGCTGGGACCTGATCCATAAACTGAGGTAAAGATTTGGGTGTCAATGCCACGATCGCTGATCGCCGGCCACGATGTGCAGTACTGCACATGGGACCTTAAACAAGCCATACGAAACGCGAAGGCTTTAGTCGAGCCTTTTTATACGCCCTACATCCAGTGCAGATGGTAGTAGGTGTGATCCCTGTCGTGGCACATGGGTAATACGCGCACCCTTAAGCCACTTGCCTGACCTTGCGCGAAGCTCGCGAAATTCCCGAACACATAGCACGCATGTTCACCCGAACCTTTCTAGCTGCATCACATGTGCGTTGTTTCTTTAACAGCATGTTAGTTGTACCAGAACTGCTGTACAGGCAGTACATACGGAACAATTTGCAGAATTCTTTTCCTAGAGAGATGCAGCTGGTACTAAATTTCATCAACGGAAGTATGTACCTGTAATCTTATTACTTCTATGTAAGCCTATCTATCAGATTACTGATTCAGGAAACGCTCCTTCTTAGACACGATACTGGATCGCCCCACATCGTTTCCCATGACGTTGTTGGTGATACATATTAATTTGATGGGTGTTTAATAGAATCTATTAACTGCCGTGCCCAAGGACCTTGCAAGGCAGCGTGTTCACGCTACGATATGAAAACTTAGCGCTTTGCTGACACTGCCGATGGAGGGAGACGAGGTGTCTCTTTTGGAGGATGTGACGACTAGCGAAGCTTTTAAGGCGAGTTCACCCATATGCCTTGTTGAGCAGTCCCCTGTTGCCTCATATGAAATTTGTCGCAATCTATAGGTTTTAAATGACCTGCTAGCTTCGGGCGAAATTAGAGCGGAGCAGGCAGACAGTGCAAAAGCAAAGTACACCCAGCTCCATGGCGCGCTGGTCAAGGCATTGCAGGTGAGCTTCAACGGCGCGCTTTATAAATATGAACGCTGTTCTGGGCTGATAGCGAGTCGTTACCACCCTCGCCCTTCCCCACGCAGACGGAGAAGGACCTGCTCCTGCAGGCCAAGGCGCTTAAGCGACAGAAAGAGGTATCGCACTGAAGCTCGTGGGCAATCGTAAATTCCCCGCTGGCACCAGGAAACACGAGTGCGAAGTGTAGAATGGCATGGGGCGTCTCAACATGATGCACCGTTTGGGCTTTCCCTGGCACCCCCCTTCTCCCTACAGGACCAGGATACCGCATTAGCCGGGGTTGGCGGCCTTCCGGGGCTCGGTGTGGGAGCAGATGACATCGATCAGCTGCGTGAGGATGTGGAGGCGGCCCTTAGCGAAGCAGCACTTGCGCAGGAGCGGCAGCAATTGTTGCAGTTGGAGGTGCGAGGAGGACCAATGGACCGGGGCTGACGCATTGGGTTGGACCAACCGTTAAGGTTATTCCATGGTTATCCTCCTTTTCCACAGTTTTCGTCGTGACCCCACAGGGCACAGGCATATGGCACGATACGGCGCCCTACATCCCACATGGCTAGGGCACGTTATGACGCACTTCCTGGGCGTCAGCTGCTTGGAAGGATGCTGAGAAAAGCACATCCGCGCATACCTGCTTCCTCTGGCATCACGCATCAGAACTTGTGTAGCAGGGATAAGGTTGCTCGCGCCACGTGTCCGGGATCGCTAGGGTTGTGGACACCATCGTCGGACAGTCCATGAGGTTGATGTCGGCATGGCCATGCATAAAGGAGTACGGCCTAAGCCAGCACGTAACGCAGCGCATTTCGCATGAGCACCACGGGTAGAGGACTCCACTGGGCGTGCTGTCAAAGTCATGTCGCGGCATGTGGTAGCAGCGCCAGGTTGTCAACAGCAATGGGGAAAAGGACAACGGGCATGCCTGGCAACAGGCCTGTGAGTCATATTGCACACAGGGAGCGCCAGCTATAGATGGAATCCACAGCTCTGAATGGTATTATACCGGTAGCAGCAGCATCGGCAGGACTTTCGCCGTACTGGCGCGGGTGCGGCTGTCTACCTAGCAGTCCGCTGTCCTATACCCTTGCCACTCCTTTATGGGCCTCCTGGAACCACCGCTGGCAACCTCTTGAAGCAGACGCGTAATGCAGTTACCTGTTGTAGCTTGTGGAGCATTTGGTTTGTGGAGATGTCCTCATGTTTGCGTCCGGTGTCCGAACAGGTCACCGACTTGCAGCGGCAGCGCAACGAACTGGGCGCTCGTATGGAGGAGCTGGCGGCGGAGCATGCGGCAGCGTTGCAGCCCCTGATTAACCAGGCTCGCGGCGAAGCAGCGGCACTGACGGATGAACTGGACGAGGAGCGGCGGCGGGTGGAGGCTGCCAGGCAGGAGCTGGACGATGCCAGGTGAGGACGGCAGTCCTTGAACATCGCAGGCACCTCATCTGGGAACACGAGGTTGCTAGTCCCTGCGTCCGGAGCTTAGCTGTCAACGAAGCAAAACTCCGCGTCCGTCGTTTACATGATGTGGCATGTAGAAACACCAGCACACCCGGGCAACAGCAAGGTCATGTTCGCTGTACGGCATGCGCTGGGCGGGGAGGCGTGGCGGTGGTGCGGGTAGAAAGCGAACAGTTTAGTGGGAAATACAGTGTTCATATCAGGCCTGTTCTTATTGTTGTTGTTGACCCATAAAGGGTTGCGGCAAATGGATGTGTACTATGAAGCTTTGCAGCCGCGGGTTCCATGTAACCATTCCATACCACGTCATGCCGCACGTTAGATATCAGGGATATTTCACTGAGCTGACAGCACCCGCGACACCGGAGAGGCTCAACCGACCCCACGGATCTTGATTAAGTGAATCCAATGTCCCGGTGGGCGAATGGGAAGCAGCATGAACAGGCGACATTTGCTGCGTAACAGGCACACAGTTGGTCTGGCGCTCCTCAAGGAACGGACTTGCCGTCGCCCTTCAATACTTCATGGACCTATGCGGTGCATCTGTGCTCTGCTGTACGGAAGTGAATATTTCTTATACTTGCGGAGGTCCAACAGTCTCGGCGCTTCGAACACAAGCTTTTGCCGTCGCTTTGGTCACTCCAGTACACTACCCTTCATGGTCATTTGCTGTGTCTCCGATGTCAACGGATTCTTCCATTGCCACCGCCCTTTAGGACTCGGTTGGCCTCCGTGCAAGCCGACATCGCATCCCTTTCCGAGGCGAAGGCGGTGGAGCGGGCCAACCTCGTCAAGATTGACCCGCTGCCTGACAAGGCGCGGCGCCAGGCGGACGCGGTTGGGTCTATACTGAAGAGTGTACAGGTTGGTGGGCATGGAACTATTGCGTCTGAGGCTTTGGGGATTCAAAACGGAATAACATTACCGCACCGAAAGAACAGCAAGATGTACCATAACTTGAGGAACGCATGTGGCCAAGTATGTCAGCCAGGGAATTTCTGGTCTCTCTTCAGAATGGCCTTGAGGGTAGCGGCGGTGAGGCGCTGCGGGGTTTCAGGATTGCCAGAAGTGCAATATGAGGACTCGGGAATGTGCGGCTTGTGGTGTGCCCTCCACCTGATGTGCAACGCTTCTTTGGCCCAGCTCCATGGGTTGCGCTGCTTGCATCCTGGGCTTGTCGAACTGGTGCCCTCGTCTGTCCTGAGGCGTATTGGCAGGGATGACGTCTTCGCTTGAGCTTGAGGTTTAGGAACTTGCTGCGCCTAACACCCGCAGGGTCAGCTGGACAGTATGAACGCACGCCTGGCGGAGCATGAAGCTCAATATCGGACTGCAGCGGCCCGCGAGCGCGAACTGCAGGAAGATCACAGCAAGATGCTCGTCTCGCTGGATCGGGGGAGAGTGCAGGTGAGGAGGAAGCTGGGGATTCAGGAAGGTTCGTGCCACAGGAAGTTGCCGCGGCACGCCAGAAGGGAAGTGTAAGGGCAAGCACCCGGACTGGAAAACCCGGGTAAAGGGGCCGCGGAATTGTCTTGATCCCATCCTGTCGGCTAGGCCAATGACAGCATGTCTCAAATCTGATACCGAGTGCGGAAGCTGGTAGAGACACTAAAACCCTAAAACCCTGGTAGAAACACTTAACTGAGCCTGCATTGTTTCACCGCGATCTATGGGTTTGCTCTGGTTTGCTCTGAGCAGGTTGAGGCCAAGGCGCGGCATGCGGATGACATCCGAAAGGACGTGGAGCTTGCGTCCATAGAGGCAGACAAGATTCTTACGGACCAGGTGGAGCTGGATCTGCGGATAAAGGTGGGTTGGGCGTTTGGTGAAAAGCTGAGAACGGTATCTGCATGCAATTGCGTGTTGTTCTCACAGTCCAATGAAGTCCATTTCTTTCCGTAGAACTGGTACGTGCAGCGGAAAGATCTGACAGGATTCATGTTTGCCCGACGAACCGTGTCAACCGGTTGGTCAGGCAAAGGAATCCAAAAGTGCATACAAGTGTGACCTGCTTCCCACCATTCCATGCGCCGCTTGAAGTCCATTCCTTGGGAAAGTGGAAGCGCCGTTTCTTTGGTGTTTGCGCCTAGTGCATGTCGCACTGGTATGTGAGGGCTTCTTATTGGCGAATCACCTTCCAATATGTGCGACTCCTTGTCCTTCGGCACGACCGGTCACCCCTGCCCTACGTGCAGAACTTGGTGGTTGAGCTGAAGGCTGAAAGCGACCATCTGAACCGGCGGCAGCGCGAAAAGGAGCTGATGCTGCGGCAGTATCGCCTCACGGAGCAGCAGCTCAAGGACGCGCGTGACATGCTGCCCAACCTGAAGTTCCAGGTAAGGAGCTGAGGATCCTGTCCAGGGCTGCCGGTTCGCAGTTTGGTACGGGGCTAGAGCGGAACGCTTGACTGGGCTGTGGGCATGGGATACGGAACCATGCGAACCGTGGATGCGAAGACCGAAGATAAGCTTGGTGGCATCATCGACAGCCTGCACCGTCCGCACGGCTCGTCTGACCCTGTCGGGCTTCGCAGTACCTCACAGGCCATATGCCGTCCTGTGCAAAAGTCTGTCGCTGTGTGCCCGGGCTGGAGGTGTATGCGCATGTCGCATATAAGCCCCTCGCAGCCGGCCCTCTTCCTCAACGCTTCCTAAACAACCAGAAGACCTTCTGCTCAGCACCGGCGCTAATTTGATGCCACCGTTCTGCCTTGGTACAGGTGGAACAGCTGCATCGTGATGTGAATACGCTGGAGGCCCGCCGTAAGTCTCAGTCCCGGGAGTTGCAGGAGATAAAACGAGAACTGGACATCCAAATGGCCGCGTTCTTGCACGAGGAGGCGGACGGCAAGGGCAAGGTGGCACTGTTCCAGCTGACGTTCAAGGAGGTAGGCGAGGGAGGGGGTTACTGGGGTGCGGAGCCATGTGAGGGAGAACATCACGCGTATGTAAGCGGGTGGCTGCATCACAGAGGCTTTCCGTTCGCTGCGCGTTGTTTTACAATCAGTTTGCATTGCGTGCATGGAAGGGTTGCATCAGGCCCGTACATGCCCGATTCGAGTTGGCGCCTCAAGGGCTGCACCAGCAAAGAGGCACTTATGCAGGATCGCATAACGCAAAAATTGAAAGGGGAAGAAAACCTCAGGAAAGAAAGGAAAAAGGCCACACGTTGGCGGGAAATCTCCTTCCCTCCGTCCCTCCTTCATGCTGTTGCTGATCCGACTGAAACCTGCGTTGTCACGTATCGTTCAACGGACACTGTTAACGCGCATGCCTTTCATCCTTGATTTGTGGAGCATAATACGGCATGAGAAAAATCGTTTCTCACTGGGAACGTGTTGCCTTCAAGTACGCGCCCTGTTCGCCGCTAGAGCACAGCGACAGAGCCTTCAACCGCATATCTTTCCTGTCTGCCACCCATGCTATACCACTTATCTACTGGCATGTGACAGCGCCTGGATGGGATCGTCGCCTCCAAACGGGAGGCCCATCCAATGCTTATATTTCGCCATCTCAGCACCGGGGGCTGGTTCCTGTCTCCTGAAAAAAGGGAAAAAAACTCCGTAGAAAAAACCCTTCGTAAGGGTGCTTAAGGCGCTCGTGATCCCCCCTGCTTACCGACGCTCCTACACTGTTGCCGTGATTGCGGCGCGGAGGGCTGTCTAATCCGTAGCCAGTCGCCGCGTGCCGCATGCGTGATAGCTCCCTGTGGAATTCTGTGCCACATGTCAAAGTCGAAATGATATAGACAGCGCAACACCTTGACACCCATACCTCCCCATCGGGGTTAGTGGGAGCAGTTGGCGAGGGCATGCAACAGTCGGTTTAGGAAGTTGCTTGCAAAGTTGAGACCACGGGCTGGCATGTTCTTGGTCCTTAGCAAAATGAGAAGTCGATAACAGCGTCAATGGATGACGGCAGGACCCTCCCTGTCTAAGCGTTGCAAAAGTGGGCCCCCGGCTGGGGGCATATCTGCAGGATAGCTGCTGCCTGTTTTCCATGATCAGGTCCTGCTGCGCCGCTTGCCCGTGAACCCTCCTCACGTCCGGGCCAGTTGGCTGACCTTTCCTCCGGTCCTCATTCCCCGCCCTCAGGTGGCGCTGTTGGAGTCGGAGCTGGCGGCCCTGAAGCGGGAAGAGGCCGAACGGGAGATGATCCTGCGGGATCTGGGCAGCCAAAGGGACAGGTGCGCATGGGCAACGGATGGAGGGGGTCAGCCGAGGGATGCAGTGTTTTGGGACGCAGGGAAGTCCGGCAGGTTTGGGATGCAGATGGGAGCACATGATGGGGAAGAAAGTGGGAGTTCGCCTCGCACCCAGCTTTTCCATCTGAATCTTTATTCTTGCAGGGAAATGCTTAGCCCAATCCTTTTTCCGTTTTTCCAGGATTGCGCTGTCTATTGCTCAGCGGCTCAGAAAGGTGAAGGACGTGCAGATGACGAGTCGCATCAAGGAGGTTGAACTGGCAGAGCTGAAGAAGATCCGGAAAGAGGTCAGGCGGGCGGGTGGGCGTCTGGTTGCGCAGGGCGGTTGTGGTGGCAGCCGGAAGGGTGGCCTATACGTGCCACCGTCATTCCTCGCTTTGCGAGGAAGACTCGGGCGGAGTCATGTGTTAAGCCGTGACACGGTGCTGTGCGCAATCTGCGGTCACCCCTCCCGGGCTCGCCAGCCAGCGCTCCTGTATGTCAGTCTGTATGTACCCTTCTCCGTGGGGACACTAATCACTCATCTCTCGTCTCGTTCCCTTTCCTGGATCATCCTCAGGTCGGGCGCCGGATTAGGGACTTCGAGAAGTTGTACGACCTTGTCAAGAACCAGCGCAACAAGTTTGTCAACCTCATACAGGTACGGGTTGCGTCCGACGGTTCTACGGCTGTGCTGTGTATAAGGTGGCTCGCTGCCATGGAGTGAACCTTTGTGACTGACTGAGTGAACGCCGCGGCACTTGTGCGTGTCTCCAAAACGTCGTTCCCAGCAAAGGAATTAGTTATGAACACGTGCGACCAAGCATGTGCCAGTGTTGACACTCCTGTCGACGGGGAACGCAGGCCGCCAGCCAAAGCACCACCGAGATGAAGGACAAGCTGAAGGTGCTGCAGAATGAGCTGGACATTTTGCAAAACGAAGTGGGCATCAAGGACAAGCTGCTCCAGCAGCAGCACACACAGCACCAGGCTAACATTGCGGAGCGAGACCAGCTGCGGGTAGAGCTAGGCAGGTGAGCAGGAGGCTGGTGGAGCAAGTCCTGGTGTGAAAGAGTGGAGGCATGTTACTGTTATATCCGACATGCGACTGAGCGATAAAAAGGTTTCCTACGGTGTGCCGATGCGCGCGCGTTGACCGGGATCTGGATGCGTGGTTCGTATGTGGGCGACGTAAAGCATGGGTACAAAGCGAGTCAATGAGGGAAAACAAGGGAAAACTGTGAATGATTGCATGGCCTGGTCGCTTAGCCGTGGGATTGGAAATATATTTCTTTCCTGCTTTGGCATAATGGGCTCTGCTCGAGCCCATTAGGGCGTGGGCCGCCAGGGGCTCGGTATGGCGCGTCCGCCCGTGGAAATTTACCGCTAGCAGCCTTGCATATCGCTTGGCAACGAGGACTATTTGAAATAGTAATGAAATAGAAGCTGTCAGCATCTGTGTAACCCTGTGGCAAATGCACTCTTGGAACAGGTTAGGGATGGTTTTCCGGGACAAGCAGACCGTGGTGGACGAGCAGATCAGTGAGGTCGACAAACTGAATGCCATTATCAACGGCTGCGAGAAGGAGATGCTGCGTCTGAAGAAGCAGTACGAGCTCGTCATTGAGGCGCGGAACTACACGGGTAGGTGTGGATTGAAAGGGGGTGTGTGTGTGTGCGCGCACGATCGCTAAAACGGGTCCACGCTTGCCTGCGCTTTCGCGTTCGCAAGCTTGTAATAATCGGGCAACAATTCCATAATGGCTACCTATCCCGTCCATCGCCGTGGCTGTAGCCGGGAAGCTGGACTGATGCCTTAAGATGTTTTGTACGCCTTAGTCGTGTGGATGTGGCGGTAGATGTACGCCTCCTTGCCTCTCGATCTCTTTAACTTCGTTCACCGCTGCGGAATCTTTGGTGGGTGTGACACCGCGCTGGGAGGTCGTGTGGCCGTTGATCTCTGCTGCTGATCTGGCGTAGTATTCCTACTTGTCGGCTTCCGTTGGTGGCCCGAGGGCTCTTTGGATCGCAGTCCCGCCTGCGTTGCGTCCTCACCCCGGGATGCATCCTGCCATAGCTCAACTGACCCCACAGCTGTAGATCGCCCGAACTCGTCAGCTCAGAGCCTTCATCCCGCCCTATTCACCGTTTGGCCCATGCATGCATGTGTGTGTGTGCATGCGCGTGCATGCCGCGATGCTGCTGTGACTGAGATGTTCATTCCTGCGCGCCCTTGGTCGCTCTGTGGATATGGTTTCAGGCATCATGCTCATTGACCGAAACGACGAGTTGTGCGTGCTTTACGAGAAGGCCAACATCCAGGAGGAGGTCATCCGGGGCGGCCAGCTGGAGCTAAGGCGCCGCGATGACGAAGCCAGGTTTGTACTGCAGCTTGAGCACCGCCGCTGCCACACCGTGGATCCGCTCTCCCCATCAGAACCCACCGTAATCGCAAACCCCACCTCAATCGCTTGACCCTGTTAACTGTAATTCGCGACGGAGCGTTGCCGGTGTTGTCGTTTGTTTCAACAGCCAGTTTTCACAAGTCCTTGCACACTCGTCTGTCGAGAATGCAAACGCATGTGAAGACTTTTTAAAGGGTAGTCGTCTTGCATGCCCTAGGATAGGTACACTCCTGCCCTCCCAGCGGGAGGCACTCCCACTGCCATACGAACTACGCTGTGCGCTGCGTCCCGCCGACACCCGGTGTCCCGTGGCAATCTGAAACTCCGCGTTTTGCGTTCCTGGTTTGCTCCTCCCTCAGGTTGTTGCGCCTGGAGGTTGCGGAGCTGGAGCGATCTATCGCTGTGATGCGGCGGCTGGTGCCTAGCGTGCCGTTGCTGGACACGGACGTGGCAGCCCTGCAGAAGGAGCTGTTTGAGGCGCGGCGTGAGGCGGAGGCGCTCAGCTTGGCCCTTGAGAACCCCTCCAACCAAAGTCGATGGCGGATGTTGGAGGGCAAGATACCGGATAGGGAGGAGCTTAGCGCTAAAATCCAGGTTGGTGGGATGCAGTGGGCCTGAGAAGGAGCGAGGGGGATTGCGCGAGGGAAAGAGCTGCGGGCGGCACCGGCTGAGAGCGTGCCGCAGGTCCATGGGGGTGAAGATCCGAACGAGGGGCATGTAATAAGTAAACGTAAAGCTTGGACATCAGCGTAGGGCGGGAGGAAGTGCACGCGGGAACAGCTTTGATAAGTTGACGTGTAGCCGCTGGCTTGGGTTTGGAGCCGTTGGGCGATAGAAGGTTAAAAGTCGTGACCCTTTCCAGCAATGCGCATTCATTCCGTGCTGAAGGGATAGCACGACTCAACGTGTGTGCTTCTGCAGTACCAGCTCGATCAAGGAAACAGCCCAATGGCCGCCGTTGTTATGTGCATAGGCACGCTGCAATCCATATGCATTCTTCCCGTCTGTGTGTGTGCGGTGCCTGCCGCCTTCTGCGTTGCACTTGCAGCGTGTGGGGTACACGCGCCTCGTTGCTGCCTTCCAACAGCGCTGGGAATACCGCACTGCGGGTTACTCGTCTAGCTTGCCCGCAGACGTCCTGCTTACCTGCCTGTCTATTTCGGACAGCCTCCATTGGGCCCTCTCAGGGCTCGTATGGGTTCATTTCACCTTTGGTGGGTAACCCAACTCAAGGTGTAGCACATACACACACACACACTTGCACCTGCCTGCAGTGCAACGCACCTGTAGTGCCAACAAACGGGCTATTTCTTGTGCCGCGTGTCCCGCTTCTTAGGCATTGGAAGAGCGGCTGAATGATAAGAAGGAGCAGCTGCTGGAGAAGGAGCTTATCCTGGAGGAGATCACCAGCCTCTCTGACAAGCTCCGGGTTCAGGTACGTCCGCTCCTAGCGCAATCCTCCCATAACGCAAGCGCTGCTGTTTGCGGCCCTCGGCAGCTTGCCAGGTTAGCTGTCACTGGTTCGGTCCCAACCGCGAAACTTTTTCCGTAAAAAACGAAAAGACAGTACAGCAACCCTTGATGGTTGTCCGGTTTGTACCGCATAGAAAGCAACTCTATGAAACAGGGGAGTTAACACGGGTCGTGCCCGCAAGACTGTCCTGTATGTCTGTGCCCAGCGACCGGGTTAGGTGACACGGTTAAGTGCTGTCCTGTTGAATTTGGCTCTGGGACGCGCCCGACTCACACCAGCGGAATTTGTCAACTATCACAACGGAAAGGTTCCTTCGTCGTTGTCTGTTTACCCAAGAAGATGCACGCAAGCCAGCCAGTAACCACCCTGACTCTGTTTCCCTCTTGAAGGCGGCCGAGGGCAGAGCAGACACATTGGAACTGGCCAAGCGGGTGAATGAGTACCAATCCAAGCTGCGTGCTGTCACCCGGAAGATCATGGCGACGGTTTCGGAGCTGTCCATGTACCAGGTGGGTTTGATTGCGGCTAAAATTTGCGTGATAACCGCCTTAATGACTCGTTATACTTGTAATGGCTTTGAGAGTGCTTATGGCACACGTTCAAGCTGTGCACCGCGGGCATGCCCTCTCTTAAGCTTATTGGCAAGGCCTGAACAACCTGAAAGGCTGAGAGCTAGGCCGCGGTGACGCCTTCCACATGGAATGCCCTCCCGGGCCCCATGCATACCCAACTGACCGCCGGCGATAACGCCATTGGGCATCCCCTTCGCAGGCAAGCGCTCTTAAACTGGGTGCGGAGAAGGAGGAGCTGGAATCAGCGGTGTCGTTGGCGGCCCAACGTCTGGAGGCGGGAGAGCCTCCCACAGACGACACCGAGCGCGAGTGGGCCAGGTGGGGGATTGGTGAGGTACCCTGGCAGGGTGCTCACGCACGTAGCACAGTGCGGACAGCGCCGTTGATTAATATGGCAAGGATGTTGCTGTATGAATGAGTTGCCTTCTCCACCGAGGCAAGTTGCTGTAGGGCTGTAGGCAAACGCTGCTGCTGTAGTGCGGAGCTATGAGCCACACCGCATGGAAAGGATGCCACAATTCGGGCAAGCCCACATACATGCTTCTGAGAACATCGTCGCCAGTATGTCGTATTTACAGGGCGGCTCCTTAGGTTTCGCGTCGGTGTCGCGTGTCCTCCTACGCCTTTGCTTTGGTGCTATCTATCCATGGCAATCCTTACTCCCCAGGATTGAGAGGGAGCGGCAGACGCTGGAGATCCTGGCGGACGAGCGTAAGGCGATCGCCGACGCTCTGGATGGCCACACCAGTCAAGTGCAGTCGACAGCTGGTGGGTACATAGGTATACCCTCGTTGAGGTCTAGGCAGTGTATCAGGAAGGACTTGGTCGCGGAAGGGATAGCGGGAGGGGTAAGAGGACCGGAGGGCAACACGCCTGGTGCAAAGCAAACGGCTTTGGGAGGTGTAGCCGCCTTCCATCGCCGCTGCACTTTCAGCTCTGCCCTTTCTGGTGCCAATACCATATTCTGGTGTAGCAAGGGCTAAGAAGTACTGATTGTGGAATTCGTATCTGCCTTGACATTGGAAACGTTTGCTAGCTGCGCCAGCTGTATAATCATGCGCTGTCTTCGTCGACATAACCTACGCTCACTCCCATAACCCTGAACCGCCGGTTGAAAATATGCAGACCCACGGCCCAACGCGTACATTCCCGAGAACTTGGGTATCCCGAAGCCTTACGGATCTTTCGCACCGTTCAAGCCGCAGGTAGGCAGGGCGAGAAGAATGCGGAATGTGGTCACCCTGTGTGTGGGATTGCGTGGTATCGTCGAGTTGTGAATTATGGGGTTGATGAGTCGCAAGCCGCGAGTTGTGCAATTGGCTGCTCGTGCGTTTTCAGCACCCGAAACGTCGGTGATAACCGGCAACTTAAACAATTCGAGTTGGGTCATCATCCCTGCACAGGCAGTCATTGGGATTGTGGTATGACATATATATCCGTAATAGGTTCAGAGGGTATGTAGGTGTATGTCCCCCTGATACGTGTCGCAATTCGAATCTTATGCTTTGCCGCACTTGAAGTTCCCCCACTCGCGCTACCCCCTTGCAACTGCCTTTCCCGTACAGGAGCCTGGATCCACAATGCGCCATATTCGGAAGCCTGTGCCGAAAGAGATTGTTATATAAGGGGCAAGGACGGAGGATGGTTTGCCGGCTAGGGTCTGGCGGCTTAAGGCCATATCCAACTGCGTTAGGGGACATCGCCTATGTCAAAGCAGTCACCTACATGGAGCGGTGTGTAATGCCAGATGGTTTGCACGGCAACCAACCTACGCGCATTCTTTGGCATCGTGGTATCCCGCTGCACCAAGAGCCACAGTGCCAGTCTTGCGGGGTGATGCCGTAGAAGCCTTTGAGGCGGGGGCTGCATGAGAGAAGGGGATTTAGGTAGAAGGGTTTTAGAGGGGACCATCTTGGATCATCTTGGACGGCGTGTAGGGGCCTGAATCTCCAGGACTTTGCGTGTGTGGGCGAATGCAGTGTGCGCAACAGACTTTACCATGGCCATATCCACGGCGACGTGGAGCATTGGTATTAGCAGTACAGGTTATGCAGCACCAGTTTTGGCAGTAGCAGTATCATCGCTGGGACCCAACTTGCAGACGCGTAAAACTGTATCACCCATTTTTACCCATAGGTTGTGTTGCGCTGATGGACACGCTCCTGATTTGCCTGTTCGTGGTATCTTTCGCCTTATCACCTCGGATGGAAGGCGCTTGAGACAGAAAGATCTGATAGTTTCCGGGCCGTAGGCGTCTGAGGCGCCTCGTGTCAGACAAGCTGCGGGGCAATGCGGCACGGCCGTTCAGAATCCTGCACTAGAGCGGGGCAATTTGTAATTGGCAGCCGTCTGGTACAAGGGAGCGTGCCCTAGCTGGGCACTGCGTTTGCGCTCGTTTTCATTCGCTGGTGTTGAGGTCCCGGGGTAATTCCCGTCGGGTTATGCTTTGAGATGCCACGTCTCCTTACGTACTGGAAACCGAAAAGCTCCCATATGATTGAGAGGAACCTTTATCAGCCCGCAAAGGAGGTCAACGTCCTGGCCCGGCCTCAACGGAATCCGCAGAATGTTTTCCTCGGTGAGTTGTCCCGTGTGCGACGTGCGTGATTGCGGAGGCAAAGCTACCAGCTGCCGAAGTTCTGCATCCCAGGGCCATTATTTGTGTACTAAAGGGCCAGTAAAGGTTGCCCGGGGACACTGGTCCCCGGACAAGTTGCCCTGCCCTCGCTTGTTGTCGTGGCGACACCGAAACTAATAAGTAATAAGCGAAAGCCTGTTGGATTGCGTATCATATTTCATCGGATAGGGACGGATTGCTAATAAGCTAATCTTTCCTGGTTTCTACTCACCAGCTCGAGCTACGGCAAGCCAACCATACCAACGAACAAGCGGGAGCGGGTAGGATATCAGCTAGTAAAAGCTGACATAAGTCCCCTGGCCCTGAAGGATGTTCGTTCCATGGGCGTAATGATTAGGGCGCCTCTGGCACCGTAACAGCGTGACTAACCCGGAGGCTCATGAACCGCTTTGACAGCGCCGTCGATAGGGAACAAAAGAGATAAAGTAAACAGAACAGTTTTACGCAAGAAGAAAACGAATGTTCATGAGAAAGAAAAGCGTCAACTTAACTCTAAAACACAATTGCCTGTTGTCGCAGAGAAAGTTAAGTAGCTAGGTGCCCATGCCATGAGCGAAACATGTCCAAAATTGCCTTTGCAAGACCGCGCTGATCGTCCACTTGCATGATATCACGGATATCCGCATTGACGGGCACATCGAGGTCCCAGAGCTTCTGTCGCGCAGACACAATCGCCGGGCATTCTACCAAGAAATGTTTCTCATTCTAAATAGCTCCATTGCTACGACACGCGGCGCACACGCGATGCTCCCTAGCCCTGTTGCTCTCACTGTTGACCGCCAGTTAAGGCCTGGGATTAGCGCGGGGATTAAGGCCGTACAAAGGGCGATGCACATTTTTTGATGCGATCTCGAAGCTAATATCACCAGTTCTGTATTGCTTTGGGCATTAGGCATCGTATGAGTATAAGATATGGGCAGGAAGCGCACTCTTCTCGCCGTTGTGGCCACCGTTGAGGCCTGACATTGAAGTAGCACCTTTCGCGCAAACCAAATCAGATATTGCTTACTTGAGGTCATCCATATGGAATTACCTAGAAATTAAAGTAAGATATAACGCCATGAACGCTAATCCAGATACGGAAAGTTACTACCTGGGTGGGGCCAGGTAGTAACTTTTTTGTGACAAGTTGCCAGGTAAATACATGGACATCAAGTTCAATTTATGTTCTTTCCTAATCTCTTGCTAACTCCTGCTAGTCCTCTGGATAGAGAACACGGTGTCCTGAGGAATTCCTTTATCCCCCGGCGAATCCTGCTTAATCCCGGTGGGATTTCCACTGCTGGGATTAGCACAGGGATTAACGCTAATCCCTGGCCTTAATCCATATTGGAAATACACCCTCGGGGCCGGCCCGAAGCCCTTTGTTCCCAAAAGGGTGGAAAGGCCAGAAATAGAGGGATAGCCTGAGCCATCTTTTACAACCAGTATTCTTAATGTCCTGGCTAGGGCCTTTCAACAGTGTGTGCGCACGCCCCCACCTAACCTCACACCGGATTCACCAAGGCTTGCCTTAATTTGGGCTGCGGTAAAACAATTTCACTCGTGATGAATACTTTACTTCATCTTAAATACTCCTGTGGATCTAGCTCCTGCCATTCAAGGCTCGCGTGCATTTCGGAAACTATACGGTATCAGACCAGCGAGCGATAATCCTGAGAGATAGCAGTATATTAACGAAGCGTTGCGGAATGCCCAGCTTCAACGCTTTCGTGGCAACGCTCTTCCTAACGGAAACCTGTACTTCACGCTACGTGCCTGCCTACCTCAAGCCATATATATAGGAGGATGCAATTTTCGAGCAACAAATGCAAGCAAAACTGGATCCGAGTGGTTACGACCGACCGTTCAGGGTTAGCTGCCTACCCAAGGAGTGTTCTCCATTTGTACATGCAACACCATTCTTATGCGCAGACCCTCATGCACGAGCGAAAATATACTTGCACCATAGGTGCTCATGTCATGCATCCTTGGCGTTGGTGAAAGACCAACGCTGGATCACTTTAGGATAGCACCACGTACCATCTCATACGTTACAGTAAACGATAACGCGAAAGGTGCTAGGGAGGACAAACCTCCAAGAGCCATGCAATATTTGTCTTGTCGGTTTTCTCCTTTTTTTGTGTTGGGTGTCGTTGAATCTGTCCCTCCATTTCATGACTTTACAGCGCAAGTCGCAGCCGCCACGTCTTGATTTAGGCGCATAAAGGTCCTTCTGCGCCAGATCTGGTGGTGTGCCACTGCTGCGAGTCAGCACCAGTCTCAGGAGAGCGTGAGCCTGCGTTCGTTCATGGTTCTCAATGGAGTCGTGTGACGTATCCATTGTAACACCAAAAATTCATTTAAAATTAGACTTGTTGTCGACGTCTGCTTAGGTCATGAATATGAGCCTGCTTGCGTCTTGATGGTCGTACGACTCGGTTCCGTTTACGTCGATCAATGCGTCTATTAGCAAGAGTACACTACGCACCGACAGTCCGCTTCTGCCCAAAACGAAAGGCATCCTCAAACAGCGAATTGATGCAAGGAGGTATGTACGTCAAAATGTCCCAGAACAAAAAATCAAGAGGTCATGTCTATGACGTCAACAGTCGGACAGGCTGCGAGTGTGTCGCAACTCCGCAAACACTTGCAATTATGCTTTTTCAGCGAGCTGATGCAGTGTTGGACGAAAAGAGTTTGTCCCAGCTGGCACCACAGCCCTTGAAAGCCAAATAACTGTGCCATCAAAGATCATGTGGGACAGCGTACAGCACATTTTTACCACAGCCCCCTTGCACTTCGCACCCATTTAAAGCTTGCGGGGCAGCGCACCATTGCAGCTCCTTCAAGGGAGCTTAGGCAGGCCCTACCCATCATCCACCACCTGCGCGCTCCGGACACGAAGCCTAATAGTTGATTACCAGTATCTGCCATTCATTGTGAGCAGGCAGACATCCAAGACCAATTACCTTTGCCAGTCAAGGGACGGTTTATCATAAGGCGCTCTCTGTCTTTGCAATGTGCGCAGCAACTGCGGCGCTATTCTTTGCTATACGCGTACAGAAGGATCACCTAACTAATACAGCAGTCACGCTTCCGCTATGCCTATACGCATGCACACTTGCAAACCGGTACGAGCAAACAATAAAAGATCTCTTTATTATGCTTGCAAAACCAATGTGACCAGCTATCGGTCCCTACATTAAGCAGTGAAACCCTTACAGCATGCTTTGCTTGCAGAAGCTGATGCCACGTCCGCGCCTTGCTTGCACGATGGGATACCTACTGGCTGCGCCTAGCTATCTTCGCAGCAACTTGCGCTGAAAAAACCCATTCCAGTCCATGACCGTATCCCAGCAGGCACATGGCCCCCTCACCTCGCCAGGCATATGCGGCCCGTCATCCTACCAGATATTCATCACTCGCTTGTTCACGCTCACGTACACAGCAGCCCTTGCGCATACACCTCCATGTCACGCCAAATCACGTACTTGCTTGGAAAAGGTATGTCACGGATGGGGACAAGTGTCAGCCGCCTGCGACCGATGTGTGATGTGCGCTCCAGGGCTCTGCTGCTGTTCCTTTTGCTGTAAGCAGCTTTGGTGTCGCCGCTGCCAGCTCGCATGGCTTGCTGCTCGCGCCTGCTGCTGAATCCCTAACTGGCTCGCTGTTGCTGGTGTCCTCTTGCTATGAGATCGGGCAGTGACGTGATAACGTGCGTCACGCACTTTCCGCCCTGCCCCCGCATACCCGTACACCTCCGCCCTCCCATGCATGTCCCGCCGAGTCTCTTGATTCCTGTACATGATGACCTCGTGAGCCGGCCTCACCTGCCATCAAAGCCCTCCTGGTTGGCTTGCTACAGGGGCCCTGCTGCAGAGGACACGCGCACGGGCCCCTGGCGTTCCATAGGCTCCTCGGGCGAACATACTCGTCCGTTCAGCGCCAGACAATTTCCTCCTGGCATCTCACCATGTCTCGATGGCACTTGCGCAGCTTGTCGCTAGCCATCCAGAGAGCCAGCTTGCTGAAGCCAGATCGGCTGGTCAGCATGCAGCGCGCGTGGGACATGATGTACAAATCGACGAAGATGCCGTTGAAAATTTCCGAAGAACTCTCCTGATGGTCGATATGGTGTGCTGTAATGTTCAGGGTCACAACCTTCTTTAGATGACCCTCCAGCACGAATTCCCGGAAGACTGCGCAGCAGAGTGAAAGAATGGGGCGATGTGGGGCAAACCAGGGCGTGGAACGTGGTGTTATAAACACATTCCATGCCGTCGCTTGGCATGGGGTGGGGTTTGCATGGATATCCGCCAGATATACCGATAAACGTTCCGTTCCAAGCCAGTAAACGCATGCTATATCAGGATATGGTTCCTTTGCCTCTGCGGAAAAGCTAGTTTCCGCAGAGGCAAACTAGCTTTCCGCAAAGGAAAAAGGATCATATCCTGATATAGCGTGCGTTTTATGAGCCCGCCTTCGTGCTACGTGCTAGAAAGGGGGTATCTTCGAAGAGATGCCCCACGTCGCTAAGAAGTGGGATCGCCGCAAAGACAAATTGAGGCGTGCGTTGCATATGTGGCCCCAAGTTTTAAAGATTTATCCCTCCAACACCCAGTACTACTGAACGGTCAAAGTGGGCATGCCGGGGCCCGCGACCGCAAAATCCCGCCTCAAGTTAGGCAGTTTCGTCGTCCTAAATCCCTATATCAACCGGGCTGGATGGAATGTCATGGCAACTCACTGTTGAAATCCGTAACCAGCAGCAAGCGCCGCTGCTCGAGGTCCACCCCCACTTCGCTAGCCAGCTTCTGTGCACAGTCCATTGTAGCCCGCAAATGCGATATCATCACCGGCTTCTCGTCGGGCCAGTCCGCGTCGAAATGCCGCCTGGCGCAAGGGGAGGTGGGACATGTGGTGCGATCAGGACCCCAAACTTGCTACAATTTCTGACCCGGCAATGCATGCAAGCAATAAAACGCGAGACACGGGCCCCATCACAGGCTGGACAAAGATGCGACTGATGACTAAGGATGAGCATTGTACATCTGAATTGGTGGTTGTGGTGAAGGCACCTGTAGACACAGGAACAGAAACGTCCCCCCAGTCCTCTACCTAGCCTCCCAACACAGGCCCCCAGGGCCCCGCCCGCGATCTTTGCGAAGGCAACGAGATATCAACAGTTAATGGCCAGCGGGAACCGGAATTGTGTGTTTAAATGGTACACCAGTATGGGATCCATGAACGGCGGCGCCGTAGGCACGGCCCCCTCACTCACCAATGCCATGCAAGGTAATCAACGGGAGACGGACCATACAACTGCCGCAAGCTCAGCTCTCCGCGTTCCACAATGGTAGAATTCAGCTTGAATAGAAAATTGTAGTAACAAGAACCAATATCCAACTTCTGAATGTAGTCCACAGGCGTTACACCAGCCTGCTTAGCCACGGGGCCGATCAGCGGGGTACGGTGAGGGGCGTGGTTGAGTGAGCCGAATGTCAGCTACGTACAATACAAGCAAAGACAATGGCACTTGCTTAATGCCACGTTGGAAGGAACCACCGATGTATTGGGGACACATGCGGCTCCGAAGGACAACATAACTCAGTTCGCAAGGCCACGTCTGACCAGGCTGTGACGCTTTCGCTTTTCATCGTAAACTGAAGTCACAAGAAGCGACGGATGTATACAGTGCCCCCTATGAAAACCCGCACGATCTCGCTCTACTTTACCATTGTGTTGATGTAGAAGTGCTGGTTCGTTGTGACGACATGCATCTGCGGACCAGAGGGAAATGGAGGTGCGTCACGCAACCCATCAAGCGCTGACCAAATCACGCGTGAAAGCCTGCTTTTTCTTCAGAGGCTTGCACACTTTGAACGGTTCCTGTGGAATGGCTCCGGGTGGCAGCTTGGGCTCGTCCCCTTCGTCTATCCTTTCCGCCATGACCCTTTTTCTGTCTAACCTCACACCTAACCAACCCTGAGCGTGCCACACCGATAGGGGCCCCATGCGCACACTGATAGCGTAGTACACACGCGTCCTGCAGCTGCTCCTCCAAAGTGAAAACTACGAAAGTCACGCAGTGCTAACTGTAAAGTGCAGAGATCCCCAAAGGTGTACATGAAGATACAGTAATGAGCCGTGCCTCCACCGCATAGGATTATGCTACCTGCCTTGGTGGCGTGGAATTTTTCAACAGCGTCGGGCCTCCCCTCGTAAACAGCAGCCCCGAAATCTGCTTCACCTGCTGGGTTGAAAAGGACACTTATTACCAGCCGAAACCCCTGGGTAGCAGACGCCAATCGCATTCAATCCCTCGCGGCTGGGGATGAAATGCCAAGAACACTGCGCGCAAGCTTAAGGGCGCGGTACACATACAGGGTACGATACAGGGCGCGGTGCACTACGGCAACGTAGCTGCTGGGTCGATATCCCCATTACACCCAAGGGCCCCTGGAACACCTATTGAACCAACTAACCACCATCACAGTTAACAAGTTCATGCACTAAGTGCCCGTTTTTCCACCCACTCAGAGTATTGTGTCCGACGAAGTAACCCGGTTCAAAGCCCGATAAGGTCCAGTCAATGTCGTTGGGAAGCAGGAAGTTTGTTAGGGGGGCAGGATGTGTCCAGTCGACCAATAAGATCTTCTTGTGCGCGATGGCCAAACGAAGAAGGAACATGGTACCCCGGATTCGATCACCTACGTGGGCACAAAGCGCGAGTAAACGCTCGGATATTGCGACTTGTGAAATAGGTTAAAATAGTAATTAACTGGTTGCAACTACCCTTCCAAACAACCGGCTGTGCGCGCGCGACTTGTGTGGAAAACTGTGACCGCACCTGTGCCCTGGCAACCATGTCCCCAGCAGGTTTGCACAAGGTACTGAGCATCCGGATGGTGTTTATTCGCATTATGAAAAGCCTTATAGTCCAAAAGGAGTGCCCGGTGTGGTTCGAGGCAGTCCTCAGGCTGGGCCAAGGCAACACAGCTGAACAAGAAGAAAACTAACACACACTGAATTGCAAGGGAAAATAATTGCATTTCCGTTTTTAGGGTAAGCAATCGGTAAGCAGATTAGTAAAGTCCAGGCGGTCACGAAGCAAAGGAGCCCTTACATGAAAATTACAAGTAATACGTGTGGCTACATCAGTGTGATCTGAAGTGTGCTAACATAACCGTGATCTGGGTACACTCAAAGTTACTGTAGCGACTCTGACCAACGTACAGGTCAACCAGCTGGTACTGCAGTGCTCGGGCCGAAACCTGTACTGCGGCTGCGAAACAGTTTCCGATTTTTAACCTTCCTGCAAAACCTCGCGAAACCTCCGGTAACTGTCGGAAACCTCGAAATGCTGCAATTTGTTATGTCTACCTCGTAAATGGGCCTTACGCGCCGAGGCGATACCCTCAGACAGCTCTCAGGTCTCGTCATCATCCGACTGTCACCTACCCAAAGGTCACATCGGCCTAGAAATGTATCCTTTGTGACCTATATGTCTTCTGTTTGCAAGGGTTGCAACTTGTATTCATGGGAGAGGGCTACAGAGGTATAGGGAAGTGTCACGGCATCTGAGGGTTTGCTGATTGGACTGTTCTGAGACAAGTGATCCCGGGGGTATTGGCAGAGGTTGCCCTGATCATCTTACATGAAGCCCCTTGGCTCAAAGAAAAAAACCAAGTCATGGGGTAAGCTATGTCCTCCGTAGCACTCACTCTCAGGCCGCAGCCAACCCCGTTGCCTGACAGGTTCGATGTTGGCGCGCACGTCTGTGAGACGCCCTTGCTTCAGGACTTGCAGGTAGTAAGTACTTCCAGCAGATGCTCAATGTTTTTTACTTGGTATTGTAGTCTGAATTGAACCAAAATGGTGTGGTCCTGGGGCCTGCCACCCTTGTTTTCGACTCGTTAGAGCTAAAACTCAACTCTGAGGTGCCTGGGTCACCGCTGGTCTGGTCTGGTCTGGTCTGGTTGCACCTTTGCATGTATAAAGGGACCGGGGATCGATACCTGGTCAAATCTCCAGCTTTGTTCGGGTAGGCTTAATAAACGCTGCTAAGTTGTGGAGATGAGGCCTAGTTGGCGGAGTAAGTTTCGCATGTTCAGATGGTGGTGATGGCTGATCTGTCTCTACGGATGTCGGGTGACTGGATGAGGAGGGGTTCAGATGGTCGGACCCAAACCGCCGTCGGTTGTACGGTATAATCGACTTTCAATATGGCTCCCGGCTTTGACGGAATCCCCCGCACTCGTGCGGCACTTGTAACTTATAACTTGCTAAGAAGTAAAATTATTTTTGACATTATAAGTATGAGGTCAAACTATCGCATGGTTTCGCAGGCCTAAATACCATGACGTACGCTTTGAAAACATGTTCCGTGTACGGCGCTTGCCGAAAAGGCCGGTAACTAATTTCGGCCTTTCCGGTGTTCCTGGACCTCTCTGCCGAAAACACGGAAACAGGTTTCGCAGGGTTTCCGTTTCGCAGAGATTCCGTTTTGGGCCGAGCACTGAGGTCAACAGACTGTACAGCAATCCAACACAGGCAAGGGCAAAGGAGCACTCGCTGCCCGAGGCAGTATGAGTTAATGGGTTTACGAGGTAAGAGCCCGCCAGAAGTAAACCCTGTTTTGTGGGTTTATGGAGCATTAGGCGGGTCTTTCTGAAGTTGTGAGATCATGGTCATCGTATGATGATCATGATCATCCCGCGCCCACGCTGCATTTACGCAGCAGATGTACGAAGGCGGATTTATCTTTACAGGTTAATGCACGTGCAAAAGCTCAAATGAACAGCCAATCCATCCCCACAGTAGCTGGCCGCCGAAAAGGCCTATCGAGATGCTGAAAATGCGCTTAAGCGAGTAGATGTATGTACTGTACTGTACAACATGACGGTTCGTGCCGTATTCCACAACAGCTACTCGAAGTCCCCGCACGCAAAATGTTAAATGACCTCAGGCGTGAGCTGTGTGTGGTGGCACGGGTCTCAGAACCGACCGCCGCAGCCCTTCAACAACGCCGGCAGCCGGTGGGTGAAGCCACCCAGCTGCTACGGCTGGGCCCCCTCCCCGCCGGCCCCTTGACGAAGCGCGGCATCTCCATCCACAACAGTGCCCTCGGCACCGCCTCGCCAACTTGCCGATGGGCGCCTTGCTCCCGGTGACCTCTGCGAACTGCTGTTCTGTTTTGCTCCTTGCTGTGCTAATCTGGACCCCTCCCTTGCCGCCAAAACCGGCCACCTTCATCTCCGCCAGCTGGCTCCGCTGCAAGATGCCAAAAGAAACCAGCACCAGCCGGCATGCGTTCTGCGTGCATTCGGCCTTGCACTCCGGCCACTCTAAACCCCAGCTCCACAGTCATCCCACTAGCTGTAAAGCGAGATGTGCGAAGGTAACTTCGCCTGGGCATGAAGTCGCGCTCTGCGGCAGAACCCCCGTCAAAATGCTGCCAGTCTGCTACTGCACTCACGAGTGCATGCTATCGGTAATGTCTGCTAACATCTATTGCGACCCGCAAACCCTCCAGGTGCGGCACCCGCGTCTCCAGCACGCTCAGTTCTGCAGACAGCTCCAGCCAAGCGATCTACGGGATGCCAAGCTCGGCTGACCAGCACCGCTGCACCTCCATGGGGCCCAAGCCAGCCCAAAGCCGGCACCACTAGCATTGTAAAGATAGTGGCCTCTAAAAAGGTAGGACAGTTCTCGGGGGGAGAAAACGGCGCAGTGAACTGCCCGCGCATCGCATCAGGTCCAAGTCGGCCATAGTGAAGCGCTTTTGACCCCATCCCAGACCGGCGAGCCACAGCGTAAGAGTTCTAAAGCTGAAGGCCCTTGATAGAATCCGTGGCCACGAGGAGGGAGTAATCACGACTGGCGGCATACCCTCGAACGGGAGCGGGGTATGGCAGCTCCAACGACCCGGGAGCACCAGGACTGCCCTTAGGGCCCAGGTCAGGACCAGGGAGCAGATGCCGCCCACCCGATGGGTGCGAATAGCTCTTGACCTGAATGCCATCGAACGAACTGCAAATCTCAAATAGCAAGACCCAAAGCAGGCCCCAATATCGGCCGGCGTCACACCCAATAATCTGCAAGGAGAGAGGCCGACCAGGTGGCCCCGAGCAACGATCGATACGCACTCTGGTCGCTGCCGGACGGCCTGTCGTACCCCTTGATGGGCGCCCCTTGGTGGCCAGCACCGTGGCTTCATAACGCCCTGTCAGCAGTGTCTTGTCACTCCCCCCCTCCAGCGCTTTCTGCCTCCCAACTGCAAGCTGGACCGTGAAGCGAGCCAACAGTGGTATCTGCGGTCCTTTTCCAACATATTTTACAGCATAAAATATGTGGCTGAGGAACTTGCTAGGGAATCGAGCCCACCCAGACGCAGCCTGCATGCCGCTTGCGGCCCGAACGTGCCGGAGTCTCTGCGCGCACTCCACGTCTGAACGCGCCTAAAGCATCAGTATTAATGACAAATAATATGTCTCCTGACGTATTCACGAGCATGTCGGTGTGTATGGGTATGTGCGTGAGGCAAACTGTACCGGAGGCATAGAGGGGGCGTATGCGAACCTTGTACAACCCAGCTGCCTCCGAGAGTACAATGCAATAAGAACAAACATCAAGCTTACAAGCTCGGGGCAACATTTCTGGGTGTTGCGGGATACCTGTGTAGTTAATGAACTCCCTAGCTAGCCACCAAGCACATAGGTGAGCATAGGGAGGTGAGCATAGGGACGTGAGCATAGGGTGGCAAGCAAAACTACAATACATCACAACGATGGCACATTCAGCGTGACAAAACAGATCGCCATCAGGGGTTTGAACATGGTCCCCCCACCGTGCTATCTGTCTGGCTCTATGTCGCCTAGGTGCCCAGCGCTAATGGGAGGGGCAGTGTTCAACATGATATGGACAGTCCATGTCCTATGTGAAACTTACCGTCTTCATTATACAATATGAAAATTTGCTAGCCTGCCTGAAGTCGCGTACGAACTTTCCTACGCGAGGAGCGAATGTACGGGACGAGCATGTGCCATGGAAACCTTTACATTTTCGTGCCTGACGAAAAGAGGTTATTGGTTTTCGTTCCTTACAATTACACGCCGCGGACCACACTCAGTTCCCATGAGCTTATCGTTGGGCAATATGCTTTTCATACTCCTATTTGCAGCGCTGGCGGCAGGCCAGGTTGATTTGTCCCGACAAGCTGGTCGTTATTGGAATGAGAGGGGGCTTGAAAATCCTCCGCGTCGCTTGCGCGAGCTTGCAGATTGGTCGTTGCTTTATTACAACACATCAACCGAAATGCGACCTGTTCTCTTGCTTACATTAGCGTCACCAGCAAGCATTCAACATGTGCTTCCATTTGTATTGGAGAACCTTGCAACCTTCGCTTCTCAAGATCAAATTGACACCAATGGTAACCCTTCAACAACGTTGGCTGAGCATACTTTGGTATCTACAACGAATATGTTTGCTCAGCAAGGGTGCGAAGGTCTAACTCAAACGTATCGCCATGTAAGTGGCCCACAACCGTATGCAACCTGCCTCGTCGGCACACACAGTGTTAGGACGAGGGGTTTGCAAATGGGATAAGCATGCATCCTCCCTGGGACATGGGTATTGCTTGAGACATCTCTTTGGCGTGTGGATTCCCATTTCCCCTCGTGCAATTCTTGCCTTGTACGGCACTAGTAGCGGTGCGGTGCGACCTATGCGACCCCTCTCTATGCAAAATGGCGGTTGCGTATCCGTTGAGGATTTAAGCATTCAGGATGACGCGGAGAGTTACATCTGTGATTGGTCACGGTATCTGTTTGCGACACGCACAGAAATGTTTTGAGCTCGACCATTCGTTCAATGAGGGGCTCCAAGATCATTTGGAGTTGAGCCGTGTAAAAGTGCTCGCGTACTCCGTCGGCCTTAGCAGGATCAAGGCTATGGTGGACTTGGTTTCCCTTGGTAAGCCATTGTCGCATCTTCGGGGGGGGAAGGCGAGGCCGGATAAAGAGGTATTTGTTCACGTTTTGGATGTTGCACCCAAGTGCAGGTTACGATCTTCTGTATTTCGATCTGCATCACTACTTTTTCAAGAATCCGCTGAAGTACTTGTACGGCTACACGACAGCACCCATAGTGGTGTCCTCCACACCTTCAAGCGCATGCCAGCTAGTGGCACCGCCCGACGGCTCACTGCCGGACGACCATCATCGTCTCGACATTGCGTTTGTGAGGAGCATTCCCAGCTCCTTCAGGTGCATGTACAACTGGCTGTATTGGAGTACACATGGGCAGCACGATGTCAGCGATAAACCTCTGGATCACCACACGTTCAGAAATGTCATGCAGGTAAAGATCACGTGGTGCAGCAGGTCCTGGAATGCGACTATTTGCGGGACTTCGCTGGGTGTTGTGAAATGCTCACAAAGGTTGCTGGCCCTCACCGTTTGCAGGAATGCATATCGTCGCTCGGGACCGATGTTCTCTCTGTGGGCTACCTGAACCCGGAGAACTTCCCTTCGGACTGCAGTGCAAGTTGTGGATGCCGTGCTGGATCACCGGTACAGCCGCTGCCAGATGGCAAATGTGAAAAGGTAAGCGGGTTCTTGTTAGATAAGATCGGCTTTGGGGTGTCACTGGCGGTAATGTAGGACTTTCATTTTGGCAATGTACGGACATTTCTGCGCGGCGAACTGTACCAGTGTTGTCTTGTTTGTCGTGTCTGGGTTGCGGATGCTGCACAATCTTTCGTTTGATTGTTTTTCACCAGGGTTTTGCCTTTAGGTATTATTATAAAGCTGAGGGCAGCTTTTGCGCTTAACGGTGTTTTTTTCCGTTTGGAACGTGTGTGCACTACAGGAGGTGATGGCGCAATGGGTTGGCATGACATTTTCATGCAGCGGGTCTGCGGACAAGTTGGGTGGCCTTTTGAAGAAATATGCCACCATGTATCGTGAGGCTGGTTTAGTGGTCGGAGCCTAAATGGTTCCCAGAGACCATGTTGGCGGCGCTGTTATGACCTACGCAGGGTTCGGCTTCAGGTGGCCATTAGGCTGGTGACTGAGCAGGTTTGAGAGCTTGTCAACGCCACACTTCACTTCAGGATAGTAACATCCCAACCGGGTTGCCATTTTTGTAACTGATGCAGGCAACTGATAATTAGACGCTTTTAGCAGCTTTCCACGCTGCGCTATCGTTCGTTGGAAGGGAACTGCGTGTGCGTTTCGCCTTACGTGACCAGCGAGATCATGTCTAACCTTTAAATGTTCCATGTACAATGCTGATCGCATGCCAGATATTCCAGACGGCTTGCTTGTACGAAAATGGTGGGGATCTTCTGTTCAGTGTTAGCGATTTCCGTGCCTTGGGCCGAGGTGCTTGCCTCCTGCTGTCACCTAGAGCGTTAGTGGCGGCAGGATTGCGGCTATCTGGCAATGCGCCTTTCCTGGATTGTGGAAAAGCGGACAATGGCCGCGTTACGTGAGCTACTTGATGATTTACTCCGCTCACTCGATGATTAGGGCAGGACTGAAACGTGTGCTGTGCGGGGCTCAGTTGCTTGAGGATGGTAAGCACCATTGTAGCATTTCTGGTTTGTGCAAGGACGTCGAACTGTCATAGTCCCGCTGCATTACCGCTTCCTCCGCCATGGAGCACTCGAGCCACGTCATTCGTTCTGCACGTTGGGAGCGGCACGCTCCATCGGTGGGATACCAATTAGGGCGAGACTTTGCGCGCATCGCATCACCAATTGTGGTGTAATCTAGTAGGTTTACACCAGGTTAATTGTCCTGGATAATTCGGAGACGCAGCCGCAAGGGTTTTGCGTCTTACCAAGTACACGGACATACTGGAACGCACAGTCGAGGTGTCTTTGCAAGAAGCTGCCTGTCTGTCCTCTCATGCGTCCAGCCAGGTCTAGTCGGTGCATATAAGACACCTGTCAGGTGTGTCCTTCAACCTGGCTGGAATCCACATTTGCCAGATTTAAGGACAGGGTTCCACTTTCAAAGCTTTTTCAGCTTTGCTGAAAGGGAGCCTTGAATTGGCAGGTCAGTAGTCCAAATTCAGTTCCACCTGATTTCCAACCCGCCCACTAAGCCAAAACTGGCTGCGACAGCCTCGGCACGGTAGTTTTGGCGTCAAGCACTCAAATCCTGCCATATCCACATCTTATGGATGTCCTTCCGTGTTCTTTAAGTGTATCAATACAAAGGACAAACTTTCACATCTCACTCAGATCGTGCTCCCTGCAAGTCTTGCTGAACGGAAAAGCTTCCATCCCTTGGGCCCCCCATCATCTGATCGTACGTTGCTCGACGAGATGAAAAAAAACTCCGTCATTAATTGCAGAGCTGCAGGTCTTGGACCCACGCTTGACGTATGTTGTCCATCACATACCTTCAGTGTAAGAAATTAAGAATGCGCTTCGCAGCAGTTCACATACCCACTTGTTGGCAACTCCATATGTACACAGTCAGTGCACCTAATGACCCCGATGCATCCCGAAACTCGCCATCAGTAATAGCGGAGATGCTTTCGGATGGCCGCCGGTGTTTGGCACCCGTTCTATACATGGACCGTGCCGGCGTACGTCACGTTATAGGATTTACGTACAAACGCGGAATCGGCTCCCGCCTGGTAGGTCCCCGGGCCAGGCGTAAATGTTGTTGAGGATTTGAAGCGGTCCGCCTGCGCGCTGAAGCCCGTCTTGGGTGGCGGTATGGTGGTAGGCTTGAAAGCTTGCGGGTCGCCGGGTATGTAGCGCCCTGGACCCGGTGTGGTCTTGGAAGCAAGTTCCATATCTGTAGTGGGCCGGAGACATGCAAGGGCGAAGCGGGGACGTGTGAACGCAAGGAATGGAGAACACCATCCCCATAAAGTCGCGCGCAGCGAGCGAATCCAGGCATGCATGCAAGGGCACGTTGACGATACATATACGCCACGCCATGCAGAACTCCATCACAAACCCTCCGGGATCAGCCGCAGATTATATTCAACTCACTCGCGCGATTCGATTCCGTGCCGAAGGGTGCTGCCTTGATGGGCGTGTTGCCATATCGCGATCTCCCCAGGGGCCGTTCCGGGTTATAGCAGCCGGGTCCTAGCCGCGTTGGATCACCCCTGCAGCGGTGGTTTGGCGGGTTTAGTAGCGAAGAGCCGGACGGTTAGCATGGGAGCGGCCATAACAGTCAACATCAGCGGGACGGAGGTCTCTCCAAAGTCGGTAGACGGCGCCAATCTTGTTACACCTTTGGAGTCCTCGATAGCTGAACGTGACATGCGACAACATGTATCGCTCGGTGTTTACTGAGACAAGAGTATAATGCAAGCCGTAATGTCAAGCCCAATTCCCCGGCTTAGCTACTGTGACAGAGCCACAGCCTCTTGTTTTGCTGTGCCGATAGCGCACTCCGCGCTACGTCCAAGCGCAAGGAGACTGTATGGTGCTATCTCAACCTGCACTTAGCGCTCGCGCGCTGCCTGTTTCTCGTAACGTAACCATGGGAAGCGCGAGGCGCGGCCACTTGACGCGAAACTTACTTGAGGGGGGTAGTCCCGTCAAAGTCTGAGAGGTCGGGTACCGCTGGTGGCGCAGTGACGGGTCGGAAGCGGCCGGTGCGGGAGGCGAAGTTTGATGTCCCGGAGCGAGCTGCGTACATGAAAACCCATGGTATGCGATGAGGTTGGATTTCCGGACACGTACAGAGCTATCTAGGAAAACCCAGGGAAGCAGCATTGCAGTTGGGTGTCAGCTCACAAGGACCCATTACTGCATTAGGCACCGCAAATCAACTAGCGCCTGATCGGCCGTGCACATGAAGCCAAGTGCGACATGGACTATTCGGAGACCACTGAAGTCCCGCTGGGAGGAAGTAGATGCCCAACAAAGGCCCGAAGGAAGGTGACATGTGCAACGCCATGCAATGCTAAGATGGACGGCCGACCGAATCTTGTTGCTTCCTGTTTCACCTAGGCCCTCAGCGACCGTCCACGTAGCACTTCCCACCTGTCTTTGCTGATGAAGTGACCCGCGGGTCGTAGTTGCCTGGCCCTGGCGTGACCCCTTCTGCCACTTCCCCGCTTGCCAGTACTCCTGGCACCACTAACCGCGCTGGCGATGAAGCACCCTTGTTGTATGCGAATCGCCCCGTGGAGGCTCCGAAAGCGCCCGCAGGGCGCGAGATTGAAGCCTTCTTGAATATATCGAACTCCAGAGTCGTCACGGCGTCTGGGTGGTAGTCGCCTGGTTGGTAAAGCAGGGGAAGAGGGGAACTGAGCAAACATCTTCTGCATCTCTTATATAAGAGTAAACGCGCCTCTTTCACTGCTTAATAAGAAAAAAGAAGTCATCATGAATTAACAGTTTGACGGCGGACGGCCATCTTTGTCCCAAGGAAGCCCACCATCTTGAATGCCCAGGTAACACCGGTGAAAACCCTCCCGGTACACAAGCGAACTTCTCCCCAACTCGGACACGCCGAGGCATAGACCCACCAGGTCCCGGGACCGCATTATCTGTTGGTCCAAATCGCAGCGATGTGGACAGGAAGGGCGTTGTGGCGTCCACGCTTCCTGCACCGCCATCTACCGCCATTGGTCTTCTTGAGGTGCCGGGCTTTCGGACCCGTGGATCCTCGTAGGCCCCGGGCCCAGGATTCCTGCACGGAACGACGTTTCCAGGGGGAAGCCGCCAACTATTAGGACAGTAGATGGAGAGGTTCTTGATCAGTGGCGCAGAGCACACGTTGCCACCAAACCCACGGCAACCGAATATGCGCACCTTGCCGGCGATGCGACGTAGTTGCAACACGCATGGGTTGCGCCGGATTCAGGATTACAATACATGCAGGTACCCCGAGGTTGGACGACCGACATCCAATGTCTTTCGTACACAGGCGGAGAGGCCAACACGGTTATCTGGCAGTGGCAGCGCCGCTTCGCGCACTCCGTTGCTAGCAGCCCATGGACCTAGCTGCCTCCATGTGCTACATGAGTTTTCCCCACATTGGCAGCGCAAGGTCAACCCCGGACTTCAAAACCCACATGGCTCCTACGCACTCGAAAAGAAATGCGAGCCACCAGGAACCCCCCTCAAGGACATTTGCAGGACCCGGGCACGCCACAACCCTCGCCCGCTCCTGCCCACCGTCAGCACTGTTGCCTACCTCCAGTATGTGGGTGCGGACTTCGCCTTGGTGGGGTCCATCTCCCAGATGCCCCGAGGCCCCGTGATTCCGAATCCGGGAGACACGGAGCGCAGGGCGCTGCCAGATGGGCTGCCGGTGGAGGCAGCTACAGGATCGGTGAGGTTGTTGTAATCTCCGGGGCCGGGTGAGGGATCAGGAAGCTGCAAACGGGCGGCAGGAGAAGGGGCAGAGCCGTACGTAAGAGCCGCTAAGAATGCAGATACACAGGCACAGAGATCAGGTAAATGTGGTAACTCACACTCGCGTGGGGATGCAAACGTGCACACACGGGCTTCCAGGACAGGGGAAGCTGAGGAGGAGGAGGAGGAGGAAATGGGCGAGAAAAGCACCGGGAACCCCCCGGCCCTGCAGCTGGACAGGAAACTGTGCAGGGCTCATCCTGCGAGGACCTGGTATGAAGCCGCATGCAACCCAGCATGTGGTACGTAGGACGTTTCCGAGGCCATCAGATAGCTGAACCTCTCGACGATGGCCATCAAGCAGCACGATACCCCGTTAACCTAATAAACAAAAAACCAGCCTTTTTCCAAAAACGATTGTTTTCGCTACATCGCTCATAATTTAGCACGTGGCGCTTGTGGCTGCCTTGACAACAACCCACCTTTTGCAGCGGCCGCGGGGCCTTGCTCACAAAGCTGCTGGTGCCCGTGGTCCCTCCGAACACCACCTCGACGCCCCCGATGGAAACCAGCAGCCCGGCACCGTGGCGCCGGGAACCCCCATCCGCTAGGTTGTATGTACCCACGCCGGGAGTGGCTGGGCCGTACTGTGGTGGCGGCGGGTGACGGGTAAGGGTAGGTCCAAGTTGCAGGTGGAACGGATCAGGCGAAATGCTAGTTGCATATGCTCTACAGGGAAAGCACATTCGCTGCTGCCCAAGTCCAGCCGTGTGTATGTGTGTGTTACGCCTCGGTTGTGTTACCCAGAGAAGTGGAACGAGCCCATCCGAGCCAGAGCCCAAGAGCCTAAGAGCCACAAGTTAGGTACAAGTCATAATGTAACGCAAAACGTTCTGGTATTCAAAAGCAATACGCACACGGGAAACAAGGACACTGGTCAGCTATGACTGTCTGCGTAGAGACGAGCGTGGAAGCCAAATATAACGTACCAGGTGGGCCAGTTTTGTTTCTCGGTGTCCATCATAACCATTATTAATGGACTACCAACAATCGGCAGCGCCATGAGTTGGATAGGAGCGTGACGTGGGGAGGCGCTGCTAAGGCCCTGGGCCTGGGCCAAGGCCCTGGGCCAGGGATACAGCAGACGGGTAAATATTGTATTTGCCCATCCATGCTCCCGGGTGATTCTGCTTCCCTAGGACCCTTTTCCACTGCTTTTGCCCGGGCTCCTCGACCTTTCGGCCATTATGGCTTGCCGGCCGTCTGCCCTACGCCACCATCCCAAACATATAATGGCCACGAGGCCAAAGGCCACGCGGCCCTGCGGGACTACCCCCGAACGCACCTGGTACAGGCGGCCGCTTTTGCTGTTGCTCCAGGAGGTTCCCGAGGGCCGCGGGAAGGGGCCAGTGCCTCCCAGCTCGTAAGCCCCTGGCCCAACCTTGTCTTGGCCCACGCCCGAGTACGGCTTCTCCGGAGATGACTGCACAGTACGACCATCCCAGGTAATAGCCAGAGCAACAGCCGCCGCCACAGCCGAGATACCGGATTTGCCGGAGCACCCGCCCGACAGGGGGGAGAATCGCACATGCATGCATGCATACAAGCACGCAGCAGGGAAACAGAAATCGCAGCCGACATCAGCACCAAAGCGGATGGAGCATGGTTGACTTTGGTTGGGTTGGCCAACTTTTGGCGGTCGTACACGGTCGGCATTACGAGAGCGCGGTGAGGCCGCGATGACACAGAAATCCATGGCATGTCCCCTGATATGCTCAAGAGCCCGTCCGTCATAAAGTTCACATTACTGGTATATGCTTGATAACCCCGATCCAACGCACATGTGTATCTCAACCACAGATTGACCATCCGTCACACAAATGACGGTGGCTGTGGGCATCAAACCCAATCAGCCCACCTGCAGGGTCAGGGTGCCATCCGGCTCCTCCTCATAGCCGTAGCTCTCTCCCCGGCCCGGCACCGAGGGGGCCGTGGGGCGCCGGTGCAGCATTTGCGACACACGGGCTGCGGCGTCCCTTCCCTGCGACCGGTAGCGATGCCCTCCCTTGACCCACTGGTTCCCGACGTCGTACGTACCCGGCCTGCGCATGATACAAGGGGAATAAAGGTGAATGCCAAGGGGGAAACAAGCGCCCAAGTGGTCTGAGCCCCGGCCAGTTTTGGCAGGCGCAGTTGCAAGAAGCCGCCAAGGGTCCTGAGGAGGCCGGGCTTAATCCCAGAGCCAGGCAGAAGTTGCAATGCTGCGGGCTCGTGGACTTAGTGCCAGTGCTGCCACCGTTCACAGCGTGCATGTAGAGAACCGTGGGGATTTACTTGCTGCAGCTGCATGTTACTTGCTGCAGCTGCATGCTTACCCTGGAATGGGTATCCGAGCGCGGCTGTCTGGGTCCGTGGGCAACCTGGGCACACCGCTCACAAAAGGTGAGGCGGGGCCAGTAATCCCAGTGGCTACGGGACCGCCGCCATTGACCCCGTACGCTCCTGGCCCGGGCGTAACTGCCGAAGTGGTGGGATTCAATGCCATTACCCTGCGACATGTTGGGAGGCAGGAGGACGGTCGGAAAGGTGAAACAAGGATGACATTATTGCCCACGCTGGAGCTACATGCACGTCAGGTTTGGGGGCAATTGGCAAGGGCAAGGATGAGCCCCCCCTCCACGTGTGGTGAGTGGCCGTGCGCTGCTGTGTGTGCTTTGGGTACGACCACCACTCCAAAACATATGCATGTGGATCCCAAAGCTCCGGATACCCACAGAGAGGCCAAGAACAAATATTGAGATGCGGAGCTTACCGTTCCGACGATGTGTGGAATGGAACTGGTGCCGGGTTTGTTTCCGGGTTACGCACAACTTCATACGCACCGGGTCCTATTGCCTGTGGGATTCCACCGACCATTCCACACTAGTTTAAGATGCACAAGAATGTTCACCTAAGGGGCTTTGGCCATAGGAACCGCCCTTACCGGCTGCGTGCCCACCAAATTACGCATCGCCGACCGTTCCGCTCGTGAAACAAAGCCTCCGGATGCAGCGGGCATCGCCTGAGACATTTTCGTAGATGTTTCAGCCTTCCTAGGATATCCTGTGATATATTCACTATATTATAATTACAAGGTCGTATTGGACAATAGTTGGCCGCAGTTTGCTTTATGGGTTGTTCAAAGCGAGGTAATGTCCTATGGACCGAAACCTATGGCATGCAGGAAGTTCTAAGCGGCCGTACCATAGCTGAGCCGTACGGCTTTTTTCCAAAATCAACTAGGGTGATCATCGAGTGGTCCAAGAACGACCTCAAACTCGTCAATGGATTAAAACAAAAACCGTGTTAAATCTGCGATGAAGTGTATTGAAGTTAATGGAAAGCTCTTGTGTTTAGATTTGACAAGAGAACCGAATACTTTGCCAGTTGCATGCGTTTGCAGCTGTGAAGACATTTTACAGCTATGTATCTACTTGTTATGATGGCTGTTGCTAAGGCTGGGAGCGAGATATATACGGCACATGCCTTGTTGAGGGAAGCGAATTCGTCGAAAAGGGACTCAGGTGAAATCTTTCCAAACGATGAAGCAAGCCCATAATTGTTGAAGCTGACACCAACGCTTACTAGGGAACTTGAGCCAAACCAGCCTGAGGTGAGCTAAGGTGCTTGGTTGTCAGGCCAGAACATTGGACATTTCTGGATAGCCGTTTAACTCGGGCGTTTATGGATAGTTTAAGGGTTAAGCAAGGCGGATGAATGGGTAGGGCAGTAAAGGCGTCAACGGAGTTACAAGGCGAGGGGCTGGCCCTACCTGGCGTGCCCTAACACTCGGCAAAGCTTGGCATCAACGGCAACCACGCTAAAGAAAGGAACGTGGATAGGATCGAAACCACTAAAAAGTGGCGTATCATGCATCTTAAGCAAGTTTGGCTGGAAAGCTAGCCCACTCGTTCTCAGATGCCCAGCGTTTGGTAGCATATTGAGTCCTATTGGAACCCTGACCCCATTGGCGTATAAGCGTCCAAAAATCTTTAAGAAACAGCATAGGCCCAGGGGGAGCTCCTGACAAACGGATTAGCACCGCGTAACTCCAGTAAGGGCCTAGCATGATTGCTGCTGGCAACCTGCAAGCTGCTGTGCAAGCCACATGGAAACCGTCCATTAGGTCCTGGTGACGGAGAGACCAAATGAACGCTGAAGCATACACGTCCTGAACGCCACCCAAAAGTTACACAAAAAGACAGACGTGTTCTGCACTTTATATTTACAGGCATGAGCTGTGCTACGACAGCCCGGGGCCGAACAAATAGTGTTAAGCAGATGAACACACATTGCCATCTTCAGGATATAGTACACACATATCCATTGCACGCGCCAGCGCATCCATGGCATCAAAGCACTGATGGCTTTCAAAAAAGTGGCGATAAGGGGAAAACACATCCCTTATCCTTCGTCACCCCAACTCCGCCGGCACCTTAGTTGAACTCCCAATAGCTATACCCTTTGACTATGTCTCTACGAAGTCCGATGATGCATCCGTCAGTGCCTTGCAGGACCATGATGCTCCATTTGCAAACCCTCGAGAGCAGGTGCCCCGCGGCGCGGTTGCGAAGTCCGCACAGACCACAAACCGCATCCGCAGCGGTAGATTTGTTACTTGGTACATTGTCAGTCCATGCGCGTTGCGCACACTTCCTTGGATTCCCACGTACTGCCCGGGAGATCTCACGACATGATCACTTGATTAATAGGCTGTGGGATAAAACGAGGTGGTTAAACATGCGTCAGTTCACAGGAATCTCTTGAATGAAATACAAGACTGCATGCTTCTACTATTTACTCACGATGAAGAGCAACTTCACGAAGAAGCCGATGAACCCCATTACGATGAAACCAACAGCAGTCCGTGAGCAAACTTTCATGAACTCTGCAAAACAATTCCTGATTAGTAAAGCAGCTCAGGATCACAGCCTCAGTAGTCAGAGCCGCAGGCCTAACCTTTACGATCTGGCTTGGTGCAGCGCTTCACAAGGCGCGCGCTGTTCTTAGCAAAATCCTTCAAAGGCCTGTACACGACCTCTCCTACGTCCATGTCTGCGAGGTGATATCACAATTTACAGAAAGCAGGCTCTTTGGAAATGCGGGTGGAACAGCTGTGAAGGTAGAGCAACCCTCCAAATAGTTAAACAATGCAATATATGACAATTGGCACAAGTTTGCTAAATTGGCTAGGGAAACCCACGCTAGCGTTGAACACTACAGAAGGGTATTCGTACGGCGCTGGCGGACACGTTGCACCATGCGCTACAGTCTTTTTGTAAAATCAAAACTCTGCCATTTGTCAAATTATGGCAACTGATTATTGAAATGATATCAAAAAAATATTGGTCAGGTAATGATAAGGGCGCTAACCAACTCAATGCGGCAACGACCAAACGCGATGAACTAGTAATCAATTAATTCCCTACACTGAAGTCTTAACGGGCATGTTTGCATTGAATGGATTACGAAACGACTGGAAGAGGACAGGATCTGAATAGGGGCAGTCCCGCGGGCAAGGGTTCGTAACAGGGTCAGGTGCAAGCAACGGTCCAAAAAACGGAAAGCATTCAGCAGAGGACAGACCGAGCTTTCATCCTTTCATCATGGGGCGTTAGGCAACATGGTGCTCCGTGGGCCTACGTCAAAGATTCTCCGTGGGCCTACGTTAAAGCGGTCGCATGCACCATATCCAGTATTGATCATGCAGGTGGGGTCAAGCCAGCTCAATGCTCCCCTGTTTATGTCAATGTCGAAATGTGAAAAGGCGTTGTGTCGTTGTAGCTCAACTGCTGTCCCATCTAGCTGCCGTACTACGGAGGACCATGCGGGCGAGCAGAACTTCACCACTACAGTCAAGTATATTTCCCGCTAATTGTTGCAGTCAATGGTGTAATTGGGGGTTGACAGGGTAATTCCCTGGCCATCATTACTCTGGCCACCTAGGTGTGACCTGGATGTCCGAGTATCAACTGTCAAGTGGCCTTAGCAAGCAACATCACCATTCCAGCGCACGCAATGTACTCCTAATGTGCTGTAGGATTCTGGCTAACTGTAGCGCAGTCGTACTACAGCGGATTCGTGGGCCTTCGTGGGCCTTCCAAAAAACGTCTGGAATGAATTACACCTAAATGTTTGCGACGCGTGCGTGCGTGCATAGTAGAGTTGGACGTCCTGAGCTATGCCGTGCAATTTCCCGGGATCCTGATCCTGCCTGGCTGGCCCAGGCGCTGTTACACGCTGAGCTTATCCGCACTTATCCGCGAGGTCTTCCAGCAGTTACGTCGCCGGCAACCTGCAAACTCGCATGCGACATGCCCCTTCCACCACCTGCGCTTAGATGCCACTAAACAGTCTACAACACCATCTGTCACGTCACATACATAATCGGCACAGCTCGGAAATGCTCGCACCGCCATGCGGGAAGGGACGGACCGCCACTAGTCACATAAGATAGGGTTTTTAATCGCTGGCGGAAAATATACACCTTGGGTTCCCCGCGCTGCCTTGCCATGCTCCCTACCTATTTCCAGAAAGGTTCGATAACAACTTAAGGTTCCTCGGTCATGGCTCGGATCCGCTTACAGGACCCCACGTCCCAGCATCTTGGCCACAAGTCGGACGCGCTGTGTGCTGCGGCACGGCACATGGTTGCCTCCCCGTAACCTTTACACACACATTGGCTTGCATGTAGTGCACCGGTTGATAGGGATGGAAGCTGTTGGCCTGGTGCGCTGTACTACCCCGACCCCTCACCCCGCCGCCTCCGCCTTACAGCCACTGGGCGGGGTGCGAGGCCAAGGTTTAAGGATGACGTGGTACTGACCCCTTCGCCCTGCAGCTCCGCCTGCGAGGCTGGAGCCCTCATCTCCAATGCCTTTCCCTTTGCCTCGTCAGCCTGGCCAGCGGGAGCCTTGCTGGGGCCTCTTGCTGATACAGCTGCGGGTGCCGCCTGAGCGTTGCGAAGCGCCCCTGGAGCCTGGAGGGAAGCCTCCAGGTCGTCATCCGGGGAGAGGAAGTCCGGTAGCGATGACAAGTCGCCAGTCTGCGGGAGCGTAAAGGGCCGTCCTGTCAGACTTAGCTTCTGCAGCAGGCCCACCCTTTAGCTTTCCCTGCACTTCGCCCTGCACTTCGAATAACCGACCAAGCTTAATTATCTGCGCAAGTCTCAGCTCCTGCTGCTGGTGCTGCAATCTTTCATGCAGATGCTGAGGCGGCCCATGAAGGCGACGCGTTTTGCAGGCTCCTTGTGCGCTATGCGGTTTTCGCACCGAGCATTTAACTCGGCAGAATGGAAAGCCACGCACCTCTAGCATCTTCTCTATCTCCTCCACACCAAGCTGCTCGCCATCCTCCGGCCGGAATGCCCCAGAAGACAATAGCGTAGCAAGTGATTCCGGCGCAGCTGCATTTCCAGCGCCACGGACAGACGGAGGCGAGGCGGATGTGTCAGTCGCGTCTTGTTGTCCACCAAAACCCCGCAAAGAGAAAAATTGCGATAGGGTGTCCAACAACCCGGGCGGAGGTCGCGTGGTGAAGCCCGCAGGCACCACAAACTCCCACTGCTGCTCGGCCCGTCGAATGCGCAGCTCATCAGCCCGCTCCACAAAACCCTGCTCGCTCTCCATGGCAATCCACGAAGCCCAGGTCGTCTCATTCTTCGGGTCGACCTGCATAGGTGTCCGCACAGGTGTGGGGGCGGGTCCGTCAAAGCCCATGGGCCCATGGACCGTTCATAAAAGTAAATGTCACGGTGCCGGGGGCGGCTGTCTTCATCCTCCAGGTTGGAAATTGGGAACCACTTCTCGATTTGTGCGTGTCATCCTTGCGCAGAGGCCATGCTCACCTTCTCTGTACTCTTCCAATTTTAACAGTTGTGCCGAAGCATAGGAAAGTGAGGGAATTATATGCGCGTGCAAGGGGTGGCGGGGAGGCGTGCGGTGACTCCATCAAGATGCTGAATTGGAAGCCACACAGTTGACGGAACGGCACGTGTTCGCACACTGGCGGAGAACAATGAGAAGTAGTTCACGTACTTACCCGTATGGCAGCCTTGAAAAGCTCCCGAGCTGTTTGGATGTTGCCCGCGCGCCACTCCAGCGAACCCCAGGCATGGAACACGTAAACGGTGCCGCTGCTGCGTGGGTCCGCCCACACACCCTCCTGGAAGAGCTGACGGGCCCGGTCAAGATTGCCCTACATGAGTCCACGGTTTACCACAAGGCGGAATAAGCGCCTGGTTAACTTTAAAACCAACATGAAAGGGTGCCAGAAGTGCAGCAACAGCTCAAGCAAAACTAATAAATCCAGCGCTGCATGAGCATAATCACGAGCTCTCGTGTGCGGGAAATATGACCATGTGGCTCGCCAAGCGCAGCGTGGCCGTGTGGTGTCTCGTCAATCAGTGCCTACAACCTGCATTTCTCAATTACGTCAGGCAAAGTAACCGTCTTGTCTCTTCCATAGTGAAGGTTCCCAAAAATGCGCGGCGTCCTACCCTAAATCTTTACCATCGTGAGCGCACTGGGGAGCAAAGCACTGCATGCCACACCTGCTCCGCTTCCATAACGCCGTACGCTTGCCAGAGGTACAGGTAGTTTGGATCGGCCTGGAAAAGTGTCAAAGGCATATGTGTCCATACGTCAGGCTTAAGTGGCCGTGCAAACGCTGCATGCCATAGCAAACCGAGCCACTGGGCGATCCGCCACTAGGGTTCACCTCTCATTCCCCGCTATTTGCACTCCATACGTGAATGGAGGCAGTGAGCCCAATGGCAAGCACAGGGACAAGAGAGTATGCAAGGTACTGCGTCCCTCTGGTACACACAAACGCCGCACTCCCAACACGAAACACTCGCCGATTGCAACGCGTTTCCACCCGACACTCTGTAGGACAGTATATCCGGGTAAAATCATGCCCCGGCATGTCTACCGGCCGTCGGTGTGGCCACACTAGCGTGGAAAAGATCCGAATAAATGCACCTTCAAACCCCAAACCCTTCCACTCTGCAGCTCCTTGTCACCATACCTTCAGTCCTTGTTCAAATAGCTGCTGCGCCCGATCAATCCTTCCTGCTTGCTTTTCTACCAATGCCCACGCCTACGATTGGACATGCAAACACCACCGGAAACGCCTCAGGCGATAATCGAGTCATATTCAGATGCCCAGGGCCGCAATGCAGTTGGTATACGCTAGCATGACGGGGCGTCACACCATGATATGCCTAAATTCGACTAACATAACAGCTGCGCGAGGCCCTTAGCCCTCGACAGGATCCTGGACAGCAGCTGCGCGGAGTACAGAGAAACACTGTGTGCGCGTGAAAGCGCCCAAATCAATCGCATAATGACTTAAGAAAGGTGCGATGCGAGATGGATGCAGCGCGCATGAATCCTCCAGCTGCGGGAAACCATTTGTGGAAGTTGGATGCCAGGATTTGAAGCCGTGACATAATAGCATTGAATTCGTGCATGCGGTCGGAAACTGGCATTCATCGTGTCCTTCAACTGCCATTCGTCGGAATCCCGGCGCGACTCGGTAGAGTCATTCCCCACCTGGTAAAGTGCAGGGTCCGTGGGGTTGAGCTGTGTTCCCCGCTGCAGCAGGGCCAAGCACTGTTGCGGGTTCCCCTGCTTCTTCTCCCAGAGCGCCCACGCAAGGTGGACATAGCTTCACGGACATGGAACAGGAGAGGATGTGCGGGACTGTGATTCATTATCACAACTGAGTATTACACGCAATGCAGTTGTACACACGGACGCCGGCTTTACAAAATCCTGCAGTGAGGTGCTGTGCATTTGCTGGAGCGTACCCTCCTAAACTTGTGGACCGGTAAAAGCAATAGAATGCTCCGTGATTTTACAGTATAGCTAACACAGCCCTCCGGAAAGATGTCTAAGACCGTAACATTGTGGAGAGCACTGATACCGACGAACACGTTAGACATGAACAATGGCTGGGCGCGCCTTACCGTGATCGAGGGTTCGCTCCCAACGCTTTCCGAAAAAGGTACCGCACCGCTGTAGGATCGCCTTGCTTCGCCTCCAAAACTGCCCAGGCCTACGGGGAGAGACCAAAAACCGTGTTAGACATTCGCCGGCACCTGAGTCCATATCACAGGCCGGAAAGCCCAAGAGTGTCACCCGGGAAAGAATGCCACACACCGAATCCACTATACCTCGCCTCCGTGGGCGAACATGTTGACACCACGACACTCTCACGCGAGCAGTACTACATTCGTAACTATAACCTAGGCCCCGTACCTGCCACAGTGCCACGCTTGCCGCTCCTTCGGCTGTCCGGGTACCCTCCTCAAACCACGCGCGCGCTTCACCCACGCGGCCCAGCTGCGCCGCCATACAGCCCAGCGCGTTGTAAAGGTAGGCGTTTTGTGACTGAGGCTTTCGCCGACATCGTTGAATGCCCTGTGCGTGATGTAGCAGCGACGCTTAAGGATCTCTCAATACAGGACTCAGTACATGTCAAGAGGCCTCATAGCCTAAGCCAACAGATGAGCCCACGGAGAGCGCGGACGTGCAGGGACTGGGACACATAGCACCAAGAACATCGAAAAGCTGGTCCATTGAGATCCCCCTGCACAATCATTGCCCTCAATTCAATGCCTGTAGAAATACTACAGGCTTCCCCGCACCTGCATCCATAGGTCCCTGGCCCGCGTGTAGTTGCCCTGGCTCTTTTCGAGCATGCCCCATTTATGCCACGCGCAGGCGTGTGTGCTGTCTACAACCACGGCGGCATCGTAGAGCTTGCGAGCCCTGTCCGGGTTGCCCGTCAGGGCTTCAAGCCAGCCCCAGGCCGACCAGATGTATGGGTTTGTGTTACCTGCAGTCGCCCCGGATAGCAAAGTCATACTTCTTAACAAGCTGCACGGACGCCCCATGGCAAATTCGCCAACGGACTACAAAACTCTGCTTCTTGTAGAGGAAAGTCTTGCCGGCAAAAGCCAATAGGGATATAAAACGACCAATGGGCGATGTGAGCAGGGACTAGCGGGTATGGGTTTTTTGAACATCCAGACCTTAGGGGCTTCGCTTGTAGGGGCTCATAACAAGTATCCCAACCGTGCAACAAAACAGCAACGCATGGCCTGGACGGCAACAGACATCCTTCACCATCAGGCTGGTCACACTAGACCCGACGTGGGCATCCAAACACGCACATATCTGTTGTTCCTTTCCATGTATCGTTCATGCCTCCTCTTTCATCGATTCCCAGCGTATGATATGGTCTTGATGCGGGTCAACGCCAGGTGCACAGGATGTCAACTATCTCCGAGCATTTGAGCATGGGACTGGTCTGGCGCGTATCACGTATGCGCCACGAAGAATACGCCTTTCCTCTGAGTGCTTCATCGTTTGCTGTAAGCACATAATCCGTAGGTAAGACGACGTGGCGTGTGGCGTGTGGAGTGTGTATAAAGCCCATCTATAAGCGAACACGTCCTTTGCTGCTTTACGCAGTTTGCGCCTCCCCCCTCTGTTGCAGAACTTGGAGGACGGCAACTGGCAGGAATTTCCAGTTACGCTACGGCAAATAAGCACCAGACGGCGGTCTCACGCCCTTGCACATCTTGCCTGCCACCTCTGCATGACTGCATGGCCGGGCCTAACGCAGTCCATTCTCTAGGGACATTACGGTAATGAGCATTTCAGCCGTCCTTCCTACTCGCACAGTAGCTGCCCACGGCAGCGCCGGGCAAGGCGAGCTATGTGGCACATACATATGTACGCCGTGTGCCATGGTTCAGTTCAGCCCGCGCACCTGTGTTAGCGCACCCGTCCTGGTAAAGCCCACGAGCCTCCTCAAAACGTTTCTGCTGCACAAGAGCCTTGCCGAGCACCACGTATGCCCGAGGATCTGATGGATCAAGAGCAAGACACCTCCTACAGCAGGGTAGGTAACCGTGGAAAGTTTGTAGGTGTGTTTCCCAAGGCTCGGGAGCAGGGCATCCTGTACGACCGCGGGTAAACCCAAAACGCATCTCACCTTAAGCCATCTTCTACGGCTTTATACAACGCTTTCCGCTCAGCGGCATCCAACGTGAGGCGCGCACGTATCCGAGCTGTGCGGCTCCGCCACTGCAATCGTACAGAGCTGTTGATGATCAACAACGTTAAAACTAGCAATTCGATGTATGGGACTAACCAGCATTAGATCGATGTTGATCTTAAGGACCTTCCGTTCGCTTTGTCGTCCCACCATGTCGCGACTCAACAACTGATCACCGCCAGTCGAGCCGGATTCCAATTTGTCATTACCAGAGCTGGAATTTCCATCACCGCCAGTGCCTGTAGTCGATTGCGGCTTGGGTGCAAGCTGCAGCAGGCCTGTTGGCTCATACGCTCTGACAATAGCTAGCGTATGCTGCCGTGAAGACCTCCGAATTTGATTCTTTGGAAAGCCGCTGGAAGATCCACCGGAGCTGCAAGCCTGTTCCCCAGGACCCCGTGTGGTGACGCCACGCCAAAGCACTGATAGCGGCACCAGCATCTGAAAACGCAATCCGGGAAGGAAATAGTCCCGATTATGTCCCTATCCCCTGGAACTATTCATATCTCGGCGCATCGGTCGGGAATAACAATGTGAACTAGAAGCGTAAACACAATAGCTGCCTGCTAATTTAACATGGAAGCTTTTAAAAGTTTAAAGCGCCATAATTTACAATATGCTACCATGGAAAGGCATGGCAAATTTAGGCATGCAAGTTAAGACGCGAGATCCCAGCCGTACGTCCTGGGTGGCCTTGACACCGCTGTTTGACAACTTGCTCCTCAAAGTTCTGCCCCCAATGTCACCACCTGTATCATCAGGAAAAGGGTTTCCAAGCAACCCGCGAGGTTGCACCCTCGGAGGAGGGGGAAGGCACACAGGGTGCACTCCTGGGGCACTGCGCCTGCATGCGGGCGGTCTCCCTACTCGCATGGGGTGAATCCGTGCCCTAGGTACTATGAAATACATTGCAAATACGCAGCCCAACGCATTCGTTGACGCCACTTATAGCGAAAGCATTCAGGAGACGCCCGCTCCGGAAATTGAGGCGGCAAAGTAACTGGCAGAGCCATGCCGTAAACGGCAGCACGAGGATATAACGAAACGAGGTGAGCGAGCATGCTTGCAAGCTGTTGTCTGGGTGGGAAGGGCATCTGCAAAAGCAGCATGTCACAAATGGCTCGCTTGTATCATTGCGCTGAATTCGACATAACCGAGTCCTGAAAGTGTTTGCACCAATTTCCGGTGCCGTTGCACTGTGAGGTTCGAAGCGACATTCATAGTCTTTACAAATGATATGTATATGGTCTTCACGGCATTCACAATCAACTCATATCCTGAACGGATTACCACTGCTACTACGATTGCTACCGGACGCATGTCAATTCCGTACGGCAAAGGTTGTATTGACCGGCACGCGACGCACGCACAGCAGGTTCGCCTGCGTCGCGGAATAACTTATTGATGCGCATCATCGGTGCATGTTTATTTTCTGACGAGGTATCAGACAATAGTCGAGGGCAACGAAATACGCGATATGGGTCGCAGGAACACCCCGACTCAGATGTCAGACTCCAGCATGTCTCCACAGGAGCGATATGATGCAGCGTCCATGCATCCGCTGGAGTTTGCACCCAGAACATGGCTAACGCCAAAGTCCACAGCTGCGTTCAAGGACCAATTAGCTCTCAACACAGCCACTCAGGCCAGCCCTCAACATAATCAAACCGCACAGGGGAACGTGCGCCAGCAAAATGTTGCGCTCAAAACAGTGCCCGCCCGCACCACTCCGCCCGCAGGGTGTGGACAAACTAACCAGAAAGTTATTTTCACAATTGCCAACGCTCCTCAAAATGCTTGCCCCCCTGCTTTGCAGGAGCTCTGTGAGCGTACGTTATAACATCATAGGTAAGAACACATCCAGCATCCAACGGCCAACGCCGGATGAACACCATAGCGACAGTGTCCAACGCCGCCCACAACCTCACTCACAAACACCATTTGGCCTACGCCACGTCCTTAGTCACAGCCTTCCCTCAACAAAGGTGAAGGTGGGATAGAGGCCGCCCTACTAGTCGACCTGTTCCCTAGCAGCTGGTGCACATACACTTGACTAGCGAATCACAATGGCATGAATGACTCGGTGCCTGCTACCCGACCACGGCAGCCGCGCCACTAGTTGGCGTTGAAGATGCAACAGTGGCACCAGTCGATACACAGGACGACAGCAGTCGCTGCAACACCGTAACCAGTGCTGCGGCAGTTGGACGGGTGCGGGGATCACTCGCCCAACATGCCTGAGCAAGTGACCTGGCGGATCACAGGAAATTTGCACGACAGAAAAATGTTGATGGAAACAAGGCAGATTCATTACTCAAGCCAAGCGGATGAGGCCTTACTAGGGTGAGCATGGACACGACAAAACGACTTGCAAGCGAAAAGAAGGAAAAAGCGTGCACGAGATGCAATCTTACCTTTAAAAAACGGCATGGATCCTAAGTGCGTTCAATCAACGGCAACTGAGGGTCGGGACAAGTTACACACTTACAGCCCACCTGAAAGCGCTCGGCGTGTCAGGTGGAAATGCTGGCCTAAGACCCCGTTTGACCACGTGGTAAGGCAGTTTATCAGGCGGTACACCATCGTAGACGTTGCCGCCGGTGTACACTTCCCACATCAGGATGCCAAAGCTGCGCGGGCGTTGCAAAATGAGCGACGTTAACTGGGTGGATCGGGTAAACGCGGCCGAAAACGAGAAAGGCATTCATGCGCTGTTCCCCTACGGCCGCAGGACCTGCCGATGCGGCCCGGGAATTGCGACCCCCGAGTTTCCCGTGCACTCACCTGTAGATGTCCACTGCCGCGTCCAACGGATGCCCCTTGCAAAACATTTCAGGCGCCATGAAGGATGGGGTACCAACCGCATATTCCAGGTTGAAGCTGGGGCGCTGCCCCGGGGCAGGCTCGGCCATTAGCCGTACGCAGCCAAAGTCGGACAACTGCATATCAATTGGAGAAGAGATGATTGGAGAAGAGATGGAAACAGGGGACTAAGGTGGAAGGATTCTCGCGACCAAGGAATGGTGAATGATGTTATAGCATTTTCATCTAGCCATGCCGTATGCTAGCCACGTTATGACCCCTTGTAACTACCGCCATACCGCGCCTGGCCCATCCGCCCCCTTTCCTGGGCGCCTTATCTGTACCACGAGTAAGTTACACAACCTCCGGTTTATTCAACCTGCATTCTGACGCCTGCTTGCTGTCATTCACATTTTGCGTCCTGCTTGCGGCCACCCGCTGCCTGCAATTTCCTGCAGATATCCGCACACCCTCTGAACTCTTGCCCTGCATCCTTCAAACTCCAATGCCTTGTGTCGGATGCGCACGAAGTCAACACCTCTACTACCTGCCACACCGACACGTCCCACTTGTGGCCTTTATTCATTCGATTGGTCTGATTGTTTAGTGCTACTCTTGCTCCGCATGCTGCAATAGTTCCCATGGGTCTCCATGTTTGCTATGCACACTGCGCGCACCTTGCACACCCAGCCACGGGGATCCCGCATGGAGCTCTTGAGCAGAATATTGGAGGGCTTCAGATCTGCAGGCAGGCAGGCATCGGGACAACGGATCCGTTAATAGATAGCAGACATGCAAACAAGCCAGCCCAGCGATCAGAAGAATTCAGGTGCTGCGCTGCCAAAAGGGCACGCGGCGCAGTCCTTAAGAGCCCGTAAGATGCAATCCTCTGTTACGATTGAATCTTAGCCACGCACCGCAATGTACAAGCCGCAGCGCATGGAGGTGCCGAAGCGCCAAGGCGATTTCCATGAGGGTGGTGTACAGAGCCTGCAATCACAAGGGAGCGGTCCGCAGTCCGGTGCCGAATAATATAATTTAAGCCATATATGACGGGTTATGATGGATGTCATCAGAAGGATTAGGTTGTCCTGCAAGCCTGCAGCACTCCTAAACATCATAGCCGCCTCACGTCCACAGCAACGACGTCCGCACCTGCATGTTGGGCCGGGCGCCAGTGGTCCGGAAGCAACCACGCTTGACGGCATGTTTGAGGCTCCCTGCAAGGGAGAAAGCATACACGTGGGTCGAGCAAGGCTGACGAGACAGAATTAGAGCGATACCACGCGGCCAACCTTTTGACACGTATCCGCATGGTGGCATGCGCTTGAGGTGTCGATTATAATCAGCTAGTAAGAATGCGAACGGGCACATAAACGATGCCAACCTTTCCATGTTTTGCCGGGCTTCACATCATAGCCACCAGCCCAGACACCACCCTGCCACAAGTATTCCCGCTTTAACAGTCAAGCCTACCTCACAAGTCTTAATTGTCGGTGCGTGAAGTAAAATCCTAAATTTCCAATTGCCGACGCAGATCAAACCTATAGGGGCGGCCCAAACGGAAAAGCAGCGCAGCTGAAAACCCTCACCCTTACCCGCATCGCAATACTCCATGCAAATGATCATGTTGGAAGGCCCTGTCACGCCGCCGTTGTCCGCTGCGCCATTGGCACTCTGCCCCTTGGCCTTGGGCAGCAACTTGAAACGGTCGGGTTGGCCTACGTACTCCACCACCATGACGTCTACGAAGTAGCTGAACACCTGTGACAGTGGGACATCAAGCGTGAGAAAGGGATATAGCCTTAGGTGAGGGTACTGATTAATGAAGACCGGCTCCGCTGTCGCTATCTGAAGGAGCCCCAAAGGGGACGCGGGTAACCCCTTAGTCCAAGGCCTTGATACGGTTAAACCTTACATATTGTTATTGGGAACTGGCAGAGGCGACAGCGCACAGTCCGGGCTAGGTATGCCTGGCTTCTGAAGCTGGGAAAGCCCTGACCGCCCAAGATGCTTCAATCGCTCGCGGTAACGAGAGAAACAGAAAGAGGTTGATCCACTGCCGGCCTCATGCCTTCCCTTCCTTCCCTCTTGCTCCGCGGTAAACACGAATGAAGCCATGTTTGTGCGCTACTTGAGTAACTAGCAGTTGTAAAGGCGCAGTACATGCCAAGCCACCCAATTTCCCGCGTCCTTAGCGCATAGTATCCTATATTAAAAACCGAAACAGAAATAAAAAACCGAGACAGAAAACAGCAGCACCCAACTCGCTGGCTCGCGTGGAGAAGCCTTACCAAGCCCCTACATGCCCCTTTGCCCTCTGCAACAAGTTTCCTTTGGCTCCTGCGGTGGCATTACCTGCACGATGTTGGGGTGACTGATGGACGTGGTAACGGCGAGCTCCGTGGCATCCCGCTTCAGCACGCGCTTGAGCTTAATCATCTGTCCCTCATCGTCAATATCGTACACCTCGTCAGCACCTTCTTCAGTGCCAACAACCTGCTTCGTGCGAACCCAGTCCCGAGGGTGAACGCAGAAAGGCAGGACAAGCCAGGGCTCAGATAGGATCTTGGAGCAGGCTTGTATGTGTGCGGCAGCTCCCCACCGCTTCAGTGAATTACATCCTAACCGCGTATGCAAACAGGCTCATTTGATTAGGGCCCCCGTCGTCATTTACAACACTGCGGCCATATGTGGTTTAAGGTCCTGGGTTCGATTCCTTGGTAGACCCCCGATATTGTCGGGAACATGCGATTATGGCTAGCTGCTGAGATGTGGAGTCGAAGTAACAGTTAATGGACTAAGATTCGCACGCTGGATAGGTGGCGACTGCTGAACCCTCTGTCTATGCGGATGTTCGGGTGACTGGATGAGGAGGGATCCTACCGCCGTGGACTTCCAGTTCGTATGGCGTAGTACAGTGTGGTAATGGTGGATGGCGCTGTATGGTGATAAATCATAGAAATGATAATATGTTCAAGTGGCCCAGAAGCCTCCCACTCTGTAACAGCAACAACAACTTTCCCACGCAACCCAACGCAATCAATTATAAGCCTCTTTGTCCAACGTGCCTTGATCGCCACCTCGAGACCATGTAAGGTTCCGCAGAACACGACGCCCTGACCGCCCTGACCGATCTGCTTCAACAGCTCCACACCGTTGACATCGTCCTGTAACCCCTCCCTGTGGAAAAAGGTGGGGGCCGCCCGGGCAAGAAGTGACGCAAGTACCCGATGGAGTAATGGTGAGCCATGTACCTTCATTCTCCTGAACGCCGGAAGCCCGCGGACACTAGCTTGCGCACAGTCCTCAGCGACCACAGCTCCTGGAACAGGTGAAGATGTGGCTGCTATGCCAACGCCGTTCCCGACCTACACAGCTTGACTGAGCGAACCCAACCTGACCTTAACCCCACAGGTCAACTTACGCTTCCAGTGCGGCCCGTTGGGATAGCACTTGATTAAGAGAGGAGCGTATTGAAGACACCATCATCCCGAGGTTCGATCGCGGTGCTGCCGCAGAGGATGCAGTGATGCCAAACGACAAGTTGCGCCGCGCTGTCGTGCTTGAACTCGCCGCCAGGCCTGGTCAATACCACATCACAGACAGGCAAAGCAGAAGGTAAGGCCGTGAACTGGACACTCGCAGTGCAGAGTCGAGGACACAAAATTTAGCGAACATAACCTAAACTCGCAAGCATTCCAATGTCACGGCATATGCGCGCCCGGCAACAAAATCAGCTCCAGTGGGCAGTTCCTGCCCTGAAGTACGCTACCTAATTAAAAAATGTTTTTCAACGAAGCCCTGATTGCATCTAATAATAATTCCTATTACCAGCTAGTAACAGATAAGTTGCGGCATGCTCGCAGCTGTCCACGCCTCGGAACTCCTGCCTTACGCGCGCTGGTCTTTGCACGCTTGTCCCAGCCGTGCATGGGCGGCCATACTGACCACACCGACACTCACCATACTGACCACACCGTCAGTGACCACATGACCATACTGACACTCACCGTCATCGTTCAAAGCGCCTGTGGTTGGCGCCGACGGTAGTGGACCAGCGCCTTGGTTCACAAGGCCCGACATCTGACTCTGCAACTGCGAGGGCGGTCCCTGCCCAGTTTCCCTAGCGACGGCGTTGGTCGCAGCGGTGCGAGGCATGATGGAGCGAGGGGTGCAACTGGTTGAGACCGCAATAGACGACGGGTTAAGGTGGAAGTCGTGTAGCGTGGACCACTCGTCGCTCAACTCGCCGCCTTGGAACAACAGCTCCTGAACTGTCAGCAAGCACAGCTGCAACGAGCCAGCACGGACGTTGGTGGTCCGGGAGTTAATAGGTCTAGAGCGTTGGGGACAAGGAAGGGGAAGTGCATGCTCGTAACGCCCATTTCGAAGCACGAAGTGCACTACGGGCATCGAGAGGCCGCGTCAGGCGGCATCCTGTTGTGCCTGTTTGCGGAAATGGAGCAACTCGACAGATGAAAACACTCCAGCAACCTAGCACGTGGTTCTTAACCTTACGAACTTCACCGTGCATCCAGACCAACTAAAGCCTTTGTCCAAGCAACACCGCTCGCTTGTAAGGGCAAGCAGCTAACCAAAGCAACCAGCCACCCTTACGCATATTGACAAAAGCCAAAAGCAGCATGCAAAAACAACCCTGCATATGTCCTCTTGGACGGCTTTGGTCCTCCGCATACCATGATCCTGCTTAAGAACAGGCTGGAGAAATTCGCCCTACGTCCACATCCGAAAACCCGCCCGCTCTGGAGCACAACCCCCTGACCTTCAATGCCTGGTGTACGGCGGACAGGGCCGACTCCAGAAGCGGCTCCGGCAGCGGCTCACGGCACGTGAGATAGGCAGCTAGGAGCGGCACACCCCCAGGAGACACGCCGGTAACCAGGACCAAGCTGCCAACGTCCGCAACGCCAACCCGATGGCACAAGGAAACGTCACGGCCACGGTTGCTCTCATCCTGTGGGCCCGAGGTGTCACACCAAGAGGCTCTTCAAAACACAGAACGGGTGTTTATTGCACACTTCTATGTACAACCAAAGCTGCTGTAGGGAAAGGATGTTGCAAGAACAGACGCTGCAGGCTTTAAATCTTCCCAAAGCATGGCGGCTCGCAGAGGCCACCGCTGACTGGCGCCGCTCGGAATCAGTCAGAAGCTAGCGTGCTCGCATCTGAGGGACAAACTGTGTGCAGCGCTCCGTACCTACACGACCAACGGTACCAGTTTCAAGGGGCCCCCATTGCAATCTGGTTTCGAAAAAAGGCCCTGACATCTCTCATTAACGGAAAACCGCAGACACGTCACTCCACTGGAAGCCGCTTTGGTGACAAAAGTGCCATACACATTCGCACCCCGCATCTCCCTTGTCCTTCTTTCCTGACTCCCCACTGAATTGCCGAAGACTGACCTGCATGTATTCGCTGCAGTTCTGGATGATTGAACCGCCGTACAGCCGTCGGTAGCGTCCATTGTCCACTCCCGTCAGAAGCTTCAAACAGGGACAAAATTCGGCAAATGAATTTGTTGTTACATACCAGAACGAGTGACACACAGGTGGCGACTCACCCGCTCGCAGAGCCCAATGACCGCCTAAGCAAGCCATCACCAGGAAATGTAATAGGTTGACAGGGCAGGACATAACAGGACAGCGCATAATCAGGCGAAGCCGCAGCTATTCTGGCACTGTTTTCCTCGTGTTGTCAATCGTACACATAGCCATCCAACAACCTGGTTGGGCTGTGCCAACCCTCCAACAACCTCACTTGCCTGATCACCTTATGCTGCATCGCCTGAGATACAGTATGCCCACCATACGCTCACCCTTAATGAGCATCCCTGTTCGTAATTCCGCTCATTCCATCCCAGCCCAGTCACGACAGCTACTGCCAACAAGAAACGCGTCACCATGGATAGCAAATCAACTAACCTGAAGCATCAACGTGTGATTTAGATGTGTCACGTGCGCCTTCAACGTCCTGGTTTGAGCATCCTGATTCTCCCCCGGTGTACTCGAGGGCGCGAGAGGCCACAGCCTCGAGTCACTGCGCGGAAGAGCAAGTATTCAGGTTGGGGGGGGGGGGGGGTAAAGGCAAAAAAGAGGGTTCGGCCTGGTAGTTAATGGCAACACTGCGTGTGCTTACAATATAAATGCTGGCAAGACAAGGAAATGGCAGCCAACGGTCCATATTCTGGTCAACCCTAGCCCGAGTTAAGCCAATCTGTACAGAATGCAGGTCCCGTCGCTTCCATTTCTCGCCATGGGCATTTCTACCTCGACTAGAGGCCTTATTTTCAGCACGAAAAGCGCCCAGCTTGCCGACCGAGCCTGACGCAAGCCCCTAACCCGTATGAAGGCATCCAACCCAAGATGAGGCCCTATCCCCGATCCTTTCCCTGTCGGCATGCTCTATAATATGCATACCCTCTCAGGTATCCAACATCCTGCTCATTCACCATCGTTTTCCAACGCAACACCTCACAGCCTCGTGTTTAAAAAACGTTCCCGGCATGCCGCAGCAGCTTCCTTCCCCATCATTCCCAACCCCCAAAATAAAAGAGCTCCTTACAGCTCCGTTTCTCCCCGCGCCGTGTTGCCCTCCTTGACGACCGCGCCCTCACGGGACCCGACATCCTGGAAAATTGCGGCAGTGATTGCCGACCGATGCAACAGCATTGGCGTGGCGCAGAAATGCATCGACGTGGCACGGTATGTTAAATCCTGCAACCCAGCTGACACCGCGCTGATGAGTTTGCTGATCGTATCGCAGCGCCGCAGCGCCGCTACCAGGTCCACGACGGCCTGCGGCAACGACACCATCTGCTTGTCTCCCGTCGCTTGCACCGACAGTCCATTGCCCCCGCCAGATACTACCGGCGATGCTGCAGGAGAAAGCAGCATCAGGTCTGGCAAATGGTGCGGCAACCAGTTAGGCATCGCGGACAGCTTGCCATTGGCGGTAGAGGCAGCATTGGCAGAGCCTGCAGTGCGCCCGGCGTCGAGGGCTGCTGGCAAGCCACCAGTGGACTCCACGGCCGAAGGGGACGTGGCAGTCGCGCCCAACACGGCGGGCTGTGCGCCACCGAGGCCAATTTGTAAGGCGCCCGCCAGTTGTCCGCCAGACTTCAAGGGTAGTACGGCACAATGCTGCATGCCTGTAAGAGCTGCAAGATGCCTCAGGTCCGGAGGGCTGCCGTCGCCGGCAGCCTCAATCCCTGCCCCCACAAGTGCGCCAATGTCCACGCTCCATGTGAACGCAGTCTGCGGGCACAGGGATGTGGGCCAAGATACGCATGCCGTCATCCAAAATCGATATTTGTTTAAAGGGACCTCATTTGGAGTAGGAACCGTATGCGCATGGCAACGTACGTAGCTACACTGCGAGCTTGCGATGCGCAGGTCTTGCCTGGGCTGCCTTGCAGAGCCAGAGCACAGAAATTAGTGAGTAAAGAAACGCGAAAGCCTTGACCACAGTCAGCAGCCTGCTCTGTTTGGTTACATGCATTCACTTGGGGCCCTTCCCCACGGACAAACCTCCGTGCCACGGCGCCGGATCATGGGTACCGTACACAGCTAAGGCACATGCGCTATGAAGACGTGTTCGCATCAACATTTCCTAGACGGCGCGGCATGAAGTTAGGACATGTACAACGAGTCGCTGACATGCCCAGCCTAACTGTATAACTGTATAAGTAAAAAGCTTAGTTGGTATTCCATGAGTTGGCACCCACTCATTCCATGCCTATCCTTACTTCGCGGGTCGTAATTCGTCGCAGACTCGAGCCTGGCTGACCCTCCGGCGACGCCACAGAGACGCTGTGACCCTGTGGCTGTACTGCTCGCAGAATTCCGCCTGACGCCAGCACAACCGCAGTGCATTTATCTGACGAGAAGGCCCAGATGCTGCGGTAGAGACATAAGGAGCCCGTGCAAAAAAAGAGGTCACGTTGCCACTTTGCCACGCCATCGCAGGCAAAGCGACGTATGGTGTATGTCAGAACACGTGGGACCCGGTAAGGAGGCATAATTTTCATAGAGATATGAAGAGGTCGCGGGGAAACGACATTTCCGGTTACGATGGCTGTATCGCCCACGCCGTTTACAGGTCCAGGCCCGGTGCTTGCGGGGCTCACTAACCGTAGATACAGCGTCCTATCAGCCCGCTCATGACTCATCTCCCAGGCACTCCACGCCGTGCTTCTTACTCAATTCTTACCTCGCTAGCGTTGCACCGAGGGAACTTGCCAACATATCGGCACTCCTTTGTGCACGTTCCAGCCATGGTCCTGACACGTCTGCTAATCGCAGAGCTACGTCCGCTAATTCCTGTGAAGGAAATAAATATTTTACAACTCGAGACACCTAAAACAGCAGATTACCAGTGGTCATACCTCACGCGATCGCCAAGGAGGTGGAGGGTCCGGTTGCACCAGCCCAGCATTAGGAGCAGGAACTGAAGCTGCTATAAGGTTTTCAAGAGAGGAAGGTGATTCCTTTCCAGCCAATGAAGTACTAGGCCCTGAGGACTCTCCCTGGTGCTGAACCGGTGGTAAGCTTTTCTGCTCGGGCCCATATGTAGAAGCTTTAGTCTGGACATTTTTCTTCGAGCCAAAACAACCAAACCAGCTCATTGCAACTGCGTGCTATCGGTGCGCTCGAGGCATGTTGACCCCTCGTTTTCCAATAGCTATTAGACCCTTACTGTGGCATTCTTAGATAATTCCGGTATCGCGTGTGTCGCTTTCAAGTACGACTGTTACCGACTTGTACTGATGTTTTTGTACTGCGTGCATCATTAGGAGCGCCAGCCATCCTTGTCTCTTATCATAAGGATTATTCATCTATGGAGAATTGAATTGCAGGCGATGCAAGAGCATCGTATGGGTGCGTCCGGACTAACAAGGTACCATGGGCGCGGCGCCGCGCACTTCGTCGTCTCCGCCTGCCACCATCCAGAATGTTGATTCAAGGACATTACTCTTGATTGGTCAAATGCAACGTCGACTAAGTCCTGATGCAGGGGTTCACGCAGTAGGTGCATTCGATGCATGATCGCACTTACAGGATGCATTACTGAGCATTGTAGAGAGAATAGGACGCTTGTCGCCTGGCCCAACAGTGCCGCAGCACTTCCGCCGGCACATTGGGCACGTGTAGTAGCTCTAGACAGTACGGCACACCTTCCTTATGTAAATGCATGCTAAGGCGTAAAGCATACTAGGTGTTTGGTATTCAGTTAGTTATTAATCAGTAAGCGCGCTACAATAAAGCGCGCTACGTTGAAATGTACCTCGTCTGAGCGACGACGTTTGAGCGCCATTTCGGAATCGTGTGCTAGTTAACACGATAACATTGCTTAGTTTGCCATGTCAACTTTAGTGCGCTCCTGTGGTGTGCGAGTCGGCCCAAGTCGCTCTACCCTAAGGGGGTGTTTCCGCTTGGCTTAACATTCACCGATTAAGGTATTTAATCCGCGCCAATCCGCCGTAATCCGCGAGAAGTGTTTCATACGTGTGGATTAAGTCACGGATTGTTGAAGTACAACATTTGCCTTTCCATGCATAAAATACAAAAATGAGTATTGCTGGACATTCAAAAGGCTATCGAGTATCATCATGAAGGCCTTGCAGCACCTTCGAACGACACCCACGGTGTGGTGCATAATGCCGAAAAAGAAGCGCAAAGCTTCCACAAAGCTAGGAACACCTACAGCCTTTATATAGGATAACCTTCCAACCTAACAATTAGGTTTTTGATGAGGGATTGTAAAACGTGTTAATCCGAGATTGTCAATTTGGTACTTGGTGGCCGTTTTTGCACCGAGTTTTTAGTATAGGAAGAGCTTTTATATGTATATCGAGCTTTTAGTATAGGAAGAATATGCGCATTTTATAACATGTTAAACTGTATTTAATCCGCGAAGCGCGCGGATACTGGCGTAGATATCGAAATAATCCCGCCAATCTTAATCCACCGAATTGCCCTGGCAGGGACATTCCAACAGTCAGGATTAGCCTGACAGGGACACGAATTGGCCTGGCAGGGACATTCCGACAGTCAGAATTAGCCTGTCGGGGTGTCGAATTGGTGTGGCAGGGACATTCGGACAGTCAGAATTGGCCTGTTCGGGGCGTCGAATTAGGGAAGCACAGGAATTGTGCGACCGGGGCAGTCCAAAGAATTGCCTCCCCGACCTTGTCTCCTACCCTCTAGGATTACGTTAACCTAATCCGTCCTAATCCGCGTGATGTTTCCATATGCGACTGATTATAAGTCTTAAGTGTAACTAATTGGTATCCCAACTTGGATCAGAGCCCATTCCCTTTCATTAGGCATTTCGGCCAGTATATTTATAGGCATTTTCAGTGGGCAGCTACCACAATAGGTATCGAGACTTCGTACATGTCTTACACTGATAGTACATAGTAGATATCATGGTGGACGACCAGGTCAACCATAATGACCTTCTACATAATCTCGTGACAGAAAATTGACTAGTTGTGATTGACTAGGAAGACTCTCTGCTTGAACCCTACAGACGGCTGGCCGCATGAGAGCCGGCTCATGACGTGACGTGGATTGAGCATCCACTGCCAAGGGTGGGAGGTGGTAGGCACAGGCTGATGTGGCCGCGAAGGGCCCAGTTAGATCTCTTCAGCTCTACTATACCCATAGCCTTGCACGCAGAGGGGGGGGAAATGTAGTAGCTGTAGATAAGTACGTATGTGATATGTGTACCACAATAATCGTCTGTAAATATGTGCTAAGGATTCCGCCAGCACCTTAGGAGGTCTTTTCAGCAGCCAGCTACAATAACAGGTATGCGACCAACCCACCTCACGGCCTTCGTATTAGGGCGCAAGGTTCCGACATACCATGTAAAGAGTCGCATGAGGACGCTGCAGCATGCTTAACTGACATCTTTGGGATCATCCATCGTATCAGCGTAGAGTGGAATTCCCCGACTAGTGCATTGGGCCAGTCAATTTCATGAAACGTTCAACACCCATGTACCAAATTTAGTGATAATATCGAACACGGAATAAATGGACTCCAAGGAAGGAGCATATCAACTTTTTTCAAGATAATGCACATCTGTAACTGCACTAACCGCTGAGATCAGCGCGGTTTGGGAGTTGGGTGCAGCCGTCGCTGGTACCAGTTATAGCGCCGGGGTTGCATGTCATCGACAACTGGCCTCGACTGCACCCTACCTAAAGTTGCCTGTGTTACAGGTTGGGGTTCTGTGAGAGATCGGTGATAGTTGGTTACGACACAGCCAGGAAGCGTTGCATTATAATTTTCCTTACGAAATGGCCCGATGGGTAGTTAAGGTTGCCATGCCCACCGAAAAGGTGGCAAGAACCAAGATGTTGAACGAGAATGGACGCGCGCTCGGCCTGTGCAAAATTTAAAGAATTTCGCAACGCGGCACGAGGTCAGGAAGGTCAGGAGCGGCGATTCGCTTCCAAGCGATATGCCACCAGCCAGATCAAATGAAGGCCAACACAGCTAGGCAAAAATGCAAGGAAGATGAGGAAGAAGGAAGAGCGGACGAGCAGCTCGTCCTGTGTTAGGCATTGCGATACGCAACTATAAATCAGGGAAGTTGATCGAAGTTACCTCCCCCAACCGATTAACTTTATGGAGAAAGAAAGACGTAAATGGAAATTCTCTACGCGGCCGGAATTTCTACCAGCTTGTGCCACTACGGTGCCCGGAACTTCGGAAAGTATTGGCAGTCAGTACGTACGGTGGCAAGTGCGAAGGTAAAATATGTTAATACTGTGAGACGGAGTAGCGAGGATTGCACAGGAAGCATTGGGTTCGCGTAACGGTAAAGATGTCACGTAAAGACGTCAGGAGGGCAATGTGAAGAGAGGAGCAGGAAGAAATAGTGAAGAGATGATAAATGAGCATGCGTGAGCCAGGAAGACGGGTACAGAGTTACACTGGAATTATCTGACAGTACAATAGCTGAATTGGGAAGGTGCACACTCCCTGATACTCAGCTATCCTTGGAACTCTTTATGCTGGGCAAACCTAGATACGCGTAGCGTGCGGTTGCCTGTAAGCCCTAATTATTCCTTGGCATGGAAGCTTCCCCTGACCCCGACAAAACATATGCCTAGACGCCCCCGTACTGCTGGGCGTGGATGCCAGATGCTTTGGCTAACTGCTGCGGCTCCAAAACATGAACGTGGGTGCTTTGCATGCATTTTCCCACAGCGGCACGGAACCACCGTCGTGGCGGATAAAAGCGTTTATTGTAAAGCACTGGAACGTTGGTTCCGTGTCCTCTCCCTGCGCCCCTTTCCAGATGATCCCAGAAGCTTGGGACTGCATTGAAACAGGGAACAATCCGACCACTCAGCCTGTTCACACTAAGAAACCTGATCCCGATGGCATGGGGAGCAATGGGCCACCGACACAAGGCCCCCAGAGAAAAATAATCAGGCGGACCCAACAGGTCACCCCTTACCTATTAAGGCTCACACGTTACGCTAAAATTAAGAGCACCAGGACTGCCACCTGTTAATCAACACTGCCATGTCTGTAAGGCAAACGCGAAGATCACAACTAGCACTCGAACTCCGGGCAACCACCAACAACCCGTAGGAAGTAGCGTGCGTAGTTGGCATGTTGCCTTAGCCGCAATTGTTTCCAACTGTACACATGTCAAACCGGTGGCATGCCCCGTGACAGGTACCACGCCGTATGCAGCCCGCAAGTCAGAGTCTCGTATGTACTGGTTTGACTGGTACACTGTACCTCGAGTATCGACACCTACCGATCTGCATCCTATAGCCAACCCCACCGCCATCACCGCCCCTCCGGCGGCCGGCCAGGCGTGAGCCCTAAAACGTCCTCATCAACGCTTTCGTGTAACGACGACACGTTATGCGTGCGTGCTAGCTCTGGGCCTATGCCGTCGGAACAAGCCGCCGTCCAGTAACCAAGCTTGGGGCGCTCCGAGTCTGCCCTGGAAATATGTACACGGCAGAAGGAAAAGGCCGCATTCAGGAAAACCGAAAGAAGCATGCACTGATGGCTACACCGATGAAGCTGACAGGGCAATCATAGGGAGAGCCTTAATCACAGTTCTGAGTGCACTCCGGAATCATCCGCTCATCCCAAGGTTCCAAGCAACAGCAAGTCTTACGCTTGGTGTGCGAACATTGCTTTTATTGAAACAAATCAGATCCCAGCCCCTGTCCTGCACAAGCTAAACTTGCAGGATTGGCTAGAAAATGATGAGTTCCTGCAATCTATTGCTCAGCTTACTGAGCAAGGTTATGCTTCGCAGAACCTGCATGAGTATTGAGTATGAGCATGAGTATGAGCATGAGTAATCTTGCATGCTTTTATCAATAATTCCATAAAACCCAATTCACCAATGCTGTGATTTGCCCTCGCAAATCCTACACCCACAGCTGTCTAGGCCTTTGAACACACAAGAATGGTTTGAAAGAACTTAGCACGGAGCATCAGCCCGCTTGCGCCGTCCGCGCGCCAGTAAACCTGGCCAGAGCTTGGCAATGGCGATGTAACGTGCATGCGGTACTAGAACGAAAGATGAGCGTAACGAAGCTTTTCTCTCGTCAACTTACCGTCTGTACTTTTTGTGCCGGCCCTCCTTCGTGGCTGGACTGTCCGGCCGGACGGTGGGTCCCCCGAACAGGCAATCCGCCTGGGGCCCAACAGGCGGTAAGCCCACTGCATTGAGACCTGCGTGATGCAGTAAAACCCACGCGACATTGTTGGCCCAAGATAACCAAGCTCTGTACCCAGGATGTAGAACATATGGTGCGCCTTGACCGGTGCACTTAATTCCTAGAAAGCTGCAAGCACAGGGATGTAGTGCAAGTGCTGGTTTTCAATCAGAAAGCTGAGTGACATTCTTACCTCCGACAGCGTCGTAAGATATCCGCATCGCGTTGTCGTAGTGCCCGCTGCCCGGAACGGCAGCAGCCTGCGTTCATGGCCTCGCAAAGTTATGTTCCGCCCAGGAACCATCTCACAGAAGTATGCTTTGCAACTGACAACTGACATACCTTTGCCTGCTGCTGGCTGTGGCTATACATGGCGTAATCGTCACTGTATTCGTCAACTTCCTGCACATCAATGTACAATTCGCAGTCCGTTATGCATTGTCAAAGCTTACGTTCTTCCCTTGAAATGGCCGCAGAAGCAAAATGCATTTTGCTTTCCAAAGCATCTGCTCCGTGCCATATTAAACATCTGGGCTTGGAGAGCCTCAAAGGCACCTTGTACCATGCCTCGCGTTTGGCGTGGACTTGAACCCTGAACTCCATCCGATGGCCACATGTGCGTGCATGCAGGCACACAAATCCCCGCTGCACGCACCGTACCAAACTACCAGAGAAAAAACGATATTACGCCGTTATAAGTACGCCCAAAAGCGCACCTCTGGTACCCAGCGGACTGGCTCCATAACGCCCTGGCTGCGGCAAGGACCCTCCAGTCCTGATCGCAACAAAACAGCGTCGTTGTCTCCAGCAGCACTCCTTGGGCGTGGTGTGCCGACCTCCATAGGCAGCAGCCCGTCTCCCTGTGCTAAGCTGTTGCTTGGTACATCCACGTCCATGTCGGAAGGCGCGACGGGCTGTTACAAAGCAGCCGGGTGTTGGATACAAAGGTGGTTTAGGTCACAGGTTGCACGGTACCAAGCACCGCAACCATATAACCTGCGGCTGACGAACACATAACCGAATGCAGCCGTGCCAAGATTACCCGGGCCTCTCGGCCAAGGATAGGCTCGCTGATCGCGAGCGCGCGTGCGGCCCAGAACATCAAAGCGCATCACAGACCTGTTATCGCCTCATACTTCCATTCGCTAAATGCCAGGAGTCCTTCTAAAAGATGTGCACGCTGCAGGTGCAATGCTGTCTATGTAGCAGGTTGACGTCTCGTTCGTTACCGGTATCAACCTGACAAGGCAACCCACCAACTAAGATTCCGCAGAAATGCAACGGCAACTAGATCTGTCTAGAATGGACGGGAGACCAACAGCTATTCAGGATGGGAGACCGACAGCGACGCACCATGCATCAACTTTGCAGAAGATACTCTTCAGCCTTTGATTGTCCCAGTGTTCTTGGCCTGCCATTGACAGCCATTCACCTCCACTACACACTGAAACTTGGTGCACGAAGGACGCTCGCCACTGCTATCTGATTGCATCCACCCACCTGCTGCACCAGGGGCCCCGACAGCTGATCACGCGTCGGCAGTTCGATTTCTCCTGTAATCGATGATCGCTTCGCGTTAATCCGTGCCGCCTCAGCATCCAGCGGCGCGGGATCAAGCATAATCAGCAGTTCGACCGGCTCCTGGCCTGGGGCGTATATGCATCAGCGCGTAGGGCCAAAGGAGAGGTCAGCGTAGACACAAACATTAACCAGACCGCTCACAATCTGCCTTACCTTGCCGCACCTCCACCACCGGACCCGCGCCCTCGAACTTCCGGAGGTGGCATGCTGCCCTGTGCGCAGCCGCCACGTATGCGTCAGGGCAATGCTCTCCCCGCCACACGTACGTGGGCCCCCCAGGTGTTTGCAGCACGAAGGCGCCTCGGGGGTCCAAGTCCCGGTGGGTATTGTTGGGGTACTGCTTCGGCGGAGTAATGAGTTTTGGTACCTGCGATGTCAGTATTCATGCTCAACTGTTTTCCCTGCCACCATAGCCTAGTATGTGGAAAACCATGGAACGTTGCCTTACTACAAAAAGCACTGTGTCCCTTACAAGGTAGTTTGGCGCATGGACACAGTGCGATGCGATGCGGTACATGCGCATCCTGGACTTGGCGCTGGCAGCACGTTTTTGCCATTGCAACAGCTGGCACGTGAACCCGATGTTGGGATTTGCCACGCCACGAACTGCTTTCACCGCCGCGAAGACCTGGGGGTACATCAAAAATGTGATCGCTTAAGCATAAGTGTTGCATGCAGATACATGAGTTCTGAAGTGCAGCTGCTTGGCGACCTAACAGAAGGCTGTCAAGCAAACCTCAGGGACGATACGTTCGTCATCATGAGCTGGTGCCTCTCTCCACTTGCAAAATGTGGAAGCCGGACCACCAATCTTGTTTGCAAGTTTCGGCTGGCCTTTGGGCCCAAGCTTTTGCACTGAGTTTTGCGGACCCGACCATACACGGCATGGACCCCACTGTAAGGCTCTCCACTGATAGGGTTCACCTCATCATACGGCTTGCCGCTGCGCCACATTATGTACGCAATCACCAACGTAGCTGAGCGGCTGACCCCCTGGCTGCAATGCACCAGGATGCGTCCACCGGAATGCAGTGCGCTGTCAATATAGTCCAGGCAGTCGTACAGCACGCACAAGATATCTTCCGCGGGTGTATCTGCACAATACACGTAACGTGTCAGCTGTGGGCACTTGGCTTCTAGTCACTAGTGACGCGGCGCTATGCAATATGCTGGTGTAGTGCACTTCGCCCATGTAGGGGTGTTGGGGTGGGGACGTTGCGTCGACTCCTGGGGCGCCCACCTTGCAGGTATAGTGTTTTGTACGTCAACTCATCCTTAAAATACTCCTTGCATATGAAGCCAACGCAGTTGAGCACATGTGTGACACCCGCCTGCCGCAGGGTCTCCCTGTTCTTTGCCACATAGTCCCCAGATAGGAATAGCCCCGCTGACACCTCAGAGCAATGCTTCTCGAAGAAGAGATACTTCTGCCTTCGCAGTTGTGTTTCGCTGGGTGCGGCATCTTCAACTGGGAGCGAGCGCAGGTCCAAAGTACGCAAGGCGGGGCGCTGCAGTGCTGTGGGTGAAACGGCAGAAGTAGAAGCTGCAGACTCCTGGTTCATGCGCTCGATTGTGCTCCAAGTTGAGGCAGAGCAATAGTGCGACCTAAACAGCGGGAACCGCGGCCCAGGACCGTGAAACGAGTCGGGTGGTGGCTCGTCTGCTACAAGAGCCGACATGAGTTAAGTGTAGGCTAGGTTGTGTAAAATACGATAGCTCCCCTTGCAAAGTCAAGGCGTATCATTAGGCTTGCGGAGATACCGTCATCAGCAATAACGTCGACAAGTGAAGGCAAATTTGTTCTATCATACTTTACTCCCATTCAAAACACAGCTACTCACAACTTACAGTTGAAGGGTCAAAATGACGACCTGCCGTACGTGGTCCTTTATTTGCAACTCGGAATGCAATCGTCTCAGCTTGCATAAAGCAGCACGCGATGTGAGATAATGATGCCATCCCAAACGTTTTGCGGATGTATTCCAAATGAATGTCATTTTGCTCCCCCGAGGCTTTAGGAGCATTTCCTTTCGTTGCTCAAGAAGAACATGCAGCCTGACGAATTAGAGATTAACAGCTCGCTTTCGTTGCTTGGTGAGTAGGTAGGGACTGTCGCAGAGGCAAAACAGAAGAGGGCACCAAGGTCGCGTTCATGAATAGCTTAGAGAGCACCGTGTCACCAACAGCTCAAATCCTTAGCGTAGTTCAGGATATGACAATAACCCCACCCTTCACGTTCCTGAGGGCGGAAAGACTCCAAGATACGTCGCACCCTTCCACACATACCTAACATGTATGTCGGTCGGTCGTGGGAACCGTTGGGTTGGTTCCCTCATTAGACCGTACCGCAGGCGAGAGCCCTGGCCGCACGGGGTTCCCTGTGTGGAATTATCCTAACGAGAATACTTATTCCTGGATGGATTGCGTGGCATCGAACGGTGCATGTAGGGGAGTTCGCGGTGCGCTTCCGAAGCAAAGCTGGTATTCAGAGAAGATGCGCTTGAGGTGCTACACTGCGAGGGCCGAATCAGCATTAGGGCTTCCTTTCCCACATCACGGAAGCAAGCCATTCTGCACAAACCCGGAGCGAAGCTACCCCCTGGGGCTTTGCCATTTTGTCAAGGTTGCTCACTACCGCGAGGGCCTGCATCCCTGCACGCAGAAAGTGCCATCAGCCAATAGCATCAACATGACAGCATATCGCAACCAGCTTACTCCTAATCTGAGTGTAACATGACTTCACCAACGGGCATTAGTCCCCTTGGAGATTCCGTCTTACGCGTTTCACTCGTGGTCGAAACATCGGTATCGAGGACCTGGATCCGAAACCAGGGTGTGTACGCATGTGTTCCGTGGGATGGTCGATCTTTGCTCGTGCAGTTTTCATGCACTCTACGCTTCTTGCTTTGTGAAGATGCGCGGATTTCGGGCATGTAACGTGCAAGCGATATTGTGTGCACGGATTTCGGGCATGTAACGTGCAAGCGATATTGTGTGCACGGACCTTCCGCCGTGTTACTTGTTTGAGCCATAGAAAACTATGTATTGTTGCGGTGTAGTGTCAACTCACACCCTACGGAAGAAGCACCTAGACATGTCGACTTTACCGCGCGAACAAACCAACAAACCTCCAGGCCCTAAGTCCGCGTGAGTTGTACCTGCGTGCCTCCATGTCAGCGCGCCTGCGTGCGGTGCAGTCGATAACCCCCTATCCCAGGGTGATAGGCCATGCATGTTATTATGTTAATATGCTGGATTTACTCGTGGCCATGGCGCCTGCGTAGCAAGAACCACGGCTGTGTTTTAACAGTTGATTCCACGGCCCTCTGCCTGCTTCGCCCTGCAGCGCTGCAGTGACTGGCAGGGGGCCTGTGCCATTTGCCAGCATAGAAAAAACGGGCACCCTACTTCTACAGCTTGCCCACACCAACACGCGATAAACACTGCACACATGTTTCGAAGAGCGTTGTAACATTGCGAACGGAACCGGAAGAGTTTCTTTAATCATTTCAGCTTGCCTCGGATGGCATCCGCACTAGCGGTAGGCCAACTGCGGTACAAACTGTCACCTGCTGCTCGGCCATCACCCTGCTCGCTCAGCTTTATTGGAGACCTCGCACTTGTCCGCTACGTGAACGCCTTAACACTGCGGCTGTGTTGTTAAGGATTGCAGTAATCGAGGTTAAAGAACCGTGGTTCTGGGTCAATGACCCTGATATTGCATTGCATGGCGTTACTCGGTAATGCTATTCTGAGATATGCTTTCTGCGAAAAGGATAGTAGTAACCCTTCAACCTCCATTGGTGTTTCCCTCTGAAAATTCCAACAAGGGAATATCCACAGCTCGCCATGGCGACGTCACAGTTTAAACGCACCGCATGAAAAGCGGTTGAGCAGACCACGTGCACCACAGCAGCTCTTGCGACCAGATTCATTCCCGCACCTCAGCTGCACAGCCACGCGGCACACAGGATCCTCGCGTCACAACAATTCCAAAAATGCTTCACAGACACGGTCTTCCACAGGGCCACGGGCTCCAAATTTAAACACGAGCATTCTCGTTTGCGACAGAAATTCCCAGGCATTTCGGGTTTTGGCTTTGTATGCTGCCATGCTGCGGCAACAAACAACTAGCCTGTGCAAGTTGCCATGTATACCGCATTGCAAAGCAACCATCCTCAGTCCATGAAGCCCGTGACTGCACACTGGTGCGTCCACCACAGCATGTGCCTCACTTGCCGTGAGCCAAAAGGAACTGCACCACTGCGCCGTCCGCAGTAGCCGGTCCCAAGGCGGGGTGTACCGTGTTATGGCGGCGCACGCGGTAGCCTGGAACCAGGGGTAGGGCAGGAGAAGGGCGACATAAATTAGGTACAAATTCGATGTGCGCACCAACGCGAGTCCATTTAAGTACATGTACAGTTAATTGGGAGTACGCGGGGCCTGCGGCGTCATGAACTCCGTGCGCCGCAACTGCCAACAATGTAAAATTAACATCAACTGACATCTCCCCTATCCATAACCCACCTGGCACCAGCTGGCCTGCCAGACCCGAGAGGCTTCCAAACTCCGTCACCACATCCCACATGCGATGGAACTCATCCACCATCGAGTAGAACTTCCGCAGATCATCAGGGTGAGCCCGGTAGTAGTAGTCCTTGCCGTACTGCGCAACACCATAGCGGTGCATATAACAGCAGGGTCGTTCGAGACGGCAGCAGAGATGTGAACGCAGTTACATCATAAAATCTTAAGAGACCTCTCATGGTGCTCGAGAGACAGCCATGCAACAGCCATGCATGGTGCTAATTTCCCAGCATGGATCCCCTATTAACCAGCCGCTCGCCCCTACTATGACCATGTGCATTCCTTAAGAGCCCAGGAAGAACCTCCATAAATGGCTCGTCAAGCTCGTGGCACGAGGCTGGCTCAATGGTGTGGCACAATCCCTACCATATTACTGCTCAGGGCCACAACCCGGAAGTACGTCAATACTCCTGCTATTCCGAGGAGGGCCCAACGCACACGGCACTTAAATTCCATAAGCACGTACATATACGTACACACACTGCACTGCATGCGCTGCCAAGTAGATACCCCATTGGCCCTGACCGAATGGAACAGGCCAGCGGAAGTTAACCGTGGCCTGAATTACCCCCAATCTGAAACCTTGTCTGCAAGCCTTGTCACAGGGCACGTTCCGCTGGTTTTTTGCCCCCCACCCCGACAGCTTTTCCTTGCAGGGAACCCAGCCCGAACGCAAAACTTACCGCCTTGGTAAAGTCCGGCCAAGATGCAAGGACCGAGTAGCGCTCATGCGTCAGGGACAGCAAGTAGCTCATGAAAGAGCTGTGGGCTGTGGAAATTCTGCAAAAGATCAGTCAGACATGAAAATGTAAACGTCACTACGAAATGGTTCAGCTTCGCCCATGCCTAACATAGCGTGAGTTGTGTCCCCCAAAGACTGTGCGTGACTTCCCAGCCCAAAACTCGCCAAACCTGACCTGGTAACATCCTGAAGAACAAGCGGCTTTGCTGCCACTTTGCGCAAATCCGACGATGCGTATGATGCCTTTGCGCTTCCGGCCCCGGCTGACACCGACACATCAACGCCCTTTGCGCTTGCCTTGGCGCTGATCTTAATATTGCTTCCAAGGCTGGATGTTGGACCGTCCACCGGACTGCAAACAGCACACTCTTGATGGTATCCCGACACCTTGACGGACAATAATGAAGCACGGACATCTGCGCAGCTTGCCTGCCGAAAGTGAACTTCTCCACCAGCGTGCTCAGGTTCCGAGCAGAGCTAGGCGCGCCCAGGAGCGCGCCGGCGCGATGCAACGCGCCCACAACCTCAGCAGACCGCTGCATCCTTGCAAGAAATTCCTGTCCTACCGAGAATAACTACAGTAGTTGTAGAGGTGTGCCATTTACATTTTTAACCGGGATGAGAAATGTTGTGTCGTACCGGCTTTCTGCACATTTAGGACATGAACTCCGACTAGAGAGGAGTAACCGAATGCTGTGTTATGCGCTCAATTTACCGATATCCGATAAGACATCCTAAAGGCCGCTCCAACGGAGCCCTATCCCGTTCGAATGCGCTTTTAATCCTTTTGTGTATGCGCTTGCTTGCAGCGCTAGCATCTCGGGCAGGAGCAATAGCATGAAACCCGCTTATCTCCATGACTGAGGAGAGCTCCTTGGGATGGCACAGTAACTCTCCATTAAGACGGGTAGCGACCTCTACACGGTCGTCACGGTTAAGCTGCACCGCCAATCAGTCGTTAACTCGGTTATGATTCATGTCCGTCCTGTGTTTCTCGTTGTGCGGTATCCCCTACGATCCCAAGTATCCATGCAATGCGGGACTCTAGTTACAAAACTGTCCTAATATTGCGGGACGTTTCGTCTTTTCGTCTTCCCGCCGTTAGGGCTAGCTAGCGACCTCTGCTGAAAAGCCTAGTCTGCTATGTACCAGGGTACCTCAAAGTATAAAGGACAGGTAGTGCGGCCTGCTCCGTAAGTCTCCGTAAGATATGGCCTGTGCTGTTCAGGCAGAACTCCTAACCTGGTTGTAGTCCATGGGAGCATTACCTTGACTTTAAAAGGCGTCCCTGCCTAAACCCATCACGCGCTAGACAACTTGGGAGAATGTACTAGCTAGGCTGGCTGTCCAGGCATTCGTCCGACAGACAGAGAGCTAACGCCCAACTGCTAGTCAGGACCAGGGCCTCATTAATAATTGATGCCGATGCGGTGCAGCCCATGTGGTCTGTTGGGAAAGAGGCCTGCTCTGTAGACACTCTTATGTAGTTTAGGAGTCTACACTGTAGACAGCCATATCCGCTATACACGAGGGGAGTTGCTAGGTTGCGGCAGAATGGCAAGGAGCGGCACCATGGCTGTAAATTTCCCTACCCTGCAGTGCAAGCGGCGGCTTGGGGGTAATGTTCATCCGGACGAATACTGTATGTTGTACCTCATGCCAAGGGCACCCACACGCCGTGCGAAGTTTGCTGAGGCACTTGAACTGATGCACAGGAACTTGGCCAAAAAATACCTGGCTGGCGCGACTTCGTCGGTCAGAAAATATATGACAAAATTGGAAGGCCAGCTCAGCAGCCTAGAAATAGCCGTATTGGGGCATGTCGGCAATACGTCTGTGGTGCTTGAAAATTAAAACACGCAATTTACCCAGGCCGTAATCCGTGGATGACCTTAAGATCGGGGTTGCCATCATTTCGCACGCGTGTATCACACAGAATCACACACATGGAAAAGCTTGCAGGCGAGGTTTCAACAATCCAAACGACTCAAAGTTCCAAAGAGAACAAACAGCAAAATGGTGGAATGTCCTGAAGAATAATCGCGCGATGTTAGGTATTCTGCGTGTAACTTACGGCATACCCTAACGCCATACAAAGGACGTTATCGGCTCAGGCATGTTGACAATTCTTGCTGGATGCATACGATGAAGCCGCTGCTTAGCATTTGGTGTTGCTGCAGGATGGAAATAGGGAAGCAGGAACCGAAATTGTCCCAGTCGCCCTCTACGGACCCATGTGACACTCAACAAACTCAGTCCCTAAGCATTGACTGCCTGTTATGTCGACGTGAATTTATCGCATTGGATAGGGCCAGATGTGAATCCTTTAATGGGTCATGGGTTGGGTCATCCGGACCTTCGAAAACCACTGGATGAATGTTGAAAGACCTGTAAGCTCCTTACACTTCTCTTGTAATCTGGCTCCTTACACAGGAAAGCAGGCGGGGGTTACACGGTCGAAAGTGCAATGCCGTCCGATAAAGCGCAGTCGCACTCGTCGAAACACACACATTGGTAACCTAACCTGTAATAGCAACTTGCGGATGATGTCAAAAGATACTTCGTCCATGACCCGCGGGAGGGGCTGGGCTCCAAGATGTCCATGCATGTCAAAGTCAAACCACTCCGTAAACCATGCAACGTCACAACTCTTATGATGGTGGTGTCGTATGGTTCCATGTACTCAGCGGTGTGCAGCTGCTCAGCAAGCCAGAAAGCATTTCACACCGTGATGCTGTACAATGTACGTCTTCCATCTCCAAGCTTTGGGGTACGTTTTGGGAAAGATGCCCCAAAACGCCAAAGCACGCCGGAACGCATTCGCGTCCAAGTAAGATGCCCTATACCGAAACCAGCACAGATGCTGGACAGCTACACGTCCACGTCCAGGAGTCGAACGCTAGGTGCAGCCCAAGGAAGCCAGCTCCCCTTGCGGCATGCCGCATAACCCACACAGATCCTCCAACTTCAGCACCAGCCGCATAACGGACGGGCAAGAATTGTTCCTCTCGTCCATCCGGAATCAGCAAATCGCATTGCTGCCGCGGAGGTGGAGAATCCCCACCACGTCTTTAGGCGCACTGAGCTTCAAAACCTGCGGCGCACTCGCCTGCAAACCTTAGCGCCCCTCACGTCCAGGCGTTAGCCTCAATCATCCATGCATTCCCCCGGGTTTAGCCGCTGCAATGGTCAAATGCGGCTTACACCCGCGGTCCAGACAACATCCAGCCACAACAGTAACAACGCCAAATTTAAGTTGTACGCTCTGACAATGGCCACTGGTCAAAGCGCTGAATTAGCAGCTTGGAAATTGGCCGACCCCGCAACACCGTGCGCGCTATGCTACGTTATGTACAAGGCGCAAAATAAAGCTTCCACCCATGAAGGAGAGGCCAACTGGATGAAGCCGCCTCTACAAGCAGACCACCGTGTCGCCTGTGGCTTTCCCTCACCTCTCCCGTACATTGCCCGCTGCCATACAGCCGGGCCAAGTGGACAATGCAAAGGATAGTCCAAGGTCACAATTAATATTATTGTGGGGCCCACATCTCCAAATGGTACTTGCGCCTCTGCTTCGAACATTACTTCACACATTCCGGCGCATTAGTCACAATCAAGGAAGAATTATACCAGACGCACTTGCGCCGAAATCATTTTCACCAAAATACCCGCGAAATGCTCAAACCAGTAATAACAAATTGCGTCCAACAATTTCACCATGATGTTGCTGCTGCTGTAGTCTCCTGCACTTGTTTTTCTTGTCCTGTTGCTACTGCGCGCTCAACTTACTTTGCACCTTTTCTCTCCAAAAACAATTGACACAAGCGCACCTGCCGATCATTTTATGCAGGTAACGAAAACATCCAACGGCATATGCGAAGTGAACCAACCGAACACTAAATAAATCGTCGTTGGCGGCAAAAACAATACAGCACGCCGATTTTCCATCACACTTTTCATGCGCCCGACGCTTCGAAAATGGACACGCGGTCAATCACCATTCTTCCAACAGTCAGCACAGCCAGAGCAGCCCGCCCGAAGGTTCGCAGGGCTCCCTAAATTCTCTCCAGTAGACTTAGAATGACGAATAGACGGAAATACGAGGCATGTCGCAGCACGGACCGCCACTGCCACATACCTCGCCGTCACAACAGCAATGAGCAACACCTGCTGCTCAGCGCAGGAGTGCAGGAACCGCCGCGCACCCAATGTTCGTGCACAACGATAGGTACAGCCTGCGCACCGGCGACACCACAATCCATGCCGGACCTTTCAACATACCAGCTTCTGTACAGGACTGCATATACTCAGATGCCCCAGGTTGAAGTGGCTTTTGCCACGGAAGAATATGGTGGCCTCACAGTACAGTCCACAGACCCCCACTACACCCCAAAACTGCATGTCAACATGTCTACACACCGCCAACTGGACACGCCGCAGACTTAGTCGGATCGCGTTGAGGCCCACCTTCCGGCAGAGGCGCACGGGAGAGATACATGTCGCTGGCCTTCGGACAACTGCGCAACAGGCCACGCCCACTTCGAGGGTTCAGGGCACAGGGTGAGATTCGCGTCATCTACGACAATGGGAATGTAATAGTGTCCGTCAACCATGTAGAAGCTATGTCTGTCTGTCCACAACTCAGGGTACAATCATACAGATGCTCTCAAAACGCCGTTTGCAGTTATACGACGCGACACGGCAGCGATGCCGAACAAACAACTTTTTAATCGGCTACTGGTACAAAGGCACCGTGCGCCCCAAACAGCAGGACCCGGATTGCCGACACCATCCCACCGTTAAAACAGTCACAAAGCAACGTGGGTATCGTAAATTCTTAAGGCGCATTGCTACCCTGGGCACCGCCGTTAAGACGAATGCCATCAACCCCCAAAGACATGGGAGAGCTGCATCAACAACCGGCTGTGTACCGCAAGCAACTGGACACGCCCACAGACCATTCAGTGCCTCGCCCGTAATCGAGGCTGCGCGCTCTTGAAAACGGGCGAGCGTATCCGTCGTTCGCTCAAGACGCGAGGAAAGCACCGTCTGCCCAGTAGGCTGCAGTACGCGCTAGATCAACATCTGCGCATCTTCCCAATACACCAAGGAATGCGCGGAAATCTACATGCAGTCCTGGGCCTCAAGGCTAGGAAATGAAAAAGATGCCGTTTGTGCGAGTATAAATGCCTGCTGACAGGCTCCCGCAAGCCAGCAGCCGACGGACCTGCCACTCGCGGCTGTTAGCCCGCGCCTGCTGCAGCAGAACGCCGCAGGCCAAAAAGCCTCATCGGCTATCCAAATAGCGGTCGGCTCAAAGCCGCAGTAGTTGAGCACCGCCTGACAACGATTGCCAGCAGGTAGCGCCCAAGTGTCCCAGGTGCTTCAACTCTCTGCTTCCGCCTCCTGTATGTCAGGACCAACAGATCCGCCGTGGATCTCAGTCAAAACGGGCTTAACGGATTACGCATAACGAGGGTCATGGGAAGGATGCTCCTGTAGGCATCCACGCAGCGAAAACAACCAAGCAAACATGTGCCTGGTCACACCTGGGGCGGGCGAAACGCCGAATGCGACGAGGTGTGGAAAGCGCCAACGCCGTCATCTGGCCGCGCGGCTGCAGCTGCGAGCAGCTGCAAGGGATCGTTGTCAACTAAGCTGCCGCTGACTGGCGCCCGTGGCAAAGTACCCTCGCCAGGCCCGCCTGACGCAGTTATCCTGCTCTGGACATTCCCCGGTACTCGACACTGTAACACCGCTGCAGCTCCTGAAGCCGCCGCCGCTGCTGATGGCCGTGCATGTAGTGCTTCCGGCTTGCATATTGGAGGGCTGCCCGGCGGCGCTGGAAGAGTCCGTCGCGGCACGTCGTCCGAGTTAGCGGTATCAGTCGTGGCGGTGGGCCCCGTACCGGCCGTCGTACAGCCGCAGCTTGTGGCTGCGTGCACGACTGCAGCAGTATTCGCTACAGCAGCCTGGGCTGCCGCTGTCATTTGCTGGGCCATGCAGAAGGGATTCATTGCCATCATCGCCGCAGCCATGGGAAACATCGGCGGCAACAGCATAGGCATGCTTCCTGCGCAAATGTCCAATACACGGGTAAGCCATGCGTATTTCTTTGGGTGTACCTGGAAATGCGTACTGATCTTGTGCGTTTCAGATTTTTTAATAACAGTGTCAATCGGTTAATATGTGCTGATAAGCAGCTTACCTTGTTTCTGCATTGCGCTCAGGGCGGAAGCGGCGAACGCTGGCGGCGGACACAAAAACGGTGGGAAAAACGGTGCGGGAAAACCAAACATCATTGGGTGCATGAAAGGGAAAGGCATGGCCGGAAACGGCGCCACCATTCCCTGGTATGACGAAGCCTGAAGCTTCGCCGGTTGCTGTGGGCACTGCGCATTCTCTTGCGGCAGCTGCGGCGAATCGCCTGCTTGCACAGTCTTGGCAGGTACACCAACCTGCAAAACATGAAACCGGAAACGGACGATGTCAGAGGTGAAGGGCCAGTGTTGTGGATTAAACACCTGGATGCCGACAAGATAAAATAAAACCAAGGTAGTCTGGGCACGGGGTAAGCAACAACAAAATTCGCGCATGCTTGCGCATAGTGAAGCTGTCCGAGAAAGAGTACAACGTCAGCTCGCATAAAGGACCTGGGACCTAAAAGTACAAGAAACTACTACTGCAATGCACGATATCCACACCATACCAGTGAACCTCGTTGACCGGCTCGAAACGGTAGGGTGCCGCACGACAACAGGCAGTTTCGCTGGACCAAATTTTCCATGGAATATTTAAAAAGGAAACCTTCCAAATGCAGTAACCACCAGTGGATGGACATTCTCCCAAACGCGCGCACCTCGACTTCCCATGCAGTGAAGCGGCTCTTGCGCTTCGTAGCCCCAGCAATACGCATGAAGTGCTTTTGAGCATGGCTCGCAACTTGCGTAGGAGTCCGAGAAGGAACGAATGACTTAGCGATGGCCCGCCAATTCCCTTTACCAAGCTTCCTCAGCCCCTCAAGGAAGGCCAAATGTTCCTCCTCCGTCCAAGGCTGGCCTGTCGATACACAAGCTGGACATGAAGGACCTGAATGCTGGTGTCCAACTTACACGTCAGAAAACCCTCGAGCACCCGAGCTCACCTTTACGATTCGCATTTGCTGCATCACTTGAATTATGTTGCTCATCTGAGGTTTCTACGTCAGGTTGCGGCGGTTCCTCGTGTGACATTGACAATAAAATGGATGCCGCCGCGAAACGGTCACGTTCGCAGGCTAGCTCAAGGTGTGAAGATAAAGAAGCGGCAGGTGGTGACATGGATAGGTGCCAAGCGACCCCTGCAGAGTCACTTCAACTTGCGTTCCCGCCGAGTTGAAAGTCTCCAACGGACTTTTTAACATCGTCACGGTACGGCAGCGCACGAAAAGGAGAAACTGCCACATGTGCGTATTATTCACAACCATTATTGAATTTCATGTGTATACATATGCTTGTGCAATGTGTCTGCCAACTTTGTTGGTGTGCCAGTAGAGTGTTACTGGTCCTGCCTGTCATGCCTGCCTATCCGTCTCGGCTCAAGGTCCAAAGGGCCCTGCCAAGAGAATATCCAGGTTATCTCCTAGATGATTTGGAGGAAAATATCTTTTAGCATACTAAGCATGCACGGTTCTGCTATGCATCTGACTGCACCATTTTGCTGTTGTAACTCCATATAAGGGTCGGCATAGCTTGCTCTTTTGCGTGGCTGTGATTTGCCTGCCCATCGCCACAACAAATAAGCTGTAGGATCGAAAGTATACAAGGGATGGTCCTCGGCAGGTTTGATACTGCTCAACTGGACGAGGCCTTGATGCCTTCGTCAACAGAGCCACGTCCATTCCGCACCCATCCCTCGGTACCTGACATCCCCACGCCGCGTGCAAGGACCCCAGGATGGGCTTACCGATACTCGTTCTCAAATTTGGACAAGAATGAGTGTGTGTGCGTGTGTGTGTGTGTGTGTGTGTGTGTGTGTGTGTGTGTGTGTGTGTGTGTGTATGTGCTACACCTTGAGTTGCGCTACCCTTCAAAGGTGTAACGAACCCATAAGAGCTGGGTGCCCAAAGGCCACCCAAAGACTCTCCGGAATAAGCAAATAACAGAAAGCACACAAGGTAAGCTATTATGCCATATACGAATATCATGCCAAGGCAATCGAACTGTCTAAACTACCGTACTATGGTAAACTAGAAACCCTGTTTAGCCAGATACTGTGGACAAGTGAAGGGACCCACAGACGGGGCCAAAACGCACCCTGACGTGCACGCGCATAGCCAGCCTGTTAGCCCGGGGGAGGGGATGCCACGAACGTCAACACTATTGCCGTTGTGAAGTTAAAAACACCACGCCATGCCTTTGCGGGCCCTTCCGGATCCCTCCGAATAACCTTAATTCCTCTGGCAAAACGACGACTGTGCACGTACTCTAAATCATATTTGGTCATGACTGCTTTTTGCTGTCTTTCCAAAATGTTCGCGTTCGGCGACCCATGGCAGCAGAGTAGGAATGTACTGGCGTTGTGCTTTCTTGACGCTGGACGATGTCGTATCTGGGATTAAGAGGCCATAGGACACCGACAGACGTGGTGGTGGCGTTGTGCGGGACGGCGTGCAGATGGGCGCAGCATAGGCACGGATGACCTCACGGCTCTGATGAACTACCGCATTCCGGCACGCTTCCACATCGCCCTTCTTGATGTAAGTCACTTACAGAGGACCATGTGCGTTTCGGTTGGAGATGGGGCACCGCATTCCCTTCAGCATTGTGGAAGGGGGTCATGAACTTGCCCGCATCACCAGTCTAACGTTCCATTCTCACGAGCAGCCCTGTTACAGCAAGGACACCACTGGTCCGGCAGGGGCATCCCCCAGGGAAAGGCCTACACACCATGCCAGCCCAACAATTACGTCTACTTTTAAAGCTTTGCTCTCCCTGCTCTCCCTGCGTATCAGCGTACCTGTACCTCCCTGCCTGCCTGAGCGCACGTGTGTGTGAGTGTGTGCGTGTATTTCTTGCCTGGAGGGGGACGCTAGATTCAGTTCATCATGCCCGTTTGCACCATTATCGACTAGGCCGCACCGTCCAAGCAGTCACCAGGTCAAACCAAGACACGGACCCACCAATTTGAGCTGTTCAGTTGTAACGCCTGCAGCTCCATCAATTCACAAGAACAATGCACTTAGGGTTCCCTTGCTGGTGGTTAAGAACAAAGTAAAGCACGCAGGCACCCTGAAGCGCGGTCACCTTGATCGATTGAATGAACGAGTGCACATCTTTACATCATCTGCATTGTTATTACGGACTGACGCCGGCTTTGGCCTCATAGGTGGAGGCCCTGATACATAAGAACCTTAGCACCTCCTCAATGCTCGCTGCACCATGCACATCACTGAGGAGCTTTTGGGGTCTACCGGAATATCAACCACTCACCGAGACGAGGCGCCCTCGCGCGCTTTGTCAGGCACACCCAGTTGGCAGCTTTGGTCCCACGACGTGTTACACCGTGCGCACTTGGTTCGTCAACGAGCCTATTTTTAGCCAATGAATGCGAACGCAAGCAGACCGCAAACTGCATGAAGGGTAAGGGTAAAGAAGGGAACATATAACAAGCCCCTCAAGAGCTGCAACACTGGATGGCTTGAATAGAGATGTAAGGCCCTGCGGCCAAGGTCCCCACCCTCGCGTCTCTGGGAGCGAGCGCCAATGGCCATCACTCTTCCCTTTTCACCCACCCCTGCGCTCAACATTGAGACTCAGCCGCGCCGCTGCCATAATCCTTGGCAGCCAGCACGTTTAATGCGCGTTTCAGCAATCCTTTTCAGTACTGCAATCCACCAATCGTAACGACCTCTTGGAGATATTGCACGACAGCAGGTACGGAGGACGGTAGACCGTGTAACGAGAATTCCGGTCAACGACAACAACCGATGGGGCCACAACAACAGAGGCCCAAACCCAGTCCAGGGAGGGGCTGCATGGAACCGGAAGCTAGGAAGTGACCAACAAGCTACTAGCAAATTTGCGAACGCATCAACAACTACTGGCGAACTTATTTGCCAATCTCCGATTTACTTGGTGTCACGATCTGGCCAACAGGACTCTACCCGCCACCCGCGCTGCGCACAAGTCCCACAAGGCCAAAGTAGGCCATACGCTCCAGGAGCCGTATCAAGGCGTGCGCGTTGCCACCGTGCACGTGCCTGCACGCCGGTGATTAGATGGGCCCCTCCCTCATCCTCACTTCGAACAGCCCCGCCGCGTCCAGAGGCCCATGGCCAACCCCCCACGCTGCACGCAAATACAGTACTCCAACAAACATGACGGAGGGCGGGATGCACAACAAGGCTGATGGCTGAAAACCCAGGAGCGACACCACACCCTCCCGCCCAGAATCCTGCTGAGCCCCGCACACGGCTTGCGGAACCTGTTCCTGTATGTATGTGAGCTCCCTCCGCATCGTACCTGGAGGCCATGTCCACAATCTGGCCACCGGTTGTTGCCGAGTTCGAATCCCGTGGTGCCAACGCCATCCAGTGCGCATCTAAGTAAGGGATCCCCATCGGACAGACAACTATACGGGCCCAAAAGAATGTACAGAAGTAATTTGGTGTGAGGGGCTGCCTGCCAGGGCGAAATGACCACGATCACATGCAGACATGTTATATATACTCCAAGGCAGGATTTTTACTACACGAGTGCTATGTTAGTGGAGGCATACCAGCAGCCAGATCCTCGGGATCCAACGGCCAATTGAATTTCCTCCAAACCAGCCGCAGCAGCAGCGGCTTTGCAGCTCCGCCGCTGCGAAGCCCTCAAGGTGCCCGAGGCATTTTGCGGCCTCCGGTGCAGAATTCCGGGACCCGATTCCTCAATAGTGCTTAAAGGCCGGCGCAACGCCTGTTGGCGCAAACGATACACCTCGCAAAGGACCTCGACACCGCAAAGGACCAAGCCGCCGCGCACATGCCGCCCAGCATCATCCCGTCATTGACACTGGTAAACAACTGGCACCCCACGGCAATCAGTGCATTGCTGAGGTACCGTAGGTAGGTATTCCCTGAAACCGAATCGACCGCAGCTGGGGGGCCACCACAGCAGCGGTCACAGACCCGTCCGTCCAGTTAGAAAACTCCGAAACCGGCCCAACCAAACGACTGTCGCATCTCATTTCACGAAGCGCAAACCCTAAGTTTCGACGAGCAGTCCCTCGTATGCCACTGGTACTTACTGCAGCCTCTACCTCCACAAAATCCAAACAAACAGACATACAAACATACAAACAGCAGCAGCGGAGCGACCGGTCTCTGGTATTCCGTTGTGAAATGTATCCGTTCGGCGTTCAGGGTACTCAGACGTGCGGTTCCCACGACCGCCGAGATAGTAGTCCCTAGCCTGAGATCCCATGCCGGCACGCTGGCAGTGTAGCAGCGGTGGCAGTAGAAGTGCTACCAACCACACAGTTCAACACGGATCTGCGCCGTGTACGTGTATGCATAAAGACACGCCCAGCCGCTGTACGAGTTATGCCGTGCATGCCGTACATACAACATACAACCCCTTTTCGGGCCCTAGCAGAGCGACGGTCCCATCTGCCATATCTGACCACTCGCATGGTACGCACGAATAGAGGCGGTGTAATTACGGATAACAAAGCTCCCGCCGTACAGCTTTGTTGTGTGCATCGCTTGCCGCCACCGATGTCCACCAGCGAGCAGACCTACCTATTGTTCGCATGTGTGCGCATGTGGGTCCGAGGGGGCTCCGAAGCCGAGCTGCCGACTGTCCTGTGGGTGCCTCATGTGTGGATGCTCTCCCGGAGGGCATGGGGTAGCAAAACCAACCTAAGCTCTCCGGCGACTGGTCCAGAGGGTCACATAACGTTACGAACCCGGCACATGAACAACAGGGGCAACAGGACATTAAACGAAATGCAGTCAGTCAGAGTTGGAAAGTAGCACACGACTATTTACCACACCAGCACCAGCACCAGCATCAACAATACCATCATCGCAAGGTGGTGGGCTCACTCGAGCCATTCCAACGTATTCACAATGTACATGCAAGCAGCCCTTGGAGGCAAATTACTAGCTATCGTAGCATGTAGCTCCACGGCGTCGCCCCCGTCGTTACTTCCGAAGGCAGGGTGCTGCCACCGCCAGCAGCGCTGGATGCAGCCTCGGAGGGGCCGGCGGTCGCCTGCCCCGGCGGCATGGGAGCGGCGACCCCCGCAATGGCCCCGCTCCCGGCCGCGCTCACGGTGCTGATTGCTCCGGCTGTCAATTCAGGTGGGGGGTTGAAAAGTAAGGTGTGGGCGGGCAGGTTATGCGGCGCCACGATGGACGGGGCCGTATTCGGCGGCACCCCTGGCGGCGGCAGCACCGCCGCTGCAGCGGCCCCTCCGATGCCCATGGCCGCTGCCGCTCCGCCACCAAGGAGCGCGCTGCATGGAGGTCCGATGGCATGTGGCGGATGGGTTAGTTGCTGCGCTGTATGGTGGCTTTGTGGCGTGCCAGGAACTGCAGTAGCCGCAATACACGCCGCCGCCGCCGCTGCTGACGCCGACGACGCTGCTGCTGCTGCTGCGTGATGTGAAGTCCCCGGCCACAGTATAAACGGCGGTCCTTGCATGGGGAGCGCACCGGCAGCTGTAGCGGCGGGTATTGCACCGCCGCCGTTTATGCCAGTCAGCGCATACGGATGCCCGTACCGCTCTAATGTGTGCGCAGAACCTTGGGGCGGCACCGCACCCAACACGCCCGGACGTATGACATCTGCTGTGAAGCCGTACAACGCCACTGGGCCAGACCGGAGGGCTCCCGGGTTAGGCCACAGCCCCGCCGCAGCTGCCGGGGTCCCCACGGTGGTTGATGTTGCGGTTGCGGCGCCGTTGGTGACGAGAAGGCCGCCGTTGCCGCTGCAGCTGCCGTTGGCTGGGGCAGCAGAATGGATTGGCGCAGCCGTTGCAGGTCCGGATACCGCGGTTAGGCTCGTGAGCGGCACCCAATGAGCCATAGGAACCGCAGAGGGCGGCGTTGCAAGCGGGCCCTGCGAGTAATGCTGAGGGAGGTTTGAATAGAAATGCCCGAGTGGGGCCGAGGGAGGATACGGCTGCATTAGCTGCGGCTGGTTCGCCGGAGCCCCCGGCTGCGCCGGGCGCATTACCGCACAGCTGACCACGGAGATGGGCTGCGGCGGCGTTGCAGTTATGGTGATTCCTGATTTAGATCTGTCGGCTGCGTCCGCAGTGGAGCCCCCGATCGGTGGAGCAATGCCGCTGCCGCTGCTGTACGGTGGCAGGCCGTACGGAGCCAGAGGGCCGCCTGCTGTCACACCAACGAACCGAGCTGTTCTGGCCGAGCTCATAGGGGCTGGTGATGGCAGAGGCGGTGCGATGGCAACTGCGGCCGTAAACTGCTGTGTCTGCTGCTGATGATGATGACTAAGTTCCTGCGGCTTCTGTGCCTGCACGTGCTCCTGCACCTGGGCTAGTCGTGGTCGCTGCTGCTGCTGTTGCTGTGTCTGCTGCTGTTGAGGATGCAAGGAATGCATCTGTTGGGTCAGCAGCAGCTGTGCCTGCTCTAAATTAACGCCCACTACCTGCGTCGCCTCCCCTGCTCGCCGCACCTGCTGTGGCTGCTGTGGCTGCTTTCCCTGCGGCTGCAGCTCCTTACAACCAGCGTGGTGGTGCTCATCGCTCGATTTGCCGTGCACATCGGCAACCAAGCCGAGTCCCTCCCCTGCTGCTGCAACGCTGGCTGTGAGCACCCCCCCCGTGGAGCAGCTAGGCCAGGGCCCCCCCACGCCACACGTAGCTGTGACATTAGGAACACGTTCCGATGATGCAGCTAGTTGCGGTTCGCTAGGCGGTCCCCCATGGGCTCTGCTGGCAGTGTCCGACGCTGCATGCCGCTCTGCAACCCCGGCCAAAGAAGCTGAAGCTGCTCCAGGAGGGGTACCAGCAGGCGGCGGAGGCGCCCAGGATGCGGACGGTGGGGACGTAGCTCCTCTCGGCTGGGGCAGCTGCTTTTGTTGTTGTTCTTTCTGTACCTGCAAGCATTGTTGTTGTTGTTGTTGTTGTTGTTGTTGTTGTTGTTGTTGCTGCTGCTGCAAGTCCTTTTGGATGTAGTTCCAGACGGGGACGCATATGGCGCAAGTGGATGACTGCAGAAGGGAAGAGGCAAAGCGAATGGAACTGGATGTCAGCGGGACAGCGAAGGGGGAAGGCAAGCCTTCCAGGGCGCAAGCGGCCGAACTTCACGCATTTAGAAACGGACGTGTGAAGAAGTGCATTCACACGCGCATGCAGTGGCATCTGATACGCCAATGTAAAATGAAGGAGCACGAAAGGTACGATGAAATGAAGCGAAAAGAAGCAACGCAATTGCTTCATGAACAGCGCTCGCACAGGCCGGTTACCGGTCTCCAAAATTTAGACGATATACGAGCAAGCAAAATATGTTTGGCGAAAAAAACGTAAGCACAATTGCAAGTAAGCTGATTTGGTCAAATCTTTAGCCTGCGGCTTTCTGCCTCCTTCAAGCCAAGGACCCTCCACAACGGTCTTCAAGGACTGTTGAAAAGAAATGGACGCGGAGTCGAGCGGCCTTCCGCATCCATCGTTGTCTAATCGAAACTCCGCGCCCACCTGGCACTTCCTGCTGTGCTGCAGCAGCGGTTTGAGCAGGGAACACCGAGGGTAAACGCAGTCATTGCGCTTGCAGTCCGCCACGTGCTTCAACGTCTTCTTGCCGTACGTGCAGAGCCTGCCAAGCTCGCAATCTCCATCTATCCGAATGCAGGTGTAGCAGTGCTGCGCAAACAGAAGCCAACGGTGTCGATTCTCAAGGGCCCGTAGCACGTTGGCCGGGTCGCCTGCATTGCCAAGCGTATATGGGCGTCGGGGCCAGACGTGTTTAAGCTCCGCTTGAAGATAACCAGCACGAAAACGAGCGCATTGTTGGAGGAAGCTGTATGTATAGACATGCAATTGGTTACATGCAGATGATGTTTACCACACGCGAAATAATTCGAGCATGGTGCCCATAGTAGGGACCGTGGAACTAACCTACCGTTTGCGCGCTTTACTCTTGCAGGAGCCCCAATAGCCGCCTCACGGGCTAATTCTGTCGTAGATTTGATGTTTAGGTTAGATACATTGCCAATTTCGGGAAATGAACCGGCTCCGGCATCATCGGCTGTCGCCGATGGACACTGGTCATTTTCCCGAGAAAACGAAACAGGCTCCTTCAATGGATCTGAGGTCGTAATGCAAACATCAGTCATGGCACCACGCTTTCGTGGCGTTCACCTGGAATGCGTCGCCGGACATGTGCCAGCCAATTCTACTACGGTGCACCAAGGGTTGACATGAGCGTACCCTCAAGAGCCCATCAATGATTGATCAGACAAAAATTTCGTCACCAAGACAAGAAACGTGGGTACGTTAACGCGGCAGCAGGCGGCAGTCATGCCGTACGAAAAACAGTAACAAACCACCAACCAAGAGAGTACCACTACGCAGTCATGAATCTAAGCCTACTTACTGCCAGTGAATTCTCTTAGGGTAAAGTATGATTGTTGCTGCGTTTCTGTGTAAAAACGGAGCGGAATAGCCGCCTCAGGGGCAATTACACTCACGGTTGGAGAACCTCCGACTCCCGTAGGAAGGTCGGCAGCGGGATACTTTCATGCACCACACACCTCGTACATCAACTACTGTTGTATTATTTTCTCCGGGACGCATACTTGCAAGACTGTAAAAGGAAGAGCCTCCTAAATGTTTTAGCTGAAGACCTCCACAGTTGACTCTAATTCTGAAGTCACATGAATTGCATATTCAAAATCAGCAAGAAGATATATTTCATTGCTTCAACGTTGCCCGTACGAGACGAATCAAACACATGGACCTTGCGGACAAAGATAGCCAAATTTTACTGTAAACTGCTGAAGCTTCTTTTAGAAAAGCGTTCGTGAGCAGTTATATGTGGAAGAACGGGACGTGTGGCCTATCGAACGAGCGCGTAAGGTGATGCTTACAGTACACTTGCGTACAACCGGCAGGCTATCAGCACGGCTTCAGTGCAATGGTAAGCCATATAACCCAAAAAGTATTCCTGCGCAAATTCCGTATGTTATTTGGTGCCACCTGCCACGACATCCCAACGACAGCATGGAATGCGTCAAACTCATCGCCGCATGGCTGAGTCACGTGGAAATGATTTTCGCCATGATTGACCTCAGTGCCCTGGGCCCCTTGCTCAAATGTCCACTTTAAATGTGACAGCTTGTACTGCCCTTGAAAACGCTGACGATAAAAACAGCCGACCCTCACATACAGTCACATATACACAACACGAGATGTAATTTGAACGTACTCAACTCGCACCAAAAAACAACAGGCCTCCTCCAGGCCTTGGCGTCATGACGGAATGCCTCGCCACACGTCCATTACATAGCACAATATGATTTTCTAATGCGACTACAAGGCATCCAGCCAGCCGTAGACGGTACGATCTGTTACGGCCATTCGCAGTCGCGTGACTGAGCACGTCAGTGCAGCAGCCATGCAATATCAACCTCCAAATCAATAACAACATACAACGGCAATTAGTTTGGGAAAGCAGGCGGTCATCAGAGGCTAATTCAGCATTCGGGTGAAATCCATAATTCGACCACAACATGCGCCTCTGCCACACGAGGCAGCCAGCGCCACAGACAGGAAAGGACCCAAAGCAACGCCATCCCGGAACTAGGAGGCAGATGTTGTAAACTGTTGGGTTTGCGGCGCCCTTGTGTTTCAATCCGCCGTTCAGTGGCCGCTGCCTCACCGTAAACCGGGGACATAACATGCAACGGAGAGTTCCACAGCGCAACAGCCGTATAAAAACCCTAAAACCCTAATGGTACTGCCGTAACAACCGTAACAGCAGCAGCACTACTTATATAACCATTACCGTCCCGGAAAGCAGCCTCCATGATGCCCCCCTGGTACAACATGAGACATTTCTAAGTACTGAAAGTGAGAGGATTATCGAGGTGTCTGAACATACGACAAGTAGGCCAAATCACCGGAAAATAAGGCCAAAGACAATGTCGATCGCCATCCTGCTAACTGTTCCATCAAAGACTACCAAACAAACTTAAATGTTTTATTCCAGCAGCGGTTTTGACTGCCCCCAATATTGATAGCAGCCACAGAGCAGCTCCCTCTTACACCGCAGCAGTGATTGGCCCATGACTGGTGCAGTCCGTCTGGTTGCGAACATGCTGAGTCGACACTTTACAGAAGGGCGCCGTTGCCGGAGTAAGTTACCGCTTACAGGACGGTCCAGCATGGCCCTTGCAACGTTAAGTCTCTTTTCACGAAGCGCCAGTCAGCTGTGGCGGTAACAGCACGGACGTAGCCGTGTTGCCGTAGTTCCCCGCTGGGAAATGCCCTTGAAGCTGCTGCAGCTGCTGATGCGCCTGCACCACTTGGGGCGGTGGCAGACCTGCGAGGGCGGAGCAAGCTTAACGCTCAACGGAACTGCACTATCAACACAAAAGGACGAGAAGCATGCGGAAGACAAGATGCGTTGGAACAAATTGGACACAAATATCGTTTCTTCGTTCGCAGCCGCACGCCTCGCAACGAGTCCGCGCCTTCGACAAAAGCCCTATGTGGATGCGGCCCCCACACCGCCCGGGGTATGGAGAAGCACGACACGTGTCCTCATAGGTTGCCAGCAATCGGCCTGGTCAATTTGAGGCCGTGGAAGAAGATTGTGGCATCGTCGTGTCCGCGCAGTTCCCTTGCTAGCATCATGCCCCGCCACATAGCCAGAACCTAACAAATACAGCCAAGCATCCGCACCCAGCACCTTCACAGCTTCCCTATTTCTCTCTATTCCGTTTACCGTCCGGACTGATGAATAGGGACCGTTACCTGATAGCTGGAACGTTCCCCAGAGCGCGGCTGCCCCCGGGCCAGCACCGTTGTCCGTTGCTACCAGACCGCTGCTGGGCGCCACGGCGGTCGGAACACCGGCCACAGCGGCAGGAGTCATGAATAGCCCTGAACCAGCTGGCACCTGAGGTACGGATCCCACCACAAGCCCCGACGCCTGCAGCTGTCCCTGCATCAGCTGCATATGGGGGTGCTGAAACTGTACCTGCTGCTGCGACTGTTGCTGCTGCTGCAACTGTGACAATACTGCCCTGTTCGCTTGGTCAACGGCAGAGCCGTAATATTGAGGGGAGATCATGGCGAAGGGCACACCGGCAGTCGCCTGGCGAGGAAATTGCTGGTTTTGATGCAAGTTCTGCATGTAGGTGCCGTACTGCTGAGTTGGATTTGGGGAAGTGCTGGCATGTACAAATGCTGTCCCAGGGCCAGGTAGGCATCCCCCCCTCCCGGCAAGTGCCTGCGGGGCGACGCCAAAATGCTGCGGAGGGCTCGGTGCGATGACGGCATGCGGGGCGAGGGATAACGGAGACTGTGGCTGCCATCCAATCACCTGCTGCTGTTGCTGCTGCTGACTGTGCGGCAGCGAAGCGTTATGAGGCTGCTGCAGGGCATGCGCAACGGCAACCGATTGCTGCTGTATCTGCTGCTGTGGCGCCTGTAGCAGGACTGCAAGGCTGTTTGCGCCGTAAATAGTACCTTTTTGCTGGTCCCTTATTATTAAAGGCCGTGCCGTTTCCTGTGGTATCTGCTGCTGCGTGCCCAAGTCGGCGATTATCTGACCGGATCCAGGTCTTATAAGCCCCAACGGTTGTGGCGGCTCTTGACGCGACACACACCCCACCGGCGTTGAGAGATCGGACCGGCTGCTGGCCATATCAAGGCAGTTGTTGCTGCTTGCAGTGTGCTGCAAGGACGTAGCGGTGGGCTGCGGGGAAGAGGGCTGCGGTGGCGGCGAGACACGGCTACTGCTGGCCGTGCACTGCTGCTGCTGCTGCTGCTGTGGAAGCTTCTCGAGGTGCAGCCGCTGGAGCCCTGCAGCAGCCTCCAGCGACCCGGAAGGCGCATTCGCCAGGGTGCAGCCACCGCCGGATTCGCTTGCCGTAGCGTCGGGCGTCCATGAGCTCCGACGCAAGCTGCTGGAAAGCTGGCACTGCTCCCGGTGACGAGCCTCGAACAGCATGCCCGCGTGGTGCGGCTGATGCAGAGGAGGTTGCTCGGGTAATGGCAGTGACTGTGTCCGATTCGGATTGATATCCCTGCAGGTGTTGCCTCTCACCGTCTCTGGTATCTGCACCGGCATTGATTGCTGCGGCTGCGGCAGCTTCGCTGTGGATACTGGTGAAGGCGCCTCACCCATGAACGGCGAATGCGGCTGTGGCTTGGGCCCCTTACTGCGTGCTTGGTACTTGTAAACCGGTGAGCACAGTTGGCAGGTCTCGTCCTACAGTTCCGCGCGGGGGGGGGGGAGATTACAGATATAGAATCATCGCTGGCAGGTAACGCTATGGCGCGAAATTTCGCGTTTTAGCTCATATAATCTCGCTTATGCTGTGATGTGAGAGCAAAACTTGTCACGTGGATTAAAGAACCCTGGCGGGGACGCGGCCATGGCTGAGCCAGCGTTTCAGACAACCCACCTTGCAAGCCTGGTGGTGACGAAGGATGGCCTTGATCAAGTCACACCGGGGAAAGGCACATTCGTTCCGCGCACATCCTTGGACGTGCATGAATGTTGATTTGCCGTACGAGCAAACCTTGCCGTACTCGCAGGTGTCCTTGGACTGTCCACAGTCGTTGCAATGGTAGTGGAACAGTAACCACCGATGGCACTGCACAACATGCCACAGTGTAACGGGCATCAGGATGAAGACCAAGCATAAAGCCTCTTGCATTCTCAGTATGTCCCGAGAGTCCGTGTGATAGAAAAGCGCAAAGGTTAGCATAGCTTGGGTTCGAGCTGCAAAAACATTACTTTGGACAAACACTTGAAGCATAGAAATGTCTTACCGTTTCTAGGAAAGCTGGGTCGTTGCTCTGTAGGGCTTCCATGTTCGCACCGAGGGCAGACAACGCTGTCAGGTGGGGCGCCGTGCAGGATAAAGCGCTAACTTAATGCTGAGCTCGCTAAACAAATACAAAAGCTTTTGATCTTTGCATTTGATAGCCTCTTGATGCAAAACCTCCTAGGTAAATTCTGTTGCCGCTCCGGTAGTTGTTGAACTCAAGTTGTCTCAGCAATAACACATGCACGCAGCGCAAAAAACTGCGAAATGCTGCAATAGTTGTGACGTGACTGATCACTAAGCGCAACCTACAGGAACCTACAACATGTCGGAAAATGGGTCCTCGTGTGAAGCGGTCATCAGGAAAACGACAAATATAAATAGGACAATCGTTATGAGCAAATCTTAGCCAAACACCAGTCTAGTTTCATCCGTCGTGTTGTACACGCATTGCGAACTGTACTACAAAACAGAAGCGGGCACGACGCTGAGGACAGCAACTGAAGCATTGAATCATGATGGCAATCATGGCAGTTATCTCTTATTTCTTCGGGGAAGTATTCTGTCGTCGGTCTTCAAACATGCAATCCAACTATCTTCTTGGTGTGTTCGTTGCGCAAACTTCTTATAAGTTTCAACCTTAACTGAAGGCTTCCTCTCAAATTTTGCGCAACGATACTTGATTCCTTGTTATCCCGAAAACGGGTGACACCGATGGCGCTGGCAAGGAGCTGTGTACGTGCCGTGCAAGGCATTCAGCGAAAAAGAGACTTAAACTGGCACGTTACTGGAGCTCGTGATCACGGTGGTCACTGATTTGTTTAATCCTCGGGATGCGCTACACGCTATGCGCGGCTGTCGGTCATAGTGGATGTTTTAAGACCACCATGGGTCTGACTACCTGACAGCGCAGTCGCCGGCAAAGTACATCAGTCATACCTAGTCCTGTAGGTTAGTGAAGGCCTGACCATGGCATGCATGTTATGTCTGGTGGTCATTCAGGTAGCGGCTAGGACATGCACAGATACGGACTAGCATTCATGCGGCTTATGTGGATTCGGTTTGATTGCTGATCCTGGCAACTGGCCTAAAACGGACCTTATCGAGAGGTCTTCTCAGGCTTTGCCTAGATGGAAATATTCTTACAGAGGTGAAAATGATCGGAAGCAATAACTCGGCTGGGGGAAAACGCTCAGCAAACACCAGAGGCAATCAGCCTGTGACCTACATGCGCGAAACATTCCTATAGACGTCAAGAACAAAGACCGGAGAAAAACGAAGACTTGACCTGGGTCACGTTGATCTGAGTTATCCAATACCAAACTATATAGACTCAAACGGAATCGGAACGGCAAAGCCGTAATCTGGGTCTACTGAATTTTATCCGCTATCAAACTGGTCCAAGGAATACAATTCGGTCCTCTTGGGTCAAGTGGAACCGCATCATCGCACCTCAAGGAGGCTTGCATTAACATGCTTGCTGCAGACCACCAACATGCTAGGCTTAGAATTTAATAGCAATCCAGGCGTTTTATCTGTACGAATGAATGAATGTTGTTACGGTGGATCCCTTATAAGGATCATCAGTGCGTAGATCTCATGTCAGCTCACCAGCAATGTAGGGCCGAAGCCAAGCCGCGCAAAACTGGCTACCCATTACAGACACGCCTCTGCGCAGCACCACAAACAGTACGGGTTCTTCGTGACGTCCTCCGGACCGCACCTGTGCTGGCCAATTACTCTACGAGCACCGCGGCTCGTAGAGGAACGCGCATACATGCACCCTGCATCCTGTTCCCTTCGGCGATTATGACCATTCCACTGATGGCTACATGCGTAAATAGGGTTAGCTATTCGGATGCTTTTAACTGAACTTGATTCGGTGCTTGGTGTAAGGTACGTTCGTGGTGCCCTAATTGCGGCGTTGCTCGCATGAAGTATATCCGGCGCAGCCTTTCCTCCTCAGGTCTGGGGCATCACCTCAGTTACTAACGCGGCCATCATCCTCCCTTGCCGGACTCGGCAGCCGCCTCATGAGCGCCAGTGTGACGCGAGACTTCAAGTTTTCTTTGGGGCCAGGGCTGGGGTGCCCTTGGCGGTTGAGACAGCTATTTGATGCACCCTGCATCGCCTTACCCTCAACATGCTAACTAGTTGACGAACCCGAACCAGGGTACTTTCCACCGCGCACGTCAATTGCTGACCGTAATTGCTGACCGTATCAGCAGCAACGATCCTGGACCCCCTTCCGTCCTCCGAGCGTCAGCGCACAACTGTCACGTAAAACGCCGCCGCGGCAGCAGATGTGGCCAGGCTCCACCAACTATGCCGATTCCCAAATCTCCAAGTCTGCAGCTCCCGATTCACCTGCTCTGAGTATCAATAAAGTCAGATTTACAGTTCTTGTTTCCTTTCCCTTCTACACGCTCATATACAGAAAGCCTCGTCCAAGACCTCGAGGTCCACCGCCCGCCTGCTGGGCACATGTCGGAACCGTACACAATCTGCATTGAAATCTTGCATCCGTGCGTTCACGTTGTACTCGCAATACCAAGCTGGGGCAGCCGCTGCCGCAGCTTGGCGGCCACCTCAGGACTTTCTGCGCAGGCGTTATGGCAGGGGTCGGGACACAGGCATCGTCCAACGGTGGAAATGCAAAACCGCAAATACATGGAAGTCCATGATACCTGAGGCTCACGGTTTACGTAGTTTCCCGCTTATTCTCTCCTTTGGCGCTTTTACGCTTCCTCCCGCCCCAAAGTCCCAAAGCCCCAAGAGAGAGCAGCATACACCCGCACAGCCTTCACGCTGTCTGCCAGGCAGCCAGGCAGCCATCTGCAGTGACAGCTTGCTTCACCACCACTGGTGGACACGAGCGGGGAAACCATCGAATCCGCCGCGCCGGAAGGCAAACCGTGACCCACTCCATTTCACCCGCGCACAGGTCCAGTCCTCCACAGCCGTAGCCATAACCGGGAATGGGCCCCTGAACAGCCGCTCCGCTCCACACGCACCTGCTTCAAGCAGGCCCAGCACCGCCGGGGCCTCCGTCCCAGCAAGAGGTTCAGCGGTGTACTGCGCGGTAAGCAGCAGCAACGCTGCCGCTGCCGGGCCCTCACGCAACGACACTGCTGTCTGTACAGCAGCCTGCGCGGCCTTCTTGGTTGGTTCCATGCCATGCTCGTACAGGGAATTCCACAGCTCCAGGAGGGGTGCCGTGGTTTGGAGACGCACGCATTCCTGTGCACATGTACACATATGATATGACCAAATGGATCCAATACAATCATCTCCCAAGCAATCCGCTTTTCCCTACTAATTCTCATCCTTATGCATGCCATAGCCATCGTACCTGTGCTAGGACATCGTGCAGCGTATCATGCAGCGCCCCGTGCTGGCCCAGCTTGGTAGCCGCCTGCACCAGGTGGTTAATGCGGAGAAGCTCCAGAAACATGGCAAGCTCTCCGGCGGTTGAGGCCTTGCGCAAGAGAGGGGTGAGGTGTTTCTCCGCGTCTAAGGAAACGGGACGAGCACCCCAGATGCCAGAATCAGCAAGCGATGATCCCGAAGCAGCACGGGCTGGGGCTGTACGACATACTCAAAGCAAAGCAGGATAACGACAGCTTCCAACACGCCAGCATCATCCTTATTCGAAGAGTAAAGCACACGGTTCAGAGGGTACCCGGAATATCTCCGAGATCTGGGACAGCCGAGCCGTCAAGTTCGGAGGCACGAGGTCGGGTCTGAGGGCACCGTAGCCTAAGGGTGACGGGCTAGGGTGCGGTCAGGCAAGCCCTCGTCCTTCATGCCTCTCTAGATCTTCTTCTGGTGGTTCCGGAGCTTCCCGACAGACTTTGGACCCGCTACCTGCCTTCCCGAGCTGCAGGGAAGTAGCTAGCAGTTTCATGCATGCCTAGCTGCACACACACATACATACACACACAGCCAGGGGTCTTGGTTGAGTTTGCGGTTTTCTTTCTTCGTTCCAAGCCCCTCCCGGCAACGCTCCAGCAGCGCTCACCCAGGCATACACCACGGTGGCAGAGCCCCTTCATTGTCGCGCAAGCTGCCTCGAATGATGTCCCCGGCGTTGTCGCCGCCGCCAGCTCCGCCTCGCCCGAATCTGTGGCCAAAGAGGTGATTACCGAGGACGCTTAGGGACGCCATGCAGTCAAAATGTTAGGGTCCATGGCCGGGCATGCAGAGGGGGACGCGATATGTGAAAAGCACCAACGGCCTCAAAAGGCAATAACGACGGCAACCTGCAGGATTTGGCGTTGCCGCCATTGGCAGCCGCGTAGTCGTTCCGTATAACAGTCATAGTGCAGACTGTTATACGGAACGACATCGGGGGCTGGCATTGGGGTGGGATAGCTTAGGATTCCAAGTCCTTGTATCCAAGCCGCAGGGCTGCAAAGCTGACCCTCAGTCATGAATTCACTGTGGACCGCAGCGTTGGTGCCATTTGGTAGCTCCACACGCCTCCCTTCAGCTGCTCATCTAGCGTGCATCACGGCCAGTGCAACGAAGCTCAGATGTATCATCTTAGGAAGGTAATCTGGTAAGTTAATTTTACCTGGACCGCACCTTGCACAACCATGCCCATGCGCCATAGCCATATTCATAGCCGCTCCCCATACAAACACAACACGACAGTCCCCCACGTGCTTTCTGGTATTTCGGTGCACCAATGAGCTCCTGAAACCTCGCGATGCCCCAGATGGCCCTATGGGGCATGGTACCCGCGCAGCCCCGGGACCTTAATTTGGAGCCCTCAGACAAATCCAAGGCCGTAACAACCCAAGTAACAACCACCTTCGGGAGGAATTGGAAGCGCCTGCAAGGCGGCCTTCGTCGCCTCCAGCTTTTTGGCTGCCGCCCAGCCCCCCGTTTCCGCCGCTGCAGCCTCCGCCGTGAGCTGCTTTCGGATTTTTAACAACCGGGTCTTGCGCCGCCTTGACATCGCTGGGACCAAGCTCAATTGAAGCGGCATATGGGCCCATTCTGGGGTGCGGACCCGAGGCGATACGGTTGAAGCACCGGGCTTCTGGCTGTCGCCTCGGGCTTTGGCTTTTGCTGCGGTGGCCGAGGACGTGGCGGCATGCCGGGTTTGATGGAACTGGTAGAGGGGGGGCCCTGGGACACGCCCAAACAAGTATCCGCCCCGCAAGCGGATACTTTCTGCTGCCACAGCACCCGAAGGGGACGATGGCTCAGGATGGTTAGAGTGGAGTGCATAAGGATGCGGTGCGCCGGTGTATGTAGGCACGGCTGGAGCTACGCCCAAGCTCGTCGAGCACCCAGCGCTGCAAGACTCCGGCCAGCGCCACGACGTAGACGGCTCCGCGGCACCATTAGGACATGCCCGCGGCGCAGCATTTGCGGATATGCCTGAAAGTGTTCGATCGACGTCCTCGAACGAAAGACTGTGGATGATAGGAAACGTATCAAGTGGAGCTTTCCTTCCCCTTGTACTAAGACACAGAGCACGCAGCATCACGCAAGTATCGGTTCGAGGGTGGGCGAAAGCCTTGCCCAGGAGGCCCAGCGTCTATCTAACAATCCACACGGAGAGCGCGGTCTGTCGAAAGATATACAATATATTGCCTTTCTCTAATGTGGTTGGCAGGGTGGCGCTGACAGCTTAACTGCGAAAATACGACTTCACCCGTACAACGTCGACAAAATCTCAGAAATCCTTCTTGTGTCCACTTTGCATTTGTGCTTATGCTATAAACGTTATTGCTTAGTATTTCTTTTCACCGGTGGCTTGAATTACCAATTCCTGTTTGCGTCCTTGCGCTCGTTCTATAGTGCTAGGCTTGAGTGGTATCACGCTTGTCATTTTGAAAGAGGCTTGATGCATTAATTATATCGACGATATGTGCAGAGCCTAGGATAGATTCGAAGTCTATCAAATGGATGCGCAGACCGGCAACATGGAGGACGAGTTCAACGCGATGGCGCCAAGCACCGTAGAAGTCGTCATGGGGGAAGTCAAGAAGAGGCTTGGGTCCGCCCTGTCTATAGCATGCGCTGTCGACGGCTCTCAGATGTCGGACCGAGCAATGGCAGTTGGGCTGTCCCTCTTCAATAACCGCAGGTGACATGCCTTAGCCCTGGGATTTCCTTCCACCTTGTTCCTTGGGCATGGTGTTGATTGAGGACTTGGACATGGGCGTGTGCTTTCTCTCACGCGCGCCCACCTCCTTCGCAAGAAAAACTCATCTACCTACTTTGACAGCTGGCCCGCACATGATTGCCCCGCATTTGACTAATTTGCACTTAGCGCCCCGTGTAATTAGATCTTTTTAAAAGCACAGCTAAACCCGTCTGAAGCTGGCGTCGTTTGTCCTTCCAATTGCTGCCCTCCAGAGGCGATAAGTTCACGGTCATCCACATCAGCGACGCCACGAAGACCTACCTCTCGAAGCATCTTCTACCACCCCATCTTAAGAACTACTATATAGACATGGCGCATGGGGCACGGGTAAGGGGGACCTTGCGGGAATTGGCTGCTGCTGTTGCCTAAGGGACTAAAAGCCGGCTTTTACTTGCACCCACCCATCTGGGATATATATCCTCCGAAGGTTGTCCCGAAGGTTGTATTAAACGACATTTGGCGGGTTACCGCAGGTGACAGCTGAATGGCTGTGCCGCGAGAAAGAGGAGGGTCGTTCCACATGCGAGTGCCTGACCAGGCTGGCGGACAAGCGCGGTGTGGAGCTGCTGATCATGGGAAGCTGGGGACGTAAAGGGGAGAAACTGTGAGTAGGGCGCCCCAGGAGCAAGGGAGTGGTTGGAAGGTATGGGGTGCCGTGATTTGTGACTGGTGTCAGTGGGGCTCACAGGTGGCAGCAGGATGGCCCGCTGGAGACCAAGCCTGTACCGTGACATGTAGTGTCAGGAAGCAGGAGAGCAGATCTCGCGGATCCGGGGGATTTCGGGCTTTGGTCTTGGGGAGTGAGCAGGAGTGGTGCGGCCCCACTGTATCCATTAAAGCTTTGCTCAAGGTAGAGATTTCCCTTTAAATTTCCCAAATCGTCTGCCCCAACGCCTGCCTACTTGTGTGTGTAGCCACCGTCGCATTACTGCGGCCGTCAAGCCATGTCTGATGAGTCCATGGCGCCGTATTAAAGCCTGGGACCCCAGCTCACCCACCGATTGAACCATTACAGAGAGGACCGACAAGTGCCGCAATACTCCACGTGCATCCTTGACGGCTGAAGGGTTGCCCCGTATCCACAGATTGCAGCCAGGATGCTCATGTTTCCCTGCCACCCGCCTGCCGTCCCAACCGCCGTTTTTTTCACATCCATGCAGCGACGTATTGGGCACTGTTTCGGACTTTTCGCTGCGTCAGTCTCATTGCTCCATCTGCATTGTGCGGTCAACCGGGTCCAGCATTGGCGGCATGGCGGGCGGCAGCGGCGGTGGCGCGGGGGTTCCCGCGGGTATCGTCAGCGCACGGCCCGCCAAGTACCTCTTCGCCACAGACGGCTCCCACGCAGCGCACCTCGCCTTCTGCTTTCTGGTGACATAGTAAGTCACTGGGGTTGACTTGATGACTGGGCTTAGGCAACACAAAACAGCCAGTCTAGTTTGGGGACGCAAAACTGGCGTTGAGTTGCTACGTGACCGAGGCAGGCGAGGGAGCCAGCGTGGCGTGAGCGTTGCAGGACGGTGGTGCACGGTGACTGAAGGTGGTGGAGAAAGGGAAAATGGGGGTGTGTTGAGGCTGGCTGGATTCCGCCGCCGGTGATTGGGGGGGTCCCGTTGGGTGGGGTCAAGATAACCGTCCTTGGACGGGGCACAAGGGTTGCGACGATGTCTTTTCAAGGGCGGCATCCCAGCGGCTGTCTAATCGCCCATGACTGCTTTCCTTCGTCGACTTCAGCAGCGGCCGTCCTCCGCAGCGCTCTACGAAACGCCCCTCCCCGATCTCAACGCAGGGGCCCGGCCCCGTTCGCCCGCCGTTTCTCAGCCCACCACACTTGATTGCTTACTGTTTTGTTTTGCACTATACCTCGGCAGTCTGTACCGGCCCACGGACTCCATCTACGTGGTCATGGTTACCTCCTCTGATGGCACGGAGGAGGCGAAGACGGTGGACATGTACAAGGACTACATGAGCAAGCACAAGGTGGGTGGGTAGGCGCAGCGTGCCGCTGCATACACAGCCTAACACGAATTTTGGGTGCTAGTCCATTTGTTGCTGGTTATACATACGCTGGAGGTTTTGGCTCCATGTGACGCATCCCAAAGCATCGTAGGCATTGCTGGTCTTGAAAGTGGAAACCAAACATTTATGGAACGAAGGAAAGCACGGGAAGGACAGCCGGTTTGCAAAACGTCTCTCTTGGTGTCTTCGGTTTGGCGGGATGAGTTCACTGCGCTACCGGTCGTCCACATGGCTGAGGGATGTGAAAGGCGCGCAGCACACACAGTGGTGGCACACATTCATGCACGATGCACCGTACCTACTTGCACGCGTGCGGTCCTCGGCCTGACCTTGCTGCCTGGGGTGATCCGTCAGCTCCTCCGGCTGCTCGCAACCCATTCTGGATATCGACCCGCAGATCAACGGAGCCGGCTACGTCAAGTGCATCGACCGTATGACCATGACAGTACCCGAGGGCATTGTTGAAGCCGTAACGCAGTACGGCTGCGACGTACTGGTTGTGGGCATCTCAGGCTACGGGTAGGTCGGTTGGATAGTATCTTATTCACGACACATGCCGCTCTTGTGCATGTGCATGTGCATTTTGCCGTCCATCTTGTGAGAACGGATAGGAAGGAAAACAGTTTAAAAGGGGAATGAAGGCGAACAGGTTTCTCAGGATCGCCACACTTTAATAGGAGCTATTGCCGCATTGCGCTGGCACATGCTGAGAAGTATTGCCTCTGGCCACAGCACCGCACCAACAGGATCAAAGGAAAGCCATGATACACCTGTCCGCAGCGGGTGATGATTGTGGCCGATGCGTGGGATCTCGCGTGGGCCAGCACTCCAACCCATATCTGCCTCCCGGCCTGTTGCCTCAAGCTCAAGTAGGGTCTATGCGTGCTCCGTGCTGTGGCATCGGTGGACCGTACGGTGGCTCCTTTTGTTGTTGACACCTGTAAAGCCCCTTGCGTTCCGCTGTGGACCGGCTTTCGTAATCGTTGCGACCGCAGGCGCAAGAAGCTGGGCTCGGTTAGCACAGATATCAGCAACAGAGCATCCTGCACGACGATTATTGTCAAGGTACGAGAGCGCGCACAGTGGCAACATTGAATCAAGTCATGTATCTCCCGCTGCGGATATGGAGGGGAGGACATGGTCCAGTTACAGCTCTCTGTGAAACAAAAGCGTTGGATTTGCTCTGCTTCTCATGGCTTGATTAGCGATGTGTTTGCGGAACGCCGTGCATAGTAAGCGCCGTAGTAGGTATCTCTGCTTTTCGCTGGGGCACCGCCGTTTTTGTTGCCTTGGTGAACGCGGTAAGGGGGCTTGTCTGCGTACGCCCTTCCACCTTCCATGTGAGGAAACTCAGTAGGGTTTTTCTTACATGGTACCGGTAACATAAGAGCAGGATTAGAGGGACCAGTTTTAAGTGACTAACTTCCACCATACTTCCTGTTTGTCCTTTCTGGTGGCAATCCACATGAAACGCAGGACTCGCGCGAGATTGTCCGCAACCGCTACACGGCGGCCGGGAGCCTCTCGCTCGCGACTGAGATGCAGGTCACGCCAAAGACGCCTCAAGAAGACGTCATTTGAGAGCTATCCATGTGCCGATGGCTGTGCTGACTTCGTACATGAAACAAGGGTATCGAGGTCACTTTCAACTAAAGAAAGGTCACTCTCTCTGCACTGACCTGGCTCAATGTCGGTTTATGCTACATGCGCGTAGACCCCTTCCTGACACGAGCTGGGGCCTGAAGGACTTAACATGCCCATTCAATAAGTGATGGCCGCTTGGACGATACAGCTCGGCTGCTCCGAAGCGGTCTACGTCACGTCTGATGACAGATTGTGATTTGCATCAATTTTTCACGCATTTTCCATTTAGCAATCAGGCATCCGAGGAAGGCCGTCGGCCACGTGCACAAACTCCTGGCGAGTTGCAGAAGGCCCGCGGCAAACACCATGAAGGCATGTCTTTCGCTCATGCATGATGAACACAGCGTCCCCAAAACACACGGACTTTGGAGTACTGTGATAGGTACCGTGCCCTCGCCGATCTAGTAAAGGGACGAATGGCTGGATCGGCGATGTCGTACAGCCCATGTGGGAGCTGTGCTGAGTGACTTGGTGCAAGTGCGTGGGTCTATGCGTGCATATGGGTACGTCATGTACGCGGGCAGTGTAAATACGCGTGCGATTTGTGTTTGGTGACTTTGCGCGTGTTTTCCCTTGGGGCACATGTTCTGTGTGTGGTAATGATCATGCGGAGTTTGCATTGCAGGTGGCTTTGCATGTTGCATACGCCTATGCCATGGGCTTGTTTGGTCAGTTTCTTGTTTGGTCTCTCGTATATCCCCTTGATTTCTTTCGTGTTTGAGTGTTCGCGCTCATGCTGGGCGACGCTGTGTTTTAGTCCAAAGTTTTCCCGTGTGGGCTACGTGTCCCAGAATGTTTCGAATTAGGTACTTGTGAGTGCTGGTGGTGGGTTCTGTGTGGGTTGTGAATCAAGCCAGCTCCACAGCAACTAATGAGCGTGGCGGATGGGTAAAAGAGCAGTCCACCTCATGGCGCCGTGTGAGCAAGGGCCGGAAAGCGGAGTGAGCAAAGTGCATGTGCACCTGCCGACCATGTCCCTGACTAAACCTAACAACTGCCGCATATTTTGGTCCCGAGCCTTCCACCATGGCTTCTATCACAGATTAATTTACTTTACATAAATGACTCTGACAATCTACCCCTGCGCGTTTGGATTGACTATGAGGTAGGGCGCCCCGGAGGGCCCTGGAGTCCCTTTGACCATCGCACGCGCCTCGTATAAGTACCTCGTACAAATGCGACCCCTCCTGTAATGTAAACAGTGCAATACTAGATCATAAAAAAATGAGCTGTCCATGCAGGATATACAGGGCATGCAATGTAAAATGGCAAACGCCTTTCCAAAATGGCACACGTGGCCCCGGAACCTCCATGACATCCCTTGGCATCCCAACACGCAGCGGGTGGGCAAAACTTTGGAGTTTTCGTTGGGAAGTGCCGTCTTGACGCGAGTGACCGAGTTTCCTGGAAGTCCCAGCTATCCTCAACTTCCCATTATACTTGGTCGAGAAGCATACACCCTCGACATTGACAATGTTACATACTCGTGATCCCCACATGATGCTCGGCCACCATCCGTGCCCTAAGGCCCCACAATCACCTAAGGTCCCACAATGACCGCTTGCGACAGCCCAGTCTCCATAGCCTGCCGTCCCGTCCGTAGTCCGGCGGCCTCACTCGGTATTCGCCGTGGCCGTCACCGCCGCAGCCGCTGTCAACACCCGCAATGCCCGCCTGCACCGTTCTCGGAAGGTGCACCGCAAATGGTCAACCGCCGCTGGCAAGCATCCAAGCAGTTGGTCCCCACGCCCCGCATCCGATTCCATGCCACGGGCGCCTCCCGCTCTTTCAGGCCGGTCGCTGCCATCGCCGTCACATGCGGCTTCCGCCTTCAGGTAGCGCTCCAGCAGGAGCATGGAGCCCCCAGCGCTCGCCAGTGCCGGGTGCAACCTCAGCCGCCGGGAGACAAGCGCCGCCGCCAGTCCGCACTGCTGGCGCTCCACCAACAGCGCCAACAAGCAAGGCAGCACACAGCCCATTGCCGCGGCGTCGCGGCCCTCCACTGCCGCCGCCGCCACTGCTTGCGCCGGGGACGCAGGGACCGACCCCACCAGCCGCGCTAGCAGCGGGTGCTGCGACGTCCCCAGTTGCGCCGCGTCTTCAGACCGGACCAGAAACGCCAGAAGTAGCACAGCGATGTCGCAGGGGATGGGACCACCGCCGTCGGAAGACGCTGCCTCGAGATCCTTAAGGGCTTGTTCTCGATGGATTTTGTACGGCGACGCCAGGCCTAAACACCAGCTGGCTGCAGCGCCGTCGGCGCCGTTGGCCGATGCATGAATGAGTTGCTGTACATCTTCAGGAGAGAGCGGCAGCGGCCGGCCCGTCAAAGAGGGAAGGGAGGATGCCCCAGGCTGCATCCCACAGCTGGCCTTCGAGATGATGCGGCTGCTGTCTGTTTCCTTGATGGTGTCCAGTCCAGGAGGATCCAGTAGACTGCGGACATGGGAGGAAAGATGGTCGTTAGTGTAGCAAAGAAAGTTATATCGGTTGAACCGAGGGCGGATCGAAGGCAACGGCTTGGCAACTGAGAAAGTTCGATGGCCGCAGTTGTGCGTCGCCACGACTGTATAAAAGTTAAGGTCCAGAGCTATCATTCACAGGTACCATGTCAGATTGCGTGAAAGATGTCATTCACGCGGCTGAGTCGGATAATGAAGGGGGTCCCCCTGCAGGAACCGGCGCGTCAGGCAAGGACAGAATGCAACCTGCTTATCTTAGCCATGAAGCGGGCTGCTTGCCAATTGCTCTTGACCCACCTGACCACCTCCAACAGTTGTCTGCAACGCAGCAGCTCCGCAGCCAGCTCCCGCCAGCAGCCGTGTAGTAAGGAGACCCGCCCTGCCGCCGCCGCCTCCTCCTCCTCCTTCCCCTCCGCCGCCGGCGCCACACCGCTGCCCCCACCGCTGCCCGACGCAGCGTCTTGGCTCTGGCTCCACATGTCCCCGTCCTGCCAAATGTCAGTTAATAGACACGCCAGCTGCCGCAGCTGCGTGAGGCTTGCTGTGCCACCCCAGCCGCCGCCAGCACCCCCTTGCACGGCCTGCAGCACCCTGGTGAATAGCCGCTCTGCTGCCTCGAGTGTCGTTAGGTCATCAAGTTGCACAGTTGGCATAGGCATGGCCGCAGGGTGATGTTGCTGGTCTGTTAGTTGATATGATGGCGGTGATGGCGAGGCTGGGACCACTAGGTGGGCGAGCAGCGCCCGAGTCCGGGTGAGGAGCAGCCTCTGGCGGTGCTTCCCGGCATCATCGGAGTGGCCGCCACTGGTCGCCCAATCAGACCACATCTGCAGGGACCGAGAGGATAAGGGACACAGATCATCACATGAGAACGTAGGGGCTCGAGGGACATGCGCATGAGGAGTGTGATATAGTATTATTGTATGGCATGATATGAGAGGAGATGCTGTGAAGCGTGAGTGAGTCATGCCGACCGTCGTGGTCAGGAAAGCCAGGCAGCCCAGCCGGGACGCTGGAGGGAGGAAGGACGTGGGAAGACGACATCGAAAACGTAAGAGGTAGCCGATACGTAGTACGGTTGACCTACATACAATCGGTGCTCTAAAACCCTTTCGAAGAAACCAGCCACGCCGCAGCCTCCGCCAACTACGCCCCCTACACCTACACTACGCCAACTACGCCCCCTACACCAGTGCATACATCTTGATCCGACCACTCGCGCCTGCGAACACACAGCCATCCGAGGCGGGTTGACTGGTTGGGCCTTCCCGAGTCACCGGCTCTTCTCTCCTTACACCCAACCGTCACAACCGCTCATCACTTCGCAGCTCACCACCCGTGTGCCCAGCGCTGCCTGCATGTCCAGAAGCTCCGAAGCCGCACTTGGCCTGAGCCTCTCCAGGGAGGGCAGTCGCTCGTCCGTAAAGCGCTGCAAGTCGCGCCACACACGGTCCCGCAGCACCCGTAGCGTGTGCGCCAAATCCTCTGCTTTCGCGTCCGCCGGGTCCGCCGATACGCCGGAGTCGAGAACAGTCGGATTGGAGCTCCTGTCCTGTGGTCTATCTAGGCACCTCAAGGCTCCCTTGAGCCGGGCCAAGCCAGCAGCCGTCGTCGATTCACCTGTCTCATCCAGCAATGCACTCAGCGCCGACCCCACGGTATCGCCGACTGCCGACTCCAACAAGGCAACCGCCGCCGCCGCCGGGCCGACGGCGGCGGACCCTGGTGTGGCGTCGGTCCCTCCTCCGTCGGCTAGAGGCTGTGGCTCCGCCGCCACAGCTGCAATGTCGAGCAGGACAGCCGCGGGACATCCAGCGGCCGCAAGAGAGGATAGGGCGAGCCTCACGGCCCCAGCGGCGGCGTCTGCGCCGCCGGCGGAAGAGGCTGAGGCCGCTGCTGTGGGGTCGTCCGCGGACAGCAGGGAATACTCCAAGTCCTTCAACTGCAGGCGGTAAGATGGTACACGGTTGCTACCAATCAGCAAAACCGATCATGGTCACCATGCGCAAAGCTTTTACCCAAACAATCCCGTGTCTCACACATCGATGTAAAGTTGTCGACGCCATGAAGGCAGGACGTCTCAAACAACACCGTAGGGCAGATGCGCATATCAGTCGACCCGTGTGATCCCTGAACTGCATTGCCGCAAGTTACACTCAACGCGCAACGGCAGGGCACAATCCAGGGTTTGGCCTACTATCCTAACACCACACAACCTTCTTGGTTGGTTGGCTCAGGAAGAGCTCATTGCTAACAGGCTGCAACATGAACACCACCACGACTCCATGAGCCAACACAAGAACGTGCCGCCGCTATGGAAAGAGGTCATCCCTACCCAATCGTAACCCGAGACGTAAAGCCTTATCATGGCGCGAGCACCGCCATTCCCCCGGACCTGCCAGGAAAACCAACGTCAAGGCCTTTAACCTCATAAGCGTGAGAGCAGGATGCCCTGTTGCCTTCCCTGCCTGGTGCATGGGAAGACGTTATCCCCCCATCCCTTCAATTTTATAGTTTTATCTTATTCCCTGTGTTATGCGGCTCCTTACCAAGCACCTCTGGCAGGCCGTAGGAGGCCCTTGAGGCCCCAACACCTCATGGCCCCTGTTGGCTAGATTGGCAGGTACGGTGTTTACGCACCCCCGAACTGGCAACACACACTCACACGTGCGACCCGCCCATAGGTTTGCTGCCCATCTTAACTTCGTGATTAAACCCTCTCCTAAGGCTCTTCTTAAGAGCCCGGGGCAGCCCGCACACCTGCTGCGCATCCAGGCCATCCGCCGCGTGCTGCTTTGCAGCTCGCAGCATCAACAGCCGGCGGTGTAGAGATCGCAAGCGGCGGAGGACTTCCGTGACGGCGCAGGCGGCAGCGGCATTGTCGCCATGTGCGGCAGCTATCGAAGCCTCTGCCGCCGCCGGCTGCGTCGTCATCGATGCGGCGTGTGGGGACTGCAGCCTGGGCATGCAGGTGTCCAGTATCTGGCAGGACGAAATAATGAACGAAGACGACGAATTAGAAGAGGACTGGTGAAGAAGGTGCGGGGCAACGCTGTATGCATGGAAGCCGACTGCCAGGCGACTCGGTGGGAGAAAGGACACACGCAGCTTCTGCCGCCGATGGATTGACAGAGGGGTAAAACACCGGAGGCAAGTTCATTCATATCGGCTTGCCTACTACCAGAGGAAAAGCAAAAGCTACCTACCACGAGACGTACGTCCACAGGGCAAGGGCACGGCGCCAGCTGCGCGCCAGTGACCCCCGGACACAACGGGCACTGCGAACCGGGCAGCAGCAGGAACGCTAGCCACGCAGCCAGCTGCGCTGGTGGCAACCGCACCACATGCTCCTCAACGTGACTCCACGCCACAGCCATGTCCCGCTGCTGCTGCTGGTGCTGCTGTTGTTGTTGCCCTCCAGATTTCGTCCCCACGGCCTTCACGCACAGGCATAGGTATGGCAGGCTCGGCGGTAGGGAGTCCAGCGCGCGCTGAAGGTCCGGGAACAGCAGCCCTGTGCCCGACCCCGGGCCCGCTGCCGCGGCCTTCTTCCCCGGCGGGCCCAACAGCTTGTGCAGTGCAGTCACGAGCTTGGCTGCCTGAGCCAGGTTGCTGGGCTTTACGTAAGAAAAGATCGCAGCTGCGGCCGCATCGGCAGGTGCGGTGGCTGCCGCAGACGCCGCTGGCCCCGCCAGCGTCACTCCCAGCGGGGCCAGCAGCGGCGCCAGTAGCGGCGCGTGTAGTTGCGTCAGTGAAAGACCCTTGAGCGCTGCGGCGGCCTTCTCCAGTAGGTCCCGCAGCTTGCCCAGGATCGGCGCGATGGAGGCGGTCAATGCGGCGGTTGCCGGGTCGTCCTGGGAGTGGTAAGGACCAGGAACGGGTCGAAGGGAGGGAATGGGGATGAAGATAAAAGGCGAAAACGGCAAAAGGGCAAAGCGGCAAACGAAACCTGATCCGAACGAAACCACCCCACCCCACCCCACCCCACCGCACCTTGGCACAGGCGTGCAGGCAGTCCGTCAGCACCGCCAGCCATAGCGCCAGATGGGGCCCGCTGGAGGTGGGAAGTACCGGGTAGGTGGCAGTCGCCAGGTGCCGCAGCAGGGCCTTGGGTCGCTGCAGGAGACCCGGCTCGCGTGACTGCACAGCGGCACGCAGCTGTGAAGACGCAGACCAGGGTGGGGAAGGGACCGAGTGGAAAAGGTTACAGGGCCCGGAGGGTTAAGAGAACCGGAGTAGGAGTTAGGGGGGGAAAAGGGTGTGTAATGTTAAGTAGGCGGCGGGGCCGCGAAGCTGGGGGATGTGTGGCCAACATCAACAGCGGCAAGGGGGAGGAGGAGGGGGCCCCCGATCTTGGAAGAGACGGGTTTTGTTGCAAGGACCTGGGGCGTTGGTGAAGGTGAAGGTGAAGGCGAAGGCGGATGCAGACGTGGTTTTGGCCTGAGGTCCGGTAAAGGAGGAGGCCCAATCAGGGACAGAACCCACTATTAACCCACCACCATGACGCAGGCGGGGCGTTCTTGCTGGAATCCTTGTACTGTTGCTGTTGGGGGAGAGATAGGCGGTGGTGCTGCTGCGACTGATATTTTGGGGTCGCGCATCGCTTCGTTTTGAGGCCGTGCGGGCCGTTTTGTTCCTGTACGCACATCCTCAGGCACACCCAAAATTTCGCAGCCACAACCGCGCCTCCCCGCGTCAAGCCCCCCTTCCCCCAGCAGCAGCAACAAATAGCAGCGGCACCCATGGCACACCTCGGCCGTCACGGCAACGGCATCGGTGATGAGCGCGGACATGAAGTGCAGCTCCACGTCCCATGGGTCAACGCCGTACGCCGCAGCTAGCTGTCTGGCCTGCTCCATCAGCTCTGCCGCACGTGGGGATGCCGCCCCCGGTGCCTCCGCCTCCGCCTTTCCCGCCAGTGCAGCCTGCTGCAGAATGGCCTGTCGGGTTGTGACGCAGGAGTGTTTGGAAGGCGGCACGGGAGGTGTGGAGGTGACCGAGGGAAAGGGTTCGTGTATAGATAGGTTCGTATGGATGACGCAGCAGTGGCGCTCCAGTACCTAAGGTTGTGATTATTAATACCACGCTGGTATTCGTCTGTAGATGTCAGTATGTCAGGAGTTGCCATGCGCACGGCTGACAGCCGCAGGTGCGACTGTCGTACCTGGCGGCGATATTCGTCGCCTCCACTTGCAAACTGGGCCGCATCCACGCCGGGCAAATGCTGACGCACGGTACGGCTGTCACGCGCTGCCGCCAGCCGTGCCTCCGCCGCCAGTGCGGCCGCGGCAGCGTCCGCCGTAGCGTCGGACATGGACGCCGGTGTCGTACCAAGTTGCCGCACCTGCAGCACGCGCATCGTCTTATCCATAGTGATGACCGTTATTGTTGTTCAGGGGCTCTTGGCCCGACGGACCCATGATCCCTCTTTTATCCGCTATAGCACAACGTTCGCAAGCACCCACATCTGGCCCATTCATCTGCCCTCAGCCGCCTTCACCGCACTGCAGCATGTGCTTTCACCCCATGCAACCCTTCGCCTTGAGTATTCATGCATACACACACGCCCTGTGTTCCGCACACCGGCCTCTCACCCTCTGAAGCAGCTCCCCCAGTGGCTGCTCCAACAACCGCAGCCTCTCCGCACCGCTACCGGCTGCCGGCAGCAGCGCCCGCAGGCAATGGCAATAGCACTCCATAGCCGCCACACGCTGCAGCTGCGCATAAGGCAACCCGGCGCCGCCGCCGCTACCGCTACCATCCTCGCTGCCGCCGCCACCTCGGAGACCCTCCAGCAGCTTGATGGCCCTACCGGCACTGCCGGTTGCAGTCCCAGGCTCCAGCACTGCCAGCGCCAGGTGGGTATCCCCCGGCAAGGGCAGGTGGGCAGTGGCAGCGGCTCCAGGGGAGGCGGCTGCGGCTCGCTGACCGGGAGCTAGCAGCGCCTCTCGGAGGAGGTACTCGGGCGCCTCCAGCAACGGATCGGAACCATCTGACCAGCCAGCAGAGGGGGAGCACGGAAACCACGCCAACATGCAAAACTGAACTACAACTGCCGATGTCCAAGCGGCCAAGCAACCCGGCAACCCCGATGGGATAGGGGACAGGAAAGTTTCAACAGCCTGTTCGGGTGAACAGACCCAAATTTGGAAATGACCTCAGCGGGCTGAGGGCCTGGGCGGGAAGAAGTTGTTGTCGCAGCGTGCAATGTCAGCGTCAAACCGCCTTTCCCACCACGCACCCCGCGGAGCCCCCACCTGCCCAACCGGCCTCACCCCAACAGGGCCTCTCCACCGCCCTCAATTCCTCCAGCAGCCGAGTCATGCGTTCGGCGGGACAATGCAGCAATGCGTACGACAGTAGCTGCTCCCGTACGACATCATCCTGCAACTGCCGTTTGGACCCCAGCTCCGCGCACAGCGACCTGAGGATGGAGTCCCCGCGGGGCCGGAAGGCGAGGGGAGGAAAGGTGACCGTAGCGGCGATGACCCACGTTGGTGATAACACAGCACGACAGGAAAAGCACAGCTGTCGTACAATATAGTCCTGCGTGAGGGTGTTCATGGGCCTGGAAAAGCGCTGTGTTCTTGCTAACCTTCGATTAGCAAAATCGCGGGATTGCGGCACCAACACTTGGCACACTTTGTTCCGCTCTGGTGATTGGCCACCTCTCTGCGTCGAAGCTAGATTGCGAAGCGACATGCCCCTCTTAAGTTCCTTGTCGCTACTTGAGGCGAACCCTAAAACCGAACCAGTGCGCCCTCGCACCTACGTACTCCCTTCACCGCCCATGTCTCCCCTCCCTCCCCGCCTTCCCCAGCTTTCTCCACTCACACACACCCCACCGCGCCCATGGGGCTGACCGTCGCCTTAAGTTATCGGCAAGACATGTGCCATCTTGTTCACATGCACGTGTGAGCTGAGCAAATAGAGCAGCGCTCACTCCAAACAGGTGTTAGTTATACGAGTTAAATAGTGTTTCATGCCAATCTTACGAGGCCCACAGTTGCATAGCCATGCCCATGCACCCACCCGCCCACCCAACCCACCACGCAGGCATGTATCTTGCCGCCAGCAGCTCCAGTGCCAGGTGCTGTGCGGTGGCCAGGTCACCAGCTCGCAGCGCCGCTGTCCCGGCCAGGTCCTTCAGCTGAGACCACCAGACAGGGCATGGGCATGGGAATGAGGATTAAGGGCGGGGGCCAAGGGCGAGGGGTGGAGACATGCGTGATGCATAGCGGGTAGTGAAGGAGGGACCGGTGGAAAACCGGTGGAGGGCGGTGGACCGATCACGGCGTGTTCAGTACTGCTCCTCTGGCCACTCTGCTTGCCCAGCAACGCCACAATGGGCTTACGTGCGGCGTTTAGGTCCTGGCTTGGTTAAGATCTATGGGTGCTTTTTCCTATCCATCCCGAATCCGACCCCGTCCCGTCCCATGATGCTTTGGACGTGTGGGCAGTTGTTCCCCTTCGACTTCTTCTGCTTTCAATCTCCCCCTTTTTTGACCTGTGTGCTCTACTTCGTGCCAGTCGGGTTACGAGAATCTGAGTCAATGGTCATCACACTCCGAGCTCCACATCCCACAACTCACACGTACCCGCAGCTCGTCGTCTGGAGAGTCCAGCCCGAGAAGCTCAGCAAGCTCCAACAGGCGGCCGACTTGCTTGTAGGGCGGCTGTACGGTGCCCCCGTGCGCTACCGTCGGCGCCGCCGCCGCTGCTGCAGATACCGTAGCCGCCACCGCGCCGGCGACGATGCCCGCCATTGGCGCCATGCGTCCCGCCACCGCCTCCGCCACGTTTGCGCCTGCCACCCGCCCGGCCACCGCCAGCAGCCCACCGGCAAGCGCCGCTGCCGCCCGGCCACCCGCCACGGCCGCCTGGCCTGCTGCCCGTACCGCCGCCCGACGACGGCTGAGCTTTCCGCCTAGCGCCGCCGACGCCGCCAGCCCTAACGTGCTGCCAAAGCCGACTCCACCGGCCGCGGAGGTAGCACCAGCGGTGGACAAGAGGCCGCCGCCGCCGTCATCGTTTCCGCTGCCTTCCAAAATCAGCCGAATGACCTCAAAGCGGTCCGTCATCTGCATGACTTGGGCGGGGATGACGTCAAGTCCCAGCTCAGGCAGCATCTGCAGCGCAGAAACCAGGCGCCGCAGTGCGACAGCTGGCGGAGCGTCGGGCGACGCAAGCGCAAGGCAAGCAGCTGATTGCTGTGCGGCGCTGTCCCATGGGTCGTTAGCACCAGCCAGGATCTCAGCGGCGACGGAGGTGATGAGCGCGTCCGCGGCCTCCGGTTCCAGTGCCACATGGGTCTCGCCTGGGCGCGTGCGGCGCGACATGGAGAGAAAATGGGGTTGTGGATTCGAATGGAAACGAGCACGGCAGGGCCGAGCTGACGGCTCAGGCTAAGGCACACAGAGCCTGTGACCCAGAAGGAGCACAGGTCATTGGCGATGGTTGTACAGAGAGGCATGCTTATGCAAGATTGGTGCTGATGCTGCTGTTACTTTACTTCTGCTTTCGTTGCACTAGAGAGACAAACTACAAGATGTGGGGCAGGCGATGTAGTTGGGCATGCTGCCTCGTGTTGAAGTAGTAGTGACTTGCATTATGTTGATTCCGCCATTATGAGGTCCATACACCGATAAACAGGTGGGGCCGGTTCCCACAGAGCTGGATGCGCATGGGCCAGAGCTCGGTCCTTTGCTCGGCAACCGCTAACAGCGCTACCAATTCCTGCATCGCGTCCCCCGACGCGCACTTCCCATCCCCTAACCCTTTCGTGCCCTGGCGCCCTTGGCATTTCCTTTTTCGGCCATGACCCCCGCCCCCGCCGGTCAGCCTCCAGCGCCACTCGATGCCCTCCACACACACCACCTGGGAGGGCCCCGCCCACTCCACATGCCTTTAAGAACCCCGCGAGTGACGGCTCCTCCCCGACCCCTCCACACACACACACACACACACACACACGCGGCTTACCGGGAGCACCCCCATGCAGGTAGGCATTGGCCAGGTCGTTGCGGCCGCAGTGCAGCATGCACCTCGCCACCTCGGACAGCAGCTCCTGGGGCTCCAGGAAGGGAAAGGCGGCGGAACGAACCTGCACCAGATCGAGCCACAGCTGCGACCAGGCGGCATCAGGCATAGAGGGACTGGACCTGGGCAAGGGGGAAGAGGGAAGGGTCGAAAAAATATACGGCGGTGGTGGGGAAATGCGTCGAGGGTGAGGGAAAGAGGAAAACCCGAAACACGTACGCGTACCTGTGCAATGGCTCTCCCAACGCCCACTGCACAAGGAAGCTGCAAGATCATTGCGTGCATATACTTCTCGTGCATATACATCAATGGATTGAACTAACACTACTAACAGTGGCCAGGCCAGGCCATCCTAACTAGACGGCATTTGCGAGAGTCTGCCAGTCGCGTGTTAAGGTACTCAGGCGTCGCAGCTGTTCCTCCTAAACCCCCCCGAAAGCGCACCAAGTCACACACCACACCTGCAACCAGTCCTTTCTCCCTCCCCCTCCCTCCCTCCCTCCCTCACCCACCTAACCCTTCCCATAGTTCCCCGTCCACCTCCCCTCCATTGCCCTCAACCCGCCTTACCTCTGTAACCTCCCCAGCACCTGCCGTATGCACCTCGCTGCCTCCTCCCGCCCGCAGCTGCTGACGTGCCGTACCGTCAGCGGCAGTCCCCGCGCCGCTAGCAGCGACCCCGCACGCACGAAGCCGCGCAGCTCCCGGAGGCCAGCTAGCCAGCCCCCACAAGACTCCGACTCCGACGACGATGACAACCGCCGCGCCGCCGCCGTCGCTGTTGCTGCTTCTGCAGAAGTCTCCCCGGCCGCGGCCGCTGCGGCCGCCTCTTCACTGGCTGCGGCCTCTACGGCCGCCATTGCCCGCTCCAAGGAGGGCCATTCATCCGTGTGAGGGCAACCCGCTACAGCAGAGGTGACAGCCTGAAGGTCAGCGCGATAACGATGAATTGATGGTGGTAATGTTGATGGCGATGATGGCATGACGGCGACGGCTACGAGGAAAGAAAGGCAGAGCCCGCTCAAACGCCGGAAGGCGGTGCAGATGCCCGCCACATCAGACGGCTTCTTCCTCCCTGACATACACACCATATGCCCACGGACGCACATACACACATACATACACACGCATGCACACACATACACACACATACAACACTTTCTCTCAGTTCCTGCCGCGGCTGAGATCAGTCAAGTACAGACATACACACACAAACATAGTCATACACGCACACAACATATATCCATACCTGCACAAGCTCCTCGGTGCTCTCGAACAGCATCCTGTCCCGCGCCTCCGCCTCCACCAGGGCGGCTGCCCAGGCGGGCCTGGCCGCCATCTCCTCAGCCATCAGAGCCCCCAGCAGCGGTCCTACCCGGGCGGCATCCCAGCCGGGGCCGCGCAGGAAGGGAACCACCCTGGAAGCAACACGACCGGCCACATACACACGACACATGCACGGAGATTGAGGGCACGTGAAACAACCCATGGCTCCAACGATGTTAGATATTGAAGTAACAAAAGAACTAGAGCTGAGCTTCTTTTAGAGACGAAACCCACAGGCTACATGGGCGCGGCGAGGGATCCACTTGCTTGAGGGGGCCTCTGTCAGAGATGCCCTCCCAGTCCTGACCTACATTCTCGACGCGGTTCGTTCCGTTCACCTCTGCCCTACCTCCTGGTGCTGGTGCCGCAGTCTGCGACAGAGAGCGCCTCCCCGACCATGCCGAACAGCTGGCTCAGATAAAAGCCAAACAGAAGGAATCTGTTGTAATGGCACGTCAATTCAGATGTGCCAGATTCGCGATCCCTTGGCCATCCTATACTCCCACCCGCTGTACTGCCATGCGTATGACTCTCCGGGGCCGGCCCTCCAGAAATCCTCACCTTTCCCGCAGGTCTTGGCGGAGGCTATCCTCGTCACTGCCCGCCAGCAGCAACCGGAGCTGCTGCGCTCCTGGCATCTCCGCAAAGTCCCCCAGGCGAAGGCGCCACAGCACGCCGCCGGGGGAGCTGGCCGAGCCGGCCGCGAGGGATGCACGGTGGTGATGGGTCGTAGCGCTGATGACGCCTGGCGGGGATAGGAGATAGGGTCAAGAAAGGAAATCCAAACTTGAGAAACCAACACCAGCCGTATGTTCGTGAACGGCCCTGTTATGGGATGGGACCGGAGTTGAGGTTAAGACCGAAGCACGCACCAGGGGGCGGTGGACGCGGGGCGGGAGCGGTGGTGTGATGCAGCGGTGTTAGCGGTTTCCCGAGCGCCATCTTCCACAGTGGAAGCGGGCGACATTGACTGCATGGTTACTTTCCATCCCTCTCCACACACGCAACACCTGCCATTCCGCTTTGGACGTGCATTTGTACCCGTTCTCCTCTCCTCTTTACCATCACGCATCCCATTGAGCGGTTCACTCCCGACCCACTAAAGCACAAAGGAAACCCGCAACCACCTCTCTAACGAAACCCATACTTGTAAGCGCCATCGCTGCCCCCAGCAGTTGCGCCACTCGCGGCCCCCGGGCGCCCCGCTCCCAGCCCAGCTCCAGCAGCGCCAGGGCACCCTAACACAACAACAGGGGGTCAGCAGTGGTAGGATCAGCCGACACGGTGCCGGTGATAGCGCACTGCAACAGCCGCTCTGCCTCGCACTGCGCTGTGCCAGCAGCCAGCAGCAGCCGTGGCGCCGCAGGGTATAAATAAAAAATAAAAACATCTCAACACAGATGTAGACCACAGACACCTTCCCCAGCAATGGTGGGGGGCTGGAACAACAGGGCGGGACGGGGAGACGGGGCAAAAGTAACGATCATACACAGAGGCCCCGCCATGCCAGCTACATACACGTCGCCCGACTCATCCTCACACAACCTCGTACCTGTAGTTGCCCAGTTTCCTCGTCCAACTGCAGCGCTCGCTCCGCGTACCACTCCGAGGCTGCCGCAGCGGACAGCCGCGGACGCGGGGCCAGCACACGCACCAACGCATCCGTAGCCTCTGGATCCCAATCCGGCAGATCCACAGCCGATCCAGATCCAGATCCAGATCCAGCCGCGACCGCCTTCCGGATCTCCGCCAGTACCTCCGGCTGCTCAACCCAGTCTTGCTTGCGGACCGGGGGCGGCCGCAGTGGCACCGGTACTTCCTCACCGTCGGCCTGCACACACAACACACACACACGCACACACACATTCTGACCATGTGTTCAAATGGCCCAGAAGCCTCCCACCCTGTAACAATTCAATTCAACATGCTGACCTATAACGTAAGGCCGGCCATATGGTGTGCTGATACCTCCCCCCCTACACGGACTTTCCTAGGTTGCTTTTCCTGATGCATTTAACCCTTGCGACCACCCCCCCGTGCACCACGGCCCTGTCCTTTCCGTGCAACTGATGCGTTAACGTCACGTAATTCTATTACAGCTGGTGTGTGTGATATGTCTTCTATGTCACTCTGTATGGTAAGGGCTTTTTCGTGGCGGGGAGGAATTTGACTTCATACAGTGCAACAAACTGTATGAGGTCCCCTACCACGAATTAGCCAAACGTCGAACACCTTCAGTCGCGATGCCGGCCGGCAGCCAGCCGGCGGGCCAGCCCCCATCGGGCAACGTCCCCCGCTCGGGGCCGCTCGCTCTCTTGCTCACCGGTCTGGGCAGCAGTGCGCTGTAGAGGCGTGGGTTAATGGTCTCCGGAAGCCTGGACAGCACCCCCAGCAGCACCGGACCCGACAGGGAGGCGGGGTAGTGCTGAGCCAGCACCGCCAGAGGACCCAAGGCACCAGTGGCAGCCCAGGAGCCCGCCGCGGCGGCCAGGGACAGGTCGCGGAAGGCGGCATAGGCGGACGGATTGAAGGTCCTGCAGTGCAGCCAGCCGCAACGGCGACGCGGACGCAACGGCGACGCGAAGTAGATGGTAAGGACGAAGCTGGTAAGGAACGGATACGGGAATGCTGGTGGTAAGGAAGGGGGTCTTCCTTGAGTGACATGAGTTCTATTCAAAGTATGTGGCAGCGGAATGAGGGCTAATCAGGAAGGGGGTCTGTTGGCGTCCAGGGCCAGATTTATTCATTCCTTCAAATCCACAGCCGACTGAGCTCACGCACCTGCCCTGCGCCGCGTAGAGCACCTCCAGTCGGTCGCTATGTCGCCACAGCTTCAGCCGGGTGCACCACCACCAGGCGGTGTCCCGTGGGTCGGTCCTTTCGCCACTACCACCCGCCGCCGCCGTTGCAGCACCACCCGGCGCGGAAGCGTTTGAACTCTGAGGGAATAAGGACGAGTGGGTAAGGCGAACCACTGACGGTTGGAGCAGATACCAGAGATAACGGATACTCCAGGTGGGGTGAAAGGGTCGCGTAAGGCGCCCATCTACCCGTCCGCAGTCACTGCTCGTCTCCCCACTCGCCAGTAAGCCCTCCGTCGTACTCCCCAAAATATCTTCCCACCCGCCATCCGGAGCCTCAAATGTATTTGAAAAAGAAGGTTCTTGCAGTGCGCCACAGATCGCCATCATCATAGCTTCGTTTTCCCGGCTTCGCGAATGTCGGGTCTCAAGTCCCGACCCTGTTGGAAGGAGTTGTTCCTGCCGCCAACCCACCCTACCGCGTCATCCACGCTGTCAGCTGCTGCCGGCGGCTTGGCCTGCCTCGCCGTCTCCCGTAGACCGTAGTTGATCAGCTTGCGCTGCCCCTCATAGTCGGAGGCCACTCGCCGGCAGCACTCCCCCACAACCCATCGCCTGTTCCGATCACGAGGCGGAGGCAAAACCAACAGAAGGGAGAGGGGTGGGTTGGAGCGTGAAAACAAGTGCAGTTGTGACATCAACTGCAGTAGTCTCAAAAGCCAGGAGGCCGTACGCCAGAGGCGCTAGGGGTGTCGCGCTGTGTTGTAATTTGGAAAGTGAAAAGGGAAGGCGGGAGGGATGATGAGAACGGGATAGGATGCCGGGGATGCCCTGGAGGGCACACGTGCCACACCCCAGGAGCCATATCCACATGTATACCGTTGCTGATGTCGCTGGTTGCCTCCTGCACTTTTGCTTATGCCGCTGGTACACGCCACCACCACCAGCACCGCCACCACATCCTGTATTAACCCCTTATTAGCCAGAGCCGCACCTGTCCGCGATCTTGGCCAGGTTGTCAGCTATGTTGGCTGCATCCACAGGTCGGGAGGCCCATCTGGCGCCATACACCCGATCGGCGTTCAACCCCGCGGCGGCGCACAGCTCCAGCGCCCTGCCCCACTGCTGGTGCCGCATGTGCACCTGAGGGGGCGGGTGCACCAGGCGGGATAGCACATGAGGATCAGGACAACATGTTAAGGAAACGTGTGATGCTTCGGTCACCAAAAAGCCAGAGCCACTCACACGTCCATATCTCCATCCGCCTTCCTTTGGTTGCCATACCCGCAGCAATTCTCCTGGCCTTCTCCTACCTCTGCAATCCGACACGCCGCAGAAGAGGCACGAATCCACTCCCCAACTAAATCCACTGCCATATGACGGACCCCATTCCTCGGTTCCACATCCTGATTCAATACCTAGCATTGTAGCCGAAAACGCCGCCGCGGCCACAGGCAGGCGCACTCGTACCTGGAGCATCTCCTCGGGCGTTCGCTGCGCTAGCAGCAGCAGCCGTAAGCCAGGGGCGGCGGCAGCGGAAGCCGCTGCAGCAGCCTCTGCAGAGGCCGCAGCACCCCTGGACGCACGGGCGCTGCGAACCCCGTCTGCGGCGGCCACCCCCCCGGATCCGGGGATCTTGGATTCTGGCGGAATCAAAGGCTCCAGAACCAGGAGCCCGCGGGTCCCTGGACCGCCGCTCTTGGAGGCCACCAGAGTACCTATCCGGGCGAGAAATGGGAAGCGTTGAGCGTTGTCAGCCACTGGGAAAACGATGAATAGCTAGCAGTGAGGGGGAGCGAGTGGGAGCGTCAGCCACATTAATCCGGGTCGTCCGCTTGCTCCTTTCGCTCGCTCGTCCCATAACTTCCAACATTACAGCAAACACCTTCCTCTCCATTTCCCACTCCGCCACGTCTCTTAACGACCGGGGCCAGAGCCCTGCGCTAGAAACCATAGGTATACCTGGTGCATACTTGGGCTGCTCGTCGCCTGCCAGCAGGTTGTCGTATCCCGGCAGCTGTGCAAGGCCCACATAGCCCGCCATGTCGCTCAGCGCCAGGGCGGTTTCGGAGCCCCACCAGGAGGCGCTCGCCGCCGACTCCACGGACCGGGTCAGAGTGGTCTGTCCAGGCAGGGATGTGACAAACGGTAATGAAACGGTGACAAACGGTAATGAAACGGTGACGAACGGAAAGGCATGGCAATAAACAGACTGCCTAGGAGCTCAGCAGCCTAAACGTCCAATTGAACTATTGCATGCAATTGCTGAGGTGACTGAAGTACACCACAGAACTGCCTAAATCCCATGCAGCATGCCGCGTGCGCATGCACACCCACACGTCTGGGCTGGCAGCCCCTCGCATCATAGCCGAGGAAACATAGTATGCCAAATCCAACCACGCGATGACGGGGGTTCCAGGTGCACACCCTGCACGACACACGCATGACATCCCTCCCCCCACCGTGGACACGCAAAGGACTAGCAAACAGCACCCACCCGAAAAGCTGACGCTGGAGGCGCCGTGCGGCCCCCAAATCTCTCCCCAGGGTCCTCTCTCCGGCACTGCGGCACCGACAGTATCAGCACTCCTGGGGCGGGCGGAGCCACAATCGCCACGTGCTCACCCAGTGGCGAAAGGGACAGAGTCCAGCGACGCCGCGCCCAGGCTGCTGCCGCTGTTACAGTGGCGGCCGCGGGTCCACTGCCGCCAGCGCCGGCGCTTTCGCTTAGCGAGCCGACAAAGGATCCAAGTGGGACTGCTTTGGTGGCAGCGGCCGCAGCAGCTCCTGGACCGGACACCTCCAGCCGCCAAGTGCTGACGCTAACGCGCGCGCCCGCGGCTGCAGGGCCCTTGCCGCCGCCGGCCGGGCCGCTCTCCCCTGCCACCACGAGGGTTGATGTACGAGCATCGTATGCTGCAACCCGTACAGTGTCGCACTGCCGACTGAGCTGCTGGGGCCGCAGTCCTTGGAGTACACGCGGCGGAGCGTCCAGCGGCACGATGAAAAGCTGGGATGGACGGCCGGTCAGGATAAGCAGTGTGGTGGGCAGCGGCATGGCCAGCGCACCAACAGGCTTGGCGGTCCAGGGCCCGGCCGAGGCCGATAGCAGGGACACGGGCTGGCCGGACCTGGACGGACAAAGCACGGCGGAAGCAGGTGCCTTAAAAGTGTATCGCTATGGCAGGGTGGAGTTGGGAAAGGTATAACATAAGGATTGGCGGGGACGCTAGGACTGGGTGCATCAGCGGCTCGTGGGAAAGCAGGGGCCCAGGTGACCGGTGACCGGTGATTACAGTGGGACATGTCGACGTTTTGGGTCAACGTGGGTTAGCATACGCACCGACAGTTACCATGAAGCGTCCCGAGGACGCAGCAGCCCAAGGCACCGGGCGCACCTGTCCAGGATGTAAATATGCCGGGAGGCACAGGCTACCGCCAAGCGAGAGCCATCAGCTGACCAGCAGAACGCCGTGACAGCATCTGCGGAAGAGAGACTCCCTCCACTGATGCTGGTTGGCTGAAAACTCCGTATAACCGAGAGATCATGCGATGGTTGCTCGGCATCTGTGCCAGACGTCACGCGCTCCTCTCGTGGGTGGAAGATTGTAATCACAGTTGCCGTGGAGTCCAATACTGCAACAGCTGAACAGTCTGGAGAGACGAGCAATCCTCCTGCAAATATGCCCAGGCACACGCCCCAGCAACGCCCTTAATGTGGAGTCCTTGGAATGATTATTAGCTTAACTGTGCCCAACCTTGATCGCTCAGGTAACGTCGCTTTTGTGATAGAAGGCCTGCAATCGCCCTCCCATTACTGCTCGAGGTGTACTGTTCTAACTCCTCATACAATACAGAGTTGCTACTTTGCTGCATGTCTGTAGGCGTAACGCTGACCACAAATCGTGGCACACGACCAGCTCGACTGCTCTGGTGTCCCTAGCCCCAGACTGTCATCCGTCTTTATATTATTCCTTTAAACTAGACAATTAAGATAGTCAACAAAAGCTAATGTTACTACGCAGCAACCATAATCAAACGCAAGAAGGGCAGAAGGGCAGACAGTTCTGCGCAGACTAACTGACTCTAACTGTCACCGAACGCTAACCATCAGAGCTCTGCGAACCAGCAAGCTGCAAATTGTGCTCCTGCCGCATATGACGCAATTCAAAGATTCTTGCTATACCATTTGCTCTAACATCAGCTGACACTTCAATTCAGCTGCGCTTCACGGCTTGTATGTGCGCCTTCATACGTATTCCAGCTACCACAACTCATTACTGAAATACCCAATTACAATAGTGATCCCAAAGCAGCACGGCAAAATAATTTTCATAACGATCGCGGACGAGGCCCATGGCACGACGTATGGGCCCCAGAGTCCAGACCTAATGGAGGTTCATAAACCAGCTGGAGTGATTCTGTTTTTCTCTCCGAATGGACGTGCCTAACCCAAATGGCAGCAGCGCCAATCTGGCAATCTGCCGAAGCTGCAAACCCTCGATGCCGTCTTCAAATCATTGCCCGACGCTTACATACGCGGCCTGCACCCCTCCCTCTTAACCCAGATTTCCGCTGCAGTTCTTCCGAACTTTCACCCACACCATCACGACTTCTTCGGCCGGCAGCCTCCTGCCGGCCTCTGCTCTACACCCTGAGCAGGGGTGACCTCTGCTCTACACCCTTATCTTCCGCAGGTCCGGGCAGATACCCATCCCACGTCTCCGCTTCGGCGATACACACAACTTAACATATTAACTCCTCAGCCAATATCACACCATCACCATCCAATCACCGGCAGTATCATGCCGCTAATCCGTGGAAACCTTCGCCAAATCACCTCCGGAGGTCTGTTTGTCCAAGCGACGCTAGAGCCATCCTACCCACCGTCCAGCCCCCTTCCTAATGCAATCCAGCAATCAGCTTACATACGACCACGCTGCTTAGGCGCGGAATACGTCCGTGTCCCTGACTGACCCTGTCCCTGTCCATGCATGGGTGCGTTATACGGATCATCTGATAGGCTTCGTAGGCTTGGGAGCTCACGCTCTTGCCCCGTCGGGTGTGAGCTGAGCCTGCAGCGGGCAGCCTGCCAGCCAGGCTAAGCAATGCCATAAGCAATGCAGATAGATATCAATACATAGAGAAAGACAGATCGACAGACAGATCGACAGTGCAACGTTTTGCATGCAGCCCTGGCCACCCATGCGGCAGCTCTGGACCCGGCGGCCGGGGAATCCGCGCCCACCACCCCCTACATCAGTGCGAACATGCACCCCTTGCGACATAAATCCAATCATACGACATGAGGTCCACCGCCTTGGCCGCTCGTGCAAAAAATACCTCTCATCGCAGTCTCTCTCACCGCAGTCTCTCTAATATTCTGTACTGTTAAATTAACTCAGGAAACGTAAAATACTCAACTAACTCTTCCCTCCAAGCGCAAAGCTTAAAAATCGCGTTTTTTTCCATTTTCCCTCTCCTGAACGCCCCCTCGAACCCTCCTTTCAGCCCTCGCAACAGCCGATCACCGTACTGCCCGCCTCCTGTCGTCCTGTCCTCCGACACCACCGCAGCCGGCTCTTGTCCAAGACCCGGTGCCAGGTCACCCCCTCCTCCTCCTCCTCCTCAGCCAAACATTATGAGGGCCACGCTGAGCTCCGGCCCCGGCTGCAGCCGCAGTTGCTGATAGGCGCTCCGCACAGCCTGCCAGCCCTGAGTGCCCAGACACTGAGTCCTCTCCAGCAGCGCAGCCTCCAGAGCTCCCTGGAGCCGGGGGGCTGGCGGCCGCTGCAGCCGGCTGTAGGCAGTCAGAATCTGAAGTCCGGGGTGGGTGGGTTGCACCAAGAGACCAAGAGGGGTTCGAGACCCGGGGGCTCAAACGGAAGACAAACGTGCAGCAAAGCAGGAGTGGGGGCTACGCGAGGGAAGACGGGTTGTCCGGAACGGAAAGCACTACTGGTACTGCCGGCTGGGGGCTCTGGAGGGGCTGCTGGCTAGTTATCCAGCCGGGAAGGTGCAGCTCAGTCCCTCAGGTCAATGCAATGGAATGGATTCGGGAAAAGGACAGACGGTTTCAGGACGCGCCCCGAACGCCGCCAGCAGGGGGGACGCGGTTCGGGACGCGGAGCAAACGGAGGCCATGAGCCAATCACAACGTGATTGGCTTCATCCCAACCTCCCAGCCTTTCCAAGCTTTACCCCAGCCTTTCCAACCCCGTATCATGTTCAGGTCCTCACTTGAGAGAGAGTGGCAAAGGTCCCGATGTTGCTTCCCTACAAACAGCTAACCCTCCCGAATACACATTCACCTTGACGAGCAACCCCAGCGCGACGCGACCGCGAGGTGATTGGGCGCGGCGATCCTGATGTGAGGCTTGGCCGCGCCCGTGGCCGGGTCGCCCACCGCCGCCGCTGCTGTACGACAGGCACAAAGCTACGTGCTCGTCCAGCTGCTGTAACAGAAAGTCCCTCTCCAGAGCAAGATCCGCCAGCCGCCGCCGATGCAAGTCTTCCTCGGGGCTGATGGGGGTGTAATGTGAAGAGGCAGGCACGGCGGCGGCGGCGGCGGCAGCTGTGGAGGAGCTAGCCGACTGTGGCGGCGCCGATCGCGCGGGGGGCGAAGATCGCCCGTGGCCCGTCGCAGTTGTCCGAGGGGGCAGGAGTGCCGGCGGCGAGGCGGCGCCACTCCTGCCGTTCTGTTGCGACCCCGGCGGCAGCAGGGATGCCCCCACCGCTGTCGTCAGCTGTGCTGGCTGCGCCCACAGCAGGGAGAGCGACTCCAGGACAGCGGCGGTGTGGTACAGCGTGGCTGCCGGTAACAGCACCTGTTGTTTAGAGCCCGGCCCGGTATAAAGGGCAGATCCGTGGGAAGGGAGAGGGGGAAATAATAAACAAACGCCAAAATCATCACTGCCGATGCTCAAAGCACACCTAAGTGCCAGTGTCCACGGCAGTAACACAACTGCCCTTAGCAGGGAGGGAGGAAAGGGAGACTTAAGATCCAGATGTCCACGACCCCTCCTGCAGTCTCCCCAGTTGATGCCCTTCGCTTTCCGCCCGCAAACCAACTCCTGAAAACAGCCCCTTCAAAACTCCTCCTCCACCACGGACACAACATTAGTACCCACCGTGTACCGCCGCAGCGCATCATCTGCCAGCTGTGCGCCCATCCACTCGTAAGTGTACGGCTGCGGCACCATCCGTGTTCCCGTGCTTCTGGGACCGCCACTGGCCATGCACTCAGCCTGGTCTTCCGAGATTGCACTGGCGCTGCTTCCTGCCGCCAGCCCCCGCAGCAGCAGCATTATGTCCACGACATCACAGGAAGGCAGCAGGCGACGAATTTGATGGACGAAGACCTGGGTTGGGGGTTTGGGGGGTTTAGGAATGGGGATTAGGATAGGGGTAGAGAAGGCAGTTCAAGTACATTTAAGTGCATGAAGCGCGATCAGCACACAGGTTCTCAGGGCCAGGAAGGAAGGAGTAACACGGACTGAGCCACGAATAAGACTGTAGCTACACAGGAGGCTGGCGGAGGGGTTCGGAAGGAAAGAGACAAGACAACATGCCATTCAAGTCCGGTCGCAAGAGATGGCGGCGGGCAGAAACGTGGATAGATTCTAACAATAGGGACCGCCGCTGTGTGACCCTCAAAACCCCAAGCCCACATCGACGATTACCACACCACGACCACCATCGCAAAACCACAAAAACACATCTGAAACGACTCCAGGCAGCTACCAAAAACTGTTCGAATTTACGTAACCAACTTGCTAGCCACCGCTAAACGCCACCACACCCAACCCGAGGAGAAGCCCCCCCTCCACGTGTCCCACCTGTTGCCACCGGGCCCTTGCCGCTTCCACGTCCGCAACCTCGGAGGGTTGGCCCACGCTGTGCAGCAGCAGCGGCAGCCGACACAGCTGCTGCCACCGCAGTTGCCGCAGCCGTCTGAACAGCGCTCGAACCAGGGTGTGCTGCGGGCGGTTTGGGAAGGCGCCACAGGGCGCAAGGACGACGCCGTCGAGAAGGACAAAAAAGCCCGATAGAGCAACGCGACATAAGACAAGTGCGGGAATGCGGGAATGAGTACGGTAATACTCTGAAGAGAGCTGGCTAGCGGACCCAGACAGGAGAGGCATATGTAGAATGCAAAAACTCAACAGCTCCAGGCTAATAACGGAAGAGCGTGTGGTGATGGGGGGCTTAGAAGGAAAGGCGGCGGACTGGGGAGGAGGGACAACGACTGGTAGGAGAGTTGTGGAGACGCAGCGGGTCAGGTACGCCGGTTGGGCGTGGTCATAGGTGCCGGCAGTCGGGGAGGGATCCCTGGGGGCCCAAAGAGGTGGACCTAACGTCACACACTGCGGGAGAAGCCGCGGATGGACCCACCATCAGATCCCGGTAGCCCGTATAGCGTAGCGCCAGCCGCCCAGAGCTGCTGCTGTTGCTGCCTCTGCGGCCCTTGCCGCTTGCGCGCCGGTTGCTGCTGCCGCCCTTGCTACTGCTGCCCTCATCACTGCTCCTGTTGCCGATGCTACTGCAGCTAGCAAACATATGGCCAACGCTTCGGTATGCCCTGCCTGAAGCGGCGGCGTCTGTAACAGCCGCCACTACGGCTTCAGGTGTTGCCGTACAAGGTCCGTAGTGCGACACTAGGGCCTCAAGTGCCGCCGCCAGCTGCGGTGCGGACATGCGGTCCACAAGGGTAGCGCGGGGAGCGCATCGCGTGGCGGCGGCGGCGGCGGGGAGGGCCTTACGTTTGCGAACGGAGGCTTCTGCCAGCCGGCGATGGCCCCGGGGCTGCGACGGCTGCAGCTGTCCCCTCCCGCCTCTAGTGGCGGCAGCGACGGGGCTCCGTGAGGTTGCCAGCAGCACCCGGCTGTAATGGCGCAGGAACGCCGCCGGTGGGGGGCATTCTAGGCGGGCGGCCCACACCGGCAGTGCTGCCGCAATGCCGGGGGTCCAATAAGCCGCTGCGAACAGCGCGGCCCTATGGATCGGAGCAGGCGATAGTGACGCGGTCGTTCGTGGGAAGGTGTCAATAGGGCGAGGCAGGTCTTATCGAGGCAGGTCTTAAGACTTAGGGTACATTCGCGGGTGAGCGGGTCCCGGACGGGAGTCAGGCGCGAGGAGGGGGCACGGAGGGGTGCTGGGGTTGGGGGTCGGCCGGTGAGGATTGCGAAGAGGGTCGGCCAGTTTTGTGGGGAAAAGGCGGGGAGGGCGAGTTGGAAGGGGTTGCGGTTGGGATCCGAAACGAGCACGTGGTAGCGGCAGATCAACAGGAAGGAAAGCACCGACGGGGGTTTGCACGACGGTATGCACTAAAAACGATATTTTATATGTTTTATCTTTACATCACTGGACGACCGGTGCTGCTCGTTAAGGTTGAGGGTTAGGGTGCGGCACAGGGTTACCCCTGTGCCCCTGACCAACCGTAGCGGCCACGCATTAACTTACGTCCGACAACCCAACCACCCAGCCGGGCAGACAGACAGACAGTTAAACACGCAGAGTCACTTACCAAAGCAGCTTGGTGAGGGCCCTACGCGGCAAGGAGAATCTAGAGATGCGGAGCCGGGCCAGCGTCGACATTGCCACGCAGGCCCAACGCAGCTGCGCCCTTCTCCACCGGAACCCCATCCGCATCAGCAACCTCCCGCCGCCGTCCACACCACCACCGCCGCTGTCGCGGCTGCGGCCGCGGGCGTAACGGGCGGCGCCTGCAGTTCTCCCAAGCACCCTTCGCGCGGCGGCGTTCTTCAAGCCGCTCCACCTCACTCGCCTGCCTGCAATCTGGGCCCTCCTGCTGCTACTGCTGTTGCTGCCCCCCACCCTCTGCCCTTTATGCGCCGCTCCGCAGGCTGGTGGTGAAAGCTCACTGGCGGATCCTCCCGACGGCGCGACGGCGCAGGACGCCGCCTGGTCCGCGCCTTCTTCCATCCCCACAGATGCTACGGTCGGCTTTGAAGGCTTTGTTGTCGCTTCTGTAGATGGCGATGTCGTTGATGTTGCTACTGCGGCCGTTTGCGGTGATGATGGCGACGGCAGCTGCGATGATTGTGCTGCTACTGCTGCTGCTGATGACGACGACGACGGTGGTGGTCTTGATAATGCTGATGCTGATGACAATGGTAATGATGGCGATGAGTGTGATTGTGGTGGCGCCAACGCCCTCCTGATCGGGACCAGCCCAGTCAGGATGCGGGCCACCAGTAGCGCACATGCGGGCTCGGAACGCACCTGCAGCCGGCACATCACCTCCATAAGGCCAGCGGCGGCCTGCGGCATGGGGGGTGGGACAGGAGGGGGGAAAGACGAACCACACACGAGTGAAGCTGCTGCCAGGGCGGGCGAGGGAGAGGGGGGGGGTGAGTGCACAGGAACCTCAAGAAACCCACATAACTACGTACAGAAGCCCTTCCTAAGCTCACAGGATGACGTACGACAGCTAGGCCCTAATCCGCCGATGCGCCGACGCAAAACGGACCCCCAAGGATGCGCTTCGGCTAATCGCCTTGAACCCGACATCGCCTGGAGGTTGAACGGCGAGTATGTCCCCAAACGCGAGTTTTTTGCGCCAGGTCGCCTTAATGGCAGCAACAAAAGCAAAAGCGGCATAGAATATAACGACGCGCGATGACGAACGGGCTGACTGACCCACGGGTCGCGGGTCAGTTGCTTGCACCCGGCTTACCGAGGCCGACACCGCGTCGGGGCTCCTCAGCGCCGCTCGGAAGCACATCCTCAGTGTTGCCACCAGCTGGGCCTGATCCCGGGGGCCCAACTCCTGGCGCCACTTGGGGCCCACCTGCCGCGATATGACCTGCAGGAAGGACGGGGGTCAGGGGCGGGCAGGCATGCGGGAAGGCAGGTGGAGTCCACGGGATGGAATGACGACAGGCATGGAGATGCTCTAGCAGCAGCACAACCACGAACAGCAGCATCAACAGCATTATTTCGACAGAACGGGGCAGGAATAGACGGCAACAGGGAGCATGAGCACGGGACTGCAAAGCGGAAGTACTACAGTCTCAGGGCTGGTAGCAAGAAAGCTAGGAGAAAGAAGGTTCATAACAAGATCATCGGAGCCTGCCCCGGTCTGGTGGTAGGGGCATAGGGGCAATAAGAGGACGGCCCCGGAGGACCTTGCGCTACGTCCCTTCAACGCGCCATCAGAACAGCTCCCACAACATGCAGCTCCCAATCAGTGATTTAAAAACTTTTTCACCGTGGTAATGTTTTCGTGACCAAGTAGTTACGTGTGGGTTTTCCTTGGTAATCACCTTGACAAAACGTTTCCCCAGCGAGTATGCTGAACATGAGTCCCCTAAAACCATGCAACCGAAGATCCGACTTTTCACTTTGAAGAAATTGTAATGAACAACAGGCCGTCTCATCAAGCTTTCACCAATTTTGACTCTTATGTACGGCAACGCGTTCCCGAGCCGAGCTCACTGAAGCATCACTGCTCCCATCCAAGCGCCAATAACGTTTTTAGGTGGTCACTACTACCGGGGGGGTCTGTGGCCAATTTCCTGGCAATATTACCTGGTTACTGGCAGGTGACTCAAAACATTTCCTCGTGACACCACCTTCTGGAAGGGAATTATTTTCTCAGTAACCACTTGGTCACTAGTAACCCCCTTTTAGTCTTTTACTTTAATAAACGTTGGAGAATGTTTTGAGTCACCTGCCAGTAACCAGGTAATATCTGCTCCCAATAGGCATGTCCACTTTCCCGCCTCTTCCCCCCCCCCTAGCGCTCGCCCGACGGAGTCACCCACCCGTAGCAACGCCAAGGCGGCTGGCGGGCTTAGCCTACTCGCCACCGCGTCCAAAACAGGCAACATCAGCGGCCAGGGAAGCGTCATCCTCAAGCGCTGCAGCGCATCCGGACGGCCATTCCAACCGCCGCCGTCGCCGACACCAGACGCCCCAGGAGCTTCAGCCGCACCAGCCACAGCTGCTGTTGTTGCCGCTAACGTTGCGGGGGCTGTTACGACTACCGATGCCACCGCAGCTGCTGGGGCTGGTAGCCGCCGCGGCGGACCTAGGTGCGCTGCCAGGATCCGATTTGCAAGTCGTACCTCCCCATGCCGCGGGTGTCGGGAGGTAACCCGGGTGCTGAGCAGCCCCAGAGCCCACTCCAGAGACGGATCCAGACGCAGGCCGGCAGCCGGCGGAGGCAGCATCGGCGGGAGCGCCACGCCGGCCGCCGCGTAGAGCAGCGCCGCTGACGCGGTCGGGTCCAAGGCAACCGTGATACTTGTTGGCCTGAGGGTAGGCCCCACAGCCGGTCGCTCATCACGTCGTTGCTGGTCCTGCTGTTGCAGCTGGTGTTGATTTGGCAAGCTACCCAGAGGGCTTCTCGCCGTGTCCCCAATGCCATTCTCGGGAGCCCTCCGCGCCTCCGCAACAGGAGTGCCTGCCGCCGAGGCCGCACACGACGTCGCTGTTCCCATTACCGCCACTACCGCCGGCCCCGCCGCGGACTGGAGGTGGGCCCCTGGTTGCGGGGCTGGCGGCAGCGGCCTCCGGGGACCGTACGGCAAGGCGCTGCCGCCGCTGTGCTCCCCCTTCTGAAGAGTCAGGGGTGAGGCTGGTGCGATGACTGTGAAGAGGCCCTTGAGGGCCTCGGGGATTGGGAAATGCTGGGGGAGGGACTGTGAGCCAGGACGGGTCAGGGGGTCGCCGGGTTCACCAACTGACGCCCGAATGCCTCCAGGACCCAGCAGGACACGGCCATCTGGCAATGAGGCAAACGGCTCCGAAACCATGCTGCGTGTCGACCCATCTTCGATGCCCGGAAGTCCGTCAAGGGCGCTGAGTAAAGAAGCTAAGTCCTGGGCCAATGGGGGTGCGGATGCCGTGCCGTAGCCTTCAGCAGGAAAGCCATCCGCGCCGCCGCCGCTGCCGTGCAGCCCTGTACTGCACGAAGCGTCGGGGACGTCGTCGGCTGCATCGGGTTGTTGCTGCTGCGGCTGCAGATGCTGCAGTAGGTCGCGGCTGGTGATGGCTCGGATGAGGGCCTCCGCGTCGCGGCTGGTGCTGGTATTAGTATGACGGCCGAAGCTCGTGCTACTGCTCGCGCCGGCGTGGGGGTTTCGTTGCATGACATTTGAGAGAGTTACTGCTGTGGTGGTGGGCATCGGCTGGACTGAGGGGCTCGTGTATTCAGTTGCTGTAAGTTCTGCTGCTGGTGTTTCAACGGCCCTCGCTCTGCTGCTGCTCCGGGCGCCTGGCGCTGGGGGCCCATGGGGTTGTTCAGCGGCTACGGCCGGCTCAGTCCCTACGGAGCCTGGAGATGCTGTAATAGTCTCCGAACCGACACCTTTAAGCGGGAAGCCTTTAAGTGGACTTTCTACGATCGTATGGGACGGCAGCGTCGTGGGAATTGGCTCCACGGGCTCGACTTTACCCTCAGATGGGGACGTCGGCCGCCCAAGTGTAACCCTTGATGACAGAACGCGGGGCAACGGATTGTCATTTGGCCGGATTGCTCCATCCTGGGCGAGCTGCGCTGGCTGCAGCGGAGCAGAGGCTGCGGCCCGTATGCGGCATAGCCGCGATGGCTGGTCGTGCGCTGTGCACAATGGCAATGTGGGTGTCCATTCGGTTCCATACCGAATGGTCCAACCATTGAACCGCATTACTAAATGAAAAGCCTGTGGTCTCAGAAAACCTTGACTAACTTTCTCAAGTTACCACACATTGTTGCTACAACATGAACTCCTCCTGGCTTAAAGCTAATTGGTAGGCTTCAGCTTGCTTGCGGCATGGTGCTGCTTGGCTTGTGCAACATTTTTTACTGGGCCTCCTACCCGTACACTCTTGATGCCCTGGTGCTCCACCCGACTGAAAGTCTTGTTGACGCGTGCGCGCAATACTGGCCTGCCAACGTGGATTAGGGGTGTTTAGGAATCTTGCGGGCAGACCCGCTATTGGTTTCACGCCTTTCGGCACTTGTCAGTTCTCTTGCGCTCCCTGCAGCTGCCCATCAAGTTTTGGAAAGATGAAAAGCTCGCTCCGCGTCCTTACGGCTGCCTGGTCAGGTATGTCAGTTTAAGCAGTTTGGCAAGTCGGCTAATCAGTGACCGCTATTGAGACATGGCGATGCCGCTGAACTGGCGTTTGATTGGCTTGGAGCATTGTGTTCCCATAGCCATTGGCATTAGTAGATATGGACCTGCCGTTTGTCGGCGCGGTTCTTCCGGGATCATGTTTCAGCGTTTGCGGAACCGGCTCTCTGCCTCAATCGGCGTAGGCATGGGAGCGCTTGAGCTTGGAGCATCTGCAGTAAAGCAGTCCTCCCAGCTTGTTGCTGAGATGACCGTGAGGTGAGCAGGAGGGGTGTCGTTGGGCGAAGCCTCAAGGATGTTTGCGTGACCGCAGCCGTTGACGCAAGTTTTTTGCCAATACCATGAATACACATGGAATGCAAAAGCCCCTCAGTACACGCATGGGCCGAAGCCTTGCTACTAACTAAACCTTTTCGCCACCCTCGCCCCTGTTTCCTGCGCTTGGCCCAAGGAGGTCTACCTGCGGCTCTCTGGTGGTAAGATGGTTAAGGGTTTGCAAAGACGGATTCCCCCAAAAACTCTATGGAAGCGCTGAGGATGTCTTAATCTTTCCTGTAGGCTGTGCGGTCGTTTGCTGCTGCTGCAGCGCCCGCTGTCCAGGTTCCAGGAGTATCAGGCGACGCCGCGGGGGTGTTGTCGTCCATCGAAGCTCTCCTCAGCCCCGAGGCTCCATCTACGGGCAAGGTGGGGCCAGGCAATAAATGTCCCGTTGGCGTCGTGCATTCTTAGCAGGAGCACGGCTGTAGCGTAGCAGGGGTGCAGTACGCCTCCTCAGCTCTGCAAGACGACAGGAATAATTCTGCTCATAATTATGCTCAAAAGGAGCGAAGGAGGCAAAGCAAATTTTGGGCGCGCGGAACGAGGTTTTGTTTGAATCGAGACCGCCGAGGGAATGACGACGGCCAATTTTAATAGCCGATAGGGCCATGCATCGAGCGTAAATGTCAGAAAGGCGGTAGCCCGGGACGAGCGCTCTCACGCCAGAAGGGAGAAAGCATGACACGGGGTTTGTTTGTAAGTAGTGTTGGAGGAACGGCTATGTTTGCTGCCGGGCGCACGTCAGAGGACTGAGATGATGCAGAGCGTGGCTTGCCGCTGCGGGTCGTTCCACCTGGGTCGCTCGCTGAGTAACCTAGTAGGGTTTAAAGGTTAGATAACATTCTTGGGCCTTGCCGGGTGACCTTTAAACTCGAACCGCGGGCACTGGCGCAGGCTCCGGGAAAGCGCTACTAGTGTGGCAGTTTCCCCGCTCGTCCAGCCTCCCCATTAAGGCTCAAACAATTTGCTGGGTGCGGAATATGGCTGTGGTAAGATTCTAGTCGTCCCGGTTTCCCGGTGGCGTTCCGGTAGGGTTTCCCGTCCCTCAGCCTTATCTCGTTTTCAACACCCCCACGGTGGCGCCTCTCTTCCCCCCTCTCTCAGGACGTGGCGGACGCGGCTGTAGCGCTGGCCTACCTGGGTGCTCGTGGCAACCGCAGGTACGGATAGTGGTGCAGAGATGCGTCTTCACTTTTTAGTGAGAGGTGGCATCAGCAGGCAACGTGTAGCCGTGGCGAGTTGGGCCGCGCACTACACGGGAGCTGTGGGGTCGAGATGGTGCATTTACGGACGGGTATATGCGCGGTACCCGGACAGCTGAAGCTGTCGCCCTGGTATCTATGATCCCGTGGTATCTTCCGAAGTGTCTCCCGGACTGAGGCCGCCGTGCATCCATTGCCATCAAACGACCGACCCCATTGCATTAGCAGCAGTAGCTGGAGGGTATTTTTCAGGCTGAAATCCCCGAAGTGCAATTCCATCTCGCTAAGCTACTCTCCCTTTCCCCACGGTCTTGGCTTTCTCCCCCAGGCTGTGGGGCAAGGTGCTTGAGAAGGCCGCCTCCCTGGGTCCTTCCCTGGACGGTCCCTCACTCGTTAACCTTAGCTGGGCGCTGTCCGCCGCCAACGTGGAGCACACCCGCACGCTGGCGGAGCTGGCGGGCCCGCTGGCAGCCAACCTGAAGAGCATCAAGCCGTCGGAGGTGGGATGAAGATCAGGAGAAGGGGGAAGGTCAAAATGGCAAGAAAATGTGCAAAGCGGGGGTGATGGAGCGACGGGTGGTTCGAGGTGGAAGGACGCCCTGCAGTCCTTTGCCTTCCGCTGGAATGCATCTTTGTGTGTGTTGTTCCCTCTGGCTTTGCGGCCATGTGGTGTGAGGCTCACGTGCTGCGATGGACCACTTGGCACTGTGCGCAGGTCTCCTACGTGGTTGAGGCTCTTGGTAAGGCCGGCATCGCGGACGTGGAGCTGTTTGCCACTGTGGCCGACCTGTCGGAGTCCAAGTCTGCTGAGCTGTCCGCAGCTGATCTGGCGCGTCTGCTGTGGGGCTTCGGCTCAGCTGGTGTGCAGGTGTGCACCGGCAACTCGCCTATGCCGTTTATCCACGGGATGGGGGGGGGAGAGGTTCTTAACGAGTGTAGTCCTCCGTGTCAGGAGCGATACATGTCGGCGATGTGGTCCACAGCGCAGTTGAGCTTACGTCCAAAGGGCCAATGTGGTCCAACTTGGATGTTGTTTAAAGTTCACGACGAAATCAGGACGCGGAGTTAACGAAGTCCCTACGAAAAATTAAGAAACGGAGTTCACTTCAAAAATTTCGCAGTTCCTAGGGGGCTCCTTCCGACGTGTCTTTTCACTGGTGCTGCTTATCGCTCAGATGTCCTCTGGCTTGTTCGGCATACTGTGTCCCCATGTCGGCTCTGGCCCCTTCACGAACGAACAAACATGTACTGGAAATTCCTTCTATTTTGTTATTGGTCACTCCTTTCAAGAAATCCACTCGTGTGCAATTCCCACTAGTTCCAGCCCACGGCGCAGACCATGACAGCACCTAATCCCTCTATCCTGCAGGACGGCAAGCTGGTGAAGGTGGCGTCTGCAGGTCTGGTGGCCAAGGCGGGCGAGCTGGGCGGCCGGGAGGCGGCTCAGGCGCTGTGGGGCCTGGCGGCGCTGCGCCGGGTGCCTGACGCCGCTCTCCTGGGAGTGCTGTCCAAGGTAGGGCGGGAGGTTCCTGGGAGAACTGTTTCGTTATCGCTGCGACAGCTGTACGCGTGGAGGACTTTTAGTTCCCTCGCTTGGCAGTTTCGCGCTGTTGTGCATGCCTATTTTTGGTCGACCTGCTTGACATATAGCGTACGTCTCCCGTCCACACCCTGTTATTCAAGTCACCCGAACAATTCACATCCGCCTCCTTCGTCATACTCTCCTCGCCCCAGGCGCTCAAGGGCGGCGTGGATGCCCCTGCGGACGCTGCTGCAGCTGCTTGGGCTCTGGCCACCTTGGCCGTCAAGGCGGACGCGGCCACTGTGAGGGCGCTTGCAGATAAGGCGAAGGTAGGGGTGAATGTGTCTAGGCAACCGTGCACACGGCAGGTGTATTATGCAGCAAAAGTCGGGTCAGCGGGATGGGGCGGCGGTCTAGCCAAGGCGACATGATGCATGGTGACAAAATGGGGCCCCAGCCCAATTGCAGAAGGAATGCATGGCCTTCAACTAATGCGATTTGCGTATTTTTTTCTCCTCGTATGTTTTTTCTCCTCGCGCCAAGTGTGTCATGCTTACGAGGCCACATTTCGAACGGCACCTCGAAGGCTTGATGTTTCCAATCTGTACGTAAGCGCAATGACACCTATCACACCTGCCCATGCGCGCAGGCCGGTGCCGGGGACCTGAGCGCTGCGCAGGCGGTGCAGGGCGGCTGGGGCCTGGCGATGCTGGGTGACAAAGACGGAGCCGCCGCGCTGCTAGGCGCTGCGACAGCTGTTGTGCAGAAGGTGAGGAGGATGCAGTTTGCAGGTTTTGACCTTAGTATAACCTATTAGAGTACATCAAGCTAGATTGGGTTCCTGAAGTTGGGTTCCTGAATAGGAGTGCCATTTATGGTTCTCTGGCGCTGTCAATTATGGGTGCACTTCGATGATAGGTTGCCTGGCCTTCTCTCCTCTTCCTATGAATGATTGCTGTCCTGTTCCCTGACACCAGCCCACCCCCGGATCCGCCCGGATCTGAACCGTCAGGACCCCGCTGCTCTGAGCCCCTCAGCCCTGGCGCTGCTGTATGCGGGCTCGGTGGCAGCTGGTGTGACTGGTCTGCCCGCCCAGGTGACCGATTTTGCCGCCAAGGGCTTTGGCCTGGCGGTGGAGCACAGCCGTCATGTGCGCGGCGCGGCTGCTGCCACATTCTACAAGGAGGTTGCGGAGGCTGTGGCGTATGCAACCGGTGCCAGGTAGGGCGGCTCGTGGTTGCAGGGTTCTGTGGAGGGGTGCACTTCTCCATGTGCGCTTTCTCGCACCGCGCCTGATATGGTGTTGTGTCCGCAGGCACCGCCCCGACGTGGCTGCCAAGGTGGAGTCCTACGCCGTTGCTGCTCCGGACGGCTCCACCCTGGATGTGGTGGTGCCGCTGGACGCGAACACCAAGCTAGCGGTCATCGGCGTGGAGAGCGAGCTGCTGAGCACGGCCGGAGGGGTGAGGAGGGAGCTTGGGTACCGGTCTCGGAAGGTTCATCATGTATCCGAATAGAAAACATCAATAGAAACCTAGCACTCGTGTCGAACGGTTTGTCTATCGCCGTGTACTTCTTGCCATTAGACAAATATCTGATACGGCCCGCTTCTTCGGCTTTTTTGAGGCCGCCAAACGCATCTGTGTCAATGTCACTTGCCAGATACAAGCTATTGGATAGTTAATAGGTATGCATGTGTAGGCACGTCTCCCAATTGCTACAGCGCTTTGTGAGCTCTGGCATTAGCATCATTGAAGCAGACTCGTGTAATACGTTTTTTCCGCGATTGACCTTGTCGCATGGGTTCATCTTGCCACCATGACCATCTTGCCACGTGCCTCGGTTCCGATGGCCCCAGGTGCTGGGTGGTTCCCTGGCCGCCGTCCGGGTGCGCGAGGCTCAGGGCTTCAAGGTGGCGCTGGTGCCCCAGGCGGGCTGGCCCGCGGGCGCCCCTCTGCAGGCCCGTGCACAGGCTGTGCTTGTGGCCATTAAGGCATCGGTGCCCAGCCTCAGCTCCACGTAAGTTGGGGGATGTGGTGACACATCGTGCAAGGCTAAGCTTGGGCAAATGGACGTGCTTTTGTTAGGGCTAATGCCGCCGAGAAGCAACTGTGTGATGTAGATGGGTGTGTGTTTTGTGTGCGCGAATCCTGCATGGCCGGGCGTGCGTGGTTTTGGGGGTGGGTAATGTAGGCATGCGTGCCTTCAGGAAGGTAGGGGATCCGCTCAGTAGGCAGGGGGTAGGGGATCCGCTCAGTAGGCAGGCGCCATTGTACTATCGGCATATGTAAATGGCCGTCTAATCCTGTACATGCTGCATGGGCTGTACCATGCGCATTCGAACTCTGTCTCCCTAAATTGTCACCACCTACGATACTGAGGTCTGCCTCACTATCCATGCTTGCTGCAGGGTGGACAAGCTGGCCAAGGGCCTGTAAAGAAGGCTGATTTATGATGGCTAGGGGAGTGCCTCAACCTGCATTTGCAACGAGCAGTTCGGGCTTATTGAATAGGCTGGGATAGTGTGGGTCGAACGGGGTGGAGGTTCGTTAACGCTGTGTCCGAAGGCTGTGTGGGGTTCGGGCTTTGTGGCGAAGTCTTACTTTCGCTGCTGCGCGATGGTTTGCCCGGGCCTGTAATGTTTTGGTCAACACTTCTATTTACAGGGTTATGCGCGCGAAGGCAGGCAGCGTTCATCCCACCGGGTGGCAGTAACCGTTGACTCTAATGCTTGAGTCTGTATTGTAATGTCCTTCCTTGTTGCCCTTTTCACAGCAAAATTATGTGCAGCCCGCCGTTGACAAAGTACAACCTAGCCTTCACGGTGGCAAAAACGTCATGTATAGGCTAAGGCAACACTTACCGCAAAATACCTGCCACCATCCAAATTGTGCGCACGCGAGACCACCGTGTTCACCATAATCCGACAGCAACCCTTTGCTTGGTTGCTGTTCTTAATCCCCTGGTCATTATAACCATGAGCGTGAACGCCCAGGCTGCGCATGTTGCCCAAATACTGCATCCCCTCCATGTCGACAGTCATGAGTTCAACCCGCTCAGAACCTTCCACACCTGTTTCCAGCTCTGGTCATGACAGGAACGGAGATCCAATACCATGAACGAAACCGTCTAAGCCTTAGTTCATCACGACCAAGAACAGAATTGACACCGACCAGAGCTGCCAGGACATCTCTACCAAGAGATCTGACATCCTGTCAACTACAGGTGCAGCCGTTACTGGGCTGCCATGAGCCTCGTGGCGGCAGCCGGATCAGCGGGCCCACCTATGGCCATTGCGGTAGGTGCCGGGGCGGTCCCTCCTGCCAAGCCGCCGACTGCTGAGAAGCGCGAGGGACGGGGACCCTGCCGCATGGGCAAACCCAGCGCATGGAGTTCCTGCGGCCAGCGCGCATTGAAATCCAGGTCATTCGTCATTCGACTCCATGGTATCTGCCGCCACGATACGGAAGGCCAATTCGGGCCAGGAGAGTTTTATCAACAAAAAGGACAGTTTGCGAGCTCGCGGTGGGCGCCAGCAACGGGACGCTGGAGGCGAATCACGTGACCCACCGGCATCCTGCATTAATCTGCTGCCCTTCACCTTGGCCACCCTCCCAGCCGCAACGCCTAAGTGCCCTTGAAGACCCTCAACCCCATTGCCCCATACGCAGATGCATGTTGTTGACACGCACAACGATTCCCCTATGATAAATCCTTGCCCAACGGCCCAAGAACAAGTACATCCGAGCCCCCAGTGCGGCCCCACCTCGAAGCCCATTGCCTCATCAGGCTCCTCCGGTGTGAAGGGCTCTGGGTCAGGTGGCTGGGCTCCCTGGGAAGTGCAGAGGATTGCGCCATCAGACGGCCAGGGGAGAGCACGCGGATGGCTTTACAACAGTGAAAGGAGAGGAGCTCGGATGTAAGACGAAACACTGTGGCTTTTCATGGTTGGTTAGTGCTGCTGCAGCAGCAATAGTTAGCGATGGACATGTTGGGCTACACAGTTATGCAGAGAAAAGTCAAAACACAGTGCCAGGCCGGTATACCCCGGTCATGCCATGCGTTTCTCCCCTCTACCCCCTTTTTCCTAACTTACTAGGTCATATGCTCGGTACGGCTTGACCCGGTCCTCCAGCCGCCAGCCGTACACGCCTTCATTGTAAACAAATACCCTAGAAATGCGGTCACCAAGTTCCAAGGAGGTACCGGGAGGAACTGAAACAAGGTCGCAGGGTGAGTGTTGCAAATGTAGGGCGGCAGCAGAGCACGGTGATATAAAACTGGCAGTGAGAGACAGTGCTGGTGCTGGTGGAGGTCAGGTCAGAACCAATCAGCCACAGCCACAGCCACAGCGACAACATGCCAAAGAGGAAATCCCCATCGTCATCAACCGCGGTCGCATCTTTTCGTATATCAACTTCCATGGCTCCACCGCATCGCCCTGTACTCATAGAACAAGCTTATCCCCTACTACGCTTCCCCCTCCGCCGCTGCTCCGTCCACAACGAGACCCAATCACAGCTTCCCAAGACCAGACAGTGGGACACCCCAACCGTGCGCAGCAGGCACCACAAATCAGGTAACAGATCTTTTCCCCTCACCCCCCAAGCAGCCACACACCTCTTCAGGCCGGCATCCAAGCACACCTGGGCCGCCCAGGCAGCTCGCCGGCCCGACCTGGACAGCACCACCACCACGTCCCAGGGCCCCGGCTGGCACACGCCGTACAGTCGCCGGAATTCCATGGCTGGCAGCACCAGCGCCGCCGCGAGCTCGTCCGCTGTTTTCGCACAGCGCAATGAACGAAACGACGGACAGACGGGAGTTGGTCGGAAGAAGGATAAGGGTCGTTGTAGCTGGTAGATGTGGTGTTTCATTCAAAAGTCTTGGAACCCCCAGTCCTCACGTGCACATACCGTACCTGGAATGTTGACCGTGCCCCGAATCGCGCCGTATAGCAGTCGTTCGTCAGGTCTTCGTACATCCAGGACGAGCGACGGCACATGGAACAGCGGCTCAGAGCCCAGCTGCAGCATCAGGCACAACCCATGGCGGCTGATGCTGGGCAGGCGGGGGCCGCCCAGGGAGGTGGCGGCGAAGGACTCTGCCGAGCCCACCCACACGCCAACTCTGCACACAGTGCCGCGGCAACGATGGGCAATTGGGAGGGAATCATGTGTGCAAGAAGCAAAGGACCAAGTGCCGTTGCGCCGGCAACGGGGAGACGAGGGTCAGGGCGGAGGAGAAGCAAACGCCCACAGCAAGATGCTCCATCCGCTGCTCCATCCGAGGGCAAGCTACTGTGGCAGCACGCAGCGGACGCAAACGCCGCACCCGCGCTGCGGCATCCGGAAAGCGCCTCGTAGCTCAATCACCCACCAGCCCGAGCCCTGAGGTGCCTCGGTGTCTGTCCACAAACCCCACACAGACTTTGTCCTCCTTGACCAAGGTGTGCGCTGCTGGGGAATGTTTGACGGTGTATAGCGCGAGATATTTCGCCCATAACCATATATTTGGCCACGTCAGGGGCATCCCCGGGTCCCCGGCACCTCGTTGGCGTTGGGACGCCAATGAGATCTCTCGCAGGATGACGGTCCGCACCTGCTGAAGCCCGCTGCGGCCGCCGCGGCCGTCACTGCCGCGACGGTGCGCTCGTTGCGACCCAGCACCACCAGCAAAGCGTGGCGCGGCGGGTACGGCACCAAGGCCGTGCTGGCGGAGGCCTGCGCAGTAGCCGCCGCCGCAGCTGCGGCAGCACCCACGCCGGCGGCGGAGCTGCCGGAGATGCGCCAGCGCTCCAACGCGCCAACGCCACTGCCGCCATGCGCTTCGCAACCAGGTGCTAACACTTGTCTGACCCGTGGGTCACGTGCGGGGGACCTGAATGACCGCTGGTGTTGCTGAGACTCACCGACGACAGGCGACAATGGGGCGCCGCCGTTTCCAAAACCCTGCAGGATCCCGCCGTCAGCATGCAGCTGCACCTGGTCGTTGCGGCGCTGGGCTTCAGGTTGCACTGCCATCCCGTCCTGGCCCCGTACGGCACATGGTACGGCGGAGGCGCCGCTTGACATTGCACCGGCCGCATCCCTCCCGTGCGACGATGAGGACGACCATCCGTGGGGTGAGCCGGCAACCGCCAAGGCAGGGCCTCCGCCACCGCTACTGGCAGCGTAGGCTGCCGCTGCCGTGCGAGTGAGCTCGGTGCGCCAAGCTTCCTGGCTGGGCAACGCCCGCACCCAGTTGATAGCTGCAAGGCACCGCACATGAGAAGCAACACGACATTTCACGGCCAAAAAGACATGGTTCTGCGGTCGAGTGGCAGCCAAGCGGCCCACGTCCCAACCGAAGCTGCGTGTCGTGCTGAGCTAGGCCAGCGGTGGTACCACATCCACATGCGGCTGATGCGGAGCGTTTGCGTGTGATCCTGTTACCGCGTCGCCGTCGTGTCCAAACGGCCGGTCCCCTGCCGCCTGATGGAGAGAGTGCACCCGTCCACCCCCGGAGTGGAGCGGAGTGCTTTCCCGTGGTAGCGATGAATCGTAAGTCCGCTGCCTCCGCAGCCTTGACTGTTGGCACCGCGTGAAACTCGCACTGTGTGAGGAGTCAATACGGGCCGTGGGTGTCCCTAGGGGGCCTTTGCCTCGCACAACTAATTGTCTGGCCTGTACAAGCCTACTCCAGTTCCCATGCCCCGCAGCGACAGCTGCTTTCTTAGGACGACCCACCGTTATCATGCAGGGCCCACCTGGCATGCATGGCACTGCTGCCGCCAGGTCCGGGGGCACGATCCGTGCTGCGTGGTTGGCATATGCTGGTGGTTGGTGGGCTAGTGGCGAGGCCGGTACTGCCGAAGACCCCGATGTAAGATTAGGAGGAGGAAAGGTGGCGTTGTTGCTGGTCTTGGGGGAGTCAAGGGTGCCCCTGTGGTGGGGAGGGGCGGTGGAGCTGCCGCTACTGCCACTGCATCCGTCGGCCAGTTCGAGTACAGCGCATGGGAGAGCGCCCGTCTCAATCTACACGCAAGAGGTAGGAGCCCATTCCAGTTGTAGCCGACAGCTCAGTTCGTATCCAGCTAGTAGCTTCATAACCTGCCTTCACGGACAGGCCTTTGCTGGGAAACGGCCCTCAAACCAGCGAACCATGACCCCTGCCGCTGTTCAAGTGTTCGCAAATTTGTATATGGTACATGCAATGTGCCAGAACCCAACAGGTTCGCTTAAGTGCCGAGCGGACTGCCACGTACCAGCATGCGGATGGCCGTGGCTGACAAAGGCTGAAGGTACTGTGGTTGCCGCGCGCTGGGATCATGAATCAGCGCATCATCATCTAGCTCCTTGCGGCGGGCGCGACGTCTGCCAGCTAGTGCCTTGCCGGCACGCAAAGCCCAAGCTGACACAAGCACAATGAAACCCCAGGCAAGCGGCCCGCCAACATTAATAACAGCAGGCATAGTTTTGTATCACGTGAAACAGGCCACAAATGGAAAATGCGTACTGTAAGAGGTTCAATCGCGACGACCGACAAGACAAACGGTCATTTTACAAGCAAGTTGTCGAACTTAACCAGGATTTCCAACATGAAACTCGCCTTACACATGATATTCCTCAATACATTTTGCAGGTCATGCAAGCCTACGGCAGGGCAAACTTACGACGTTAACGACAGTCATGCTTCATAATCAAGATCCAAGCGAAAGTTGCTTGGTAATCACCATGTGCAATAGCGCACCATATTCATCACACATTTGAATGTGCGTTTTTCCGCCCTCACCATTGCAGACAGGACGGTGTTGACTTCGAGGTCTGTTATTCGGATGGCACCTCGAGGGCGTACTTACTTGTTAGTTATGCGCCATGCGCAACGTCAGGACGAGGTGGATGACAATTGGACCGCTGCCGAGGCCGCTCGCCCAGGGGGCCGGCCCTGGGACCCTCCGCTCTCTTCCCCACACGGGCTGGCAGAAGCCGAAGCAGCCGCCGAAAAGCTAGCCGCGTGGGAATGCAGCACAGGCGCACGCATTGTGTCAGTGGTGACGTCACCCTTCCTCAGGTGAGGCGAGAGCACCGTCGACTGCATACGGCAGTCGGCTCTGTAAGGCCCTTTTGCGGGCGGCAGTGAAAAGTCTTGACTCTTTCCCCATCCCGCGGCCTCCAGGATTTTAAACCTGGCGGACGATTAGACCGAGGGCGCTGACTGTCTGGAACCTCCGACATTATCTGGTTCACCATACGCACACACACACACACACACACACACACACACACACACACACACACACACACACACACGCCTCGCTCCGTTGCACTGCGTCCTTTCTGACCTCCAGGTGCTTGCAGACCGCCTCAGCCGCCTGTCGCCGCCTGGGGCTGCAGCAGCTGCACCTTAGCTGGGAGTTCTCTGAGGCGTTGTGTCGGGTTGCAGGCATTCCCAGCGGCCCACTGCCCACCTGGATGTGGCCCCCTCCCCAGGGAGGAGCAACAACGGGACAAGGAACCCAGGCGCAGATTACAGGAGGCAGTAGCATCAGTTGCGCCGGCAGCGGTAGCAGCAGGGGATTGACACACGAGGACTTTCTAGGGCAGCTGGGTGCATTGGTGATAGCAGCGCCGGCTGGCGGCGGAAGCGCGGCTCCCTCTGTGGCTGTCGAGACAGCAGCTGTAGCACGAGCCCATCAGCTGCCCCAGCAGCAGGAGGGGCGTCACATCGGAAGTAGCGGGGAAGCCGCGAGACCGCAGCGGCAGCTGGAGAAGCAAAAACGGGGTGAAGGAGCGGGAAGTAGTGGCGACGTGGATGGCATGGACGGCGCGGCAGCAGCAACGTTGAGAAGGGCTGGGAAGCTCCTGCCGGAGGCCCCATCCTCCGCCTCCTCCTCCAGAAGCGGGACTGCGGAGGGGCAGGTCCTTCAGGTACGCGGCTGGTCAGCTGGGGATTATGAAAGAAGATTGAGGCTGGTGTGTGTGTGTGGGGGAGAGAGAGAGGGCTTTTTCTGGACGGTAGGGAGGTGTCTTGCTCATCCCCTCTCACCGCATGCCTTGCGGACTCCACGCAAGTCGCCTGGTGTCTCTCTGTCGGGGCGCACAGACACATGCGCACCCTTAACCTGCGGGATCTCCCGATGTAATGCTTTTGCCAACAAGACACATACGCACATGCACACACACAAATGTGCAAATGATTCGTGCGCACCTCAGCTCCCACCTCAGCCGCAGCTGCCACGAGAGCCCTACGTGCGCCTGTGTGCACGCGAGTTAAAAAAAGTGCGACGTCTGATGCACAGTCGGGCGACTACATCTCCGGATACCTCTTTGCCCGTATAGTCGCCCTGGCCAGTTACCCCCATTCCCGCCCGCCCAGGGGTTGTGCGTTACGGTGCTGCCAGTGCGGTCGCTGCCGGGACGCACGTTAGCTGCAGCAGGCGGCATTGCCCACGTCGGCCCCGCTGAGGGGCCTTGCCGCGGTGCGGTAGCACCGGACAGCGAAGTGGAAATGGAGCGCCAGGTCGGTGGTGAAAACTTGCATGGATTGAAGGATGCGGACCTTTGCGTAGCCGGCGGGACCCTTGTGCAATGTCCCGCGTGCGGCGCGGAAAACTGTAAAGGCATGGCATATCATGAGGAGGCGGAAGAGGAGAAGGTGGATAAGGATAGGTGCCAGGAAGGAGCCCAGCAGCTGCAGCAGAGTGAGCTGAGCGCGCGAGGTAGGGGTGCGAACAGGTTGCCATCCAGCAGCAACCAGTGTACGATAGCGGTGGCGGCGCCTCCGCCATGGATGTACGGCGTACCACAGAGTCCTGAGACTCTTGAGGCCGCATATGAGCGATATCGGAGCGCACTGCAGTGCTTGATGGCGACGGCGGCGGCAGCCGGCGGTGACATCGCTGACGGAGGAAACGCCGTCGGCCATGGCAAAGGCGGCGGCGGGGGTGACCTAGGCGCCCTGGCTGCTGCCAGTCTGGGCAACCCCGAAGCCGCCTTATCCTCAGAGGCAGCTGTTGAGGAGCGGACCTGTGGGGTGCCGGGGGATCTGGGGCCGTGGTCTGCAGTGTGGCAGGCGAGGCCTGCGAGGCGAACTCTCAAGGATGTGGTTGGGACTGCCGCGGAAGCTGACAGCAACGACGACGCCGGCTGCAGGGGCGACTGCGCGGCAGCAGCTGCGGTACAGAACGGGCCGACGGTGACGGCAGTGGGCTCGAGAGCGCCAGGCAGCGGTACACCTGATGAGGCCGCAGCCAGCACTAGCAGCCGTCCTGGCGGTGGTGAAGGTACAGAGAACGGCGTCACATGCTGCGGTGAGGACCACGATAGCTGTCCAAGTCTGCAAAGACATCCCACCCCCCCTGTCAGTACTGCCCAAGACACGCCGCCGTACGTGTACAACGGTATGCCAGGGACGGCCGTACTGGTCGTTACCCATGGTGATGCGGTGGCTTGCGCCGCGGCCACCGTGGCGCCGTGGGTACTGGTGTACGAAGTACGGCATACGGGTTTTGTGGTTCTCGCCTCCGGGGAAAGGTGCGAGGATCGAGGCAAGCTGTTTTGCTGCGGTGATCACGCGAATGTTGCCGCCGCTGAGCCAGGGCGGACGGAACCAGAAAGACCCGGGTCGGGGTCGGGACCGGGCGGACAGGACCGGCTGGGTCGGAGAAGCGGCGGCGTACATGATGCCGCCGCCTGGGAGCTCGTTCCGGACATCCAGGGCAACCAGGGCGTATTGTGGATGTCAACTCTGGGCTAACAGTTGGCATGGTACGGCGGCATTGTGCGGCGAGGTGGTGTGCATGGGCCGTACACACTAGAGCGATAATAATGAGGTCGGTCTCCCTGGCGCCGGTATTCTTGTGCCACATCTGCATGCCATTGCAGTTGTGTCAGTTGTTGTGCCTTCAGGGCAGCACCCGCCGGCGAGCACTTAGCTGAACATACAGCTGAACAACGAGAAGCCGTGTTGCCGCATCATCGTGTGTTGTTGCATGAATGGATTGGAGGTGGAGGTGGTGTGGAGCATCGTGCACAATGTGCACGGTGCAGGGGGTGCAGGTGCATGTGTGCAGAAGTAGGTCAGGCCCTGTAAGCGATCCGGGGGTGAGATGGGAGGTGAGGTGAGGTGAGGTGTGGAGGACCAGACGAGGTGGGTTCCGGTTCCTGTGTTGTGCGACACAGAACTGTGATGCCGGTGTGCGGGCCTTGGTAATGTCCACTTCACCCATTCGCTAATTCGGGAGCCCCTTAACACCGTACGTGGCCAGGATCGCAGCGGGCACACGTACGCACGCGACCATGCGCGCTATGCTGTGCCCCCTCTATAACACAAGTGTACACCGACTACGCAGAACACACATGTATAAACGCCACACACACATACGCACACGCACATGCATGCATGCAAGCATAAGATGGACACTATCTGCATACGTCCCTTGGTGCGCTCCCTTCGGCATAGCCTGTCTCGGCTGTGTACGCCTATTCGGGTACTGGCCGTCTCGAACGCACATGCCCCTGCGGCTGCGGCTGCGCAGGGAGCCCATTCCGCTTCCTGGAGCTGTGCTGTTGGTCTTCAGCGCCCCTCCTCCGTCGTCATGTGCTTCTGCTCTCCTTTCCCCCTCGTCTTTCCCCCTCCCCCTCCCCTCCTACTTCCCACTAACTGCTCCATCCTCTCCTGCGGCCGATCCTCTTCCGTCCCATCCTGCACCCCCTCAAATGCTCTAAATGCGGGCTGCCGCAGCCCGCTCTGCCACAATCTTGCTTAGCATCCGTTGCAGCACTCGGTCCCGCCGCCGAATGGCAACCACCTAAAGCAAAAAGTGGCAAGTATGTTGGGTGCGTTACAGGAGCAGGGTTCCAGGTTTAAGTGAGGGTATGTTTCCAGGGGAGAAACGTGACAAACACGGCAAAAAACATGTTGACGGGCAAACCACCACGGCTCGTCCTGCCAATTTGAAACAGGAACGTCGCCTACATGAGGTTTTGGAAAGGTAGACAGCAGGAGGAAAGGGCGATGTACACGCGCACACAACACTGGCTTCTTTCTGCTTTCCACGCCCGGATTCCGGTCACTCCGGTCACGCCTCTCTAACCCACCCTCGGGTCGCTGGGCGGCTGGTTCTTGAGGATCTCTAACTCGGAGTTGGGCGGTGGCAGCTGCTGCACCAGCTGAGTGGCTATCCGGGAGGCGGCGGGGGAGGGAAGGCGGCGCCGGGGCGGCCGGCCGGGGCCGGGTTGCATCACCTGCGTCAGGTGTCACGATAGGAGGCGAGGGCGGACGTCACACGGCATCGGACCGGAAATGGAGCGGCTCGTAATTCCTTGAATTGCGCGCAAGTGCGCCTTAGTGCTTGGCTGTCCTCAACACGGCGGCACTTCGCTTCATTTTCCATAGCCGTTTAGTACCAACTACCAGCCCAAGCTGAGGCCGCATGGACGATAGCCATCTCAGCCCGCAGCTGTCAAACCTCCAGGTCACACCTCTCCCTGGCCGTTTCGGCCCCTTGTATATCCAGGTGCTCGCATGCTTCGTTGCTTCCCCGTGCACCTCCCGCCTCTCTGCCTGCCTGCGCCTGCCCCAAGCCCCTCCCGTTAGGGTCCCCTGGCACACGGTTGTACCGCTTACCTGCGCGTCCCGCTGCGACGTCATCCAGCCCCAGGGGGCGGCAGGCGCGTTGGCGGCGGTGGCCCTGCGCCTCAGCACTGCCAGGTCGTCCGCTGAGAAACGCAGGTACAGCGCGGGGCCCTCGTCGCCTACCGCAGACAGGAAGCGATATGCGGGATCCGCACCTGTAGATGTCACGTGGCGGCGCCGAGGGCACAATGCACAGGGAAGGTGCACACATACATACACACAGGTACACACACACGCGTCAGAATGATATGTTCCTCTTCCACAGCACCGAAGATGTCCCCCGAAGATGACGCAACAGGGGGGGAGATGGGGGGACATCAGATTGGCATGCAGCAACCGTGCAGAGGTAGTGCTGGTGGTGCTGGCGGGTTCAGTATAAAGCAAGGTGGTCAGTACCCTCCCCTAACAATGGACACCGATACCAATAGACGGGTCCCTTCCGACCTTCGCCCATGTTTGGCTAAACGTGTGTCTACCTGTCTGTCCGTCTACCTGTCTGTCTACCTCTTTGCCCGCCAGGATTTAAGAAACGGAACGCAAGAACGACGCACCAGGCCAGCGCAGACCAACCCGAACACGAACACGAACCCCCCCACCCCACCCCGCCACGGTCCTCACCCGGTCGCTCCCAGCGCCCCTCGCCCCTTCCGAACGGCTGCCGAGTGGGGCTGGCGGCCGAATGACGTGGCGGCCGCCAGCCGGTGGGCAGTCGCGGCTCCAGCATCAGCACATTGCCCGCATCGGGGTCCGTCGGGAGGGCCCCCGGGGCCAGACCGGTGCGCAGACCGGGCCCAGCACCCCGGCCGAAGTCGATGGCGGGTGCGGAGCGCCATACCTGGACATACACGCACATACATACACACACATGGAGAGCAGGGCAGGGCAGGGTTCCGAACGTTACTTCACCCCTTTTGCAACGGACGAAGGTGAGCCGCCCTCGTGCAGCAGTTACAAGCTCACAACAAGACCTGCGGATTACCATTTCCCGGCATTCGTGATAGGGCATCCAGGGCACATTCTGTCGTGAGTAACATTTTTCCCACTCATTTCCCGAGAGGAGGTCGAACCCCAGCAGCAGCAGGTGTTTCGTTTTTGAATCCAAGAAAAGGGAAGTCTCCGTGTTTTGCGGGCCTTGGGTGTAAAACAAAGGTACGGGCCTAACGGAGCATCCGCCGCTGTCAACACACGAGGTCTAGGTCGCTTACCAGGCGGTACCGTGTGCGGTAGACCCCGCCGTCCAGGTCCCCGGTGGCATTGTCGCCGACCCGTGGGTCTCCCTTGAGCGCCTGTTCCCGACCGATCTGGCGCGACAGCGGCACCGCAAGCTGCGCCACCAGGTTGCGACGTACGACCTCCCACCTGTATGTACGACCACAGCGAGTTAAAAAGGGGGAGGGGTAGCGGCAAGGTTGTGAAGTGGCGGCTGCGATGTATGTGTTCCTGTGCGTCCAGTGCTCTGTTTGTTTGCAAGTGATCTCTCAGGAGACAGAGAGGAGGAGGAGGAGCAGGGCACTGGCATCACCACCGCAGAGCACCACACCACCCCCAGCACGCACCCTAATGGGGCACCTCTTTTTGGGAGAGGTGCCCCATTAGGGTGCGTGTCTGGCGGCTTGTGCCGTTGCAACGAACACACACACACAGACAGACATACACACATACACAAGACACTTCTCGTGGCTCAGGTCATAAGAAAACACACGCCCGCCCGCACATGCGCCCGTACATGCGCCCGCTCACCTGGGCCGGTAGTTGAGCCAGGCGGTGAGGTCGCGATCCGGGCCCTCCACTGCTGTCGGGTCCCCATGACCACGACCCAGAGCCAGGTTGGGCGGCCGGGGGGGCTGCCAGCGGAGGCGGTCTCTGGCGCTGTAGGGATCCAGATCCAAAAGGCGCTGGCCGTCGTAATCGACTGCGAGTGTGTGTGCGTGTGTGTGCATGTGTATGTGCGTGTGGGCACGTGGAAGGGGAACATCGCTTCCGTTAGTGGGTACTTGTGAACGTGCGGGGGGGAGCCCAGAGGAATCAAGGGTGTGTGTGGGAGCTGCCAGGTCGCGGGTCTGTGTTGGCGGCTGGGATTCGTGGGAAAGGAAGCGGCGGCAGGTGGAGGAATGACGGTTGATGGGGTGGCGGGTTTTAGGATTATCGTACATGTACGAGGGACGGCGTGCATCTGTAGGGTGGCGAGGCGGGGCGGGGCATGTGTGTGTGTGGGGGGGGCAATGGAGCGGGGAGGGACATGCTGCCAGCGGCAGCTGCGCCTCCTAGCTGCTTTTTCCCCTCGTCCCATCCGTCCTTCGACGACGCCCTTTCGACAGGAACTGCCGTGCACGACGGCCAGTGGTCAGCTGCCACGTCACCCACCTTTACCCCCAGGCGACGTCCTGGACAGCATGCGGGTAAAGTCCGGCGCACCGGGCGCCCTCCGAAACCCAGCCAGCTGAGTCAGCGCAATATCCTCCGGGCCCAACCACCCAACCGCCCTGCCGTACAGCGGAGCCGCCGGGTCGATTCCGGCAGGCCAGGCTAGTGGGGGATCGCGGCCCGGCTGGGTGCCGAAATTGGGCTGCCCCGGGGCGCGCCGCAGCAACAAGCCAAACCCGGGCTGCACATCGTACACAGCGTGGAGGTACGGCAGGTCGTACGGTGCGGCATCGTCATGCGGCGGTTGGATGAGTGCCGCCGGGGGCCTCGGCCGCACGTAGTCCAGGGCTGTGTGTGGGGACAGGACTAGCCGGTTGCCCTCCAACACCTGAGGCGGCGGCGGCGGGGGGGGGGGAGGAGTTGCGACGGATGGGTGGAAGTGGGGGGATGTGATGTGGGGCGGGGGCACTTTCGTACACGATAAGATACTTGGTTTGAGTCGGATGGATACGCCGCTCTGCCCTATACCGCAAGCCACGCCCTACAACACAGCCAGAGTGCATACTCCCGTTACTTGGGGTTACAGCTGCCGTCCTTCCTACTCACACCCATTTTGCCCTCCCCCAAACGACCTCCTACAAACACACACACACACACACACACACACACACACACACACACATATATATATACATATACATACACATACATAAATTACAAACATACTATACATACATTATTAATTATATGCTAATATAATAATTACTTATTTTATGATCATATACCCCCAAGCAAGCTCATGTTACCCATCCATCCCCTCTGGACCACAAGTCCACGCACGCACCTTCTCCGGGCTCGTGCTACCCGGCCCCACCAGCAGCCCCCTCCTCTCGGGACCCCGCCCAAAGTCCACCACCCGAGCTGTAGCCCCCACCACAGCCAGCGCCTGCTCCGCGTCGGCAGGGAAGTAGGCGCCGGGGCCCCGGAGCATCCCATGGGTCGATGGTTCCGGAGCTAGCGGCTGGTGGCCAGGACCGCCCTCCAATACCACGTTGCGCACACGGGGCCTGTGCAGGTCGGGGAAGGGGAAAACGTGCTCAGCTCAGGAAGGCAAAATTGCCAGTTGCCTAATTAAGACTGGGCGGCCCTGACTCTTTCAGGACGGTGTAAGCAGATCTGTGTTGCGGGTCATGAGACGAAAAGCCCAATGCGACATTTCTCTTCCCCCCTCCCCCAAAAAACAGAACTCCACGAAGTATCCGGCCGTCCCCTTCCACCCCGCAAAACAAAATTCCAAGCTCCACTCCGGCCCACCCCGGCTCCCCCCCCCCCCACACACACACACACACAGAGCATTGCCCACCGGGTAGGCAGGTCCAGATTGGGGTCGGGCAAAGGAAGATGCGCCGTACGATGGTCGTACGCGGGGTCGACCGGGAGAGCTTCCTCCCGACCGAGGGCCAGTGCCATGACAGCCGCTGCTCCGCGGTCGCGGCGGCGCAGCGTTGCGTCCTTGGCTGCAGCGGCGTCCAGCGTCAGGCGGGTACCGTACGGCAGCTCACCGCCGTCGTCCGGCTGCGGCAGCTCACCGATTCCCTGGGTCGAGCGCAAGGATACACGGCGTGTGCGTGCGTGTGTGTGTGTACATGTGTGTGTATATGTGTGTGTGTTGATGGGATGCTTGGGGGAGGCGTGGAACTGGGAAGTGTGGAAAAGGTTGCGCATGCCGGTCAGGATCTGGATTTCTTCATCTTCTGGATCTGGATTTGGTGCGGGTTGTACTACATATATAACGGAGAACTTGCAGAGCAACGCACGTGCCTGGTTCCTCGTTTTTGCCGCATCCCCTGCCCTTCACTGCCGACCTGGTCCATCACCCCCTCCCCCTCCCCCTGCCCCTGCCTCACCAACACATGCCCGGGGCTGAGGCCAAAGTCCGCGGCTCGAGGGAGGGGCTGCACTGCCCGCCACGCCAGCTCGGCCTCGTAGAAGCCGGGACCCAGGTGCCGTACAGCCGCCAGTGCCCTGGAGTCCTGTGAGGGTCGGAAGATGATGGATGGGTAGCGCAGCGGGTTGGTGGGGAAGGGGGGGATATGTCTTCCCGCAGGTAGACAGGCTCCCGCCTGTAGTTATGTGCCCGCGGACTATTGTATTGGCATAAACATAGTTAAGGACGGTGCTTATCTCCCCAGCATGGGGGCAAGCGCAGCGCAGCGCAACGCGCTTTGCACGGAGGGCCAACGCGGGTTGCGACACATGCAGGCCACCGAGACACACAGGGGGGGGCTGGGGGCCTCCTTACCAGCAGCGTCAAGCCCTGCCGCCGCGACGGCCCAGCTCCGAACGGTAGCGCTCCAGGGAGCCGGCGCCGAACCAGCGTCAGGTCGACATCCCAGGACAGCAGCGGACCGAAGCCCACACCGCGGACCCGCGGGTCATCTGACCCGACGTCGCGACGCACCGCTCTACGGCACCAGGAGGAGAAACACAACGGTACGGCAAGAACCAGATGTGAGTGAAGGAGGAGAAGTTGTTCAGATGCACCAGTTCGGATGCTTGGAGACTACGGGACTTGATCGCCGGACTACGAGATGTACGGCTGTCGCTTTACCGCCTCCATGTGTACGGCTTGCACACGCACTCTTTCCAGTAAATGTGCGCCGCACAAACAAACAATCGGTACGGCCGTTTTTCTTTGACGAATAAATCTGCTATGAATAAATCCTTAGGATAAAAACCCTGAAGAAAAGTCCTGGTCTTCCCGCCGTGAACTGTTTAGACGCCAGCGACATGTGTTTCTCGTGTTTGACTTCGTCTCCCGATGTGTTACCAACGACATGGATAAGTGCACGTAAACCCGGGCCACACATACACACATACACACATACACACATACCCGTATGAGTCAGGGCGCAGGTTACGACTGCAAGCGGCACAGCGAGGGGTGACGCCTCCTAGATAGCCACACAACCCGCACGCGAACTTTCCCCGTCCGCAGCACAGCAATCCTGCCGTACCGTACGACAGGCGCGAAGGTCCAGGCCGGCGGCCGCGGCCGGATGTAGTCCAACGCCTGCGAGAGCTCCAGGAGGGCCTGGCGCCGCTGCCGTACAGCGGCGTCGCCGTCGCCGCCTTCAACATCGTCACGAGGCGAGCCGTCGTCGCCTTCACCGGGCTCGCGCGGTCCTGCAGCTTCGTCGCGCCACCTGGGTGCCGCCAAATGCATCAGAACCTGAACAGAAGGCAGTGGCAGTGGCAGTGGTAGGGGGGCCACTCGCAAAGATCATCCTAATTCGTCCATCTCAATTTTATCCATTGTGGTATTGTTCTCTCCGTTCACTCGCCAGGCACCCCACATCGCTCCCATCCAACACTTCCGATCACCGTTATCCACCGGACTCCACCACAAATGCACAGCGCCTTCCCCCGGGCCCCCTACACCACCCACCTGCAACAACAACCCACAATGTCTCACGCGCGCGTGCGTAAACCCAATCCCCTTCCCTCCCCGAAGCTGAGCGCACCCCACCTGTGGCGCCCTGCGGCACAGGTACGACCAAGCCATCTCCACGTCGTACTCGCCTATACCTGGTTGCCGCCGCAGCTTCTTGAGGCGCGCCGCCTCTCCCGCGGTGCTGATGCAACCAACAGCAGTAGCAGGCGGTAGCACCAACAGCAAGCCAGTAATTTAGCAGGAGACAGGAATAAGCAGCACACGTCCTAGATGATGCGCACAGGCGTGGCAGTTAAAAGCTGAGGTCGCTTTGCAATATTGAGCTTAATTCGGTCCCACTGAACACAACGCGCGGTACATGCTGAGCCCCTGCGCCTTGATGCCGCTGTCCTTGATAGACATTTGCAGGACCTGTCTCCACCTTAGGGTCAGGAGCTTCTCGCTCGTTCCGCTCCACACCACCCTACACGCCATATCCGCCACCACCGTAGACTATATACTCCGTACGTACCGCTCGGGCGTGTGAGTGAAGTCCGGTACACCCATCACTCGGCGCTGCACCAGGTCGTAGACTGGCCGCAGGTCCAGCAGGTAGCGACCCACGGGTCTCTGTGGACAGGACAGGAGGGTAGGAGGGCAGAGGGAAAATTTTATTGTCCCGAAATCCGCGGGGAAAACACGATATATGTTTCGCGGCATACGCATGTGGTAATATGGGTCGTGCTCTGCCGTGTGTGTATGTATGTATGTATGTATGTATGTATGTATGTATGTATGTATGTATGTATGTATGTATGTATGTATGTATGTATGTATGTATGTATGTATGTATGTATGTATGTATGTATGTATGTATGTATGTATGTGTGTGCCTGAGTGTACGATAGCAGCCAGCCTGCCACAGGTCACACCATCCTCGCTCAGATGAGCCAACGCTGCAGAGCCGGTGCGCGAGGGGTGGTGTAGTAAAGGCTTCATTCGATTGACATTACTACTAAAGGAAATATAACCTTCTTACCCCAAAAGAAGGGTTAGAGCTCCTGTAATTCATGTTGCCAAAGAGCTCTACCTAGGACGCGAGTGACGAACCCAACCCTCCTCCTCCGCTGTCCTCCCTCCCTAACTGTCCCCCCCCCCACCCACGCGCACACAAAGACGCACCTGCGCCGGTTGCTCATGCCCCAGGGCTGAGAAGCCCCAGGCGGGTCGGCGAGGTCGAATGGCCAGATCAATGAACCACGGGTCGCTGGGTCCGGGTATGCGCTCCAAGAGACGGCCATTGTCATCGGATATCTGCACGGATGGGGTCGGCTGCGGGGCCCCAGGGAGTGCGCGGGGGGGTGTAGAGTCTCCGCGGTGAACGCGAAATAGCGGAGAGGGCAGCTAGCAACTAGGTTGTGTAAAAATGAACGTCTCAAAATAAGCATCCGCGTGCAAAGGAAATAAGCAAGCCACGGCGCATGTCTTGAGGAAGACAGGAAGGCTAAAATATCCCAAAATATTTCCCAAGGTGTGCGAAGCCAGGAGGAAGCTCAGTATGTCACCCCACCGCGCTATGGCCCTCCGGGACCCTGGATACCCCACGTCTCATCGCTGTAACCACCCCCTCCGCCCGCTTACTCGGTGGCAATCCCCCTACCCGGCTGATAATTTCCTCAGAATCTGCCCCTGTCGTTTCCAGATACCCGCCTGCCGGGTTCCGATACCCCGGGTTCCGACGCGCACTCACCGACGGCTTCCGCATGATGGGCGTGCCCTTTACCCGCGGCTCCACCAGGGAGAACCTGACGTCAAGGATCAGCGCCGCCGTCGCCGTCGCCGTCGCCGCGCCACCGCTGGCGCCGTCGCCGTCAGCAGTATCACCCTCTGCCGGCGTGGACGCCGCCGCCACCGGTAAAATCAACGCCGCCGGCGCTCTACGACGTGTGAAGTCCAGCGCCGCCGCAGGGTCACGGCCAAGCCAGGCCACGTCCGCCGCCACCGCGGCGGCGGCACCATCGCGCCGTGTGGGGCTGTCGTACGGATCCGCTGCGCTTCGTCTTGCTGTACCAAAGACGGCCGCGGGGCTGCGGGCCAGGCGTGATATTGCGCCGTCCGCTACCCCCGGGTCGTAGTGGCCGGGACCCGGATCACGACTGTAGCGCGGCTGGGAGTGTGGCCGCTGCCGTACGGGACTGAAGGAGACGGCGGGCGCGCTGCAAAGCACCAATTGGCAAGGGTAAGGGAGGGGCGTCGTTGTGCAGGGCGACGAAGTGTCATCTCTTCGAACCCATTTACGACGCTTCATCAGGTTGGTCGGGTGAAGAACAGGAAAATATGATGGCAGCTTCTCTTCATTCGGGGATGGCAGCAGGCTGCAATACTGCGGGATGTGGGGGTTGCATCCACCCCTTGCCGTACTGTTATTGAACTTTGCGCTTTCGTGATCTTCCCTCGCGCGCCAATGCACAGCGAGCACAGGACAAGGAAAGCTGCTAGGCGTAGAAGTCGCCCCACTTTCCTCCCCATGCTTGCCAAGGCCCGCTCCGGCGTCCCGCCTGCGGGCCCCCCCCCCCAGCTGGGGTTCCAAAACACCGTTACCCGGCCCCCCTCCCGTACCCTTTTTATTCCATTCCCCCCCCACACACACACACAACATGCATGTTTAGCAACACCTCACCGCTTCTCGACGAGGGTATAGGACGGCGTCAGTGTCGTGCCCGGCACAGCGACCCACGGGTCGGGGCCCGCGGCCGCAGCAGCAGCCGTTCCCTTGTAGACCACCTGCTGATGCACCTGCACCTGCGCCAGCGGATGAGGTTCCTGCTTGCCCGAACGGTCGCCGGTTGGCTCTGATTGAGTCGAAGGGGGCAGTGGTGGTGCCAGAGCTGCCGCCTCCGCCGCTGTCGCCGTCGTCGCTGCCTCTGCCGCCGGGTGCGGGCTGGCGAGAGCCAGGAGGTTGGACAGAGTACGACGAGTGGCGGCCAGGAAGTGCGGTAGCGGCCGTTCCGGGCTGCTGAAGGTGACAGGGAAGGCTACTGACGGCCGGCGCGGTGGCGACGGCGCCGGCGGGGCTGCCGCCGCGACCCCTTCCGCCCGCCGTGGCGGCACACCTAAAAGAGGGTTTCACTTTTTGGTGTCAGGGACCTAGGGAAACGGTGCCTCATTCAGGCGGTCGCGACGCACCCGCTGAGTGCGTGTGTGCGTGTGTGGCTTATGCTGTTGGGTGTTTGAGGGAAGGGGAACTACGTTCACAAAAAGAAAAGGGTCGATTTCTGACGTCCAAAGCACCATTTTTTATGCTGCAGCAACTGCTGGAGTCGTTGTAGGGATGTGTAGGTGATGCAGTTGGTGCGGGTAGGGGTGGCGTATGGTTTCACTGCCCTGAGTGCCCAGGTCAGCGCCGCCATTCACACACCACGTTCTACTGCTCCTCTTCCTTATACCCATAAGGAACCCCCTTCCTGCCCCTCTTCCTCCCCCCTCCCTTCCCTCCCCTCTTCCTTCCTTCCCCTCCCCGCTTTCACCCGGACAACGTTACTACTCTATAAATGATCCATGTCATGAACCAAGTCATCATCACGTCACGACCCGCTTCCCGCATCGGGCAACGGCCCACATACAGATCCCCAACAGATCCCCCGATATCTCCTCGATGCGCCGTCCCGTGAGATTTCGGCACTGTGTCCGTGTCATGTGTCATGAGCACGTGCACTGTGGCTAGGACTGCGGCTGTACGACGACCTCCTGGACCTTTCCTGGCAACAAAGCATCAGGCCTGATGCGCACCTGCACACGCGCCACCACTCACGCCTCTCTCGTCTCTCCTCCCCTCTCCTTCAAGCTCACCTCTTACGGTAATACCACTCCATCGTGGGGTCGAAACTGCTGTTGTGGACGGCGGCGGCGGCGCCGGGGGTGACGGCGGGGGTGACGGCGTCTTGCTGTCCAAGTCGACTCGGGCCCTTGAGGTGCTACTGGCACTGGGGCTACGCGGACTTCTTCTGGCGGCAACGGAAGGTGAGGCCACCCGCCGGACGTCACCCTCGAACAAGCCAGGATGGGTGTCCGTGCTCACTGCCCCTTGATCTGCACCCGGCTCGCGTGCCAAGGGGGGTGATGCGGCATCCCGTACGTATAGCGACTCGGCGCCGGCGCGCTGCCCCTCCTGCCGCTGCTGCTGCCCCGCCTGCGACGCGTTGTTATCGTCGCCGCCGCTGGCAGCGCACGAATTGCTGCTGTTATTGTGCCCCCCACCATCGCTGCCTTCGCCGCCGGGGCCAGGGCCAGGGCCGGGGCCGGGATCTAGGCGGCGCCTTGCCAGCGCCTGCAGGCGCTCTCGGCGCTGTGCTGCCGCCACGGCCGGCCAAAGCTGGTCCACGGTTTGGTTCCGGAGCTGCTCCTCCAGCTGCCGTGCCTTCTGCAGCTGCCGATGGCGGCGCTCCTGAAAAACCGCCGGTACGGCAGGTACGTACATGTACGGCAGCCACCACCCGGGGCACCAAGTGAAGAACCCGGCACCCCACCGAACACGGCAGGGACAGTTCGGTCAGGTAACCCATCTTGCGGGACTACAAATACATGTGCAAGTTATGATGCAAAGGGTCGTGCACGCGAAGGGGGAAGGCAAGGAAGGTAAAAAGCAAGCAAGCAGCAAGGTAGCCGGTGGTTTCGAAAGGGGGTCTGTCTGGGGTTTCAGAAAAGCTGGCACGGAGTAATTTGGGGGCTGTGCGTCAGGACAGTAGCAGTTAGGAAATCCGGCAAATCAAGCATATCAAAGAAGTAGGCGCTCCTGCTGCTGATGCGTTGTCCGCCTCACTCGCATGTATCTTACCCCTACATGCGGACGTGTCCTAGGAAGCGCAAAACGTTTACGTTTGCACCTTTTTTAAATTGACGGCAAAGTTAAAAGCAAAAGTATCAAGATCCGGAACTTGATCGCTGGATCTCTGGCTATCTCATCGCTATCCGACGCAGGGAAACACCCAAATACCATGCCCCTCACCTGCAGCTCACGCCTCATGTCCGCCGCCACGCTCCGAGTCGCAAACCGCGCCACTGGCACACGGGGCCGCACAGCAGCCACCGCATGTGCCAATTTCTCAAGCGGGGCCATGGGCTCCAGGGGATGCTTCTGGTGCCGGCGGCGGCAGAGGCGGCGGCGGCTCCACGGCTCCTCGTCCAGTACTGTTTCCCGGTTGTCGCCTGAGGACTGCCGGCCACCGGCGGCGGCCGGATCCGTGCCGGGGTCCTCCATGCATTCCGATTGCCCGGCTGATTCCGAGTCTGCTTCGTCCTTGGCAGCAGCAACCTTGACCGCCGGCGAAATGGTGCTAGGGCCGCGGCCTGCGGACGCGCTCCGATGCAGCCGCCGCGACCGATGCTGTCCACGACCGATGCTGTGAGGACGGGAAGGCTGCTGCGGCTCGCAGGTCCGCGAAGCTATGTCGGCGTCGGCGCCATCCCCTGCCTGACGACTGGCCTGAATCAACTTCTGCCTCTTCCCAAGCCGCTCCCGGTCAACCCGTCGCATCTTAGAAGGCGCTGATAGCGACCGACGGGCCTGGCCGTCGTGTCGTGGCGCCGTCAAGCTCCGCGACAGCAGTGACGGGCTGCGGCCACTTCGCGACTGCCGTTGCTCTGGCTGCTGTGACGCGGATGCGAATGCCGTGGCAGCGGCGGTGGCTGTGGCGGCAGCGGGAGAAGGCAGCCAGTCCAGGCGTCGGCTGGTTGCGGAGATGACGGCGCAAGACACACGGGGCAGCACTGCGCGGTAGGCCGCGTCCAGTTTTAGCGGTGCCATGGAAGAGGAAACAGCAGTGGCGGCAGCGGCGGTGGTGACGGCTGCCACCGGGCCCTGATATTTCGGTTACGGCGGCGGCGGCGGAGTTAGGTGGTTGGTTTGGATGGTTTGCCAAAGGGTTTCATCGCCGAGAGTAAGGGCAAGGCTGCGAGAACGGGCAGGATACGTGCTTCAGAGGTAAAATCATGGGCAGCGAAGTACATACTTGAGCGCGGGCAACAGGCTTTGGAGCAACTTTGGAGCCCGCAATGGGCTGCAGGAATGGCGGCCCGAAGGGCCTGCTGAGCAAAACACCGGAGGCTAGCCCTTGGCTTATGTGCGTTTTGGGGCCATCCGCGATAGGGGCTCCTTGCCCTGCTCCTCCCCTTACCCTGCCAGATTCCACCCCGCCGCCCTCGGTGAAGCCACCAACACCACCGCCACCCGCCGCCGTTGTCGTCGTCGCCGTCGCGTCACCCCAAGTGGTACTCCACCGCTTCCTGCTGAGCTCCCCCAGCTCTTGCCGCTCCGCCGGCATGTCACTGGCACCCTGCGCTGCGTCACCGCCTGCCCCGCGACCTGTCGTCGCCGCCGCCGCCGCCGCCGCTGCTGCTACTGCTGCTGCCGCACCGTAGCCCGGTTGCGCAAACCTAGCAGCCCGGCTGAATACCACACATGGGGCCGCCCGGAACGGCTCCGCCGTTGTCTGCGACCCTGCAGCCCCGAACCCCGTCTCCGTCCCTGCTCGGGCCGCCCCCAAGCCGTCACCAAGACCACCGGGGCCGCTACCAGACACTCCCTGGTGCTGGAGCTGGTGCTGGTGCTGCTCCTGGTCCTGGTGTGCCCTACCGCCGCGGGGTAAGCTTCGGCGGTCAGAAAGCCGACCAGACAAGGGTCCCTTCTCCGGGGAGTCGGTGAGCGGCGCCGCTGGCTCCCGATGTTGCTTCCAATCCGCTCCGAAGCCGCTGCCAGTTGAGCCGCGGGTGCTCGCGAGGGTGGCAGCTGCCAAGACGCGGTCGGCGGCCGTGGAGTACGGCCTGTACGGCTGCGCGGCGAAGGATGCTGACGGTGCCCGCTTGCGGAGAGTGTTGCGCACCTCCAGGGGGGCCCTAACGCCAGGAAGGACGCGGACGGCCGGTGGGCGGTTAAAGAGGCACGGGGCCCGCAAGTGGCCAGGGTGGGACTGGGTGTGTTCATGAGGGTGAGCGGTGCTACGGACGACCGCTTAGCGGCGAGGTTGAGGTTGCGCGTGGGAAGTTGCGGTTTCCCAGTTGTGGACCTCCATAGGAATACGTGTAAGAGCAGCGGCGAGAAGCCGGAGGAGCCGGGTTTGGACGTGCCGGCGCCGCTGCCGCTGTCGCGTGGGCGAACCTACCGGCGCCGCGACGGCGGCCCATCACCCCACCGGCCTCTCCCATGCGCCGGTAGGAATGGTAGGCTCCAATACCTTTACCTCTGTCTTAACTGCGTTACTGTGTTGCTTGCTTCGTCATCATAACATTTTTTGGTTGTTGTGGATGATTTTTTAATCTCTCTCATTTGACCGTCGACGCCCCCATACTCACTCCCCTATGCCAAACCCCACTGCGCAGGGCGGACTTTAGCCAGGCCGGGGCCCCGGCATGTGTGGCCTAACCCGGCAGGTGACATGGTAGCGTTGAGGACATCACCCGCCCTAGAAGGATGGCACCTGATATGGTGGGTGAGGTGGTTCATGTACCCTCGGAGGGTTGGACATCAGTTAAGGTGTTTAATAAGATGTGGGTACTGCGCTAACACTGCTCGGCCCTCCGTACAGGTTGTGCCGTACCTCTCGTCCAGTGGCAGTGAGTGCTCGTCCAGGCCACGCTTGCTGCGACCCATCACCGCCATCGCCGCCCGCGGACGGATTGAACCCATATCCGGTAAATGCACATCGGCTTGCTCGGCCATATCGTACAACAACCGTCCCGCCCAAGCGCCGTTGCTGCCGGCGGCTGCGGCTGAGACGGCGGAGGCGCCTGCGGTGGCCTGATCTCGCCCACCGATGCCGCCGCTGGTCCTGCGCCAACCCGCCGTACGCACCTTCTGCTGTAGAGTAGCGGGAGCGCTTCCGGCAGCAGGGCCTGCGGCGGCGGCACCATCCCTGTCGAGTATGCTGCCGCCGCCACCACCGGCACCCTCCATGCTGTCTGTGGTGGTGGCGACGGCAGCGGGGTTGGCGGCGCAGACGCCGCTAGTGAACGGCCCAACAACGTTATTGGCGGCGGCGGAGCCGTTGCCACGGGCTCTTTCTGGGCGATGCATGGCTGCGGCATCTGCGGCTCGTGATCTCCGCTGGGGCCGAGGTTGTGGCGGCGGTATGTTTGTCGTATTTCGAAATAACGGTAGTCGGTTGGTTAGGGCCGGATCTGGGTCGGGTGCGTAAATCGGTTTGCGTGATGGTGGTCGTGGTGGTGAGGACTGTTGGCGGCCGGCGGGGGCTGTGCCGTGATGGCGCGTGTTGAAGGCCGAAGACGCGGTTGAAAGAAGAGTTGAAAGGTTGGCGGCTGCCGCAGCAACGGCTGCCGCCGTCGTACTGGCGGCATCAGCAGCGCCGCTTGCGGCGCCGCTGGTATAAGGTGCAGAGGAAGGAGGTGGGGGCGTCCCGAACGGGGTCCGCTCCGCGTAGCCGTACAACGTAACGGTGGAAAGCGGATGCGAAGGTGCGGCAACCGATGCCGTAGCGGTCGCTGCCCTAGGGCTCCTCTTAAAGCCCCATATGGCACGCTGCAAATTCGCATCCCAGCTAGTGGATTGACTGGACGTGCCGTGCCATCCGCCATCCGGCACCGTTTGTTTGCTTTGTTGCTGCTGTTGCTGCTCCGTGCGAGATATCATCCGATGCCGTCGCTGCTGCTCTCGCCACTGCTGCCGCAACGACTCTACCGGCGCCGGCGCTCCGCGGGCCAAAATGCCATCTCCAACTGTTTTTTCGGCTTGCACGGCTGGAACCCAGTTGGACGCTGTAAGGATGATTTCTTGCGCTGCTTGGGAGGGCGCAGCTGTTCGCCAAGGGTTGGGTGGCGGAACTTGCCGGGGTCTGGTGGGATGCAGTTGCGGAGACATGCCAGTCCTGGGCATGGAACCTGCAGCTTGAGCAGCAGCGTTCGCGCGGCCCTCGCGAAAAGCCTGGCGCAGCTGCTGTACCCGAAGCACAGCAGCGTGCGCGCCCAGGACCTATGGAGCGGCGAGGGGCAAAGGACTTGGTGCGCGACCGCGCTGTGGATTGACGTGCCTGCGCAAAAGGTTACACAGACCGGCACATACCTCACCGCCCCATGCCTCATCCGTGGCTTTGTGTCCCAAGATTTGGCTCGTCTCGCTTGTCATGCCGCATCACCGCATGAAATGCGTGTCTCCGTTTGCCAACCGACTGAAGCTCATTACTGCTTTGCGCATAGTCCACAGTAGCTGCTGACAAAGAAGTAATTTATACAGATAAGTAATGCCATCTTTGGGCGCTGTGTTGATGTTGTCGGGGTGTGACCGTAGCTGTCAGGATCCGTGAAGAGCACCAAACAAAACTAATACGGCATGGAAAACCTAACCAAAGAGGATGTGCTTGGAGTCCTTGAAAACTTTCCTCTGCCCGCATACAGTGTTTATCAGCAGTAAAGGCCTAACTCCAACCTCGAGCTTTGCAACTCATGCAACTTTTTCGCTGCATGTTATTTGCTGCTTAACAATGCTATCGATATAATGTAACCTAACCACAGCAGAGCCGCAATTGTCCGCAAATCAAATCATTTCTTTTTCGGCAACCCGTAAACTTGCCCAAAATGAAGCCAGAGGCTGCAAACGAAAGAGCTAAGGATGCACAGCGTCAAAAGCCAGCGTCGAATGGCTCTGGCCAGAATTCTCCAGTTACAGCAGGGGCTGTGCTCGCGGCCGGCCGCAGTGTCCAGCTGGGGCGCATGAGCCATGCAGACCTCATGTCGTTGGCTGAACGGCACAACAAAGAGCTCGGCCTGGTCGGCGATGTAATGATGCCGACCATGCGCGGCGTGGCGGAAGTTGCTACAGTGCGGCCCCCGGCAGTGCACCCCTTCACTGTGGGAGGCGGCTCCCGCAAGGACGAATACCAAGCCGCATGGAAGTCCCTCTCAAAGCGCACTGGTGTGCCCTTGATGTCCAGCGTCGAGGGAACTCAGCAAGCCGCGGCAGTTGCAGCCGGCACGGGCGGTCGCACCGCCCGCCCAACCTTTGCAACCGCCATTACCGCCGCGACGGCAGCTGAGGTGCCGGCAGCGGCGAACCAGGCCGCTCCGCAGCCGACGCACGTGCAGATGTATGGCCTGGGGGAACAGCCGCTGCAGCAGGTGCAATTCGTGGAGGCACTGACGGCCTGGCTGGGTGTAGGGCCCATAGACCTGCCGCTGCTGGCGCCGGGCGCACCCCCGCTGTCCCTGCGCCGCCTTTTCATGGAGGTACGTGCTTACGTGCTTACATCTATAGTGCTAAGAAGTAGGATTTGTACTACGAGACCCCCTGCCTGCCGCCGTAGTCCCTGGGGGCTCTTAGGGGGGGTATCGCATCGGTGGCGAGGGCGCCGGCCCCCACCTGCCTTCCCATGGCCGGACGCCATTTTTCACAAGGGCGCTCACGCAGGCGCCCTGTCGCGGTACATGGCGCCAATCAAGCGGCTCCAACGGATTGTGTGCAGTGTGTGTAAGCGTGGGGGGGGGGGAAGAGCAGGATGCATTGGTGCATTGGTGCAAGTGCAGCCCCCCCTCCCTGATCGCCATGCTGTACCTTCTGTGATCCCTCTGTGATCCCTCTGTACCGCTGACGGCCTGTACCTCTTCCTTCGCATCGCGAAACGAACCTGCCACCGCCACCACCACCACCGCCACCACCACCATCACCGCCGCCACCGGCACTGCCGACACCACGGATGGCGACTTGCATACCTGGGCTACTACCGGGCTATAAACCCGGCGCCATTTTCTCTACATCTAATAGAAAAGGCATACATACAGACATACTTTCCAGCGGCACTGCCTTCCAGCTTGTCCTCCTGTCACTTTTTCCCGCCCTCCGCGATTATCGCCCTAACTTACGTACACCGTACGCCATGACCACGCACAGGTCCTGGAGGCAGGCGGCTCTAGGCCAGGCAGCGGCCCGGGTAGTGGGGTGGGCGCGGCGGAGGCCCCGGGGGGCGGCAGCGGCTCGCGGGCTGTTGGTGACGGAAGCGGCAATGGTGGGGGCGGCGGCGGCAGCAGTCGGTGTGTGTCTTGGGAGGCCCTTGCTGGGCGGCTCCAGGGGGATGAAACCCTGGGTGACCTGCTCCAACAGGTGAGTGAGTGAGGGGGGGAGGGAGTGAGGGAGGGAGTGTTTCGCAACGCGGTTCATGACGTGGTTCATGAGGATCGTGTGACCGTCATTGTCGTTTTCGTCGTCCTGTCGCGTTGACCTTCTTGTTCTCTGTGTAATGAACAGCGCATGTGCAATCAAATGGCGGACTGGATGATCCGCACACATACAGGTATATGACGCGTTTCTGCTGCCCCTGGAGCGGCGGCTGCCGCGGGGCACTCGGCCGGCGCGCGTGGAGGCGTGGATGCAGGAGGACCTCCGGCGGCGGGTGCAGCTGCGGGGGGAGGACCTGGCGCCCCCTGCGGAGCAGGTACGGGGTCTTTGTGTGTTGGGTGCGGGCGGGTCGGCGTGGATGAGTGTGGGTATGGGTGTGGGTGTCGGGTTGCGTTCTGGCGATGTGAGCATGTGGAGCGACGAATGTGAGGCCGGAGGAGCAACACAGAGCGGCTAACCAAAGATTACATACATACATACATACATACATGCATACATACATACATACATACATACACCTGTCCTTACGTGGGTTGAGTGGGGGACAGTACGGCTTGGAGGTGTTAAGTCGGGTCGCAGACAGCCTCGGTGCGTGCGGGCATTCCGGCGACCTGGGCCCTATCCCTCATGGGCTCCACCTCCGCGTGACTGTGTCTGTCCACTCGCCTAGAAATTCCCTTTAGGTGCAAACAGAGCACCTCTAAACGCGCAGGGGGGTTCTAGCTGCACCTCGCATTCCCTGCTGCATCTAGCGGCTAGGAAAGGCCACACCGGATCAGGTATCGCAATTATTATTATTATTATTGTTATTGTTATTATTATTATTATTATTATTGTTATTGTTATTTGTTCGGTAGCGAACCCCTCGTAAGAGAACTAACAGCGGACCTCTTGAGCCTACTACTTCCCGTGGCACCAAGGCTCCCGGTGCTACGGCCCGCCGGAGACCTAAAAGTCCCCTCCCCAACAACTTCCCCGGGCCCCCCCCCACACACACATACATACAACCTTACACACTATAGGTGGCTTTCAAGCTCAAAGCCGCCCACGCGGCCATACTGGCGATTCAAAATCAAAACCAGCAGCAGCAGCAGCTGCAGCCTCCATACCCATCTCGTGGAACACCCGCCCCACTCGGAGACCTGGCCAGGAGCTTCTCCGTGTCACACACCGGCGGTGAGCACGGCGGCACCGCTGCCACCGCCGCGACCGCCGCCGCGGCCGCCACCACGGCCACCGTAGCTGTAACCGCAGTAGCTGCACCAACGGCGGCGGCGGCGGCACTAGCTACCATGATGAAGGTTGACGTGGCGGCGAGGGCGGCATTGGCCGCTGGCGCAAATGGCACGGACGGCGGCTCGGATGGGGCCGGCGGGGCCGTGGTGTCCTCACCACTGCCACCACCGCCGTCGTCGCCACCGCTGCCGTTGCAGTCGCAGTCGCAGCTGTCCCCACCCGGGTCCCTCATCGCGGCGGATGCGATGCGGGCGCTGCGAACGGCAGCTGTGGCGGCGCCGAGCCTGCTGCCGGGCGTCATCGTGCCTAGCGGCGGCAGCAAGCGCGCGCGGGCCTCCAGTCGAGGAGGTCGTAGAGGCGGGAAGGCAGCCAGCAGTCGGAAACGCGCCCGGGGCACTGGGGCCGCCGTGGAGGCCGCCGCGGAGCCGGGCCGCGACGGCACCCTAGGGGGGGTTAGGGGGGCCGCGGGGTCACCAACCACACAGGCGACTGGGGCCATGGGGACGAAGGCAGACGCCGACGGCGGTGCCGGCGGCTTCGGAGGTGACGGAGGCGGAGGTGCGGAAGGCAGTGGCGGTGGCGGCGGTAGCTCTCTGGGCCCGGAGTTGACGGATCCGAAGGTGCGGTTGGCGGTTGTCAGTTTGTGCTGCGGTTGCGGCATGGCGTGGCCGTGTCGGCGGCGCACCGCATCGAGTGGTATCTATCTCTAAACTATGCTTACGCGGGCAGTGGGAGTGGTACCAAAACAGCACATAACGTGATTCTCCTACCTAGCCGTAGCAGCCGTAGCAGCACAGATGTAACGGCAGGGGGGTGTTCATTTGAGTAGAGCGGGGTTCATTTGAAATGCGCATCGTCCGTTTCTTTTACAAAAGTACGATTATAACTTGGAAGCTATCTCTCCCGCTCCCTCACATCCGCTTGCCAGCGCGCGCCGTTGGCCCCTTCTGAAGATTTCCCCCCCCCCCCGCTTCCCCCCCAATTCCGTTAAGCCTTCCATCGTCCCGCCATTGCTATGATGCCCCCCGCACTTCTCCCCCTTTCCCCCCCTTGCAACCCCCCCAGGCATCGGCTCTCCTGGTAGTGGTCGCGTCGCTGAGGGAGCTGCGTGCGGGCCCGCCCGGGTGCACCAGCACACGGGTCCCGGACCTGAGAGCCAACTTCATGGCGAGGTGGGAAAAGCTGCATGCGGAGCGAGCGGCTGCAGCTGCAGCCGCTGCTGCAGCCGCCGAAGGGGCCGCCGCCGTCGCTGCTACAGCCGCTGCTGCCGCAGCTGCTGCGGCTGCTGCTGCAGTGACGACTACGGCGGACGGCAGCGGGGATAGAGTTACAGGTGTGAATGATGCGGTGGAGGATGAGGCAAATGACCCGTGGGTCGCTCGCGTCAGGAGGGGGGACTCAGGTGGCGGCGCCCAGACGCCGGTGTTAGGCGGTCTGGAGGTGGAGAACGGCACCCGGGAGGGGGCCCAACCCTTGGCGGATGGGGAGGATGCGAGTGCGGCCAGCCGGGGGCCAGGGGCGGCAGCCCAGCGGGGCCCCCGGCAGGCAAAGCGGCAGCGCCAAGAGGACCCCGGGACAGCGGGCCCATCGCCGCTGCCACCGAGGCATCGATCAGGCCCGCCTATACCGCCCTCGCAGCAGCAGCGACAGCAGCAGCAGCAGCAGGCAGAGCGGAGGTACGACCACCCGGGGAGCTCGAGCCAGCAAGCTGTGCCATTGCAGAGGCGACATGATTCCCGACCGAAGCAGCACGGCAGGGAGGTGCCGCAGCCGTCGCCGCCGCCGCAGCAGGAGCCATGGGAGCAGCAACAGACGCAACGAGATCGAGATCGAGATCGAGAACATTCGCGTAGGCGAGGAAGCGACGATTGGCGGCGATCATCGCCGTACTCGCAGCCGGCGCCATCATCGCACCAGCTGCAGCGTCCCGCGCATCGTACCTCAGGATCTGCCGTACCATTGATGTCCGCCGCGGCGACGTCGCCGTACGAATGGCGGCCGGCGCTGCCGATGTTGCGCCAGGCGCATCGGGCGCCGCCGCCGCCAACTGTGCCTCCAGCGGTACAACAGCACCTGGAGGAAATGCGGCGGCATGCACAGGCGGCTCGCAGCCAGCCGTACCACGGTGGCGGTGGCGGCGGCGGGAGCGGGAGCTATTACTATGAACGGCCTTCGCCAGTTGCCGAGCGAGACATCGGGCGCTTCGAGCCCGGCCCAGGAGGTGGGGCCCCCGGCCCCGGTCGTGCCTATGCCGGTCATCCCCGCCATCCCGCAGGCTTTGGAGGAGTTGGCGATTGGGATGAGATGGGCAACGGCGGCGGCGGCGGCGGATGGGGTTATGGCGGTGCGCGCGACGTGCATTGAGCTCAAGTTGCGCCGTACGTGTGTGTGTGGGGGGGGAGGGTGTACCCCCGCAGCGGAACCACTGCAGCATTCACTTGTGGACAGACCCACGTGGCGATCTGGGGCACAGTATCCGGGCAGGCGTGAGGTCCTTTCCTGGAGACCATCACGACATGCGGGACGTATGACTGGGGCGTTTAGAGCACCGTCGCCGTGTTTTAGGTCAGCATAAGCTAGGAGTTGACTGACTGAGAGAGTAATTTAGGCAAACGGTTAGCTTGAGGGTCGAAGGACGAGCATTGCACCACCCCCCGGTTGGCCTTCTAGAGCTTAGCGCCAGTTAGAGTTGCGGATGTGGGGCCCCCATTGGCCTTTCGGTGCACAGGGCCCTTTGTTCAGTTGGAAACTGTCAATGTTTTCGGTTATGACTGCGCATTATATGATATATCATTATAACGTGTTGTCGTGATATAGGCAATGATAATCTGATGCATTTGCGGCCGGCGCAGTGTGCCCGTAGGACGGGAGGGGCCGCCACGGGGTGGTCGGGACGGATCGGATCGGGGATTGATCTGTCTAAGTTTGGACCTTACGAAGCCTCCACGGCGGCGCAGCGTTCGCCGCGAATCCGTCACAATGCGCCACAATGTGTGGTTTTCATTTAGAATGTGCTGTCCTTGTGAGCTGTGTGCCAGTCTTGTGACGTGCTTCCGATCTTCACAACAAGGTTTTCTAGGACTTTTCCAGGACATCATGAAAAAGGACCGAATGGCTTCATTCTTTTTCAGTGCTTCGCAAAGGCTTATATTCCTTGCTTGTTGTAATAGCCAAGACCGGGAACGGCACCTCCCCGCCAGGGCACTGATGGCTCCGGAACCAGAACCGGTGGCCTGACCCAGAACTTCCTGGAGCTACAGCAGCAGAGCAGCTATAGCAGTAGCGGTGTTGCGGTTAGGGGCGTACAAATACACACCAAAGCTTGGCAGCCACATGCAACCCCATCTCCACACGTATGTATGTTGTTACAGGGTGGTAAAGCTTCACCAGTGGCCTCCTTCCCTTGGAGGCAGTTCCCTGCTCTCCCCTGCGAGAGGGGCACCCTAATCCGTTCACCCCATCCGACTGCAGAATGTATTAGTTGGGTTCAGCAACTCACCACCAGCATCTAACCAAATCTAGCGGATCAAAGGCGCCTCAACTTAGTATGTATGCGTGCACACGCATGTATGCGTGCACAGAACAGCCTCTTTGCGCCGTTCCCCTCTTGTCGTTTGGACCTGGGGTTGATGGAAATGGCGCAGAGGGAAATCCGCCTGCACATCCGTTTGACAGCCCTCCGGCGGTGCACCCGTCGTCAGCCGGAAGCAACCTGGTGTTCAGATGGCGGCGAAACACAAAAGTACTGGATGAGCCCCAGTCCGTTGTTCTGTACTCCTGTCTCCCTTAACCGTATTTTTGTGGCTCTGCCGACTCTGACGTGCTTGCTGACCGTGCTTGGAATGGTTGTGACGGAAAGCGGGGAGACCAGCTGCTAAGGGCCCTTACACTGCAGAAGAACACAGCCCCCCACGGCCGCGTGACTGCGGGCCCACCGGCCGCCACACCTCCACCGCGCGGCCCACCAATGCCTCCCAGCGGGGCGACACACGCGCGACAGAACGACACACGACACGTCATCAAAGAACTCCCAGCGAGCAGCTGATCAGACTCTCGCAAGGCGACCCCTACCTCCTGAACCCCGGAAGATCCCCGACTGAGCCCCCCCCCCTTGAGACAAGCACCGCCGCCCCTCCTAAGCTCCCAAGGCCGCACTACAAGGCTGAAAAACTCGACCTAAGCAAACCCCCGCTCCCCAACCCGCCCCCTCCCAGCCCGCCGGCTGTCCAGCCGCCCCTCAGCGGGCGTCGGCCACCGGCTCCCCGCCGCTGGCCGAGCCGGGTGGGGAGGAGTCTGCGAGTGACAGGCGAAGAAGGGAAAAGGGGGGGGGATGATAATCCTTGGCGAGTCCTTGGCGGGAGGTGGGCGGGAAACTGCCAGCTACGAGCTGAAGTGAAAGGCAGGATGCCTGTAACATGAGAGGTGAGGCATGTTGTACTCGCCACTCGAATACGGTTGTACGACAGTCACACAGAGCCGAACTTAGAGGCTCTGATCGCTTCGCTCCGTCGCATCTTAGTCAACAATTCTGTGCTGCCAAGCTGCCAAGAGCCTTTACACTGCAGACCGAAGAGATACCCGCTCACCGGCGAGGCCTAGGCGGCGGGAGACTTCAAGTTTGGCGTCGGTGTCGTGCTCCGTGTAGTGCTGTACCATAGCGTCTGTGCGCCACCGGCCATGCACCTTGCACAACTCTGCCGGCACTCCACGGTCCGCTGCCGTGCTGTTCCCGCCTATGCGTATGGAATGCGCCTTGATGTTTCGCGTGATGCCTGCCAAAGGCATCATTTCCAGCAGCCGTGTGTGGAAGGCCGCGTATGACAGCGAGTGCACCGGCGCTTCCCGTGTGCCAGTCAGGGGTCCTGAGAGGTACCCGCCGTGCTGCGTCCATTGGACTGGTCGGAGGAGCGGTCCCACGTCTTCGTCTGCTGTTACGGGCCGTCTGCGGTAACCACCTTGCTCCAGCAGGCGCTCGGTAAGTCCCACGGGGCAGCAGGGGCCCCCGGAGCGTGCGATGATGACCCAGTGGCCTCGCATCAGCTGGTCGGTCTTCGAGCGGGGGATGAAAATCTCCATGTGGGATGCCGAAATTAACAGTAGGTCTTCGTGCACGCATATTTCTGCGGCATCATCAAACCGGAAGAAGCCGGCGGACATGATAGCCACAGCTGCCACCACCATGAGGTGGTCTAGACGCGCCCCGGGGCCGTCCACTAAGCGGGCCAGCGCCGCGATGTCTTCCGGCTCCAAGGCATCACACTGCAGTGGTCCACTGCCATGGAGATGCTTTTCAGCTAGGGTGCGGACAATGCCGCATGCTGTGTGGTCTGTGGGGGTTAGCTTTCCCGCCATGCGGAAGTATGTGCTGATGGCCGCGCTTGCGAGGCGGACACGGCCTGGGCCAATGCCGTCTGCCCTGGACGTGTTGAGCAGGGACAGCAGGTAGAGGGCTACCAGCTCCCCAGGGGTGGAATAGATGCCACCCGGAAGGTTGTGTGCCTCCCACCAGCTCCGGAACTGGCGCCACGCGGCAGCGTACTCCTCGGCGGTCCTGGCTGGCAGTAATTCAGGGGCCTCTTGCGCCAGCTGCTTGGCGAGGGCTTGGAGGTCGGCTGTGGCGGCTCCGACCCCCAGGGGGCCCAACAAGGCCTCTGCGCGTGCGGCTAGATCTGTGGGCGGCGAGCGACCGGGTCAACAGGGACATGGATGCGTGTTTTGCTGAACCTACTTTAACAATGTTTGTGGCGTTTAGATTGTCGTCTGTCAGCACCTTGACCGCCCGGCCCTCGCCAACAAAATCCCAGGTATTCCAAGAAGGATGAGTCGACGTCTATATGGTGGTAATTACCGCTCTTGAGGTCGATCGTAAACATAAAAAGTAGTTTGGGGGCAGCCAGCCGGGCACAGCTCTGAGGTCCTCATAGTGAAACTCCGGACTGTGAACACGTTTATTCACTGGGCGCTCATCCCAAATGAGCCGGCACTTTGTCGTCTGCTGAACCAAGCAACCCTAAAGGACAGAACCACCCGTGCTTTCATCTGCCAAGCTCATGCCGGCGTGCCGGAGGCCACCAAGTCTGCGATGGCTTGATCAGTAAAGGCTGCAGCTGCATGCTCGTCAGCAGAACTGTGGTTCTGGCCAAAAACAACGGTTGGGGTGGAGATTTCTCCCTTCTCCCACCGCAGGGGAAGCCCGCTGACAACCCAAGATAGGACAAGAATGTTCGCAACCCACGCCCGTCGTGCATCTGAGTGGGTGCCGGTGACTGTGAACACATGACTGCAGGTGATGACTGGTCTCCACCGGTGAGGTGAGATTGGCTGCGTATTCACCTTTCTCATCCCCCCAGAGCCCGTGCTGTTTGCCAGGCCCACCTTTCTTATCATCGACTGGGCGCGCTGGTGGTTTCCTACGCAGAGTTGGCGTTGCGTTAGTGGGTGCCTGTGTGACGGCCGGGCGTCTCGATGTGCCCTCTTGAACCGCTAGCCGTTTTGCTGGCTGGGTATGACTAGACGGGCCTGGTGCTGGATCTTGCGCAGCCCCGGAAGTCCTCTGTTCCCCGAACGGCTGAGCGTTTCGCTCCAAAGCGCGTTGCACATCCTTTATTAAGTCTGGATCGAACTCTGTATCAGCACTAATGAAGCTGAGGAAGGCATCCACGTCGGCGTCAGCCATGAAACTGCCGCGACTAAACTGCCACCTTGTGCGACTGCGAGGAGACGTAACATGACAGGCGGCAGAAACAAGGCGAAAAAAAACGGAGGAAACTCAAGACCGCTAAAGAGGATGTCCGACCGCGTGGGTGCACATGTCCAAAACTGAAAAAAGGGTATGCGAATCAAAAACGAGATCGCGGCTAAGGTCGTCCCTTCTTCACCGGTCGGCAGGCCAATCAACCACGAGAACGTAATGAGAGCGGATTGTGCTCTTGCCACAGTCACGAGCAAATGACAAAAAAGTCAGGTCTTTTGACCGAAAGACAGCTGGCTGTTTGACTCTGATCATCCGTAGGCACCGTAGAGGGATGACCCCACAAAGGGGGGGAATTGGAACAGCCTTAAAACTGTCTCTTTCAATGCGAGGTGTGGCCCACGCCAGCCTCAATAGGATAAACTAAATACACGCAGAGCCACGAAAAAAGGCGTGAAAGCCAGGCCAATAAAAGCGCACGCGGGCGTGTTCATGAAGTCCCAAAAAGCGAATGCCGAGTCCCCGATAGCCGTAAGCCGCATAACGAGTAGATAGCGAAGGCACGCGGGCGCACAACAGGGGAGCCGAAGCGCACGCGGGCGCTGCTGACAGCTCCTCCCCCGCGGCAGGGGACAGTGGGAAGGTGGGACCCCAAGGTCTTTCGTGGCTCGAT